ATCGTGCAGGCGCTCTAGCCGTGGAAATCCAAAGGTTTTCGTCTGTTTTCGTTGGTTTTCCTGTCTCTACGTGACCCAAAAAGCCTCGAGCAGGGTTGCCTTGATTTGAAATCTAGCATAATTTTTGTAAATCCAGCACAATCTTATGACAAATTTGGCGTAATTCCAAAATTGAGATCTGATGCGTGGTTTCTGCATTACAAACAAGATGGGGGTAAAGGTCATGCTTTCAAGCTGGGCGAAAAGAGAAAAAGAAGAAACAAGCACAATTGTACATCAGTGAGAGAAGAATTTATTTGCCATCTGTAACGAGGTTTTCATTTATAGTATCAAAACTTTTTGAAGAGATTTGATGGCAAAGAATTTGATGGGCTGAATGCAGTTAGGAACTTTCCATAAGTAAAAGAGACTTGAGAAAACTTCACCCAGCTTTTGTCCCAGACAAAATATTTCATTCAATCATGCATTAAATTTTGAGAAATAAACGACCAAGATCGCAGAGATCTGAGACTTGTTCTCAGAGGAATTCTACCAGACGAGACAATGACTCGGATTCTCGCAGCAAACCCTAATTCTGTCGATGTAGAGGGGTTGATTCCCACCCACAACAAGATAGAAGCAGGTGGGGAAAGCAGCATAGCTCCAGAAAAAACTTAACAAATAGATAAATATTGCAATGAATATGCTTGATCTCGCAAGTTTCGAGTTCCGAGAAAAGCTGCAAAGATATGGCTCCAAAAAACCAAAAAAGCCAAAGTCTAGGAAGCAAGACTGATTTAAGGGAGTTTTTGAAAGAGAAAGAAAATAAAAAATAACTTTGACAGAGATCCGAACAAACCATGTAAAAGAGTTTCCTTTCGATAACTTTTTGCTCACATATTCAGACATCGCTATATGTAGCTAATTGTCTTATTAACCCAATCCATATATTGTAAAGAATCAGCTTTTGCTACTTATACTTCATTCATTAAAGAATATGCCCAATTAGGACATGCTACTTGCACTATGATGGCAGTTTCTATATTTGCCACCCCCATGATGCCAATCCAAGCAAAGTACCACGCCCAATTTTTAAAAAAATGTAGATCTGTAACAGTTTCTTATTTTAGGCCCTGCTCTTCTTACACTGTTGGTTTTTTCTATTCAAATAGTGATTACATCAGGGTTATTTGGAAGGAAATGCGAAGAAGAAGTGTTAGTATTCAGGAAAAGATTTGGCAGACATTTGGCAGGAATGGCATATGGAATAAAATAAACAATTGTCATTTGTTTTGATAAAGCCAATTATTCATTAGGAAATAAGTTTGCACCAACATTTTAAAGCGTAGTCGTCTATTGGAAAATGAACTCAAATCGTATTTTTCTGTTTATAGGCAAATTGATGGGGAAACTCAGGTTTTTGAGCATTAGGTATCTAATGGAATTATCTTTAATCCTTTGTCCACTACAACTCTACTTTATGGCTTCCTATCATCTCAATAGTTTAGCCAAGAACTTAATCAAAGATTCAGAGTGTTGTTGTCGATCACTTCAGCCACGTTTGCAGGAAATATGTAATTATTCCACAAAATATTAATAAACGTTTATATATGTAAGAGGTGGAATTAATTGAAAAAGGAAAATCACTAAGCTACCTTCGTCATCTTCAAACTCCTTTTCTGTTCTGGGATAGAATAAAAAATATGAATTAGAAAATATTATTTTAACAATATTTTGCTGGTGCAAAAATTAAAAATGGTTTTGAAAAAAGCAAACATTTGAGTACACTAAAGCTTTTTGTCTGACACTCTTCAGAGTATAAAACGTCAGAACATAGAGCAAAACTTTGTCAAAATGTCAGAACATAGTTTTTGATCTGTGTTCGGACGTTTTGTACTCTGAAGAGTGTTAGACAAAAGCTTTAGTATACTCAAATGCTTGCTTTTTTCAAAACCATTTTTAAATGTTATTTTCTTAAAGGCAATAAGTTATAACAATTGTTTGCAGTTTATCACTTTAACATGGTAGAAACTCTTGAAACTTAGTTTGTGACTTTACAAATATTGGACAGGGATAAAAGTGTCTTGTTCCAGGGGTGGCAGGCATATAATAAAAAATCAAAGTGGTTGGGTTGTGATAATTTGCATGTAATTGTTTTTTCAATCTTGTCGTGTTCTGTTAGTCAACCAATGGATCTAGCACAATTTTATTCAAAAATAGCTGAAGAAACACAAAACGACAAAAAGAAGTAGCATTTGCAAGCATTTTTCCAAGAATACTTTAAAAACTGAGTTTTTGAAAGAACTTTGCATTACAGCTCCCATGTGTCTTCAAGAATTATTCTTTAAATGGTCCATGATTCACTTAGATATTAAATAAACAATTTTACACTAACCTTCACATATCTCATTTCTTCTTTCTACCTTTGTGCATCCAGTTACAAACATATCACAATTCGAATCTTTGAATCAACCCTATATAAGAAAATTGGATGCAAATTTAATATTCATAGAGGGAACCAAAATGCTCATTGTCACAGGTTTCCAGAGGGGATTTCAGTCTCCCAGAAATTTATAAAGGTTCAAGGACACTGTGGTTTGAAAAGTCAACCTTTTTCATAAATTTTGTTCAAAATTTCGGTCGAATAGGGCCTCAAAGACATTTTCTAAAGTACCACATCTCTAATAAATATCAGTCACGTGTTACAATAAAAGATAAAAAAAGTCATTTTAGAATATGGCTCAAAAGCATTTCAATGTTTTTTAATACAAGTTGGCTTCAAAATGAGCATCTTTGCAAAATGCTAGTAAAATAATATTTCAATGAACTTATTAAAATATATTTTCAACAATTTATTATGTTGATTAACTTCTAATTTATGTACAATACCACTTGCTTTCGATTCTTTTACACCTGTAATTTTCTTTCAGCATGAGTTATCTTATTAAATATGTTTTGCTAATTTTGATAGGATGACTAATCGATTTTTTAATCAATTTTAAAATTCAAGTTATGTGAAGTTATTGATAAAATTGTTGAATTGTCTTCTGACAAAAGCAAATGCCTTCAATATTGCAACCATTATAACCTCTTGTCACAGTCGAGATGCTGAGTAAAAGTTATTACTCTACTCTACTCTTCCGCTGAAAGTCAAGAAGACTTGCGGAGTTTCTTTCCACGGCTTTTATTTATCACGGAAACAGCAAATTCATAATCCAGGTTGTGAGACGTTTCCACAAGTCAAAGTAGCGAGTAGCCTCTTTCTCTGAAAAAATGACTAACCTTTGCATTTTTTATGACCTTTTTTCACTTGGAAGATTCGTGCGAGAGTCAATATTTGATTTCAAAAATGGCTCCTCGCCGTAGTGTTGTCGTACCCAGTCTCCCAGGGTTGTTGGAGAGTTGGAGAGGGCCAGGGCACCCGATGCCCTTAGGCCTTCTGGTAGAAGGCGCAAAGCGGCCAAATTTCCTTTTGAAATATACTCTTGATTTTGGCCTTTTTAAATTATTATCAAGGAGATTTATGATTAAATTATGACTACAATGACCCTTTCAATCGATTTGCATATTGTTTTGATAAAAGGTCAAAATATGTTCGTATTTCAGCCTCTTGGTGTTCTGCCAGACGGCGGGTCCAATTCAAAACATTCTCTTCTCTGCTTCAAACTGACATACTGTCCATTTGTAATATTATCTTGTAATTGAATTCTCGTTCTTTCTCTCATCCTTTTCCCTTGTATTCTATGGCCGTATTCAGTAAGCAATCTATGGCCTGTTGTTAATTGTGTGTATAATCGATCGTCATAGGCTAGCCCATCATTAAACGCCCTGTGAAAAAGCCAACCTGGTGAGAACTTTCCTGACAGGGAGTCCTATTTTAACTAACCGAACGAATCCGGTAATTTTCTATTTCCTCGCGTCGCTAAAAGCCGAGATTTTCTGTACCCCAGCAAATCTCGAATTCCCTCAAATTTTACTCAGCTTTTGCCAGTTTAAGAAAAAATGGTTGTCCCCATTAACCTTACCTGCTATCCCCTGTGAGAAAGCAAACCACCTAACTTTTTAAAGAGGTGTTATCAATAAGTCTTTAGCATTTCAAAATAAAAAATACTGTCAGGAAAAAGGAGACGATTTTTCAAATGTCCCTTTGTTGAGGCCAGGAGAAGAAAGGGGCTTCAGTCCCCCAGATTTCATTTGGCTCCTATGTCAGTACCTGATCCTTGGTAGTTTCCCCAACATCCTTAGCTTCCATCTTAGCTAGACATAAAAGGTAAGCTGGTGACGGTCAGGTTCTCTTACCAATTCTCAGTTTATTCTTACGTACTTTACTTTAGTCAGACGAAAAATTACAAAGTATTCCAAGCCACCTTAGGTAACCAGTTCCTATATTGATAAAAATGTTTAAACCATTTTTCATCTCTAATAATCTAGTTGTGCTTTAATTTTTGATGATATTGTGAACTTCTTTAGCACAATGTTATTAACCTGATAACATTTATCCATGCAACGGTATACATTTTAGGCTCTGTGTGACCCTTTGTGAAATTCAGTTCAGTAATGCCCATTTTTAAAAGGGCATATGTCACATTGACAGTTGGCTAATACAACAAAAGCATTGAGTGTATGTAATTCCAGTTTTGTGACTTCTCATTTCTTTCTCATGAATTTTTACAACCATGAAAATTAATCCACGATCCTGTGCCTTGTACTAAACAAAAAATAAATGTTTTGTATTAGCCAATCAGGTTCCTGACACATGACCTTTAAGTTTCTTATAAATATTTCAAAATGTTTTGAACAGTTGTACTAATGATTCTTTTGGAGAAGAAACATTTACCTTCATGGAAAGAAATGATGCAAATTGTACAGAATTATAGGTTCATTTTTTCCACAAAACTCTTAACATGAAAAGGTCATTCTGAATTATCAACTTCCTAGACATTTAGGCCTCTTTAAAAGCTTTTAACTAACAAGGATAAACTAATTTTACAAAACAAGAGACAGAAAACAAGAAACAAGACTGATGCACAAACTGATAATTAATGACATTGAATTGTGGTGTTGCATCTAATTAATGTATGAAATATATAATAACTAAAATTGGAGGTAATTTATAAAAACCATGTATGGCTTTCATTTCTGGGCAGGTAGTGTGAATGTGTACATACAGATTCAATATCCTTTGAAAATTAAATTAACACAAATCCTTTGCAAACACTGGATAACAAATATGCAAAGCCTTCGCTGAAGTACATCAATTCTCTGCTAGCCTATATGTTAAGTTAATACAGCAAAGACTTTACACACCGACCCTCAGCAAATAATTTTATTACCAAAAGCATTTCTATAAAATACTGTCTTGACAAAGAATTGTTTCTGCAATTCAGGTTGATCAAGCGGTTAAAAAGTAAACATATAGTTTTTGGCATAACCAGTTTTTATGTTTTTTCATGATCTAGGGCCACCTGGAATTATCCAAAACCGTGTCAAGATTCCAGCACTTTATAATATTTTGTTACATAAAACGCTACCAAAGCATACCAACAGCAAAGTCTCATTTCAAAGTCTCATGTTATCAAAATCAACTGTCTTTTACTGTGGGATACTTTCAATGCGTTCTTTGAGTGCATTGAACTGGTTCCAGATTTCTGCTGGTAAGTCCTCATTAAACTGTTCCTCATAGTATGTCTTCAGTCTTCCTAACTCTTCCTGCCAGTACTTCTTAGGAATAGTCATCAACCCTTCCATATCAATTTTGCCAAGACCATCAATATTGATAGTTCCTGGCTTTGGAATACGGCCAACTGGTGACATCTGAGCAACATCTTCATTGTTTACACGGTTGAAGATCCACTCAAGAACACGGCCATTTTCACCAAATCCTTGATAAAAATTAATAATAACTTCTTTAGATATATATTATCAGTACAGATACTAAAAACATATGCTTTGCATACACAGTATGCTGTAAATATCACATGAAAAATGATTGTTTCCTTATGATTTATTTCGTCTATATATATATAAACTGATTTTGGTTACAAAATAAAAACTCAGCTTAGCACAGGCCTTGTAATTTGCTTAAGTAAAGATATACAAAATGAGAAGTACTTTATTACCTGGCCACATGAACTGACCATCGTCTCCCTTTCTAAACCAGTTAACATGGTAGATCTTAGGAAGCTTAGCTCCTGGTCTCTTTCCGATATTTAGCCAATGCTGGAAGTAATGTCCTGCATTGTAGCCAAAGAATGGCCTCATTGCAAATGGATCACGCATAACAACTTTTTCCTTATGTTCAGCAGCTGCAGTGGCTTCTGAGCAGAGAGATGATGCAACAAACACTCCATGGTTCCAGTCAAACGACTCATAAACCAATGGAACACCTTCAGGCCTTCTTCCACCAAATATTATAGCAGATATTGGCACTCCTTTGGGGCTTTCCCATTCAGGGTCTATTATTGGGCAGTTCTTGCTTGGGGCACAGAATCTTGAGTTTGGATGTGCTGCCTTAGTTGCACCACCAGGCTTCCAGTTTCTTTCTCTAAGCCAAGAAGTTACTTCAACTTTGCTGATATCAACCTCGTCTTCCAGTCCTGGGGATTTTGAAGATGATAAAGGTCAAGTATCACAGATTATCAAAAAAATTCAAATTTGAGCTTTATATATCAGAGCTTGCAAAGAAGGACAAGATTAAATCAATAGACATTAACTAAAATATATATATATATATATGCTTATCTGTGAAGTAAACAGAATGCAATTGCACAACCATAAACCCACTGTGATAGCAATATTTGAATACACTCTACCGGAGAGACATCCATGGATATTCAAAGCACACATTTAAACATGCCATTAAACTTCTGCAACAAGGCTTCAAAACTAACGACACAATCTTAAAGAAGGAGTTAAATTTCTTCAACTAAATAGGCAACTGCTTTTCTTAAACAAGTTTTCAAGTAACATCACTTATAAATAAGAAACATGAAAATATTGCTTTTTTGAAAAAGAACCCACCTTCCCAGAAAAAGCCACCATCACTTGTCTGTGCCACATTTGTGAATACTGAATCCTTCTTCAAAGACTCCATAGCCATAGGGTTTGTCTTGTGTGAAGTACCCGGTGAGACACCAAAAAACCCAGCTTCTGGATTAATTGCTCTAAGGTTACCTTCTTCATCGAACTTCATCCAGGCAATATCATCACCAACACATTCAATTTTCCATCCTGGAATAGTTGGCGTCATCATAGCAAGATTTGTTTTGCCACATGCACTTGGGAAAGCAGCAGTTACGTATTTTTTCTCTCCTTTTGGATTTGTTATACCCATGATCTATGAGGCAAACATTAAAAACACAAGTCAAGATAAAAGTGTGTTACAATCAGATTTTTTCAGAGTGGTTAGGGCATTAACCAGCTTCGAAATTCCAAAACAGTGACAGTTGGTGCTCTAATGACTTGAAAAAGGAGAAGAAACCATCAAATAGAGTGGAGTCTAAACTCCATTCAAACTTTGCTCTGAATAAGGTTCTATTTTTTTCTTGCAAGATTTCCACAACTATTTTTACAAATCTAGGTGGTAATAAATCTATTTTAAAGGTGGAACAAATTTTCCATTAGGGACATCATCTATCCAGAAATATCACCTTACTTACCAACATGTGTTCTGCTAGCCATCCTTCATCTCTGGCAAGTGTTGAAGCAATTCGAAGGGCAAAGCACTTCTTTCCAAGAAGAGAATTACCTCCATATCCACTGCCAAATGAGATTATCTGTTTCTCATGAGGGAAGTGAGTGATGATAGTTTTCTCTGGATTGCATGGCCAGTTGTATGGATCTGGCTCTGCTGGCAATGGTCGTCCAACTGAATGTAAACATCTAACAAATGGGTCATTCTTCAATGTCTGAAGAACATTTGTACCCATCCTGGTCATAATTTTCATGCAGCATACAACATAAGGAGAGTCAGTTAACTGGATACCAATTTTAGATAGTGGTGAACCAACAGGTCCCATACTGAATGGAATCAGGTACATTGTTCTTCCTGCAGATAAAAGCAAATAGAAAATGGTTAAAACACAACACTGGCATCATTAATAAACAAAGAGAAGGAGATATTGACTTTATTAACACATATATATATAATTTATATCATTTATTGGCTACTTTCTGTTAACTTTAAAGTGGAATTTCAAGACAATTGGGGATTTAAGGATTTAGTGAAAGTTGACAAATTTAGCAAGAACGAATTTTATAGTTACATAGCAGATTAACACCACTTGTCAAAAGACAAGAAGGATTATGTTTGTCACGATCTTGTCATGTTTCAAGTGCAAGTGCACCCAGGCCCTTATTTGTATCAAAATTGCATCCAACAATCTGACAAGCAAACAGAGAGAATGAAAATAAAAAATGAGCCTAATTTTTACCTTTCATGCAACCATCGAACAAAACATTCAACTTGGCTTTCATTTCTTCAGGACGGGCCCATTGACCAACTCTTCCAACAACACCATCTTTGGTTATGGGGACAGTTTCCCTCCTACTCTCAGTACAAATAACTGTCTTTGATTCAACTCTTGCTACATCAGCTGGGTTTGTGCGTGCAATATAACTGTAGAAAATGTCAAAGATAGAGCATTAGTTCATACTCTTACCCAGTTTGACAATCACCTTTTTATATCTTGTATTTGTAAATATGGGATTGTAACATTGGCAACACATAAAAACAACTAAACCATCTAAATATATATGTCATGACTGTCATACACAAAGCCAAAATGTGTCTTTAAAATTTTCATTTACTAATGCCAAGTTTGCTATTTTTTCAAGTTAAATAAGGTATAACAAGTCCACTTGCATAAGAAAATAAATATTTTCCTAAATTTCAACTGACTGTTATATATGTATACATCATATTTGCAAGTTACATTATATGCACTTCTAACAGCATACAGGCTATTGCAATTATACTACAGAAATCATTGAGGACCTTTAACAATCAGACAATTGTTGCTTAGGTGTTCATTTGACAACTAACAAAGGCTGTAAGCTTTGGGAAAACAATTAATACCTTTTCATGAAGCTGTATATGTAAGGGTATGGAAGCAGCTCTACACAGACATTAGTTTCCGACTTAATCATACTGAAGATCTGTAGTTTTGACAGGTCTCAGTCTCATTTGAGGCAAATCAAAACATGCCGAATTAAAAAGGATTGGTTCAATAAACATTAAAATAAAAGTAGCCTAACAATAAAATGGGGGTGTAACACAGGCGTGTTGCATCAGAAAACGCGAAGTATTCTTACCAGTTCTCGTATTTTGTCAACTTTGTTAACATCCCAGCTAATTCCATGTTCGAAATAAGTTTTCTGTTTTCTTCATCGGAACCATCACAAATATGGAGGCTGTCTGGCTTACAAAGAGCTGCTCTCTCAGCAACAAAGTCTTGAATGCGTTGCGAAAGGGCTTTAAAGTCTCCCTTCACAACAGTGATGCCAACTGGTAACGATGCCATGTTTCTTCGAAATATGTTAGATCTGAGTAAGTTCCGTAGGGGGAACCTAAAAGAAAGAATCATAAGTAGGTTACAAAATAGTATTTCAATTCCTAACACAAGTTTAGGCTCGATCGAAAATTCCGCAATCTAAACGCTGATCTTAGGCCTATTGACAGGACAACAAGAAGCGGCGTGCATATAACGTAGAGACAGACGAAATAACTTACCTACTAATATTAAGACAACTAGTCATATTTGCAAGCGCTATTGTAACAAAAACTTCTAATTCATTCACTATTGGTGATGTGGCATCCTATTTTCGAAAGGAGTTGTCGTGGGATACCATCACCGCCGCCAAACCATGCGCGCAAAGGACATTCTCAATCTCGAATCCGAAAGTGTCCTCATATTGTACTTTTGTTCATTGATTTCCGGTTTATCCTAACCAATCAAATTCGTGTCTCGTTTTGGGCCAGACCAATAAGAATCAAGAAACAACAAAATTATTCGAAAGTGTCCATAAACGTGGTAGGTGTTGTCATTTCCGTCTGAAGTGAGCGGGTAGGGGCAACAAGCCATCTGCAAATTTCGAAATGTTTGGTTTGGTTCGTCAAAAACCATTAACCCACACTATGCTTTGTATCAAATCTGTGCTTTGAAATTTGCTTTTGAAACAACCTTTGCAGTTTTTTAATTTATTTAACCGAAAAACTAACCCATATGAACTATTAATAATCAAAAGAAGAAGTAGAAGACAGTAAATAATTGCATGGCCAAAATCCTCTTCGCCATATACGACGACTTGAGACAGAAAGAAAAATAACGTTCTGCAAAACATGTCTTGCAGCGATTCGCGTGCTTCGCTGTATAGGCTTCGTTACAGTGATTCGCAGGTGCTTTGACAACACAGGCCTCTCTTCTAGAAGACCTAAAACAATTACAACTACTTCGGCGGTCTCAAAATGACATGCTAAACAACACTAAGATATTTTTTATTCTCCCCCTTCCCCCTTGTCTCGTCCTTTGTCAATCAAAGCGTAATAACCAGGCTTCCTCTGCACTGTAGATTCAATATTGTAGATATAATATGGTACAAAAGTTCTAGAATGTCTCCCTTGTCGAGCAAAATAATGAGAATTTGAAATAGCATAATATTTTGCTTCTATGAATAAGGAAGTGCCAGAAACGAAGACGCAAAATGTAAGAGAGACAGATAAAAGAGACAACGCCAGGTTGCTGCATCAACTTCACAAATAAAGCTTGAAAGCACTTGAGACGTATACCAATACAATACTTAATTCTGCATAGGTTTAATGCCCGTAACAAAATAATCATTTCGGTACTGAAGTGGGCTGAAGAACAGACAAACTCTCTGATTTCTATCTATTCAATGAGGCCTGAGAACACCAGTGGCTAAAATCCTGTAGCATCGCTTTCGACTTGCTTGCTGTCCAAGAAAAAGCGATTTGATTAATCAAAATGAAAAAAACACCCACAAATACGATTGAAGGCAAGGCTCCTAGAATATGTGCTTTATCTTGCATAAATTGGCATTTCTGCTTAAAATAACTAACACTGATTCTAACAATTCACATCTCTTTGCACGGATGCCACAACAGGCAACGTGTCGGCCTAGAAACATGGCTGCCTAGAAAGAGGGCGTGTTTACAGTGCGGACAAAATTGGCCAACGATATTTATTAGCAAGCTTCTCCGAGTGAACGGTAAAGGGCATCCTTAAAATTGTTACGGAACTGTCTTCCTTTTTAGGCCAAAATTACATGCTTCAACAACATCTGAAACAAATGCAAATTTATACTTACGCGTTAGCGATAGAGGAGATCGTCTTGGCAAGAATAAAACGTTCCTCTGCTTTCAGTGTAAAATCTCCAGCCTCCCACGACGTTCAAGTGCAGTCGACTATCTTACAAGCTCCGAAACAGGAGACACGAACGTAAACCCTGACCTCAGCCCTACGCCAAACCAGTGTAAAGGACCTTTGCCTTGTGCAACTCAAAAGATAACCGAATATTCAGTCGGGTGCATTTATGTTACGCAATCTATTGTTCTCGAATAGTTTCCCCGTGCACAATGTCACGGTGCAGAGCAAGTTGCCATGGTAGCAAACCTCAAGCAGCCAATCAAAACTGATAGCAAGACAATCATACTTTGACCGTTGACCGTTCGCTGTAATCATAATCATAATAGACAAGATAGCACGTGCATGCAGTGGACAGCGTCTGGCCCCTGTAAACGCTGCGGTCGAAAATCGGATAGCATCATAGCATTGGAGATGGTCTGACAAGGCACTGCGTTTGCCGAGCACTAAATAACTTTTCGTTAGCTCTACTCTTTTTGTTGCAAATGATTTCTTTTCCTCAGATGACAACAGAGAATGCCAAAAAAGTTATTACCTTTGAAGGCATCAAAGGGGCGCCTGCATAAGAATAAGGCAGGAGGGGCAGTGTTGGTGCTAATGCCAAAGAGTATAATTTTTTCCACTTATTTTGAACATAGCTTCGGTAGAGCGTAGACGTGAATGAAACTCCATATCGTTGATTTTATCTTTAAATATATACAAAACGTGACCATATACAGCTATAACGTAAACGTAACTTGTTAGCCCATCATAAGTTTGTAGCGTGACTTTATCGTAACTTCACTACTTCAAAACTACTTCACCTTACAATATAGGGCGTGAATAAATAACGTAAGAAGACTGGGACGAGTAGGAATCCCCCACGACGCGTGGGTTGCGAAATATATTGACTTCACAACATACTCCCCCGATTGAGTTGCCTGCACTCAATTTACAATAATACATATTAATTAATCATTATTCATCAACAAAACGTAAGAACATTTTTTTTTAAGCAAGCTGAAACTGTAAGCGTATACATATTGAAATATTTACATATTGTCTCTTCTAAGAAACTCTCCTAACTTTGCAGCTGCGCGCTTAGATCGCGTAATAGTTCTATCTGCTGGCTGCGCAGGCGCTATAGGTGCGTTGACTTGATTTGCTTCTGTGTTAGGTTCCTTACATGCAATTTCTAAAGGTACAAGTAATTTCAAGGGACGTCTGAATACTTTACCCTTACTCCTTTCACCTGCTATCTGGATCTTTGCTGATCTTACTCTTCCATCTGTACCTACAATCAACTCAAGAATTTTACATAATTTCCAAAAAGTGCGTTTTTTATCGTCATCCTTTAAAAGAACTATATCTCCAACCGATATGACTGGCTCTTCCCGTTTGTCTTTCGGTCTATAGGCTTCCATAATACCTGTTAAATATTCCTTCTTCCATCTCTTCGTGAATTGTTGAAGTAGAGTCTTATGATACTTGGCTCGTTTTGACAGAACCTCGTATGTACTTAGCATTTCATAGTACCTGTCTTGGGGCAAAAGTGATAGATTTCTTCCATTAATTAATTGACACGGTGTCAATGGATATGAAATACCGTCAGTGTCATCATATACATAAGTAATTGGCCTAGAGTTGATTACTGCTTCGACCTCTATCAAGATGGTATTTAATTCTATTTGCGTTAGGTATGACCGACCTATTACCTTTTTTAGACAACGTTTTACGCTCCTTATTAACCTTTCCCAAGCACCTCCTTGCCATGGGCTTCTATCAACTATGAATTGCCACTTAACTCCTTTCTTTTCAAGGCTTTCACCTAACCTAGGGGAACGCAAAAGATGTTTTACATCCTTTGAAGCTGACTTAAAGGTCTTGGCGTTGTCACTTACCAATAGAGACGGTAAACCTCTACGTGCTGTGAATCTTCGAAACGCTCGTAAAAATGACTCGACATTGAGCGATTCTACAAGTTCTAAATGAACTGCTCTTGTCGACATACAAGTAAAAAGACAGACATAAAACTTCTCTTCTCCATCATTGTTACCTTTACTTGCAACTGTCAATGGACCTGCAAAATCTAGCCCTGTATTTGCAAATGGGGGCTGATCATCGACCCTCATTCGTGGCAAGTCTGGACAAAATACAGTAGAATATGGCAAACCTTCTAATTTCCTACATGTGATACATTTGCGTACAATACTTTTAACTAATTCCCTTGCACGAGGAATCCAATACTTTTGTCGTAAAAGATTTAACGTTTCCCTTATTCCATCGTGCATGACTTTTTCGTGGCAATAGAGAACAAGCAATTTGGAAACCTGATGAGACTTCGGTAATAAGATTGGTCTTATGCTTGACTCTATGACGGATGCATTTTTTATACGACTTTGACACCTCAAAATGCCCTTTTCGTCTACGAAGAGCTGAAATTGCGAAACGTACAAAGGGGGTTTTTTGTCCCCTTTTGATTGTAAATAATCAATTTCCTTACAAAAGAATTCACCTTGAATTGAGCGTATAAGAACATTTTCTGCGTTAGCAAATTCTTCTATATTTATCTGATTTTCTCGTTGACAAGCATTGTTTTTTAACGATGCGCGTAAATTATGTATAAAACGAAGTACCCATGCTAATATACGGACACATTTTTGGTAAGAACCAAACCTTTCAAAATCTACAACGTTGCCAACTTTGGCGTTTTCCTTAGTTGCTATAGCATGCGTGATATTGGGGCTACATTTTACTCTTTCCTCTAAAGCGGAACCGGATTCGAAAATATCTTCTTGCTTAGGCCATTTTGTGGGTGGCTGTTTTAGAAACCCCGGACCCTCCCACCAAAAAAGATTTTGCTCTAACTTGCGACCAAATATACCCCTTGACGGTAAATCAGCTGGGTTTTGAGATCCCGGGCAATAAAACCATTCATCGCGGCTTGAAGTTCGTAAAATATCCGACACGCGATGGCGTACAAATTGCTTCCAAACCTTATTGTTCTTTATCCAGCAAAGGGTGCAAACCGAATCTACCCAATAAAATACTTTGATAGGCGTGCCGTGAAGCTCCTCCCCAAGAGTACCTTTTACTGTGCTGATTAATTTTGCGAGTAACTGTGCCCCTAAAAGCTCTAAACGTGGTATGCTTTGTTTTGTTAGAGGACAAACCCTGGCCTTGGCAGTGACAAACTTGATGCTTACCTCCCCCGTATCGTACACAATGCGGAGATAAACAATTCCAGCGTAAGCAGTCTCGCTGGCATCTGAAAACCCATGTATTTCGACTTGGCTTACTATTTTACCTGGGTCAAAAAAACATCTTGGCATGCGAATCCCGTCTAAACGACTTATTTCCGAAATGAAACGATCATATTTTTCCCTTGCTTCTCCTGTAAGCTCTTCATCCCACCCCCATTTGTCTACGCAAAGTTCCTGAAAGAGCACTTTCAAATTGATGGTATACACACTAAGACAACCGATCGGGTCAAAAATCTTGGCTGCTAACTTTAAAAGAGAGCGCTTTGTGGGCTTAAGTGTTTTTGCTAGTTCTATAATGGACCCCAGATCAAAAAACAGTTCATCCTTTTTACTTTCCCAATTTACTCCAAGGACCTTGTTATTATTTTCTCTTTGAGGTGGGCCTATTGTTTGCTGAGCGAAGGATTGATCATCTTGTATGATCTCCTTCGCATTATCACCATTGGATACGTTACCTGCTTCCACCTTTTTGATTTCATGTAACAAAGCTGTGTCATTAGTTTTAAATTTGCGAAGGTTAAACCCACCTTCGGACAAAATCTCCCGTGACTTATGGAAAATCTCTAACGCCTCATCAATAGAATTTGTGCTACATGATAAGTCATCAGCATAAAGCCGATCTAACACTTTAACAACACGAGGAAATCGATTAGCATATTGAGCAATGTGTTTCTTAATTGTGGCTCCCAGTATAGATGGCGATGGTCTTAAACCAAACACCAGTCTACAATACTTATACTGAATAACCGTTGGATTCGGCTTACTAATGTCGTCATACCACAAAAAACGTAAAGCATCCCGGTCTTTTTCATCAATTTCAATCTGAAGGAATGCCTTTTCAATATCAGCTATTATAGCAATGGCATGTGAGCGGAAACGTAATAACGTATCGAATAATGGCGGCATGTAATTATCACCAAGTTCTAAACATTCATTAAGAGATAAAGCTTCCTTGTGCGATTTCGCACTTCCATCAAAAACAACACGAAGTTTTGTTGTTTCACGATCTCGTCGAATTACACCATGGTGACTCATAAAATGAGGATTACCCTGATTCTCCTCCTCCACAGGGACTTGCTCAATTATTCCGTTTTTTAATTGCTCTTTGAAAATGTTATCATATTCAGATAATAATTCAGGGTTTCCTTTTAACCGGCAAAGCAAAGATTTTAAGCGATTTAATGCCAAGTTATAATCATCATTAAGGCAAGATATATCAACCTTCCAAGGAAGGCTTACCTGGTACCTTTTACCATTAAAGGTGATTTCAAATTGCTCGTCTTGTTTGTCTTCATTTGTGGGTTCACTCCCCTTGTCAATCCCGGATGATTCTTGTTTCCAAAACTCGCGAAGCGTTTGTGTTATTTCCTCATTTTCTTCGACAGGCCTTCCAACTGACGTATCTAAAATCAAATTAGAAGTCACATTAGAATAGGTTTTAGGCTCCAAGGATCCTGGTACTTTTCCCGAAAGTAGCCATCCTAATTTGCTACTTACTGCTATTGGCCCTGATGTACCTCTAATGACATCACCAATGATTACATCATATAAATAATCATTACCAATAAGCAAATCAATGCGCCTATTTTGCTCGCTTAGCTTCTTGTCCGCTAGATTAAGGCCTATCAAATGCTGATACTTGCTTACGTCTATGCGCGTATTTATAGGCGAACAAATAGACTGATAGCTTATTGCGCTTATCAAAATTGGCGTCTCATCTATTCCTGTCTCTAACATTAACTTAACGACGTCACATTTCTTGCGTACTGATTTCTCAGTTCCAAATGTGTTCAAATTTAAGTTTTCCTGTCTTTCGACTTCCAGATTTAGTTTTCGTCTGACTTCTTCAGAGATGTAACTTCGTTGGCTCCCACTATCGAAGAAAACATTGATTTTCATCCTCTGAGCCTTGTCTGCCCCATAAACATACGCAGTTGCCGTCTGCAGCAAAACTTCTTGTTTTCCTGTAACACTGGTAGTTACTTTTGTTTCTTCCTCCGTTTGTTTTGCTCCTTTGTAGCAAATTGACTCGTGGTGAAAATTTCTGCCACATTTTTTGCAATTTCGATTTTCCCGACACTTTTTTGTCATGTGTCCAGATTTTAAGCAGGAAAAACATCGTTTGGTCTCCAATAGGATCTTTTTTCTACCCGCTATTTCCTGGACTTCTTTGCAGCTTGACGGAGAGTGTGCATGCCCACAATAAACACAATCTTGCACTTTTTCGTCTTTCGTCAAAAATGTCTTCGTAGTGCCTTGTGGTGATTTTGGTCCATATCCTGAAGTTTTGTCAAATTTCCTTTCGACGGGCTTGATGTTATCGCTCAGTTCCCTGGCTTCAATTTCCTTTTTGACGATCTCCAATATTTCTTTTATCGGCCAAACTTCCTCGGTCGTCTTTCTGGCGACATGCAATGTAATTTCTCGTGGCATTCTTGCCATAAGGATTGGTACTAATAAACTGCCATAACTTGCAGAACTCATACCAAGGGCTTCAAGCCCCCTTACGTGTACATTTATGCTGTCGTAAATGAAGCGCAATTGCTTCACGTTTTCGTTTGGGCAGTTTTGTAGTCCAAGGAGAGCCTGCATATGCGTCGAGATTATTTGTTGTTTGTTGCCAAACCTTGCCTTCAAAATTTCCATTGCATTTAAATAATTTTGTTCCGTCAGTTCGAGTCCTGATACTGCACGGTATGCTGGACCCTCCAACAAATTCACCAAGTAGTTGAGCTTATCAACTGCAGTTATGCTTTCGTTTTTATCTATGGCATTCTCGAAACTCTGCCAAAAGGACATGAAACGTGTTATATCTCCGTTAAATCGTGGGAGCGTTATTTTTGGCAGACGAATGGCAACAGAACCCATGGTAACCCCGCTTGTATTGAGACCATGTTCGTTGTTTGTTGCTTGTTCAACGTTTTCAGCTTCTCTGGAAGGCGTTGACGTAATAATTTGTGTCGTTCCACTCCCAACTCCGAATGCATTGGTCTGAGCGTAACGACCGTCTTTAAAAGCTTGAATCCTTCCCAGAATTTCATCGATTCTGAAATTCAGCTCCGTCGTTTCATCGATTTCTTTTTCGATATTAACGTCTGGACATATTTCCAGTATCTTTTCGTTTAGTCCGTTCACATACGTTTGCTTTTCTCGAAGAGACTTTTGTGCCGTTTCTAAACGAATCACCTTCTCGACTTGTTCTCCATTTTCATTAATTAGTTCTTCAAGAAGAGCCGTGGCTTGTCGTTCAAGCTTCGTAATGGAGGTTCTATTTCCTCCTCGTATTGCTAACAATTTCTTTAATTGTCCACTGTTACCTTCTGTATCAGTGGCCATGATTTCGTCGTATTCCGTGCCCCGCGTTGGGCGACATTATATTTTGAACATAGCTTCGGTAGAGCGTAGACGTGAATGAAACTCCATATCGTTGATTTTATCTTTAAATATATACAAAACGTGACCATATACAGCTATAACGTAAACGTAACTTGTTAGCCCATCATAAGTTTGTAGCGTGACTTTATCGTAACTTCACTACTTCAAAACTACTTCACCTTACAATATAGGGCGTGAATAAATAACGTAAGAAGACTGGGACGAGTAGGAATCCCCCACGACGCGTGGGTTGCGAAATATATTGACTTCACAACACCACTACCATAATCGATTATTTGTGAGGGGTTTGGGGATGGGTGCGAAATATAATATTGGCATCTATCGACCTGTTTCACCCATACAGCTGGGATTTTTCCTATCAAAGACTCTAAACATAGTCATAGTTTGACAAAGTTCTCCATGCAAATAGGTATTAAATGGCCTTGTCATTATTAGAAAAGTTTGGTTTTACGAAAATCATGGCAGTTGAAAATGGGCTGGCTGCAAGACTCTGATTTTCCGCTTATTGTCCCTGTGGTTGTAGAATCATCGAGAGTGTAGAATGGAAAATAATAATCACAATAATCTAATGTAAATCAAATAATTGTTTACATCTGCATGTTTTTTATTATATTATTTCATTATATTTATAGTAAGCATGAACTTAGCATAACATTCTTGTTCTGATAATAGGCCAAATAGTCAGAATCTTATAAGAAACTATTGCTTTTGAAGTTTATTATCATTCTCTAAAAAATAATTTTCCGTTATTAATGACCGACAGCAAAAAAGGAATTTTTCTGCTTTTTTAATTCCTTATGGAAATTAACTTAGCCAGAGTAGCTAAACTAGTCACGAATTATCTACAAGATTCTTTAATCTTTTGTTAGGAGTGAATATTTAAAGGCACTGCTTGCCCCCACTGCCCCTCCTGGAAGAGGGCAGGAGGGGCAGCTGCCCCTGCAGCCCAGCCAGGGTAGGTGTCTTGATCAAAATATGGGATCGAATACTTGTAGAAGCTCGCTCTGTATCAAATAGAAAGTTACTTAATAAACTTCTCTGTAATTTTTAATGCAACTCCATTATAAAATTACAAAAATTGCTTTCTATTATGACCTAAAATTCCCACCCCTTCAATCACTCTTTTCTTTTAATCGTCTGGTTTCTTTCTTATTTTGTTCTGTTACTGTTCAAAAATAATATTAGGTTCAAACTGTGTAGAGTTCCTTGATGTTTTCATTCACCAGCTTATATTACATATTGTATAAACTTCAATGCTCCCTTGGTATTCTTTATTTAAATAATTCAATAAAAAAGGCACTTGGGTCGAAAACCTTTGGGTTTGTCTCAGTATCTTTGGCCGACCAAGGGGCGATTCACTCTTGCAAATAGCGCACGAGATTTTGCTTAAAACAAAAGGATTTCTGGGAATTTTCGGATAAAACAATAAAATTTTCACAAAAGGGGTACGAGAATTTCTTAGAGTGATTTTCCTCTCGTCTTTGGTAACATTACAAGTTTACATTTGTAGTCTTTTAAACTTTTTATGCAATCTGTTGTTGAATGAAATGAGTTTGAATTCTTACTTTAAAATGTATCTTCCAAATTTAAATTTCTGCTCAAAGCAGAACTGGTTTTGGTCTGCGCATCAAATTTTTATCCCCACTTTGTCTTGAGTTTACAGGATGGTATTTGCAAGTTTGGTTCCCGCAAGCAGTGGTGGCGCCAGAAATCTTCCGACAGAGGGGTTGGAGCTTCCGACAGGGGGGCTAAAATGATTAAAATAAGCAGTTTACGTACGTTATTTTGTCAAATTTGCTCCGACAAAAACCTAAAATTTCCTCCGGTGGGGGGGGCTAGATGCTTCCGACGGAGGGGCTGTAGCCCCCCCTAGACCTCCCCTGGCGCCACCACTGCCCGCAAGTAAGCTAATGACAAGGGATATTTCTAGGAAACGAAGTTGATGCAGCGTAGAGCGCAGTGACAGTGATATGGAACTTGTGACGAACTTTGAGTACTCATTACAAGTCAAGTTTAGTGTAATAAAACGCGAGGGGTAGATCAGCTCACATAAGTTTTCTTGTTATGAAAAGCTTCCTATGCTAGCACCTCTAACGCAATGGTAAAATCTGGCCCATTTTCTTGTAGATTCATTACTGTGGCAATATTGAGGCAAGGTTGAAAGTTTCTTTAACACATTTTGCAAGCCCTTGGGTTATCCAATAAAATTTTCTGTAAACTCTGATTTTAATGTTTCAGTTTTCTATCAATATATTTCTCGTTATTCTGAGGCTAGCATTACTACCCCGTGCAGGGGGAGGCAAGGTTGAAAGTCGCTTAAAAACATTTTGCAAGCCACGGTCTATTCGTGGTCCTCGTTTAAATATTTCAATGGTTTAAGTCTCCTGTTTATTCTAATTTCAGTGCTTAAATTTTCCAAAATATTATTTATTTATTCCACGCTGACTCGTGGGGCTCATTTCAATATTTTGCAGGCTAATCTAAAAGCTGAGTTCTTTATTCTGAACTCTACTTAAAAGCTTCACAGCAACATATTTCTGTTGGCCGGCACCAATTCGTATTCGTTTACCAAAAGATTTTTCGTAGGAGAACATTGGTAGGTTTACTGCTTTGAACCTAAAATAATTGTGAATGTCTCTTCACGCGATTTCTATCGTTTCATTTTTCTCAAAGCAACTTTCTTCTGTTATTTCTTTTGCTGGTCGTTCCCACAAGTTAAAAAGCCAAAAAGAAAAGTTACCCCCATATTGTTCCCATTCTGTCGTTCAGGGCCTCTTCAATCGGAGATCAGATAATATCGTGGTCAATCTCAAAAAAACAAAAAAATACAGCAACATTATACAAGAAGGGCCGCAAAAAGAAAAAACCTTTTTAGATAATCTACGTCAATCGAAAAAGTATCATGTCGAAAGACTACACTTGCTAAAACGACAAGCAAAAACTTGACGATAAAGGGACATTTTCAACGTCAAAAAGGTGCGTTTGGATTGCACAGCCAACATTTAAAGAACTAAAATACAATTAAAATATCTTACTGCAAGTGAGAGAAATCAAATAATTAATCAACGCAACAAACTTTATAGGTGCGTACAAAAAGATAAACTAGAATTCATAGATTAGCCGTTCTTTATTGCTTGTCAATTGTGAAATTTCAAAAATTCTAGGAGAATGTCCCCCGATGTTGTTACTTCCAAATCTTCAACGCTTTCTTCTGGGTAAAAAGGATGGACAGCTCGTTTCTTTGAATTTTGCCATCTTTGTTTTTGTCAATATGTTTCATAAGATCCCTCTGCAGCACTTTAACATTAACTGGGTTATCAGTCTGCGTTAAGAAAAATATTATTACAGTTCACGACTTTCCAGTCACATTTCTAGAATTAAAATAGACGCAGCATTCCTTTTCCATGAAGAAGTAACTAGAATTTGGGGTGTAGGGGCATTGAACAGCTAGAATTTTCCTCCAACATGATTTCGCCAGTCGGCAGAAATTTCCCTCCCAAGCAGATTCGCTCTAAACTCAGCTTTTGTCCTGGGTACAACTTTTCTACCCTGGGTGCCAGAGCCTCAGAAAGTCAAAGGATGAAGAACGGGGAAAGGAATTGCGAAGGAGCTCCTTTCCTCTCCCATTCTCCCAGGCTAAAATTTAGCAAAATACTATACTGCTTAGGAAGGACAATTCGACAACGGACAATTCGAGCACTGATTATTGTTTATTGGAAAAAATTGTGTAGGGGAGGTGTCATGCTACTTGCTAAAACTCAAGTGACAGACGTTGGATAAAGAAAGAAACGGTGACCTTTCGTTTCAGATTGCACATCGAAGTAAATAAGTTAGTAAATAGATCAAACAAAATCGGTATCGAAGCAGTTTGTTCTCTTTTTTCATACACAGTTTTAATAAGTAATAGAAAAAACGGTAAAAAATTGGTATCTTTAAAAAAAGGGGGCTTCAGGCCCCATCCCCCTGTGACTTTACCTTGCATTTAACAAATGCATGAATTTTCATCGCATGTTCCGTTAGCTTGAATGCGATGTCAGGAAGGGAAGTTCATCGCAAATATGATAAATCTATTTTAAAATTCCTAAACGGGCTCTTTACGAACTTCAGAGGAGGCGTTCCTGCGCTGCAATTAAATTCTTCTTGATGCCCTGTGAAATCTTCGATTGCCCTGCGAAATTGACTATTATTGAGATTGAGGGGCGTCACACCCCCACAACACCCCAGAATTTTCACCCCTGAATGGCCAACCCAAAAAGAAGAAAGCTCTATTCAGGACTATGATTGAAATTTTCTATGCTGGGATGTGTTTAACAATTCAGAAAACCTTTGTGTGCATGCATACCCTTTAAAGAATGAAAAAGAAAGCCGCTACACTAATCCTGGAAATGGATGGAGGGGGGTGGGGGTGGGGAATAACGGAAGAGTGCTTGACTATAGACAAAATTAAATGTTACCTTTCCTGAGTGTATTGTGAGATCTCTAATCAGGGCTGAAAGTTCATGTTCAGAAATAAATCCGTCTTCGTTCTGTAATTGCAAAAAAAGTTGTCAAAAAAAGATGTAGCAGTTTTCTACCAAGAATTTTTCAACAATATGAGTAAAAGGTTGCTGATAAGCCACTTCAGAGTTCAGATGTATTCGTAAATGAGGTTTATTCTACCTTGCACAGATCCTAGTGATGACTACAGAGGGAAGATGCAACGTCCCGTTTTTCCACCGACGTAAATTCATTTCTTAGGGGTTTATGTAGGTGGTGTCATTGGATGTGAGTTGTTCTCCCTTTGACATAAGTTCTCCTTTTAACTAAGTTCATCTTTGTTACGTGCCCTTAAAAAGATGGATAATTTGAAGGGAGCTTTCATCAAAAAACCTCAAGACCAAGAAAACACGAAACATTTTCTGGCGGTGGGGAAGCGAGTGATAAGGATAACCAGAATAATATGTAGCCAGAGCATATCATACCTGATCATAATGATCGAAAATCACATTAAAGTTTTCTTCTGTGAGGTCTTTCTGTTTCTAAAATATAAAAAAGGCAAGGAAATGTGTTTAAGTACAAAGAAGAAGATAAGTAACTTGTGCATATCAAAAATCCTCGGACCTTTCCATGACAATATCAATCTAAATTTTTTTTAGGTAACTTTCACGTCTACGCTCTTTCAATCAGCTAGGAATGTAAGTTAAATGTATTTCTACCCATATCTAACTTTTATCTAAGAATTGCATAAAATTAATCGAGAAAAGACCACTTCCTTTAGGCTAATTGAAGTGGCCAAATGTTTTAAACAAGTCAATCATACCTGAAATATTTGCGAGAGGTAGTTTTTCTCTACAGGCATTAACCTGAAAAAGAAACAACATCGCTGAAAACCTAACAATGTAATTACGTACATGTGTTTTTCCAGCAACACTGCAAAATGCTGATTTAAGTGTAAGATATTACAAGAAACTCGTTATTACAAATCGTGTAGAAATTTTGCGTTACAAAGACTCTCGAAATTCACTTACTTCTGCAATTCTCGGATTTCTAATTTCCCATCCTTGTTTTTATCGTAAAGTTCAATCTGAAAGATCATTATCAAATAGGGTTATTTAAAAATAAGCAAACAAGGAACACCGCAACGCGCCAAGAACAAACAACAAAAAACGCACGTCGATTAGCTGTGGGTAATATTTCGCCCCAGCATACGGGGCTTCATCAGAGCAAAAGTGCAAAAGTGAGCAAAATTGCTCTAGTTACAAGGTCCAAGAGATTCAATGCACAAGTTACAAGAAATCAATAATATTGCAGAAAAGTCCTCATAAAAACAAGCTTCAATGTTCTATGCTGATATTGACTTGGGATGTTAATTCAAGTGCTGGAAGTGCTTTAGGGTTGCAAATAATAGCTTCGAGAGAATGAAAATACGAGGTTATTTGCTGAAAGATTCTTCTGGCCAAAGCCTGTTTCTGAGCGAAACGTTTACAAACTAAGCTTCAAGAAAATGATGAATCAAATTCACCGTCAGCAATCATTTTTTAAGCATATAATAAAAATGATAAGACCATGACTATGATCTCTCTGCGTTTTAAAAGTCAAATAAACTGAAACCATAGGATTTTCATATCAATGACTCATACCATTCCAAGTCAAGAAACGATGCTAATTGAATACGATGCCTTGCCGAAGGGTCAAACGTAAAAGGCACGTTTGTTAGAATAAAACGGTTAGTTAAAGAGAAAGGCTGGAGTTCAGCTTTAGAAGAAGAATATTAGCTACATTGATCAAAACATGTCAGATTACTTTTCAATATTTTCCTTTTTTCAATAATAGTGCAGCCTTTTATTCATAAGAACAAAAGATTTATCTCTGATACGTGAGCTTGCATAGTACAAGTCAAATGTGAAAATCGTCAAAATAATTGAATTAATACTGGAAACTCACTATTCCTTGACTGAATTCTTCAAGGGCTTTGCTCTTTACCCTTCTACCTTTCTTTTTGCTCAGTAAATCATAACAGAAAGCCTGAAACACATAGAAAAATGTAAAAATTCAGAATAAGGCTCGCGAGAAGGTAATTTGGTGCCGTACAGGACAATCGCTAGCTATTGTGCTCAAGGCGGGTGCTAAGGTCCCATTTGCCGACAAAGTGGGCGAGCCATCCTTTACCTGCCGACAAGTTTGAAAATTCGCAGATGAAGCATCCGTACCTGGCATAAAACCCTTCATTCTTGCAACATAATTCTTTTCGAAGGGGTGACAAACACACAATGTGCCACTAAAGCGACGGCCTTGATGCTGTTACTGTGTTTCATGCAGTGGCGTACCCAAGGGGGGGGAAAAGGGGGGTCCGGATCCCTCCACTTTTCTAAAATATGGTCCTCGAGATTTGTCCAAAAACGATGTAAAACTCATTGGGGGGAGGAGGGGGGGGGTAGTATATTGATGCTTTTGTCAATAACAATTGTAAAATACTTTGCTATTTACCGTAGCTAAAATTAATCAAATAATGGGGGAAAATTTGCAAAAAGGGCGTTTCCCCGCATTTGCGAGTGTTTGAAGGGCGTGGTCAAAAAAATTCCTAGGGGCTACGTCCCAGACCCTCCCATTGCTAACGCCCTGGGTACGCCACTGGTTTCATGCAATTGACTCAGAAAAACCTGAATGATAGTTGACTGATGCTCATTTGGTACGTGACGCAACAAGTTATTTCTAATCTGATTCTAACTATGATTGTCATAATCTGCTCTGTCGTCGCTGGGTTAAGCATATCTATAGCAAGATAAGAGGCACCATCAGAATAAACAAACTTAAAAAAAGACATGGGATTTCTTTCCAGATGGTAAAAAGTGAAAAGATTTTACTATCTGTTTATTGGAATTATTACTTTTTATCACCAACACTGGCAACTATGTCTCTTAAATTTATTAAAAATATAAAACCTAAATGTCTTTATTTTGTATTAACAATAAATCTTTTTCTAGATTCACAAATCAACAGATTTCGATTTATAGTAAAATCGTAATTGTTCTATCCTAAAAAGCTATTTAAAGTTAAAAGCAAGACGCCATCTGAGATTTTCATTTGACAGTCGTAACTAGTTCTATAAAATTAATATCATTATAAACAGGAGTTTCTGTAAAAACAAGTCAAATCTCAATCCTCTAAGAAAAAGTAACAATATTCACACTTACCTATTTATTTACTTTCATATCTCATGCTTGTTCATTTTTTGATCGAAGAGAATTTAATCAAAGAAAAACTTTTGCGTCCACCGAGTATTATAAAGAATCATTAGTTTCAGAGAGCATAACTAATTTGCGATGCCTACCTGAACTTCAGTCGTCTCTAGATAACCATTTCGGTCCGAATCATAGTGCTTCCATATCTGAAAGAAAGATAAAAAACTTTCGTATGAAAGAAACCTCTTCATTACAATTGTTTTCTTTACTTTCTTTTAAGTTGTTAAACATACACTATTAGCTATATTAAAGCTAATTAAAGCCAACTAAATACATTAACTAAAACCGAATTTAGCAACATAACAGTAATAAATGAATAACTGACAAAATACATAAATGTGCAGTAGGTTCCCTGTCATTTTATAAAGCCCATTTGTCCACATGAACCAACCAGAGGTATTTGAAGCTGTTATCTGTTTAATTTTTTAATCAATGAAGATTTTTTTTATCACAAGTAGGTATTTTTCTTACTATTCTTTTAAGATTCTATGACCTCGTCACAGAGTGTCATTATTGTCAGTTCATTATGGGCCAATTCATTACGTTGCTCGAAAAAAGGGAAAAAATTTGTGAAAGATTCTGTTTAGAAAGCAACGTGAACCCATAATTTTTTACTCATTTCTAGGTAGAACTGTACTGCAAAGTGTACACAAAAAAGCATTTAGTAGCATGGCACAGCATTTTGTTGCGCTGTTACAGGATTATCCAGCATTAGAATGACAGAAGAGGAATTTCCTACATAGTCTAAGATTACGACCCACGTAACGGCATTTCCCCTTTGAAACAGCCCATTTCAATTATTCCTTTGTAAATTTAATGGCAAATTGTAAATAGTCAGGATTTTAGATGTTTTGCTCAAGCTTCAGCAAAAATTGTTATTTTGTTTGTAAACAACAACAAATGCAAAAAAGGTTTAAAGAAATTACAAAACAATATCATACACTCTTTACAAGAAATAAGAACACATTGTATGAGAACACCGGGGCTCGATTTGCCAAGAACTGAAGAACAACTTAAGAATATGCCCAGCCTTTGAACGGATAATTTGGACGAAAAGTCTTTTGAAAAATATCTTATGATAACAAACAGTGGGGACTTTATTCGGTTGTCAACCCTGTACTAAAAATGTCATGCAAAACTGTTATTCAGTGGTCTTTGAAACAATTCATGATGTATAAATGGAGAGAAACCAATGTTAAAATTAGAACAACATCAAGTACACCTGAGCTTCAAATTATCCAAAAAATGAGAACATCGTGCCTCGGCATAAATCTGGTTCTCGAAAAAAAGTGTGTACACACTCTAACTATGTTTCAGGGATATACCCATTTTGATGCTCACCTGCATGAAGTCTACACTGGTGAGCTCTGAGCATTGAATCCTGAACTGCATCAGAAAATTATCTTCGGTGGGCAAGATCTTGGCAAGCTACAACAATCAAAGAAATTGAAACGTTATGTTCATTGGTAGAACAACATGAATACAGTAGCGTCAGAAGGCTATGCTTAGATGATACTGCACTATGGTAAATTGTTAAGGTATAAACCAAAAATAAAAAGCCATTGACAGCATAACAACTTTAGCTAATTATAATTTCAAATTTAATGAAAATCCCATTCTAAATTAAGTGCGATACAGCGAGACAGTATACAATTCAGGGGAGAACCCTTCTTGACCCAATGGCTACAATGGTTTCTTATGAATCCCGCATGACAATACCGACAGGTAATGTTAAATTATTGCGGCGGAGCACAAGCCCCCGCGCCTCCACATAGTACACCTCGCAAAATTATTAAATAGTGCCCAGGGTACCAGAGCAAAATTCGTGCTCGAAGTGTGCATAAGAATATTTCACTATCAGCTAGACTCTCTTTTGCGTCTCCGTTTCCCTTTGTAATTTCTGTGCCCAAGGTGTGTCTCTGGTACCCAGAGCTGTTGAATGGGAAAGTGATAAAAGTTTGCTCGATTTTTTAAACTTGAAAACTGTATCAAGACCGACCCATGAATTCTAACTTTCCACGCAGCTGTTTGCTTTTCGTTTGATGGAAGATCATAGTACGAAAATTTTCTCTGTATTTTTTCAAATTATTTTAACACGCAAATAGACAACACTATTGCAGCATTTCATTTTTCTAGTTCATGTTCAAGTTCAAGTCCATTTTTCTAGTTCATGTTCTCCCAGTTGTTTTCTTCCATTTCGCCAGCACTTGTTATCAGTTGCTATTGTTGCTACTTTTAACTGTAACTAGCAAAGAGTAGCCAGTTAATGGAGACTTCACTTTCGGAGCGCGTAGGGTATTCAACTGTGATGTGGTGTTTGCTTTCACTTTACTCAATTTTGATCTAAGCAAAACAGCACCATTGCTTAAGGAAAGTGTTATGCTTACGAGTAGTTAGATTTTAAAAATATGCGTCTTACCTCGGCTAGCTCTATTTTTCTATCTTTGTTTTTGTCATATCTGGAGAACAATTCTTCTTTAAACTCTTGCAAGGCCGAAATATCAGATGCCTGGACAAAATTCATAGGAAAACATGAGAATGTCTTGGTTTTAACAGAAGATTCATTGGATTAAAAGCTATAACCACTTTTGAAAAGAATGGGCCACTACAACGTCAAGGCTATCGTTGTTTTAGGCCTACTCCGACATAAGTTTCAAAGCACGTCCTTATACCATTCTCGTTAAGAAGTCGTCAACATATTTGGATTGATTAACTTCAGTGTGAGTTCAGCTCAGTTTCGTTCAGTTCTTTTAATTTCAGACTCATTTTGAAAATTCACAACATATATGTTTCAATATGAAATACATTAAGCCTCTAGAATTTAATTTGAAAAGAATATAAACAGCAGATATAGTTACACGCTATATTTGATTTCTAATTTGAAAGAAAGCAGATAAATGATAAGAAAAATGTATGAGGGAAATTTCTTGAAGGAGAAACTCTCTTATAGATAGATTAATCGAGGAGAGGGCATCCCTATGTTAAAACATATAATTTTGCAATCAATATGAGTTCAAAAGATGCGTTTAAATGATGTAAGTGGAAAAAAGCATTTCCAGTAGAAAAAAAATGTGTTCAATTCCGGCATTTGCAACTCGCTCAAAATATAGAAACAATGAAATGAAAAACCAGTTCCAAAAGGACAACTCTCCGTTGCGTCTGGGGGAGACAACTGCCTTTGGCAATGTTAAATAAAAGTTATAGACTCCAAGGTAGACGAAAAATACACAGAGAAGTTCTATCTACACATGTCACAATTATTAACCTCATTTCACATTTCACAAGTGTCTTGTTTTTGGAGTATACGTTGTCCTCACCTGTAAATTTTTCGCTGACATCAAATCTTCTAGAAAACGGTCAACTTCAGAGCCTTCGATGAAACCGTTCTCTAAAACACGAAAAAAACTTTCAAGATAAGAGAAATTGAAACAACATATTATTCATTATGATATTCTATGGTATTTTCATTTTTCTACTTTTGCATGCCACAAAAACAATAATTTATCAAGTTGGATATTTTTTGTTGCAGGCAGGAAAACGTGCATGCTTGAAGCCCCCACAGACCTTTAATTTTGCTGCAAGACAAGACGATTGCAAAGATTAGATTCTTTAAGAAAGTCTTATAGTATACTGAGTAATCTGCAACATTAGTTAGAACAATCTTGATACATCGCTGAAATTGTGAAAACAACCTAATAACAAGTTTTTGCAAGAAATCCTTTGCATATCAGCTAATCTATGACATCAAGATTAAATTATCTCGATGATATTAGCAGATCTATTACTCACCATCCGCGTCATACTTCCTGAATGTCTTCAAAAAATCTTCAGATGTTATGTGAGTCTTTCCCTGCCAGTTTGACACAAAGGAATCTAAACCTTTGATGCTTGCCATCTCTAACAGTCCTAAAGCTTTGTGGCAATGACCTGTATTGCAGTCGAATGTGTCTGGCATAAAAACATGCGTCAAACAACATATATCTTCTGTATTATTCATAAGCAATGGGTAGGTCGACAAAGTGAATAGAGGCCAAATCAGGGGGCTGAATACTCACTTTACAAAGGATTTTCGAGATGGCTGGTTATCCAATTCAAAAAAACAAATGCATGATGTTTAATTAAAACAGTAACTTTAAGCAAAATCGTTGTTTACGCTATAGAGCGAGCAGGTAAGAAGCTAAGATTGTTTCTGAATAGCTAGAAAAAACTTAACAAGATAAATAGTTGTAAATATTATTGAGTTGTGTCTTCAAAGTTTATCTGCAATTTGCTTAAGTTGACAGGGTCATTTGAATTCCTCTCTATCCTTCTTAAAATTGGTGTTGGGGTCATACTCTGTAACCCGGGATGACACAAATCACTGATTTTTAAAACATTCTCTAAAACTTTGCACTGGATTAAACATTTAACAGGGGCGCCGGAGCCCTGGATCAAATCTCTCTGTTTTTCGTAGGAAAAAATCGAAAATCTCCAGGTTCTGAAAATTTTTGGCTGACAGGTTTAAGATGTGTAATCAGTATCATTATGTTTAGACAAGCCATCTGTTTCTGGGTCTTATTCAAGTGTCATAAATTTTCATATTTAGAATCATGTTTTAAACATTTTACTCCAGTGTCATAAATTTTCTTCTGGTAAGCACATACCATTAATTTTTCCCAACGGTGAATCTTCATCGAAGATATTTCTTGCTATGTGCTCTGTGTATCATTCTTTATCAAAAAGACTTAGCTACCATGAAAGCTGTACCATTTTTGGCAAGAGCCAATGATTCGGAAAAGAGACGTTTGTGCCCTATTCATTCATTTTGCCCCCTCCCTGTTCCAACTTGCGTCTGGCGGCCATGTATAATTAAAAACCCCGTGCCCATAACTAATAATTTCCCCCAACTGTCTTTCCGTCGCCCTGGCGACTTTAGATCAATAATGTGACGCAGTGCGCTCTACTTACAGTTCGACATTGAAAAACCTTTTTCTTGCAAGGAAAATACTTTTCTTCTGTTTATCAACAATTTCTTTCTCTGTAATCTAAAAATAATTTCAATCTCATAATGTATTTGATAAAATGGCTACAAAAATATTGACGATTCTTTCTTATATTTCAAATTAATCTTAGATCGTTACAGACTTAATGATATTCTTCAATCTATTTAAGACATTTTCAACACAAGTTTTAAAAATAACAACAACTAGACTATGGATATCATTTCATCTATGATTCTGAGAATTGGTTGAGGCGCTCTCTTAAAAGAAATACAGATTTGCTTACCCCCTGATCAAGTTAGATCTTTAACTATACACGACTTGCAATTATGCTTTTGAAAATACAGGGACTGAAATTCATTTCAATTGCTAGTTATGGTTAAAAGTGCATTCATGGTGCCGGGAACTTCAAGCAGGTAGCACCAATGTGAAACTGTTTGCTTACAAATTTAAGAAAAATACCATACCTTTTCCAACTACATTATTCAAACTCATTCACGGTGTTTGAATCTATTTAGACAAGCCTTGTTATATTAACAATGAATATACAAGTGACCTACACAATCGGCAAGGAATGGAGCGTTTACAAAAGTACCTTTTAAAAAAACAGGGGCGAAAAAAAGTGGCTAATTTTTGATGGTCGTGGAAGGATAGAAAACTCCAACTTAACCTATACCAAAACGGCGAGGGTATACCAAAACGAACCTAAATTAGCTGAGTCATGATTTTCGTGCCTCAATGCTATTAGTTGACCTGGAACTGGTCACATGAGCTCATCTCTTACTGGTTAACAAAAAAGTTTCCATCAATAGCAAGATGTCAACAACGGTTGCCGATATCACACTAAAGTGCAGTAATCGCGCCGAAACCAAATAACCCTCTATAGAAACGCCTATTTACCATGACTCAATGATTTTAAAAAACCGCTCAAATAGCTTCAAAATGTTGTTTGCCAAGCTAAGTTTAACCCGTAAAGAAAGGATTCAACATAGCATTTCCAATCAAATAAACGTTTTTGACATATACAATCGTGAAAAAATTAAGCTTTTATGTTACGTTGGTGTCTGTAAAATGTCAAGAAAATCTAAAAAGTTTTATGAAAATAAAACCTTTGAAAATAGGTTAAGCATTAGATCATGTTACAGAATATCAGACTGAATTTCACAAAATTTAACAAAACCTGATGCATTGCATTGTAGAAACAAAAGTTGGTACTGAGGTAGACCATTCTGACCATTTTCACTTTGAAATTAACGCAATTGTTACCTTGTGAAGCATTGGTGTGTCGCTTTAGTAAAAAAATGTGAAAGAAAAAAAAAGAAGCCAAAAATTTGTTCATTCCAATAACATCAGTAAAAACATCACAGTCGCAGCTACTGGTCTGGACAGAAAGACAGTGCCATTATGTCAGGAAGTACTACTTGCGGGTGAATTCGAACTAAACAATGTGAAATGTATGTGAAAACAAGTCTAAGAATAATAGTACATGAATTTGAATACAGGTAGGGTTATAGCTAAATACAACTGCACCAAAGTTTTAATTGAATTGTCTGTTTTCACTACAAGTGCCCCAATTCGTACATTTTTCTACACTGGATACCAGAATCTAACAGCATAAGCTTCATAACAAACATTCTTCCGTAAATCCTTCCCTATATTTGTTTCGATGATATTCTTTGAAATAATGTTTTCTTCTCAGAGAACTTTAGATATCACTAACTGCTACGATATCACCTTCAGGATTTCTTGCAGATTAGAGACTTGTGTTGTTATTGCGTATCCAAGTTAGCAAAATATTTTTTGAAAGGAGGTCACCAGTCATTAATATTTTATTTGGTTTCACAGGTTAAAGTGACAGAAATTGGACTTTATGAGTGGCCATGCTAGCAGAGTGAATTTTACCAAGCTTTTGTTAAGAGAGCTTTTTATACAAAAAGAATTTTGAACTAGATTTTATCTCCTAATTTTGTCATGTCCAATTAGGCAGGCCAGTCACCTTACACATCCCATTATTTACGCAGTGGCATGGCTATCAATTGTTGCTGATTGGGCGAATTTTAAATTTTGCAACAATTATTTTCAATAAGAAAGTGATATTGTCATGGAATCGCTTTCGGATGATATTTTGTATCTATAGTATCATAAAAACATAGGAAATTATCAAAAGGACACCCATGAATAGTAAGGCTCCTGGAATAATAAATTGCTGGTATAACCTACCTGCCTACACAAAAATAATCAAAGACGAGTTTCTTATGAAAAAAATTATATTTCATTCTTGAATCTCAAGAGATATGTTCTTAGCCATTGATTTGATTTCCTACTTCAAACAAAATATAGAGCAAATTTTTCATCTTATATAAAACTCTCCAGGCAAATGTTAACTTGTTTTATTCTTCTAAAATTGATGGCAAACTTTCAGTTAGAATCTTTACTTTTGTTCAAACTCACAACATCTTTATTTTTCTTTGCTAAAGCAAAGAAACTTCCTGTGTACCAACTATTTTTAACAAAGATTGTAATTAGCAGCCATTATTTCACTGTGGCATCATTGTGTTTTTCAGTAATCACTATCAAAGCACATCTTACAGACACATCAATCAATTTTCTGTCTTTGTTTTACATTAACCAAATAGTTCTGTAGGCATTTTTAGAAGGGCCCCTGGAGGTGGTGACCCTTTCTCTCATGCTACAAAAGATTTCTCAATCTGCATCTTTTGGTAAACAATTTTCCATTTTTAATACAATAGCATTCAAAATTTTGTAGGGTTTTTGCAAGAAAAGGCGCTCTACCTTAGAACAAGAACAATTTATTTAACTTCAGCCTTATTTATAAAGGTAGAATCAGAAAAAGCTGCTACACTTTCAACTATTAGACAAAATATTCTGAAATTTAATTATATCAAACAATTAGTCCAAACAAAAATATTTCCCTTGTCTACTTTTACATATGAGATGTTTAAGGATTAAGGCTTGGAAATTTTAGGAACAGAGGAGGGATAACAACCACACTCTAAGAAATAGCACTGTGAAAGTTATCTGAAAGTAAGGAGTACATTTTCATAGTCATCTTTAAATTCTTGCTAAGTATTTTACTAAAATTTGCTGTTAGCTTCTTAAGCGATCTGTTAATACAGTTGTTAGAGACCAAGATGAACTGTGTTACATTGTTTAGGTGCTAAGGATCGAATTTTCCTAACAAATTATTGGGGGCTAAAGAAAAAAATTTTCTTCCAATAATTTGGTGTATTTAGGAGCTGTAGCAGTTTTGGGTATTAACATTATTATTTTGTCATTTATTTCACATCACTGGACCATCAAGGTTTGGTACCAAAAATGAAGTAACATTGGCGTGGGCTGCTTAGTTACTCAAGTATTTTGAAGCTATTTAATACAGATAAGAGTATCTATTGTGAATTTAGTTATCATTTATGGGGCTTCTCAAATTGTCAATAACTGATCAACATAACAGTGAAATAACTAGCTTTTGATCAATCAGGACAATTTTTTTTCTTTAAAATGGATGGTTGTTATGCAAAGCTACAAAACGACTACTTAAAAATCCCAAAAAGCATTCCAAATACCTTTTTTTTCGAATTGGATTCAAACTTTCACCAAACAAGTCTTCTCAATTCAAATTCGTTGGTAATTTTAGCTTTGGGCCACTTTATTTTCAGTACTCTACTACGATACTTGCCTTCCGGTACAACTAGTTATTTCTACTGAAATTTTTAACAAAAATATTAAATTTTAACCCTTAAACTTTTTGAAGTTTCAAAATGCTTTTACACATTGAATCATTGTAAATTTGCTCGCGGTACAGTCTAGTCTATACCCTTGTTGAATTTCGAAAAAGTCTGGTTTACTCTAATTTTGTAACAATATTTTGGGGACTTTTATTATGCTCCACAAATCAGGGGACAGCAGAAGATTTGAGCAGCGTTGGTAGCGCTCGGGGTCAAATAGGGAAGTCGGTCTCCATTTTTCTGGGTATTTACCTAACAAAAAGAAACTTTTTACAAATTTTGCATTCTTTACATTGCGATATTAAAATTTATGTACGTACTTTGCTGTTTTTTGCTTACCAAAACATTTCTGTTCCAGTATGGCAAACACATGATTTGCCTAACTTGCCTCACGCAAGATCTTGATTTAAGATTGCGATTCACCGCAGATTTGCTATTCTTTGTTGAAGTCACCTCGAGCTTCCTCCCTGAGATTTCATTTTGCATCGCAATCCCAAAAGTAATTAATTAACATCCGATTCAAGAATGATTTCCATTTCAAGTTTCAGTATTTGCAAATTATATCTCACGAATGCGAGAAATTCCGCGAAACCTTTCGGCCAATTCAACCAACTGAATACGAGGTTCAATTTTCCCGCCAATATTTCAGGAACGTTTTTGGCCCGTACGTTTCAGGAACAACTGTTAAATGTAGATATTGTATTTGAAAGAAAAACAGAAAGTAAAAGACGACTCTTCACCAGTTCAAATCATGAACAATAATGAGAATTTTAATCATAAGCAATTGTGTAGATTTGAAATTATTTCAGGCATACTTCGAAAACTGTAATCCGAACTAAATTTTGGGTTTAATTGTCTTATCACTTCCATTACTTCCCTTGAGATTTTAAGTTTGTGCTCTTTGATTCTCAAATCAATGCTGCAAAAATTGTAGTTACTTGACACAAAATGACACTTTCTATTGGACTTAATTCGCTCTAAAAAAAAGTACTGAGGATGAAATTGTGAATATGTCCATGTACTCTCAATTATGGTATTAAAACCTGCTAAAGGCATGAAATTACCTAACTTTAGTATTTTATTCTACAGAAAATGAATTTTTCGATTTTGCTACTGTGAAGACTTTAAAAAAACAAGGAAAGACATTTGACACCATCTTTATAACAGACTGTATAAGAACACAGACTCTATTTTCCCAAAAACTGTAAGAACATCATAAGTGCCCAGCCTCAGATAAAACATGAGAAGAAAAAACAAATGTGAAAGTTATCTCTCATATTGAAAGGAGAGCAGATTTTATAAGCAAAAAAATGGTGCTACTAGAAATGATTGCAAAACTGTATTCAGTGGTCGCAGAAAGCTCTACAGTATGTACAAGTGTAAAAAGTCTGTTGAAATAAGATTACTATGACCAGAAACTGCTAATAAAATTTTTTTAGTAAAAATTAACTACCTCTTGTAAAAAGTGTAATTACCAAAAGACAGCCAAGGGTCAATTTATGAAGCTATTTGGTTCTATTTAAGATGAAAATGTTATGGGGTCGTAGCAGCATACTTGGGAGCAGTAAATGTGGCCACAACCAGTATTTATAACCCCTAGCTTATCTCACACCCTAAAATATAATGTATAATAATGAATAGCTAAACACAAGCACAAGGCTTCACTGTAACTAGAAGAATCATACCCCTAGAAATTATTAAAACCTTTGTTCCAATCAACAACCTCTTTATTTCTATCATTCTACCATTTCTACAATATTCCATATTACCAGTTAAGCAATTAAATTACTTGAAAAGAAAAGCAAAAAACCTTTATACCATATATATATCTACATAAACTTAGGAAAATGGTTCCAGGTCTGACCCAAAGAACAGGCAATGAAGTATCATTGAAGTTGTGTGATAAAAAGTAAGCAAGATCATAAAGGAATAAAGTTTACATTGCTGCAAATACTTAAATAAAATATAGCAAATTACTTTTGAAATTACAGTAAATAACTAATTGCCAACTTTCTTATGATGCTGAAAATCCATCACTAAAGGTAACACATTTTTAGCTGCCTCTCTCTAAAAATATAACAGGAATGTCAGATTCTCATCCCATTTGTTCCATGATACCAAAAACACTGAGCCAGAAGTACACATTTTCTTGACATCTCCCCTGTACAACATCTGATTGCAGCAAAATGCTATTCTTTCAAGTCAATGGAATCTCAACTGCTAAATTTTTCAACGACAATGGCTACATTGATAACAACACTTATCTTCCTTAATCTTTCCAACCTTAGATAAAAGTCATGCTCAAGAATCCCCTCCTATTGGACATTAGCCAGTTTCTTCACTCCCCACTGTGCTTTACTGATACAAAATGGAAACCTGGCTAATTTATTATTATTCCATCATGGCTAGTTCATTATTATTATCACCATGCTCCTCTGCCTTCAGGTTAAGGTAGTTTTCGACACAATATTTGCTCCTACTCCCCCCTTAAAAGCCAAAATATTAAATGTAACTGATTAAACTGCATCATAATAAATACAATGTGGTAATTCCAAACCTTAAAAAAATTGGCCAATGTATAAATAATTGTTTCCCTGCAATTTTTTTGCTAAAGTGTACCTTTCAAATGCTACATTTTACCATGGCATCCAAGGTAAAAAAATATGACTTACCTTTCAAATGCTACATTTTACCATGGCATCCAAGGTAACAAAATCTGACTTACATCATCAGGAAGTGCAAATCCAAAGGTACCGAAACTTCTCTTGGATTTTTCATATTCCTTTTGCCATTAAAAATATACCCTGCCAAAATTGGCAAACAATTTTTCCATCCACCACAGTTGTATTTGGCTAAAGTAGATGGACCAGAGCAAATACAAAAATTTCAAGATACACTGCTTACCCAACATTTGTTCTGGCAGTGTACGATTTTTGAGCCATTCCATTGGTTTCTTGGGTACAAACTAGCATTTTCATACCTGTATATGGAGGAATTGTGGGTCCTGAGAAAAAAGGATTTTACTGGTTGCACTTTGAAGATACACCTTGATCTTGTAAACCACTGTGTCAACAGGATCAAGTCGTTTAGGCTTAAAGGCTCTTGTGCAATCAGCATGCTTTGCACGAGTTATCTTGATAAATTGACTGTGTTTTGTATTTTCATACAGTACAATATTAGGTCGGTTCTTTGAATTATAGTTGGAAAGCGTGCCAGTTACACAAGAGCCTTTAAAGATCAATAAGCCTTTTTACCCTAAATATATGGACATGCAATCCTATTGCAACTAGTTATCGTAAATGAGACGAGACAATAACTGCAAAGCAAAGATTATCAGATTAACACACCAAGCCATTTTTAGACCTCAACAAAAAAAATTGAAAAAGAAGTTATGGAAACATTTTTTTGTATTGGATTCATTCCACTCCAAAATTCAGGATGCGAATAAATAGAAAAAAATGCCTCTTTCCAGAAAATGTTTACCATAACCTTAAGACAAAGCCTGAAACATTTGTAAATATTTCTCTATTTGCTCTCCCTACATCTTCAGTGACTCATGCCCGTCATTCCTTGAAATGCGCGACTCTCTTTCCATCAATCATCAACACACACCAATGAAACATTTTGCTGTAGGAACAAGAATAACCCTCAACTGCGTCCCTTTTAACTACATACACAACAATATCTGAATTAGGCTTGTTATTTATATATTTTGAATTGATGAAGTTTTCACTATTCATGGAAAATCATTTTCCAAATATTTTACAACAATTCTTTGCCTGGCAATGGATAACCAACAGAACAGAGGGCTGTTTTCCTATACTATATGCAGTAAAAGGAATTGCTCAACACCAGACAATTTTTACCTGTCCCATAAGGCATCTCTACCATAGAACTGGAAAATGCACTTTGTCTGCAACTGACAACTTTAAGACTTACCTAATGAATCTACTTTTTACTTGAAGACCACACCTGCTAACAGAAATCTGAGAAAAATTAGTTTCCTGATTGTTGACAATGCTGGTACCTTTTCAATAGAACAATATCCCTTTTTTGCACAAATTTTCATTGTTGGGAACATTGCTAAAAACATCTCACGAAGAATAGAACCAAACCTTGTTTAATACAAAATGACATTTGTTGCCCAAAATTCTTTAGCTTAATTCAATTTCAAATATCTGAAAAATCTTGCATCATATTCTTCATTGCATACGTATTTTTATCCTTACAGATTAAATGGCAGTGAAACGATTATAGCTACTGATTAAGAATTGGATATGTTCCAATGAACTAATATTCTGAAAACCGAAAAAAGAAAATTATACACATACTATTTGCTTACTAGAACTTTGTCTTTAGCAAATCAAAAAGCTTCTTCTCTATGGAAATATTAAATATTTCAAGTGACATTTAACATGGACCTCAAGTTAAAAAAGGCTCCTTTAAAATATGCACAAGAAGGACACAGACAAATAAAAGGAAGGATCACCAAAATATTTTGAAGTAGTTATCTCAGGTCATTATTTATGCCAAGGCATTTCAAAGTCTATAAAAATCTTGTGCAGGTTGGTGGCAATTACCTGAGTGGGTCTAGCCTTGCACAGACACAATGGGCTGATCTTAGTGAATTGCTGAAATGAATCAGTTTCAGGTCAACATGCAAAATATAAAAATTACAATCTTTTAGTAAAATGGAAGTTTTTAAGGTGAATAATGTTCTTTCCAATTCGGGAAACTGATTTATTTCACATGCAGCCAATATTAATCATAACAGCAATTCACCAAACTAATAAACTGAATAAAATCTACCACCTTTTATGATGCAAAAAATCCAATGTGTGATACATAAGGAACACATTCAATTGAAATTGCCAACCTTTGTGTTTTGTGGGAAAAAAAGAAACTGTCCATTAGATCCTAGTGCTAGCATTTTAGGGGAGAATATTGCAATGGAACAAGTAACTACTTTGTGCCACATGTAATGCACAAGAAAAGAGTGTGTTTTAAGGTTGTAAACACATTTTGACAGTTCAAAACTGTTTTGTTATTGCAGGACACAGTTCAAAATTGCAGAGGCACACTCATTTCCTTGGGCTTTACATTACATTTTCATTAGGATGTACATGGTAATCAACTTATTTTGACATCATTCATTTCACATGGTCACCTACCATGATAAAAAGTTATAAAAACAGATCCACTTCAAAGATCTTCAAAAATCAGGAAACATCATACCTAAGTAATATATTAAACAAATAATATTTGCAATTGAAAATGCTTTTACATGCATAAACAACATGGGAGTTCTTGGTAAAATCACAATGATCATGTTTTGAGCTTATGTAATGATGAATGGAAACCAAAATCTTTTAAAAGATCTATCAGCATCCTACTATTTATTCTCTTGCTAAAACCCTGGTTCAAAATAAACCCTTCATCAGTAGTTTATGACTCTTACTCAATCTTTAAAATAGCCAGCTTTTTAACAATATAAATATATCTATATGGGCTACAAAATAGGCTGATGATTTCTCATTGAAAGGATGAAACGTGTTCTGGAAAAATTAAAAATTGTATTTTTTCATTGTTTTTCTTTAACATTTTTCTTTATAACACTACTGCTTTTTGTGAGACAAAAGTTTAGTTATATCTATATGTATATATTATTGTCTTACAAAGAGGCAATTGTTTTTTATTTATATCAAAAGATGTATAATGTTTGCTCACAAGATCTGAATTGCATATGCCATACAAAAATAGTGGTCCCATAATTTTTCCAACCTAAGTATATGTGTATAATTAAGAATTACTGCTTTCCCTTCCAAAATATTCAAAATAAATTGCCTTTTCTAAGGCAAACAAGGTTTACGAGGCTATTGAGATTTGTAATATTTAACAAGTTCCTTGTCCATTAAATACAAAAACTGGTTTTTGATAGGCAATTTTGTGCTAAAAACAAAATTTGGCTATGATAACATATATATATTAACAAGCAAATTTTCACCAAGAAGTACCATATATCTTTATGCATTTAAAAATGTGACAAAAACAGTTCTTGCTCCATTACAATAAAAAGTTGGGGTACTAAGTTTTCTTACCAGTTATAGGATGCACAGAGAACATATGGCTGCAATGCTCTTTGTACTGAACAGAATCACCTGAAAAGTAAAAGAAAGTTTCCAAGTACAAATTTTTAATTAACCAGTTACGATATATTTACAAAATATGACAGAATCCATTTGTCTCTTGACGGATAGTTCTATGAGAAGTTCTTTCACAGTGTCCATCTTTACTACCAGCATAAGGAACTTCCTGAACTTGTGCAAGTCCTTCAGTTTTTAAGAAATCAGTATTGGCCTAAGAACACTCTGTTCAGGCCAAGGGAGAAACTGATATTTACTGTTAAATTACCAATGTTCTTCCTATCATTATAGTCTGTTCTTGCTATAAGACCACAGGGCAAAGCTAGACTTTATACATAAACCACTTCCTCATGGTTACCTTAAAGTGGGCAAACTTACTTATGCAATCATCAAGCTTATGATTACCTAGAGTTAGTTTTGCCTTGTATACAACAAACACAAAATCTAAATCATTTAACTCTAGTTCTTCCTGTTGGTTGAGATTGTCTTGCATACTCAAAATAACACCTTTTCAGTTAATAGCTGTTAAAATACAACCTTCAAGGGTCATTGCAGTAAATATTTAGTGCTTTTTGGGCTTCATCCAAATTTTTGGCAGTAAAGATTATGAAGTCATCACTGAATCTGCATGTGAACTGCAATGGTGACAAAATGCAATTGAGACATTTTCTTCCTGCACATGGACACAAATCCCTCCTTTGTTTTTGGCAGCCATTTTGGGAATGGAATGATCCTGACTGTGTTTAACAGCAGAAACTGAGCTTGTGGAGCAGCTTCCTTTAGTTGTATCTATTGCATCTGAAGCATCGGCCTGGGTGTCTCCTGCTTTATTTGTGAATGGCACAACCCCTTTAAGCTTGATCCCTGGGGCACTTGCAACCGCTTTTATAACTGTTGACAACATGCTTTGATTCTCAATCACACCCTTTAAATATTCCATTTCCTCAAAATATTTTGTGACCTTCACTTTTAAGTCACTGTTCTCAGCTAACAAACCAGCATTCTGTTTTCTTAAGTTATTGACCTCTGATTCCAAATTACTGACATATCTCTTCTTTCGCTGTCTGTTGAGCCTTGCCATGATGGCATTTCTATTCGAGCATTTTTCACTTGTTGCATCGTCTATGTCTTCAGGAATTTTACTTTCCTTGATTTTCCGCTTGTGCTCCAGGAACTTAGGAGGCTCTCTGAGACTTTTCAAATCCTTTGAAATTTCAGCCTTGCGGCTGGAAGACATCAAACATCCCTCGTTTTGCTCGTTGTTACCATCCAAGGCTATCAAGTCGTTCAACCACTTGCTAGACGTATAACAGTGATCTTCATTAATAGCCCCTTTTACCTTATCCTCACCTGCTTCCTCCCAAGAGCTCCCACTGCCATCAAGTCCCAAGACCGTTCCAAAATCTGCATTCTCTTTACTGAATGCGTCAAGGGTATCAGGGCATAATTCGTCGTTAACAAGTCGTCCAAATTCGCCTCCATTGTTTAGGCCATCATAGTAAAATCGAAATAAATCTTCCTCGATATTATCAACCCCACTATCAGAACTGTAGCTTGGTGACACGCCGAATCCAAATTCTTTTTGTTCAGAGGGAGCGTACTTCTCGAAATCACCTCTCAAATCCGCCATTTCAACATCTAAAGCGCCAAAATCGAACTCCTTGTTGCAAATGTCTCTATCCATGCTCATTTTCTCCCGATAAGAAATAATGCAATGCTGAAAATGGACGTATATATCCCTCCAAAGAAGGAACCGACGTTTGCTAGTATTTGTACGAAGAAACCTCTCGTAGTCTGTCAAATTAGTAAAGGTTATTCCACTTTTGTAGATCTGAACGAAGAGATTACACCACAACCTGGAAATAACGAACGTACCAGCAACGTTTCTGCAAATGCATTTTGGGAAATAATGTCAGTTGCATCTTGGGATTGGCCACAGGGGAAAAGAAGGTGTTTTGTAAGAGGACATTGTAAATCAAAGAAAGTTTGGGGCAGTGGAAGGGGCAAATTTTCAAAATTTTTCAAAGCTAAATATGAATTGTTTGCTGGCCCAGCTGGAAACTTTCCCATCAATGCCCTTTCTCGACCTCCCTTCATCTCGAACAGGAGTTCCGATCCGTTAGACCTCCCCTGTGATGTGACCTCGTATAAATTTGATTCTTTATTTATGAATCAAAGTCAAGACCAGCTAACTGGAAAGGCTGCAAAATTTATAAGATAACCATTCAGATACATAAAAACGGGAACTCCTGTAAACGGAAATATTTCAACTTTCTGGTGTTTGGGCCTAATAAGAATAATTTATATTAACCATTGCGTAGTTATTGATTCTTTCTAAATTTGTTTGCATGCTGTTGCTTGTGAAACATGGTTCGTATCAGTACCATGAATTATTGTTGAAAATCTTTTTCCAAGAATAGCCTAGGGTAAACAACTTTATATAGGCTGTATACAATTTAATTTGTAATTTTGCCATGGTGATGATCATGATCTATGTTTTCTCAAGTTCCTATCTGCACTTGGTGAGCAAAAGTATTGCACTACCCCTACAGAATGGCCGTACCGCCGCGAACTTTTAGTAGCAAACCGCTTAATAAAGTCACATAAAAGTTTTAAGATGACCGCAAGAGTGGAAAATGAGGGAAAATTTATCAAGATGTTCTATTGAAAATGAAAAATGCAAATATATCCTTTGTTTCTTCTTATTTTTAAACAATATCGACCACCGCGAAAGCATGAAAACTGAGCAATGATGATAGGAGTACCTGTAATATATTTGCAACAAAAACGGTTTTTCTTTGCACAAACCTGTAAGATTTCATTAAGGAGAACTTGGAAATACTCACTTTTTGCTTGGTTGCCCAAAGATGTCAATTTTTCTGGCTGTTATTAAAGTATTTCTCAAAAATTTTGGCTGCACATTTTTGGTACTGCAAAAGGCCTAATTTCGGATGCCATTTCGTTAGGTATTGCAACAGAATACAATCGATAAATCATGTCTGTAGTTTTTAGATCCATCTCTTCCAGCAAATTGCGATGTTGTTTAGGGAGCAAATATTGCAGCAATATGTTCAAAACAGCATTTCATCTTCTCGTTGAATGAGAATACCAAAATTTCTGCGATATACAGTCGTGAACAGTGACCCGCAAGTGCCCAAAAAGGCCTCATTAAAAAACGGTCGTATAAGTGTCGCTTTCCGCAAAATTCAAGGCCGTTAAAGATGATCTAGAATCTCAGACATCTAAATGTGATCTTGCGAATGTTTTTTTAAAATAATCGTGTGACGTTGAAAGTAACCTGCTGCAAAAGTTTTTGACTGAATTTAATAAGTTTTATAAGGGCTTCAAAGTTTCGAGACTGTCCAATTAAAAATTTACTTTATTTGATATTTAAGAAAGAAATTTTTCTCAAAGTTAGAATAAAAAATGTTGCAAATGGTCAAAAGTTTCGTTTGAGTGAGTTTAATCATGGGATGACGCCTAATGGCTTAAGAAATGGTTTGAATTCAAAAGGGCTTGTTGTTCACAACGCTGACGCCATTATTCACTTGTCGAAGTGGTGCAATGCTTTTGCTCACCGAGTGTATTCCGAACAAGATTCTCGATCACCATTGGATGTTTCTCTCGTTATAAAACCAAAGTTGATCAATTCGATTCAACAACATTGGTGCCCTGTGTGAATCTTGAAGACACCAAGTGTGCGATTACAAACAACTAAAGAAATTTTGCTGGGAAACAATACTCAAATTTTGAATTAGAGACGTTGTCATTATGGTTGGTGGGGCCATAATCATCCTAGTAAGCGCGTGGAAAAATATCAAGATAACCACTACAGTTTTCTAACAATGAGGCAAATTATTCGTGCCTTTGAACTTTTTCTATTACCAGCCATTTGTAGTCGACGCATTATTTGTTTTTTTTTATTAAACCTTGCTTCTTGAATAGCTTGGAAAGATGTTCCGAAACGCCTGACGTCGCATTAAATTTCTTACTGCCAATAAGCAAATTATCTACTTTGGTTTCAATAGCTTCAATTGCTGTTAATGATGATTAATATTTAACTAGATATTACAAGATATCGGAGCAACCGTAACTGCAAAATGAATATAAAGAGACAACGCAACATGTGCTGGTGAGAGTTACTATGACAAATGCATGAATTCGACAATTCAAAAGGCAGGTTTCTTTACATCGAAAGACAGTGGTTCATGTAAAAACGTGAAATTTTCCCTGAAACATACATTTACTACAAAAAACTATAACAGTGAGACAAGAACAATCACTGTGTAGTGGTGACACACAAGAAGTATAAAATACACTACTGAGTTTCGAAGTTTGCTTTGACCCGGTTCTCTGCAATAGCTGTTTGAACAGTAACACCTGTTAGCGTGAAAGTAAAGCGGGGGGATAGGATGAGAAACCAAATAAAGCTGGTTTATCTCAAGTATTCAAGTGATTTATTTTCGTTGTACACCAATCTCGTATACACGGCTGTAGGCATGAAACAGCATGCTGAAATCGAATGAACAAACAGAGCCGCGATTTAGTAAATTTCAGCTTGTGGCATAAGTATACTTCATTAAAAATTGATTTTCGTGACAAGGATTATCTGCAATCATTGCCTGGTGGCTGTATTTAACATCAATTACCAACTAGCGATTAAAATTACGATTCACTTGGGTGAAAGAGCTAAAATTTGAATAATGAATGGAGTTTCAGGTCTCGAAGACACGAGCCAGTGCCCTATTCATGGCAACGAACTCGCTTGAATAAGATAGGTCACTGGCAGACGCCATATGAGCCACCAGCTGTGATCGTTCTACTGCTTGGTTTATTCAAAATCCTGTAATTTCTCGTATGTAGCGTAAGCCAGGGCATAGCGGAAAAATCTTTATTTTCAATGTGAGGCTGGATTGGTAGTAAAGAGAAACAAGATTGCAAGCCCAACGCAACATTCAGTGATCGCAAATTGTTAGCGCAAAGGCCTTTAAAAGGTTCCAAGGTCATGTCCAAGATCGGGCTTATAATTTAGGGTCATCCCTTATTTTACGCTGGTTAATGCGGTACCCTAGTCTGGTTTATTGGGAAACGTAATTGTCTCCCAACATTCAGGCCGTCCCAGCCCTGGCAATGTGGCGTAGACCTACTTTGACTTTTAACACACTGCCAACTTCCATTTCTTTTCCCACACAGACCTTGTTAATTTTCATAAATAGGAAATGCTCGCGTTATTTATGGTAAATACAACCACTCTCTTTCCTTAATCTAGTTCGCAATATTTAAGTAAATGAAAGGGAACAATTCATTTTTTGTTGACGATTCTTCTGAAAAATCCACCTTTCTCTGTATGCTTGTACTTTATGGAAGACCATGATGGCCTTACTTTAACGCTGAAGTTGTACACGGAAGAAAAGTTTGGATTGCTCGCACATCAAGGAAAATGCGACACCAATTCGAGAGTCCTTCATAAGGCTAGGCTATAGTGCATGGTATTATATATTTGATTAATTTAAAACTCTAAAAGATCAACACCTGGCCACAGGAATAATCTCTATTCTTGTTCTGGAAACTGGTGTTATTTGGTTAAAGAAGTCAACATATACCGACGAATATGGTATTTAATACCGTATACCACAAAGAAATTTCCGACATTCTTATTGTAAAAAACCATGAGAAAGACCCCTACTGTTTTTACACCTGAATGCTTCTGCTATTGAGGCGTTGGTATAATTCAGTTCGGACCTTAGGTAGAAGTCCCGTGATACCGTTAGCAAAATCAACCATACTGAATCACATCCATACAATCTTAATTTTGCATCCCGAGGAAATAGTTTTGTCTCGTTAGAACAGCAATAATAATTTGCATTCCTAACCAGATTTTAATGATTTCATCACACAATTTGTTCAACTGACGGCTAAATTGGCTTTTCTGAAGTAAAAAATAATTATATTTGAAGATGTGAAATAAAGAATCTCAAATGTAAATGTAAAAAGGTCAATTCTAAATACATTAATGACATTTAGAATTTATTTCTTGAAAACAGGAAACTAAGATGATAATAATTCAAATCGTCCATTCTATATCACCTTAAACAGTGGCTTTTACAGGAAAAAAGCCAAATTAAGCCGAGTGCATAGAACCTAGAATTAAACCAACTCATTAACAATAGAAATGACAGAATGCTCATTTTAATTCTTTATTGCACTCGATAGAAAGACGTAATTGAAGAAGAAAAGTCTATATGCACTGATGTATTTAACAGCTTGGAAACTTCAAAGGAAATTTGGACTAGACAACTGTGCATTTTGTAGATTAAGATTTAGATAAAAATTATCTTATTTGCATTGCTTGCTTTTCTAAATATGCCGCAATGTAAAAAGCGATTGGGAATTTGAGTTGCTCACCGGCTGACTGACTGCTCAGTGGACCGCGTTCTCATTAAGTATTCTCTCGAAATTTGATGCTAATAAATAATAGATTAAACTGCCAAAATAGCACGCCGTAGCGCGATTATTTCCAAGCCATGATTCGCCTTTCGTCTGTGCCGTCAATGTGAAGGCAAGTCTAAGCAAATAAGATCGTATTTTGCGACTTCATCGGCCAAAAAAATCAGAAGGATTAAATTCAAGTTGACGAGAAGAGAATCAAAGATTTCGTGTCCTTTGTTTACGAATCTTAAGGATCGGGTAAAAAAGAATCAAAGACGAGCATGTAAGTGTTAGTTTTGTTTGGTAATTTATGAATGATTGATTGTGCTGTTTTGAAAAACCTTACTTAATCTGACCAAAATCTTCTGCTGGTGTAGCCTACAAAGCAGATTTCCTTGTTATCGTTACTCGACTACTCGATCTTCAATCTCCATTTTCAGAGTACTTAAAAAATAAATGCGATTGTTTTAATCGATAGTTCAAATTTGATAAAATACTTCACTTTGTGTAGAAGAAACTTGTGTGTTAAATAAAAACCTATACAGATGAATGCGCTTGAGATAATTCATTCAAAGGACTTGCTATTTGTGTGCCAAAAATCTGCACATAATCTTTAACAGTCATAAACTATTCGTTAGTGCTGTATATTGTTTGTAACTTAATACAAACAATTTTTGATTAAAAATGAAAATTTATTTTGGATTCATATTTCTATTTGGTTTTGTAGAACGTGGATGATTACTAATTTGCGAGTGAAGGCCAAAAAATTAAAGAATCATTATTGATATCTTATCCAAGTTTCAACGCAGACAGCAGTTCATACTAATGATATCGGTTATTTGTGCGACCGTAATGATGAAATAAACTTCAGGATAAGCTTAAAAACTGTAATATCATGCTTCTCTTTCCAGACAATAATATCGTCGGCAACTCTTTAAAACAGCTAACTATCATATTATAAATAATCAATTAGCGAAAAGGTTCGGCAAAAAATTAACTGTGACAGATGTTGTCGAAGTTTTCGTGATTATCGCTGAATACAAAGTTGCTCGATTTATTATTACGACTTCAACACACTTCAACACACGCATTACATTTTCATCCCCTCTCTCTTCCTTTTGCCTTCGTTAATTATTCAACGCACGTAAATTATTGTGACGATGTGTGGGTAAACAATCCAAGAAAGTGTAAAGGAAACTTCAAACGGAGGAAGATGACCTTACAGTCTTCATCGTGGCTTTTATCTTGGCATTACTGTACGATTCGTTTGTTTGTTTCATGCGCCAACAAAATGCGAAATCAAAGTAAATTTATTTGCTCCATACTTCTCTACTCTAAGTGTCTTTAAAGTGAAACATTCATTTTGTTTTTCATAATCGATTTCTTATTATTGGCTTTAGTGCTTGATTAAATGTTCAGCTATCAATTGGCTAATTGAAAAGTGAGGTTTCAACCGGTATTGGTAACAAATACAAACATTTTTCCCTTGGATAAGAATAAACCTGCTGTGAAAATGGGGAAAAATAACACGTCAAGACAAATCCATATGACTTTAGAGAACATATACTGATTGGAAAGTTGATTTGATTAAAAAGCCAAGTTCTTCAAATTATAATCCTCACGAATGCAAAGGATCTCATTCTTATGAATCATCAAGGAGACCTGATGTCGTAGGAAACAAAGAGGCAATTACATTTCATACAATTCACTCAAAGTTACCCATTTAGGTCCTGCTCTCTCAGATTTGACGACTTTAAATGCTGAACTTTAGGATGTGGAGAAAAGCAATGTTTTCAGCAAACTTAGGTGATGGGAACAAGTTCCGAGCAAACAGTCTGCCGGAAATAACAAGCTACTGCTTCAAAACTAAAGTTGATACTCTACCTAACTTGCATGAAACATCTGCAGAAAGATTTGTGAAATTATTTTGAAAAGAAATGATTTTTGATGATATAAAGCAAAGTAACAGGCATGCTTAGTTCTCGGAGCTAAGATTCCAGCCCGTTGAAAAGTTTCCTTTATTTGAACAAAACATAAAAAATACAATTGTGAATAACAAAACAATAATACGAAACTATAATAGATTTCTAAGAAGATACTTGAAAGCCTATCTCTGCTTATAATGTTCATTTGCTTTCGAATAACAAATACACGACAGGAAGCTATAACAATGAGGAAACGGCTGAAAATTGAAGAACAGAACTTAGCGATCGCTGATTGGTCAAAATAGAAACCAATCAAACGTGTCATTTTCTTTTCACGTTACTTTCGATCCACAGCTGTTTATGAATTATTGCTTAGGCTTACTGACGTTTCATACCCAGACAACGTCTTTGCCTTATGCGTTACTTCCCTTAAATTTTTATACGTTATTTAGTGTCAATGATTCAAATTTTAAATTTTTATCCGGTTGAAAAAGTTTCCACAGTTTCACATTATTAATCTGCTTATTCTGATCATAAAGAAATTAAGGATAGGTTGTAAAAGCTGTGCCTTCACCAGAAAACATACAACTGGCGTACAACCACGCAGCTCATTTTCAGGCCCGATAACAATTTTCAATAAAAATGCACGTGAATGGTTTGCCCTGGTAACTCAGTCGCCTCTAACTTCTGACTTTATTTCTAAGACGAAGTAAGAAAGCTTAGGCTGGTTGTCACATTTCATATGCTGAAGTTTCCATCGTATTTCTTGTTCCCGATTTAAAGATATAACGAAAACACTTGATTGTATGGCACCCTCACACATCCTTATTGGCCTAGGGAAACAAACCTTTCTGATTTCCCAAAAATGAAATCCCATGCCAGATTTTAAGGAAAAGTGCCTAATTTTTATAGGCTGTAAACGATCTTACCATAAGAGACAAAGCAGATGAGAATGATATTTGCTGAAACATGAAAACCGACCTTAATTGTTTCTACCAACAGCAGATCAGGGCTTGAGTTCTACTTTACAAGAAAAAATGATTTCAACACTCTTATACTCTATGTATACCTACACCCAAAGCAACATCAGCCAACCGCATTGCTCTACCTGCAACCATAGGGTTCAACACAGCATATTAGAGCTTATTGTAGAAAGACTAGTCTAAACAAACAAATGCTAACAAGTTGTTTTATCAACAGTAGCAAAACAGAGAGAAGATGAAGATAGATGCATCAGTTGTTTACCATTATTTATATGGTTACCAACCAATGCGACTTGCAAGTCAAGAAGATATAAACTCATTTCAATGTCCAGGTAAGCAAGTTTGTGTCTTTGGGTATTTCCACATTTTAAATTCAAACTTATGTAGCTGAATTGTGACGCTGTCAAACACGTGAATTATTCCTTGCCTAGGCTGGCTATTGTGTAGGCAAGCCATTCGTTCTCCTCTATCACCTTTTAGCGCCCCTTCAATATTTAGACTGTAAGCCCCAGACAGAACTTTGATCACACTGCCTTCGAAATTTCTAATTGAACTGTTTTTTTATGATTAATCTTAAATTCATTCAACCTTAGAAAAAGACGCACCGAAGATAGATCCCAGTGGTGATGTTAAGACACAAGGAGAAATTAAAGTCCAAAGAAAAATAAGAGCACCGGATGGGATAGCTTTGTGCATATCGAGCATACCCGAGGCAAAATATGGTGCTTGCGCTTTGCGGGATATACCGGCTGGAACGTGGTTTGGCCCTTACGAAGGAAAGCTCGTCAGACGAAACGAAGCTGTTGAAGGAAAATTGTCGGAGTTTATGTGGGAGGTGAGTTTATAGAACTTGCTGATAGATACAATACATATCTAAAACCACTAAATACATAAAAATTAATTTTGGTGTTTCAAAATGAGCGACATTACATAGATGGAGAGGCTTAGAATTAATAATTACCATTCAAATGTTCAATTATTTCAAACACGCTCTGTTGCATACATTTAAATTCTTTTCCGGAATACTAATATTTCTACACCCTAGTTGATAGTTTAGGCAAATATCATACAAGTTACACGAAACAATCTCCTTCTAATCACCTACGTTATTCAATAGTGAACAAAAACCGTTACAAGGGGAATGAGATAATGGATGGATTTTCCCTTGTTAAAAACTAATGTTAGTGTTTCAAGATTTTTGGCAGGGGCTGTAAACACGTCGATGACATAGTATCTTATAATGCGGTGAAGCAGATAATGAAAAATGCACATAATAGACTGAATAAAGAGTATAATCAAATAAAATTTCTTTCTCACGAAGATTTTTCACGATGGTGAAGTCAGTCATTTCCTCGATGGATTGAGTCTCCACACGTGGATGCCGTATGTGCAATGTGCGAGACATAAGAAGGAACAAAATATGGTTGTCTTCCAGTACCATGGTTGTATATACTACCGTACCATACGGGAAATAGCACCGGGATCTGAGCTTTTAGTCTGGTATGATACAAAATATACACAGGTACTGGGCTTGCCTGTGGCCTGGAATGACAGTAAAGGTATGTACCGGCAGTGAACAACCCACTGATTTTGTCTTCTAGGGCATCTAGGCATCAGGCTCATCATAGAGTTATTTCCAGATATACTTAGCTTGATATTATGATCAAGAAACATAATCTACGTTTTTTAACTACATTCATCGTATACTTCTAATATCATCCTGCTGTTGTTGTTGTTGCTGTTATTGTTGATTTACCATGTAATTTGAAGCTTAGAAATTTAGGAAATGCTTCTAAAACAACTGCATCTTAATATTCACACAAGCCAATTCGTTCTATTGATATTCTTTGCTGTTTGGTTCAAAAAGTGCGATATCGTCATTTGAAAATATTATTTCAGCAACGAATGAGTATAGCCCGAATGAATAAGGGAGAAAACATAGAAGTATTTCTAAAAAGATCTCCCAAAAAACCGATGCAATAATATATAATGAAAAGTTCTTTCCAATAAAAGTAATTTTACTCTCTTTTTTTAAGCTTTGAACGCCAAAAGGAAGGTTACTGCTAACAACGCAAATGAGATTGTTCGGAAAAAACGTCTTGTAGAGAGGAGCGAAGAATCCTCCTCAAGTCCTCGCGAGAGGTGCACTGAGAAAGTCCAATGTTCAGTAACGAGACCAAGCAGTAAGAGTTCCAGCGATAACCGTCTAGATGTGGTATATAGTCACAAAGACAAAATAAATATTGACAGAACTAGCATGCACATTTCACAATGTACTATCAAGAGCGATCCGTCAACTGTAAGCGGTCACCGAAAATCTGCTCATCCGCACAGCGTGCAAAGGCATCACAGTGACATGCATTTCCCCCCAGCAACTAGGGGGCTGCATGGATCTCCAGCAGCTACAAGGCCATACCTTGATAAATCGAGGCATTACTACGAAAACTGGCATCACATGCAAGCAAGTGAAAATCAGACCACGCCATATTTACCGCATTTAGATAAATCCTTTGACTTGTACCAATCAGAACATAAACAAAGCTATGAGAAGCATTTTCACCCACAATTGCCAATTACTATGACGTCACAGGTGCATGATCTTCAAAATTATTACCACTACAATGCAATCAAACACGAGGACATGTGTCGCTTTAGAGAGGCAAAGCCGTCATTCAGGCCTATTGCTTGAACTGTGCAGAAGCAGTGGCTTTTTTTAAGTAAAAATAAAATAAACATATGCATTGTTCTATATGTTACCATGATTTCAGATTTAACAAGCTTAATACTTGAAATATATATATATATAGATTACAAGAGGGTTTATGCTAAAAAACTGAAATGTATAAATGACAGCAGCAGGTTCAAAGGCCAACTCCAGCACGAGTTAATAGCCTGATAGACGACACAAAGAAGGAACAGTTTTCATTATTCTCGAGCAGGTTAAAATTCTATGTAAAGACTTGTTTACAAATGCGGGAGGCTTATTGTAACACTATTTGGTTAATAATACAGAAATCCCCAAAGCTGGCTAGTACTTGTTTTGCTATTTACGTGAAGAATGTACCAAATAGGCCTTTACAGCTCAGAAAAGGCCCAACTATTTGTCTGTTTTAAACTAGACAAAATAGATTTGATAATTACTACCATAAAAAGATATAATTGTATGTTTCAAACAAGAAAATAAATAACTTGTAAACAAGTACCTTTCTATTTTAACGAATTCCTTGACCAGTCACGTCCCTGGTGCAAAATTTGCACTCAAATTCCAAGAGTTACCACAAGAAAATATTCCATTAAAAACCATTCCGATCTACGACTGCCATCAAAAACATATGGCTTCAGCTAAACAACATACATAAGATGGAGAAAAAAGGCCAATAACAAACACTTAACACCAATGAAACATCCGCGTCAAAGACTGTACTTTCTGATGTTAGGTTTTTCATACTTCGTCGCTGGCCTAACGAACCAGCTGGGAGCCTTAATATAAAATTTGCCCTCTAGTGTTGTATACCAAATAAAACTAATTTCAATACTAACCAAGTATTCTCTGGGACGGATGAATGATTCTCTGGTATATGCGTTTACCGTGACATAATTGCAAAATTTTCATTTTTATCAGTTGTCACAAGTATCGTTCATGTAAGGTAGGTTAGGAATTTGTTGTGACAATTTACTACCTTAGTTTGCAATTTTAATTTGTTGAGGAGATGATTTTCAGAACAGGTAATTGCAATGGCATTAATGTAAGATAGCATAAAAACGAAGGTTATTTCGAATTCAAGCGTGCACTTGGCACTGAAAAACCTATATGCATTGGATATTGGTAGGACCGTCGTACAGGTTGAAGTCATCATTGTGTTTCTTATTCATAAAAAGATAAAAGAATTATGATACTTTATCTACAATGTACCAAGAATTCTCAATAGCTTCTCCTACCAACACTGTACAGTCAAATGAACTTCACAGTGGAAATCAGATCCCTTAAGAATTAAAATTAAGAAGAATATTCTTGCGACGGGCAATGAATATTTGAAACGAGAGTTATAAAAACGAGAAGTTGGGGGAAATAGCTACGTGGATTTTGCAAATAGATCTCCAGCGGACGGTAATGGGGCCAATCCAGCATTTGGATCCGGCAACTTTGTAAGATCCGGTAAGTTGTGCAAGTGAGATTCGAGTCCTTTTCTTACTTGTGTTACTCTAGCAAGCTTCTTCCTGGATTCCTAAAACGAAAGATGAATCTTCTAAATCTGTTTTTAAAATTTATAAAAACATTTGTGCTGATGACGTAGATCTATAAAGATGCCGTTAAGTGACGTATTTAGTTTCAGATTATAATACTAGATAGTAATAATAATGAAAACATCTTTATTTTATATTTTTCTACTTACAACAGTAACCTCACTTTACAGGTAGTCACTATCGGCTAGCCTGGTGACAAGTCTTCCAAGTTGCAAGAGTCTTAACGTATAAATAATAAATAATAATCTTTCGTATTTACACAGGTTAATTTGTTCAGTAAATTACATTACTGGTATCAATCATTATCAAGACCAGTATTTTTCTTAATAAAAATGGGTATTTACAAGAAAAAATTGATTCTATAGATATAAATTGAAAATATTATTGAGGGCAGTCACCATGTAATATCATAATAACATCTTTATCACCATATAATAAAAATTCTATCAGTCCCGCACAAGAAATATCATTACATCCAAAACGTCAAAAAAGGAATCGCCAATGTAGGACATCAGTAGGTAGGGGGGGGGGGAGAGGGTCAAAGCAATTACTGGCTTCTTCGGGTTTGAGGGAAGCGATATTATCCTGATGTCAGGAAAGACCTTCAAAACATTAAAAAAAATTTTCAATGGATAATATCATAGTGAAATAAAATAGAATGCAGTCCTTATTGAAGATATCGATGGCAATGCCACAATCTAAATCTTCACTTCAAGTTTCAAAAGAAATAGTGAATAAGTTCGATTTATGGTTTGAAACATTATAATAAAACCTAGCAAAATATTAATATCGAGCTTCAAAAGTAGGAAAGATTAAAGGAAATTGCCTGTATTTTAACACCTTTGTTTGTAGGACACATTGGGTTTAATACGATACATATTATGGTATGACAGTGGAGGAACACCTATGATAGTGCTGGGACACCTGTGATAGTGTTGGGACACACTGTTTGATATCTGTACAAACTCCTCACCTCTAATCTATCTTCAGTTAGCGCCAGCATATATTTTTGATATGTAGTGTATTCAGCAAGCTTCTTTTGCACAATCTGCCTGTCTGCCAGCTCAGCCGAGAGCCGTTTGTTGTATTCCGAAAGATGATGACAAGCTTCAGATAGCGATTTCAGCAATTTCTTTCCATCTTCATATTCTGTTATTGGACAAAATCACTTTTAAGTTTAGAAGAAGAGGTATTCGAAATCATGTGATAACGTAGTGAAATCCTTAACGGTCAGGAGAAGGTAGCGGAGCTACTATAACAGCCTTACTTATTACTAAATAATATCAAAAGAACTTACGCTACAACAAAAAGAATTGAAATGAAGATTGTCAAGGTTAGAATAATATGTTCTTTTTCTGAAGCACTGTCATTTGCAGGGTCGCCGAGAGGAGGAGGCGACAAAGGGGGCAAATTCCTCCGGGGCCTCAAGCTCTACGGGGCGTAAAAAAGTAATGAATTCAATTTTAATGAAGTTAATCAAACGTAGCAAAATGTGCCGAAAAATAATAAACGTTTCAAACGATGCCAAGAAATGATTGTAGCGCATTTAAAGCGAATCTGAAGGACGTGGAAGCAAACTTTTTCCTTTTTCTGCTCGCACGGTTCCTAGGGGCCACGTCTTTTGTTTTTGCCCTAGGGCTTCCAAAACCCCTTGGCGGCCATGCCCATTTGGCCTGATTGAAAACCTAGCAGCAACTGTAAATGACGCTCAAATTATTTAATTTTTTTAACTGTTTTTTGTTTCTCATTAAGAAACAGTTAACGGTAGCCTAAAGCAAAGTAAATTTATTTCTACCTGACTTTGAAGAGCTGGGGCGGTGGGAATGTGAACAGAAAAATCAAAGATTTATCTTGCAAATATCTGCTGAGTGATTATATATAGAAGAGAATAAACACGCTTTTGCATGTCGTTGAACGAGCCAGTATATGATCAAAAGTAAAAAGTGACTACGGACATGAAAAGTAAATAGATATTCTGTCGCTTCGAGTATAACTTTCTCATTAGGGTATAATTTTTCCTCCTGAAGAGTGGAAATATACTCGAAACGCCAAAACACATAATGGATTTTCCTATACTTCTACCTTAAATTATAAATAAATAAATAAATATAGATATTCTTGATACTTGATTTGAAAGATATTAAAGGCAACATACCAGTTATTTTGTCAAGATTTGCTGGATCTGTAATCTCACCCGGCAGGCTTGCAATCTTCTCTCGTGCCGAGGCATCTTGTGATGCTGAGTGTTCCAGCTCTGTTAATTTCTTTATTAATTCATCCGGCTACAGTTCAAAAGATAAAATAACATCAGCAGTCCGTCGTTAAGGATGCATAGCAACTATTTTTAGAGGGAAGTAGACTTGGTGGTTTACAAAAATGTTTTTCAAGGAATTTCTTTAAGACCAGGCAATGCCAGGAACCCCTCAGTCTAGGTGAGTAAACTAGAGTAAGCTAAAGAAATTCAAGAAAGTTTCTTAATTACGTAGGGTGAGGAAGCAATCCTACTCGCTTCCTCATTGGTGCATGCGTCCATGGGCAATGTTAGAGTGACTTCATTGATTTCACCGTTAAAATCATTAAAAAACAAGGAACTACAAGAACGATAACCAAGGACAAATATTTTAAAAGTGTCCAATTTTAAAGCGCTTGAAAACGCCATTTTTGCGAATACAGTAAAAAATGAACGAAGAAACTCCAGTTTATACAAATCAATGTCGTAAAGTTGTACAAAAGGCGTAACCATTTGTCTATATATTTGAGCTATTTCCGTTCTGGTGGTATGAGATGAACCGCAAGATATAGATTTTCATGATTTCTGTTGAAACACGTGCCTTGTTCTTTTAAACACTGCTACAAGTGTTACAGATGATTAAAAAGTTGGCTTGAACAAGAGCTTTGATTTATCACAAAGCGATAAGTTCCTTATTATAACATGAAAAGTGGTTACGTAAAAAGAATCTACAAGACATTATCATTTTTAAACTACCACGGACTTGGATGTGTCTGTCGACATCTGCTGTGGGTTAGAAAACTGAATCAGGGACAGTACTACATTATTTACTAACATTACTAAAACTGTTTATAGCAAGCAATATTTAAAAACCTGTGAAATTTTAAACCTATTTTATTGCAAGCTAAGCGTAAAATCCTATTCAAAAAACCATTAATAACAACTTGAGATGAAATAATTACTTAGTTCCTTTATTTGACCTTCTGAGAAAACGGACTGTTTCTGTTCACGTATATTTCAATATAGACAGATTCTGAATGCTGAATGCTGCCGCTGTTTCGCTTCACCTTGCGATATCAAAGTATCAAAGCCTCACCGTAAATTGTTCAATTGGCCCCCCTCAAAAAACCCCACCCCTCAAAAAAGCCCCCACTGCTACCATAAGTTCTCGAATTGGACCCCTCCATTTCACGATTTTTGCCATCTGAGGTTGCCTATGGCATTATATTGAATTACCACAACAAATTCATACTTTTGATAGTAATTAATTAAATGCTCATAAAAAAATCCTACTTAAATAATCGAGGTCTTTTAATAATATCTTCTTAATGTCTACAATAATTTTACAAGCCAAAAATATCAAAAATGAATAAGCACCCAGGGGGCTAATTCGAGGATTTACCGTATATGATAACAAACAACTTACATCTGGAATCTTTGATGGAGGCTTGAGATCTTCAGTTCTAGATTTTTTGACAGGTGGTGGGCTGTTGGATTCCTCCACAGGTGCTGTTATTATTGCTAAATAAAAAATGTTCTAATCAATAATCAAATAACAATAACATATTTACTGTCTTCATCATAGCATGTTATATACTTAGATTGTTGGCATCAGGGGCGTCATTGCATACTTTTTGTTGGGGGGGGGGGGCAAAACTTTTTGTTGCATATTTTCCCTGCGAAGAAATTTTGTCTTACCAAAAGTTGAAAAAGCTACAAAAGAAAATTAAAACTATAGAGGCATTAGAGCTTCGTTATTCTTAAAGAATGATACATTGTATTAGTTTTTTATTCTAAGACTTTTCTTGCTGTTGACCACTTTTTGATACTTTGCTTTAAAACACTGTCAGGTTGTGGTTCTCCTATAGAAAAACTTTCATCATAACAATTATCATAGGCCTATTAGTGCTTCGCATATAAAAGACACAACTCATTCTTTTACAACAAACTTTCCACATGCATACTAGCATCCCACTGAATTCGTGGTTGGTTACCCTGGATGCAAAATCATTATACACACACAAACATTCCTAAAGATGAGGGTATTGAAGCCTTGATGCCATTAATCATAATTGGGGAACTACCCTGCTGCATATAAAATAAATCATCAAATTCTGATATCTATTCACAGACATTATTATTTTGCCTTTAACAGCAAGTTTTAAAGAAATTTTAAAGGCACCTCAATGGGAAGATCCTTTTCTCAAATTATGCCAACATATTCACTGACAACAATAGAACAGCAACCCTGATGGGGCACAGTCCAATATTTTGGAAAATATCTGAGATGACATAACTTGAATCTGGCCACGCATGCTCTAAAAGCTAAAAGGCACAAAGACCATCCACAAAAGAATGAAGCAAACTCAAATAAAATGCTTTTGCATTTGGCAAATTGAGCCACCTAGCTCTAATAGGGTGAGTGAAGACAATAATCTAATGTTCAAAATGCAGTTAAAGTTTTGTCATACCCATTCCTTTCCTCAGTCTGTCTAGAAAAATTTGATCATAAACATCTCTTTCCTTCCATATCCCCAAAATTCTTTCAAGAGCATTTGTAGTATCTGAGCTGCATTCTCTATTAAGAGACAAAAATACAAAATATATACTACTAGTAAACAAAAGAGATATTAAATTTCTACAAAAATTAAATTTGAAGCTCTCATGTGTTGATTCCCAAGAAAATCAGCCTTGAACACTACATAATTAGAAAATATATCAGCCGGCAAACAGGGCTTAGCTATTAATTCATAATTTCAAGTCAAACACATTGCATAAATATAACACAATATTTCCTCAATGAAACTAAAATTCAATAATGTTGACTCACTTAGCACAGTGCCGGAATGCTGTGGGAAGCACACTGGAGAATTCCCTTGAAAACTCGGTTCCTTTTTTTCTACTGTTTTGTAGAATATCATTCGTGAGGTACATCATTGTAAGTTTCTTTTTTGGCTTGGCTACAAAAAATATTGTCATAATCATATTGCATCTTTTATGCTATTGACTTTAAACCAAACTTGGGTGTCTTTGGGTAGGACTGATACACCAGCTTACAGTGTGGAAAAGGTACTTTTCTTGTCCACTCCCACCCAAATATCATTTATATTTTTTATTTTTGTGTAACTACTTCCTGTTAGAGTTCATGGTAGGTCGATAGATTTGGGTCAATGGTCGATAGATTGATTTCTATTGCATGCATTCTTAAGGTAGAATTTTCGCCCTACAACTTGCATTGTAACTTCTGTCCTGAGTCAGAAAATTAAATGGAATCCAAGATAGACTCTGAACGGGTAGCAAAAATGGAAGCTTGCATGCTGCCAACATAATGGTATCTTGCATAGTATGAAGCTTGGAAGTAATCTTAATCAAATCAAAAGACAACAAATGTTCAGAAGATAAAAATGCTAAGGACAATATTTATAAACTGGATAGATGTCCAAAATTATTGTTCATGTTCTAGTCATGAAACAAGCCCAAGGTTTCTGAATGGCATTGTTTTTAATTTTCATTACGCTGTGTTTATAGGAAGTATGCAAGCTTGCAAAATACAGTGGCTAGGTGATGGGATCAAAGTTTACCATCGAATGAAGGGTTGACTAGCCAACTTTACTTACCTTTTTGCAACTCTTTCAACCATGTTTGAACGATGGCCTTGTTGTGTTTCCGATGGTGGATTATCCATAATGATAGCGTCTGCACACTTTGTTGGGTACTCGTTAAATCGTTAATCTTTTTTTCTAGTGCTGTTGTTGAGAACGACGACATCTTTTTGCATTAAATCTAGATATTAGTGAAAACTTTGTACTAGCTCTTTGTTCGAGCACGAACCATAATAGTTTAACCGTCTTGAAATGACCTCGATTTCAATAGAGTCTCGTTTCTACACTTGAATCAGACTCAGGGCTCTGGGGCTTATTCTGTAGGGAAAGGGCTGATTAGTGAAAGCACACCTTAACCATACAAGTTGTCAGAAATTCTAAGTTTTTCAACTTCAATTTTGAATTGTAGGTATACATTGGATCAAAGTGCTGGAATGACATACCTATTGATGTTAAAAAATCTTCCAGCAAAAATATTTTCCAGTGAAAACTAAAATACCTTGTTTTTTGAAAGTAAATACTTTACCTGATTTAGATTATTTCGAACTTATATTAAATTAAAAGATGTTTAGAGATCCAATCTTAAACAGGGGGTGTTCTCTCCTCGATTAGCCCAGCTCTTGAGAGGGTACCTCGTTAAGAAATTCCCTCTCGTGTAATTGGATATGTATGCTATTATTTCTTTCTTCTTTCTTAATTTGCTCTGTTTGTATTTAATTTGTATTGCATGTAGCATTGAATCAATATAATGAAACTGAAACTTGAGAATAAGACGCCATTGCTCTTCATAACAGGTTATACCGTAAGTGCCAAAAATCTGGGACAATACATCCTGGGACATTGAAACCCGGGTTGCACCAGGGACTCGTTTAATTTTAAATCATTATGGAAATGTTAACAGTTAAATGCAAAAATTACTTTCCAAACCCTCTAGTACAAAGAAAAAGATAAAACCCTAAAATTTTCAAATCCAAATATGTAGTATGTAAAAACAAAGTAGAAAAATAATTGAACGATCAGCAGAAATAAAAAAATGATTCCTTCATGTTCTAGAGTTTTTAAGACGGCATTTAAATTGTTGGCGCTTAACTTTGATTTTGCATTCCATAACATACCCCTTCTTAAAAGAAAAGCAATTTTGGCCACATGCTTTTGTGATACGGGACACATAGTTAGGAGTTTGTGATTTGAAATTCCCGATGACTGATTTCTGACAACCTGTCGAGCATGGATGCATACGAGAGAGCTGAGAGCATCACCTTGTGAATACCCGTTATTGAATACCCTTGTGAAAACCAAGCTGAATTCAAATGTTTCTAAATGCTAGTCATTTAAAATGAAAATCTTTATGTTTCTCTTATTTTTGGGACCAAGAGATTGGCAAAGCTGGTACCACTTCACTTCTAGTTGGCGGCTGAATGACTTCTTCAATTAATTTACATTCTATTTGTCTTCTGGTTCTCTATATGGGTCTCTCAATAAAAGTTTTTCGTCACTCATTGCCAATGTCTCGTATGTAAAAAGATATTCGTAAAGATATATTGTCAATATACTCATTTGCAGTAATTTCTGACGCAATCAAACTGCCACGCTTTGAGACTCTGAAGGTACTCATTAACACGTCCATTGATTATAGGGCTGGAGTTTGCTGAAAATGATATGCTAGTATCGTCAGCTTACATGTTAACTTGTGACTGTTTAATGACAAAGGAAAGCAAATTACGTACAAAATGAAAAGAAGAGACCATAGGCAGGACCCTTGACTAACACCACGTGTAACTTTTCAAATTTCAGAGCTTTCCATTTACCTTACAGCATTGTGTCCTGTTTGACAGGAAACCAGCTTTGTTTTTTATCCTGCACTCCATAGATTTCAATGTGCAGGCACCAGTCAATTCTTCAATTTAACAAAATGGTGACGACTGGGTAAAGATTTCTGAAACTTGATTGCTGCAAAAACAGCATTTGGCTTGAAATTAAAGTAACTGTACCACTGATCATATACAAGTTTTTCAGCCGAAACAAAACTGGTAAAGGACTGATATGAGCGAGGGGCAAATCACTCTGAGAAAATCTCGTACATCTTTTGTGAAAATCCTACTGTTTTGTCTAAAAGTCCCCAAAATCCTTTTGTTTTAGGAAAAATCTCGTACGCTATTTGCAAGAGTGAATCGCCCCTCGGATATGAGACGATAATTAGACCGGTCAACAAATTTCCGGAAATCTGGAAAAGGACAGATTCAAAAGGTCTGCAATGACGTCAAGACAGGCAGTCAAGCTTGTAAGAGAAAGTTAGAAATTCTCTGTCCCAACAAGGCCTTGCATACAAAAAACATACATGAGTAGAAATATTCTTATGAATGCTAATAATGTATAAGCCTAACAAGCGTAAAAGCGTAAGCATAAAAATCTAACATGCTAAAAATCCATTATTGCAAAAATCAATCCGCCTGCACATTAAAAAGGCAAAATGAGCAGCCAATCAGCCAGCTTTTTTCTCCAAAAACTTGACTCTTCGGTCAAACCGATCTTTGGGGACATTCCTCCAATACTCTCTGTTACTCATAACCTAGAAAAAAGTAAACTTTCTTATAAAATATTTAAAATAATCCTTTGTTTCTTAAAATATTTGAATAGCCCTGTAACTGTATTTATATAAATTTCTTTAGCTGATAGAAAGGAAATTTATCTGCATGTCAGAGATTTTTGGAACATTTCTTTCAAATTATAATATTTCGTTAATATTATCTCAAAAAAACATATTCTTCAGAACAAACAAGAATAAAGCTTAAAATCAAAAGAAACGAAGGCAGATTCAAAGAATTGTGTTTGTTGCAGCCATTTGAAAAGACAGGTCCTGGGCGTCATATCTGTATTTCTTAATTTAAATTATATGACCGATGAATTTAGTGGCCGATGTGCTCATATAATTTCTTGTCGAGGTCTCAGTATGCCTATAATCATTGTAAGCATAAAGTACTGTTTAAGTTTTATTTATTCTCGATATATCTCTTTCAAAATCATTGGTTGACAAAAAATATTATTAAAGTTCTGATGTAGGGTCAATTACCTTCAACTTCAAATTAAATGAATGCCAATAAGTTGGAATTCGTTTAATTTTGCAAAAACTTTCTCATCGAATCTTCAATTATTGCAACATTTTTTTCTCTAAGAAACCTTCTCTCACCTCCTTAAACTTCTTCAAATTATTTTCCTTCACAGCGGCTTTTAAGGCTTTCTGCCCCGCAGAATTTGACCGTGGCAATAGATCTCCTCTGTACTTCATGTCAACAAGAATTTCTTGCATCTTTGGGTTAACTGACTTCCAGCTCTTTTTGTAATACTTCTTTGTCAAGCGTTTGGCCTCTGCTTCTTGTCTTGTGTAGGTCTTTTTGAAAAGATTTTTCTGCTGCTGCCCAGTGATTTCGATCTTGGTGAGCTTATTATTCTACAGGGAAAATTAATTCATAAAGTCTGGCAATTGATGTTTAATTAAATACGTGCACTCGTTAATCCAAAGATTGAAGTAAGCAGCATGAATGGTGACATTTTTTGTTCATGTGAAGCCATCATTCAAATAAAGGTCTCAAAATTATTAGGCAAGTTGGCAAATGAAGTGCAAGATTTAATACAATAAAAAAGAATGATTTAATCAATGAATTACAAACTTATTTGAATAAAGAAGAGTGTAAAATGGCAAGGCTACTCCTCACCAATACAACAATCAATATTCAGTGCGGCAAAAAGAAGAGTGATGATATTAGTACAAATATAGGATTTCCACAAGGCAATGCAATCAGTGGTACGCTCTTCAAAATCGCGTTTGAAGAACGCTTGAAATCATTACGACAAAATTATACCAACAAAATCCACATATAGAACATTCATATGCATTCAAATCCTAGCTACCAAAAGAATTAGTTTATGTTGATGATAGTGAATTCCCCACTGAAAGTAAGGAAGAACAAGAACATCTCAAAAGAATTGTCAAAGCTACCCTAGCTGAGCTGAATCTAAAAGTAAGTGAAAGGAAAACTTAAGAGACAACAAAAATGAGAAGAAGGGATAAGATAAAAGAAGAATGGAGAGCAACTAAAAAGTTAAGAAGTCTGCTAGGAAGACAAGAAAATATGAAATGCAGAATACAGTTATCGTTTGCAGGTTACACCAAAAGTATGAAAACACAAAAAGAAACATGTCAGAAGGAAACTGAAACTATTTAAATCAATTTTTAATCCATTATTGCTTTAAAATTCAGGGACATGGTGTTTGACGAAGTAAAAACAAAACCCGAAATTGATGTCACCAGTTGAGGACAGCTCAGATCTGCTATCAACGTAAAGAATGTATGTAATGAAAATTGTACAAAGAATGCAAAAAGGAACCAATCAGTATAACGATAAAGAAAAACAAATGGAAACTCATTGAACATTACTACGCTTACCAGAAAATACACCCGCAAACGATGCAATGAAATACTACTTCGAAAAGCAACAAAATGGAAAAAAACACTGCCAATACTACGCTTTTGTTTCCTCAAAAAAGAAGTATCTGCAGCATACCTTGAGGAAGTTCCTTGCCTGCTGGCCTTTCAACTTTGCCCCTTCAGCCAACTTCTTGGCTAGTTCCTTTGATATCCCTGCGCCTGTAAGATCTTTTATTATCTGCTTTTTTGACTTTTGACCCAAGTCGTATCCTCTGCCGATTGTGACTCCAGACCATCTACCAGGAACATGTGGCTTACGACTGTAATACTTGCTTTTTTTGTTGTCGTTTCCTTCAGAATTGAATGTAACTTGACCTTTTCTGACCTTCAAATAGTTCCCTGTAGCAAAAGAGGTGTCACCATGGTGAAAACTGACATGCCATATAAACTCTATTGCGATATATAGATAAGAAATTTTCAATTATTTTGTTTTCTTGCTTAAGACTAGACAATTCCTCATCTTCATAAAATTCCAAATGAATATACAAATAAAACTGAATTTTATAGGTAAATCTATTTAATGTTGAGGAAATGGTTCTTTATAAAGAACTTTGAACTTAAGAAATAATATTTTTTTCACTAACTCTTATTTAGTCCTAGCAATATTTCTCAAAAGGTTGCAATTTGGCATCAATAGCCATACTTCAAAATTTGTAATTTGTTCAGAGCAAGTAGCCATTTGACCAAGATGCTAATAACTCGCTCATGTATGAGTAATATTTAATGGCGATTTCATTAACGTTAAGATTCCACCCGATATTCTCAGTGGGGATTGAGAAGAGTAAAAAAGATTGAAATTTAAGAGTAGAAAATGAGTGATTGGGTAATGAAATATTGCCTCTTTTTATTCCTTTGTAAAACAGTAAACTACACCAAAATCCAAATCTCATATTTGACCTCAAAGCTCTTCCTCATTAAAAAATGTCCCCCCGAGATCTTTTGATGCAACCAGTTATAAGTTGAAAGCTTTTTGGAGAGTTGTTTTCATTTTTTAAAAAACAATTGGAAGTAAAATTGTTTAGTGTTGGAAATAGAAAAATAACAGATCTCAGATAACAGATAACAGATGACCAATTGTGCTCTTCAATCATTCAATTGTATGTAAATATAATCTACACATAGTCTTTCAATTTTGTCATCAAAATGATCAGAGCTCCCGATGTCCTCTCATTTGCCCTTCTCAGTTGTGAGATCAAATCCCTAAAGACGATCATTACTCGTATCCTAACACATAGAATTCACGTAATATTTTTATCAGCTGAATAAAGAAAGTGCCAAGTTTTTCTTGCTCTACTACTAGGAAGACATTTTAAGTTAATTTTTAATCCAGACTTTATAAAAAACTGTAAAATTGCAATGTGACTTCATAGAAGCATGGCACCAAAACTGCTCCAAAGGTAATTTCCCCTGAGTCAAAAACCGAAATGGCTAATGGCTTGTACAATATACTAGGTAAAAGGAAAATAATTGATTCCGATTCAAAAAAAATTTTACAATAAAAAACATGTTCTTAACCAAAATATTATAAGATTCAATTCTTTGTTATGTGGAGATGCTCAAAAATATGCAGAAAAAGCTATAGTATGTATCGTCTATATAGCTTTCCAGATTGAGTGGTTCTCCAATATTTGCTTTTAGATCATTAATTTAAGTACGTCTGCTTAATCAATTTTAAGATTATCCATAACAAGGGTCAAATTTTTCTTGCTGATCAGGAACTTTTTCCATTATAGCAATGCAGCAAATTGTAAACGTCATTCGAGTACAGCTATGACAACTTGGTCATGAGCAACCCGAGATGTGAAAGATAACTTTGTATCGTCATAGCAAGAAAGCTAAATCATATAGCAGTTTGAATATTCTTACCTCTTCCTGAAGTTCTCCTTCTTGACCAAAACCTTCGTCTTGTTATTCGTCTCCTCGTTACTCTTCGTCTGGTTATGAAACGTCTTCGGCGCCGTACAAAACGTCTTCGGCGCCGTACAAAACGTCTTCGCCGCCGTACAAAACGTCTTCGCCGCCGGACGGAGCGTCTTCGTCGTACGGAACGTCTTCGTCGTACGGAACGTCTTCGTCGTACGGAACGTCTTCGTCGTACAGAACGTCTTCGTCGTACGGAGCGTCTTCGTCGTACGGAACGTCTTCGTCGGACGGAACGTCTTCGTCGTACGGAACGTCTTCGTCGTACGGAACGTCTTCGTCGTACGGAACGTCTTCGTCGTACGGAACGTCTTTGTCGTACGGAACGTCTTCGTCGGACGGAACGTCTTCGTCGTACGGAACGTCTTCGTCGTACGGAACGTCTTCGTCGTACGGAACGTCTTCGTCGTACGGAACGTCTTCGTCGTACGGAACGTCTTCGTCGTACGGAACGTCTTCGTCGTACGGAACGTCTTCGTCGTACGGAACGTCTTCGTCGTACGGAGCGTCTTCGTCGTACGGAGCGTCTTCGTCGTACGGAGCGTCTTCGTCGTACGGAGCGTCTTCGTCGTGCGGAACGTCTTCGTCGTGCGGAACGTCTTCGTCGTGCGGAACGTCTTCGTCGTGAAGAACTCCTTCTACGACTACCTCTTCTCGGGTCTTTTTGTGCAAGGTTCTCAACATCAGTCCCTGAGTCATCGCTTGTCTCACTTGAATCTTCAGGAGTATCTTCGGAATTAGTCTCATCAAAATCTTCGTCCAGCTCTTTTATATCAGCAGAATTTTTTGACTGCCCAGCAGCAATGGGATTCTGCATACAACTCTTATCGTCCTAGAAAACAAGTGAAAATCGTATCACAAAATACGGGGAGTGAAGCATATTTTGATGACCAATACCCTCATATTGCTTATCTTAAGCCCCCACAGTCTTGTCTGGAGAGTAACTTCGTAAAACTCAGATCAGAGCTCTTTAAGTTTTAACAATAAGCACTTGACTAAGCAGTTACAAATAAGCTTTATTTTAAGGAAACAAAAAAATGAAACAGACAAAAAGAAAAGCAAAAAGCTACCCAAAAAGAGATATTAGCAACACTGAAAATTGATATACCGGACAAATTTCATTGTAACGATACATGGATAATATAATTACTGTTCACCAATCTTTCAGATAGTGCCTGGTACTGTACACTGTTGTCTGATGATCGCATTAAGCGTGAAACTCGGAGTAGAAACTTGAGACCGTCATGTTCTATACACCAAAATCGTAGATTGATACAGCTAACAACAACTGCGAACAAAATTGTCAATTCAAACTAAGGTAAGGCTCTGGATAGCAATTTTTTGTAAGGTCTTGTGAAATTTATTATGCTAGTAGCATGGGGATCACAAACCCCAACACCCTCTAGTTTTACCATAATAGTAGCGAGACCCTTGCACATAGCAGGCACTGAATGCAGAATATTTGAGGTCCGAGAAAAATTATAAAAACAAATATTGATAAATTTCTATTCTACCTACCTCTGCGCAGTTTGAATCTTGAGAAGCCAATACGGGAATCAATAGTGCTAGGCCTAAATAAAAGAGTACGCATTAAACTAACTATTCAAACTATCCCAAGATTTTTCATAGATACTCACGTCTAAACGAGCTGTAAGACAAGGGGGCCAAAGGCCAAGTACCCTTGTATTTTCTAAAGGCAATGTTGGTCCTATGGCCAATCGCTAGCCCAATTTGGTGACATTTTTAATTCCTTACAGGTAGAAAAATGTTATCTAACGAGAATGTTTGCAACACAGAATGCAACAAAAAACAATAACACATAATGCAAAAGGAAATCTAAAACAACAAAAACCAAACATGGGATATGGCAACACTCAAAACAGGGAACACATATTTATTGACAACAGAAAATAACCCGTGAAATAAGAATCTCGAAAAATGCAATACACTCTATTCCATCCTATATGAATTTTCAATCATTTTCTTAATTTCTTGATTGAGTGATCTTCTGGTGCTATTTTTTAATTAAGAACACGCAAAAAGCTTTTACAAAAATAAATACATCACATTAGGTAAACGAAACCCCTTCCAAACCATGCCACTTACTTTGGAATTAAACTACAAAGAAAGTATACCGTAAATCCTCGAATTGGCCCCCACCCCTCAAAACCCCCCCTTTGAATAAGCCCCCACCATAGAACTATAAATTTTCAATAAGCCCCCCTCAAATAAGCCCCTACTGCTACCGTTTATTCTCGAATCGGGCCCCTCAATTTGACGGTTTCTGCCATCTAAGGTTGCCCATGGCGTTTCATTGAATTACCACGACAAATTCGTACTCTTGGTAGTAATTAATTAAATGCTCATAAAAAAATTCCTACTTAAATAAACAAGGTCTTTTAATAATGTTTCATTATTTGAGAAAGAGCCAGATTCCAGAATATTTTATGGAGCCATTTTCTTCCAATTGTTTGAAATGTTTTTGCTTCACTATTCTTGGGCATACTTTTGTTATGTTTGATTAATTCCATTCTTAAAAATTGAATTCATTACTTTATAAGGCAATATAGAGCCTTGAAGCCAAGGGGGAATTTGCCCATTTGCTCCCTTGCCCCCCCCTCTTTGCGGCCCTGGTTATTTGATGTCTATGATGCCTCTCAGATTGCTAGTAAATCATAGAGCTGGGCGACAGTTTTTGAAAGAACCTTTTCTCAAAAGGACAATTTATAAAAACAAAAGCCTCCAAATTTGTTATTTTTAATTGATTCAAATTGGTCAAGAGACTAGGAATCAACTGTGGCTGAGGTACTTTAGAATGTAATTCTGTACAAAGTTTTTCTCATCTAGAAGTGCTTTGGCGCTGAATTTTTCAAACTTTGTTTGCAAATGGTGCCTGAATACTCCCCTTTAAGCACAATATTTAGCAATTGCACTACTTACACTCTCATGATTCAAAAACAAATTAAGAACAATCCAGCCTCATAGTTCTAATGGTTTTAATGGTTTAACTGAGAGTAAAAAAGCCAGCCTGAACTTCAATTTAATGTTTCTTATAAAAAAGTAAATTTCTCATTCGAAAGTTTCAAGGTGCCGACAGTTTTTTTTCTTTTCTTATATTGGGCTGCCGACGGGGTGTCATTAGGAACTTTTGGGGGGCAGCTGCCTCCCATGACAGCCCATAGTGCCATCCCTGATTTTTTGCATCCCAATTTTGACCTTCTTTTTGGTTCCAAAGCTTAGGTCCGCAAAAAGAAATACGCTTTTACCCATTTCGAGTTGAGTTTTTGACAAACAAATTAAAAATGTTCACAGGCCAAGTAGAAACACATAGTTTTATTTAACCCGGCAAAAAATAGGAGAAGGTAAACAAAAATCTGTATTAGCTAAATAGACCTTTCCCCTAATTACGTCATGGCGCAATGCATTCTGGTACTTGTTGTGAAACCGGTGAATATTTGTTTATGTTTTGTACGGCGATCAGACGAAGTTCTGTTATTATCCCATGCTCTTTGCTCGAATAATCAGACAAATCATGAAAAATACGGCAGAATAAACCCAGAAGCACATTCCAAAGTTTTCACGAAGCTTTGCCTGGAAATCAGCGCTGCTGAAAGTCGTTCCGACGGCAATTTGACAGCGAGCAACGATATGATAAGGCCTAGGCCAAACGAACGGAAAAGTGAAAGATATGGGACCAAGGGGATAATGCTTCTATCTAGTAGTGTGTAGTTTTGATTTCGGAAGGGGCTTTGAGTTGCCAGTTACGCTTGTGCCATTATGTTGAAAAAAGTGGACAGATGTTCAAAATTGGATGCACGAAAACTGTTTTCAAAAAATTTTTGAACCAGCAGTTGTACTAAAGATTGCTTTAAAGCCATTTACAAGGGTTATCCACTTATGGGATTGGTTTTTAAATTTTAAACTAATTTACAAGATTATACTACATCTGACGGTAAAGTCATTCACTGCTTGATGACTAAGATCCAAGAAGCATCTAGAAAAAAACATTGTTCTAGCACGTTTCAAAGCGCACGCACGAACTAGTCATAACCCCTTTCTATTTACGAAAATAGGCCTGTCGCCAGACCCGCTGCCCCGAAGTAAGATTACAGGTCGAGACTGATATGTAGTAGATTATTCCAACCAAAGCTGTGAATTACCAGGTAAACTGTGTACTACGAATGAAATATTTGATGACGAGAGCGGTGCAGTGCTATCAAAATAACAAAGGAGGCTCTTGCACATAATTTTGCTAAAAACAAAAGCAAAATCAGAGATTGGTTAACTTTTGGCATCAACAAAGTGGGCTCAGTCCATCTGGCCCCCCTAGCAATACACCCCTGGATGAAGATATATTAACAACAATGTTACAAAATGAAACCAAAAGGCTTCATTTTCCACATTGCAAGGGGAATTTTGTACCTGCGGCTTGACGAGGAGAAAGGGGTCGTCGAGTTGAAGTCGAAAACTTTTAGTTTCGCTTAAATAATTTGTAACATTTCCTTTTTAAATAAAAATGAACTATACAATGCAACAATAATCTACCTATTGCAGATAGAAATGCATATGTTTATAGGTTAGGTAGAATAAGTTTTTTTACTTGATTATGAATTGAGTTGATGGTACAGATTAATGGTACAGATAAAAATTCACTAATGCTGTAAACGAATTTTTGCAAGGCCATTTGTATCTCTCGAAGGGCCAGGGACTGCGTAAGCAGTTGGCGGGTTGAGGGTCCTTTAACCAAATAATCTAGCCAAAGCTAATTATTTCATTGACCTCATCCCAATTGTTATTATGTTCATCATCACCCTCATCTTCATCGGATCGGCATCATCGTCAGTTCTTGAGCTGAATTAATTTCAATCATCTTTCGATATCAAACATTGATAGTGATGAAAGCCCCATCGAAATCTTTTGTTATGGGTCTTAAATTTGTCCAACTTGCGTCGGTGTTGCCCACGTCGCAGACCAGATCGGAGCCGCTTAAAGGTTATATCATTGAAAGGGGTGTCTGTGTCCATGTCTACCAAGGGTGTTTGTTGTCTATCCGTCCTGCCTAAGTTGAATACATTATGCGCAAGGTTCCTGACACTCCAGGTGTTAACTGAAGTATCAAAATAGCATCATGAACTTTTCGTTAAAAAGTACATAACTTTGCAGATTATATCTTTGTTAATTTTTTCTTAAAAAGTTAAAATATCCGCATTTTTAGACTGAAGAGTAGCTTTGAACAATATTTTCGTGTGACGAGAAGCTTATTCATCGAGACTGATTGAAAACTTAAACACTCTTCAGTTCATCGGGAAAAATACGACCGAGGGGCAAATCACTCCAAGAAAATCTCGTACACTTTGTGGTAAAATCCTATTGTTTTATCTGAAAATCCCTGGAAATCCTTTTGTTTTAGGGAAAATCTCGTACGCTATTTGCAGGAGTGAATTACCCCTCGAATACGACCACCTCAAAAAACACCAATCCAGCACAAGCGTACGCTCTATTATACGGACAAGCCCCCCTGAATCATCGAACAGAGCGCGCATGACCTCCAGAAACACCCTGACTTTTGCTAACAATGAGCCTTTGCGAGGGTGGCAAATTATCCAGGTGACAATCCAAACAATGGCAGTAAACTTCTACGGATTAACCATAATTGATCTCAGACTGTCTGAAAATGCATTATGAGATGCTTGCGTAGTGCAATGGCTCATTGTTAGCAATGAGTCTATAATTTTTAATAGCCTTCCAGGAACATAATTGCAACAATGCCGCTGCCGTCAATAGCGTTTATCTTTTTTGTGTGTGTCAGCCCATGCAGAAAGCTTGCACATGCAGCAACACATGCACTCTTCTACGCCTTTACAGTTTTGTGAAGGGTCAACCCACTTCCACTGGTAGCTACGCCCTGCACTTACCAGCGACAATGACTAAAAGCAAAGCAGAAAGAATTCTCAAGGGGAGAAACAGGTGGGCTCGGCAAAACTATCGACATTAACGGGAAAGAGGATGCCGGGCAGTGGCGTAACGGAGGCAGCAGGGGCCCCTAGGGATTTTTCATTACGCCCTCCCAAAATTGTTAGCATCAGAAAAACAGTAGGAAACATCAACTGAATTCAACAGATTTTCCATTTCTTTTGGACTGATATGCTACTACATGCTTTGGGATCCTTCAAATCGTTCCAGATTTAGGTATGCGCGAGGAACGCATAATTATTTTTTCCTCATTTCCCATCCGCGCATTTTTGCAAAGATAGATTAATCCGTGCAGGCACAGACTTTCGTGTGAATGCCTCACCACGAGGCTTACAAATGATATTCAAAATCAAAATCCCACAGCTTCAGCTATTTTGCAACATTGTTTGTTTCTGCGCAAGCATAAGCGAAGAAAATAATTCCCCGCGCACAAAAAATTACTTTGCACTCTGAAACTCGTTTAGCATATCCTGAACACCAGGCTAATAGTAAAAAAACATGTAAAGTTTTTTTGTGGGAACATGACAACCTGCCACACCACAATCCCTAATAAAGTAATCGACGAATTAAATGGGATGCTCTACACCCCCGACCTGCCATAATACCATACCATATCGAATAACTTACAGATTTAATGCTGTCAAACTGCTAGGCAGTGCAAAAAGTTTTTATTGCCTTCAAGGAGTTATTGCTTCGTGAAGCCTAACAAGCACAAACTTCCGCGTGCTTCATGGCTAAACTGATACCAAAAGCAATCTTCGGCTTGGTTTGCGAACACTGACCATCGGAGTGTCCTGCCGGACGCATTTTAATTTCGCAGTAACTAACCTGACGAGATTAAATATACTAAATTTTATAAAGCTACTTACCAAAGGCCAGGAATATTAAGCTTCTCATTTTTTGGCCAAGGTTGCAGAAGACGTGCAACCCCAATTAACTCTCGGCCGAAAATGCTGTCTCGTCTCTTGCTTCTGCTTTGTCTCTTATTCTGCCCATTTACTTCCGGAAAGGATTTACCTCGCATGCGCTGTTCGAAAAAGCAAATTCTTTGGCATATGACTATGATCCGAAATTGAAACAAGGAAATGGACAAAATGGAGGAAACCAATAACATGACAAGCCCAATGGGCCAAGCCCAAGTCGACTAGATGGGAGCAATGGCACATCCAAGTTGCAGGTTGACGGCGCATTTTAAAAACTAGATAAATTCAATTTAAATCTGGAAATATTTATAGTTCTGCAGCAGCTGGCAGCTGGCATTTTCGGGTGATTTATGCGCACCCGTACATGAGTTGCAGGGCTGTTGTCCCACACGGGATCCTATCAAAATTAGCAATACTCTGCAAACCTGACTTGTCAAAAGAATTTTTATTATACTTTTCATTGTAATATTTATTTTGTAATTTTTGTTAAGCCATGATTTTATAAGCAGCTGTTTCTTTGCATATAAATACCCTATTAACCCGAATATAAGATCACCCTGTATAAAGGCCCATGGGCTTATACCCGGATATAGAGGGAGGCTGGCCATTACCCCTAATTTTTTTGCAAAACAAAAGAGCTTTTTGCAAAAAAAATTTCGAAAGCCCTTAATGTTCCCTTTTATGAAAATATTGATTGATTTATAAATGATTTTCTTATGATTTTCGGTTTGTTCGGTGGTGGCTGAAAACTTAAAGAATATCAAACGGCAAAGAATGAATCTACTTGCACGAGAAGAGCAGCTATTTTGTCCAAGTGTGTAACCACGGCGACCGACAACAACAACCCTAAACAAAAATGTCCATGTTAATTGAGTGGAGAGCACTGACTTCGCATCAAAACACCTGCGCTACTATCAAAACATAACTGATTGGATTAAAGAAGTAGATACCTTCGAAAGCCTCTTCACAAGCAAGATTATAGCAAGCCTGATAGTGGACAAGTCGGCGATAAATCAGCACTTATCTTCAGCCTTTTCAAGCCCAAAAGATTAGAGCAAAATCACAGAGAAGTAAGACGACATGGTTCGCCCTTCCATCCCAACTTCTGGAAATCTTGTCGCTGATGATCAAATCTGGTAAGCAGGGCTATTAAAAAGCAAGATATTTGACAAACCTTTTACTTGCAGTTGAAAAAATATTTTATTTTCTGCCGCGATGAAACAAAGTTAAATAGCAACCCTATTGAAATATGCTTTTTTATCATTCCGTTTTTAGGCTTTTGCTTCAGTTACTTGTATGCCTAAGTTCGATTGGGATTTTTCTTACTTTAAGAATAAGAAGTGTAGAAATAATGTAATTAAAATTTTTCAAATCAACAGAGGAAAAGAGATTGAGATTTTTCTGTAGTTGGCTGGTTCTTATATTTGTTTCCGTAGCAGTGCATTGATATTCAAACTAAGGTGCATTGTTTTTCAGTGATTTCTTTGTGGTTGCGTAATATCAACCGTTCTGCCCTTGAAATATCAAGTCAAGGCCACATTCACTTGAATTTCGTTTGACTGAGAAGTGCCAAAAATCTATTATGGAATCCTTAAAATTGACTTCCATATATGTTTTAATATTACAGAATAAAATGTTAAATTGTCAGATGCAGACTTACAATCCTCATTAGAAGCTATAAAAAGGAAATTTTCCTGCCAATATTTTATTCCACAGAGTTTACCTAAATTTTGATGAGCTGCAAAATAATTTAAAATTATGGCAGATTGCTACTGCCCTACAGGGGGTAACTGAAATAGGGAATACCCCTTGTACACATTTCTAGTATTTCCATTAAAGCGACTTCACTACCAGTAAAATCATGTGATTATAATGTTCTGCCAGCAAACCAGGTTCTGAGTTATATAATAATCAATTTATTTAAAGTTGGCACTACATAGCTATTTACAGTGAGATGAGCTAATCCAAGCCAACTGTTAAGGCTACTACATCAAATAAATACTAACTACATCAAATGAATAACTCCATGTTGAAAAACAACTTCACCTGCTGTTATAAAACAACCACCAGCTTTGCTGCATGTAATTTCATTCTCTGTAATGATGTTAAAGAAAGTTCTCAATGTAACAGGCAAGATATTATTAACCAAGAAAAAGCACAATTAAACATTGAATTTTCTTTTACACTTTAGGAAGGACCATATTCACCATGAACATAGTGCTGCTAAACGCTGGCCAGAAAACTGGGGTTTTCTTTCAGATATGAGCAGAGAAGTAAGTTGAAAAGTATAGGTTGATAAATTTAGATATTCATTGTTTTTGGATATGAATATTTTTATACTTTTTCCAAGTTTTGTTTGACCAATAATCTTGAACTTTTTCAAGTCATAAAAGAACAAATCTTCTTTCCAGATAGCCGGAGAAGCTCCAGACACCCAAAATGATGAGCCGGCAGCAATAAGAATCAAGAATAGAAGGGAGGCATTGAAGTTGCCTCCCATTGATCAGAGTGCATTAACTCAACTCTCTGTGGGAAAACCAACACAAAGTGTGCCAAAAACCACATCAAAGATGATTGGATGGAGGAGCTCGGAGCAGCAGTGCCAGCTAGAGCGATATGGGAGATACACAAAAAAGCAGCAAAACTTTCTAAAATCCATGAAATGGCCATTAGAGTCAATCATCTAGGGTTTTTCTAAGGGAACTGAGGTAATATGTTTTTAGCATTGGAGCTGGGAGTTCAAATGGCAGTGCTGCAGAGGTCTTTAAATAGAGGGTTTGCCTCTGTATTTATACCGAGACATAAAATGAATCTTCAGAAGGCTGAAGGGTACAAATTTCTACTGACAGTAGGCTTATTGCAATTTGTTGCTTAAGTTATAACTTACAAAACCTTAACCAAGTTTGGTAGGGTCATTCCTTTCTTAACTGAGACAATTTTTGGTATTAGCATTGTATTTTGATATTCTTTGACCTACATAAACATTAGAATTATTACTTAGATAACTCTCAAATACGACTAATTCAAAAAAATCAGAGATTTTGAGAAGGGGCAACAACCCACACCCTAGGTATTTATGTGCCTGCTTCTATAGATATATTGGTAGTATCAAATTTGGAATAATTAAGAAATAAAGACAAAATGGATAGCTTAAATGGAGCTGTACCTGTATGAAGACACTTCCATCATCTCTGCAAATACTGATTATCACCACCATTTGCAGTGAAAAGCTCCAATATGAATCAGATCTAAAAACTGTTCTCCTGGGTTTCCTTCTTTCATAAATTCAAAAAGAATGTGGCACTTTTAGTATGGCAGCATCCCAAGCTAACTTATTATTTCATAAATTAGCTCTCTTTTTCTTATACTTTAAAAAGCTAAAATAAATTTGTTATACCTGTATTTAAACTCATTTTTAAATATAAATATGCAAACAATTTACATTGTCAATTGATTTTTACTGTTACTGTTACTATTGTTGTATTGCTTGAGTAAACTTTTGATATCTCAGCTTTTGTTTTTGTTCCGTGTCTAAAATGAATCAACATTTAGGATTGAGCAGTATGGCAGCAGGCCTGCCAGAAAAAATGTCCCTGTTCTGGAATAAACTACTGAAAACATGATCCCTGTGCTGGCATAAGGTTTTTAAAAATAATACCATTTCTCAACTATGAAAACATGATCCCTGTGCTGGCATCAGGTTATTAAAATAATACCATTTCACACCTAAGACCCAGGAAACTGAGATGATTGATCTAATAACAATTTTACTGATAATTCATTTTGTGAATTTGTATTGAGCAACATTTTCATGTTCACGTATTTTTAATGGCCATTCCTAGGCTGGAAAACTGAGAAAAAATGCATAATCCTGTCCCAGAATTTTAAGCCAAAAATAAGGCTCTGTTGGCATGCACATACCCAGGTAAGCCGTCTATTAGGTAGATCCAGTAGGGTAGTGCTAAGAAAATAACAAGGGGGGCTCTTGCACAAAATTTTGCGAAAAACAATAGCAATAATAGAAATTTGCCAATTTTTGACATCAACAGCACCCCTGAGGACCCCTAGCTCTACACCGCTGGGTAGACCCTCAATGGTCCGAATTTTATGATGTTTGAAGACAACGTAAATTCGTTATGCAGGTCGAACGACATCTTCAAGGTGTTGAAAAATATAGATAGGCTGTAGACCGATACCGATGCGACACAAATTTAAAACAACATTTAAATGTTCTTTATAAGTTCTGATCAAATAAGATCCTTTGGACAACGATGTTTGGAATATCAGTAACATTTAACTGACAGACAAATTGACATTACATGGGGAATGACACCATGCTGCTCAGTTATGAAATAATATCCAGGTGTTTCTGGGTGGCACAATTATGTTCCATTGTCCTCGCAGGTGTTGTAAGACTGGTTCACACTTGTGGAGCGGTCATTTCGTTAGTCCAGCCAGTGGTACCCATTTCGTTATTCAGTGGAAACTGATGGGTTGAAAAACATAGTCTAAAGCCTCCATTTTATAGGAATCTTTCTAATGGCTAATGATGACTCTCCTATCGAATTGGCTTACATGAATGTATAGAAACCAGTCAAAATGAAGTTTTCATAAAGAATATGTAGGACTAAAGCTAGCAAAGCGTTGTTTTCAGCGGTCTATCAAGTTTAAGTTTGATTTAAATTAAGGGTCAGGCAAGAAAAAATGAATTATGGAAAGCTGAATCAAAATCTATTATTTCTGAATTTTGAGACGAGAATAGCCAATCTTGGATCGAGATGAAAACAGCAGATTCTGCAGAAAGTAAAAAGCAAATTTAAAGAATCATTCATCTAAGAGAATGAATAGTAATACCAATTAGGAGAAAGCTAATAAATACATTTATTCAATACAACAGTTGATTCACACCGACCAAAAATTATATACTGCAAACAAAACACAAAGTCTTGTATGTCATTAAATTTAATTACATATTCTTCTTTTGGCCCCTGCATAAAACGCAAACTTAATACATAGCAAAACATACCTTAATTTTCATTTTAGCCAATATCCGCCAAAATAATCTTTTAAACGTCTCGCAAAAAAACGTAAAACTGCCAAAGTAGAAAATTTTGAAACTCAAAGAAATGAAACAGATTTATTTTGAGTCTTTTAGGAAAAAAGATGAAATACGATTGTAAAGTGCACCTTTCAAAATCCCCTCAATGGATCGAGGTTTTTACTATATTACAATATTCTTAATGGAAAATTTTCAAACCGGAATCTGAAAATGGTTACGAAGTTGACTTTCCTAAACCGAAACTAACAAACATTAGGTGACCTCTTGTATAGATTCCTACTCATCGTTTTGTTTGACTTGTCCCGATTAATTTAACATACGACGTTCTTGCTGGCCCAGATAAACACGTGGCCTCGACATGTCCTTCTGATCGCGAGTTTGGTTCAGTTGGCGTGTAGAATACTGGAATACGAATGAAACTTTTTGGCCTGGGAAAAGTAGAAAAACTACCCGTTAAAAGCAAGAAGAGACAAAATTAGAAAAGATACGGATCTAGACGGAAGGTCAAAATGACCTGGCATTACAGAGGATGCTGAGAGACTTACTTGATGGCCAATTTGTTGAGCTTCATCGAAAATGGTGGCTTTATCCCACTAAACCTCACCTGAAAATTAGTCAATAGGAAATCAATACACAAATTCAATAACCACTTTAATGAAATTAGAGCTAAAGATTGAGCTTTTTGCGAAATCCTAACATGTCAAAAGGTTAGATTGTAATTTGATTGCAGACCGTTGATGAGTAAGTATATATTTCTAATATTAATATTAGCTTAGAACGAAAATACACGCTTAATACAATCGCGAAAAGAAATAACTGAGACAAGCAAATGGAAAATGGCATAGATTTTATGGAAGTCACCATAAATATTCAGACCCTTGTCACTAATATGTTAAAGAGTGGAAATTACGACGGAAATGTTGGCATATGCATTGTAAAAGTTGCTCGACCAGCTTTCACTCAGCTTTGGCAGTAATAATTCATTCCTTGATCTCCAAAGTCTCTTCAAGCTTGCTCATATAATGGGTCCAGAGAGAAAGCTTTCGAAGTTGTCTGATTAATATTAAACTAAAAATATCTATCAACTATTTACAGAATTAAAAGCGTTCTCGGGAAGTAAAATCCCTAATTTTTTAATCGAAGTGTTCTTACAACATGCTTCGCCTAACATCTTTACAACACGTGTTTCTACAACTAAATATTAATGCATACATTAATGCAACTATATTTATTTGTATGCGCCATCGCAGGATTCTGACAGCAATATTTCTGTTTTCGAGCGTCATTTTAAACGTTGGCCTTAAATAACACAGCTTTTTAATACAATTAAAACATTTACCTTTTGCAACTCTTTGGTATCGTTGCAAAGCTTAAACTGCATCTCAGTTGTGTCTCCGATGCTCGTCATTTTGAAATTTAGAGTGTCGTCCTTGACAAAAATGCCACGGTTTTTCTTTTCAGCTTTTGATCTAAAACACCAAGCAATTAGAATTCCTTCATATAACACAAAGACATGTTTATTTTTGAAAGAGCACACAGAAAATGTTTAGTAAATATAGAGCAAGAGTATTTATAAACAAAACTAAGATTCAAGGAGAACATCGTGCACCCTTGCAACACAATCTTACAATAATGAATAACGTTGCATGACAATCAATTTACCGTTTGACATGTTACTTTTGAAAATAAATCAAACAAATTTTCGTGCTAATGGGGTATAGGCTCTAAGTACTTTCCAGGTGTCCTAAACTAATAAGTTTCTACAAACATTGTCGTAGTTTTTCTGAACTTGTTTAAGTCTGCCTAAGTCTATATTGTTAACTATTTACAAATTCAAAAATTAAAAAACATTAAAAAAGATCAAAAAAATTAAATAAATAAAAAATAAAAAAAATCAAAGAAAAGTAAAAAAATAAAAAATTCAAAAACATTAAGAAACATTAAGAAAAATAAAAAAAGTAAAAAAAAAATTAATAAGAAAATTAAAAAAAATTCAAAAACTTTAAAAAATTTATGTTGTATGTAATGTTTAGGTAATCAATGCTATGCTTTCAAAAATGGTTCTTATAAATAATTAATTACTTAAGACCGAAGACACTCAAAAAGATCTACATGCTGACTCGAATATGTTGTCAAAACACTGCCCATAGGAAGTTACTACCCATGTTCACATAATACCACTATTTACCGATGGTTGAGTATGCCAGGCAGTGATGTCTTGACAATTTTTTAAGTGCACAAAATAATTTATAATAGATTATTCTGCATCCAGCATAGGTTGTTGGCATCACCAGTACTAGGTCTTGTTTCTCAAATCTATTAACCTGGTAAAACAATCAATTCATTTGAAAAGCTCAGCCTTTTCGCTTGCTGTATCTCTGTTCATTTCCAACAGAATTGACTTTATTTACTTTTGTAGGTATTTCCAGGCGTCTTACTGGTTATGTGATCAAACATTCTGATAACATCTTTTTACGATATCAAACTTAAGAATTCAATTGCTTCTAAATGGACCAAAGTTTTGCCAGCAATATATCAACAAGTACTCTATTGGAATAACGATGCATACCTAGCTCCGTCTTCAACTGACTTCGAAGTCTCCTTTGCGCTATTCTCGCTAGACTCATCTGAGTCTTCCGGCGGTTTCAAGATAGGATGAGCTCTACCAACAAGTTTACCATCTTCCTTTGACAGATTTGCTTCGGAAAATACTCCCTGTGTTATGTAGAATGTCTTATTACAAGAAAAAGAACAGGCCTTGCATCACAGGCCCAACTTGTGTTGGGTTCTGCACACATTATCTTATTTCATGCCTTTTTGCATTTTGCAGAAAGGTTTTTGTCGATATGAAGAAAAACTTAAATTTAATAAAAATTAGCTTCTTCCATCTTCTGGTTTAGCAAATTAAGGAAAAAAGAAACTGTCAATTTTAATAACTATGGATTTGGAATATAATTTTCTACCTAACTTCCTACATGTACAATTACACTGAAAGTCATAATTTCCCAAAAGCGAGGGTTTTGTATAAATGTAGGCCTGTTAGTGGTGAAAACTGCTTTAGTTTAAACTATTTAGACAAGAACTTTTCTGTCGAGCGGCAAAACACTACTGAAGCAAGAAAAGCAACTACTTGGGCAAATGTCCCATGATGGCCAATGCATTGAAAATCACCTCTCTCACTGAGAAAGAACAGTATAAGCCAACGACTACAAAATACAACTGTGTTATATAGTGTTATTGTTGTAAACATACTGGATACTTTGTTATTACTCCGAATGTTTTGTTTCAGTCGATCAATTGAAAAGAGTATTAAAGGATTGTTTAACGATTCTGTGAAAATTATATTCGGACTCAGTAACGCAGTCCAGCTCTGATAGTTCCAGGTGTATTAGTGGATAATGAAAAGATCCCTCACCTTCCCTCTAAGTTCAATTCTGGCTTTACCAGTCTCTCCTGTTGCATCGACTGCCACCTATTAGGAAACAACAAACAACAAAATCACCTACTTCCTCGCTGCTTGAAGTGATTTTTACTAAGCATATTAATTTATTTAAGTGAGGAAATTGGAAGAACGCTTTACATAACATTATAGATTATGAATACTTAAACATGCTCTTTTGAATATTTTTCTGTCAGATTACTTTTAAGAGACACCTTTTCTTAGCAACAACTGACCTGCAAATCCCAAAATTGTGAGTACTCCCCAGAGTCACGGGGCTGAAAAGTCACTTGAATCTACGGGAAGAAAGAATTAACATTAATGATAATTGAGGTCCTTCAATGATAAAGGATCTTTAGAAAAGAGAGTCATACCCTGATCACAGCGATCTTCTTAACAATAATTGTTTCTGTGAATATTGTCAAAGAAAATGCCAAGAGAGTTAGGATTCAGGTGAATGCAATAAAACGGGAAGGTGATGAAGGGGCGTTGGGGTGATAAGGGTGATGGATGTGCAGTGAATGATGTTTTGACAGAGGCAGAAAAACATTGAGCTAATGGTAGAGATCAGGGAGAAGAAGAAGGACGAAGACGTGAAAAGACAAATTGCGTGGATAGGGGCAAGGGTTTGCGGGGTTACCATGAGATGGAGAACTGATGAATTGGTGTGAGTGACGGAGATGTTAATCACTGAAGAATAAAGTTGATGACAGGGCAAATGGCGTAGACAGGGGTATGGGATTGGAGGATAATCAGATGGCGCGAAAGAAATGGCAGAAATTATAAGCTGGTGTGGCTGACAGAAATGTGGATCACACAAGAAAGAATTTGATACTTTGAATTTGATAAGTGATATTTAGGTTTCTTATTTTTATTGGCCCACGTTAGAAAGTGATCAAGTTAGTCTTGGCACACAGTTTTTTCATGTCACAAGATGTACTTTGTTTTAAAATTGTACGGAAAACAGAAACATATCAAAATATAACGTTTTGCCTCTTACATTCTTAAATTGACTGCTAAATTTCATCCACAAAACTGGCGGTTTGATTAAGCCCTTTGCGAAATTATTTTAGTCAGTAAGTCCCTACCTTCCTTCCCTTTGTTTACTTAATTATTATGCATGTAAATAAGTTATGTAAAACGCTATTCACATGTAAAATTAAGTAGTTGTTGTAATGTCTTAGGTGCGGGTCGAAAGTAACGCGAGAGGAAGTACGATGAATTTGCTTGACTGGTAATAATATTGCAGTGCCTTAATCCAAATTTCTTATTGACTGTTGTAGAATCTAGAATTTTTGAAAAATTGTTTTTGGCTGTCTGACCTTCTGTTTCAAAATCTAAAAACAGAGATTTCTGCTACATAAAATTATGTGCTACTTCTTACCGTGGTGATTTCCTTTGGCTGCAGTGTACCTGAGTGTTTTGTGAAACGAAATGCAGTGTAGGTTGTTCGAAAGATATCACCGTTTTCACTCATGTCTTTGAAGTATGGCGGAGCAATGGAGCTGAGAACCCATTGCATTGTTAATGAAGAGTTGCTCTCTATCTTCACAAAGCTCTCTGAGTGGAAAATAAAGAAAAAGCAATCCATTGAATTCAGATGATGAAATGATTATAGAAGCAACCGTCTCTACTAAAAGACCAAACATGTCTTTGATGCATAAGCTCGTAGTAAAATTCGAAAGTATGCGATAATAATTTGTCTATCTCAGCTGTCAATATCCACAAATACAACGCTTGAAGATACGCACCTTGAAATCTATTTACAATGGTGACTGGGAACACAACACTTGTTGGTTCGACCAAAACCAGAGATTTCAGTTTGACCGGCTGCTTGTTTTGCAATGGCGTATGGGACGGATTGAGCGGTGCGAGTCTCTTAGCAACACCAGTGAAGGGCGAGCTGTCCAGTGCTAAGTCTTCCCTTATTTGAACTCGAATGCACTGGGAAGAATACAAAGTGAAGTTGGAGCAAATTCAAGCACAGTTGTCCTATCGCATCGTGCATTCGATTTACACATACTACATTGCTTTGTAATAACAAATCAAACAATATATCAATTATAAACAGCCACAGAACAAAACTAGAGTTGTCAAATCGATTTTCAAGAATATTCAGAACAACATTATCAACATGAATATACTAGAACATCAAAATATAGGTCTACAATATAATTTTTAAAATAAAGACATCACTTGAGTATGTATCACCTAAATATTAGACATTGAATAAATTTGGATAAGCAAATTATAAACCTCTACTGGACGGAATAATATTCAAAGCTGGTATCTTAGTCATTTTTATAAAAAATAGCCAGTACGTAGAATTAGGAAATATGAGGTAAAAAAGAGAAAACTTTGCATTGCTGTCACGCAAGGCTACCTTTTGGGTGCCTTCACATTGAACGTAAATACATCCACGCCAAGGTAACTCCCCTCCAGTTGACAAAAACGATGGTTTGGTCGATACAAAAACGATCAACTGACTCCTGAAAAAAGATGTTAACGAAATTAAACGTTGCGAGCACGGCAAAAAATCTAAACATTTCAAAAATCAAGAATGAATCCAAAATTAAGTGAAAATAAGACAGGAAATAGCTTAATTTGCACATAATGTAAGGCTGGGTCAAACGTAGCTTCCCTTTGGAAGGCCAAATTTTCTCATTTTACTTGATCAAATTGGAGTTACAAATCTCAGTCTAGGGAGCTTTGTAGAAAAACATGCACTCTTTCTTGTAAATAGCATCCACACTCACGACACATTTTCTGTCATAAAAAATCAAAGGACCGAAATGCTGAAACAATTCTAGATCGCACTACTTTGCGAACAAACCTTGGAGGAACATTGTCTTTACTTGGCGTTATGATAAGGCTTTGTGCCGGCCAGCTGAATTCAAACCTTTCAAAAGAAAAGTTTTGAGAATAGCCATAAAAAAGAGAAGCATTATGGGAAGTTTGGGGGTACTGCAGAAACGTTGGGGGTTTTGGGGCACTGCAGAAAGGTATATTAACCCAGGAGTTTGTTTAAATGCAACTAAGAAATAGGAAAACAAGCAAAGGAACGAATGGAACAAAGCAATAAATATAAAAGAGCTTTTGTGAAGTTTACATTTGTCAATCTTTTTTTGTTCATCACCATCATTTTGTTCTATAAACCCATTGCAGAACAACGAAAAACTTGACACAATTAAACTCCGTATAAAACTTCATGTGCCTGGAGAAACTGCATTAAATATTTGCTGCACTAGGAATACGAAGTTGATGTTACTCCCCAAATGCATTCTTACCCTAAAGGTTTATCCGAATAATTGATCATTTGTATTCTTGCAGTTGATTTATCTGAAACTGAATCACAGAAACGTCAATCAAATAAATGGCAAGGTGCTTTGAGGGTTCAATATAGGTAATTTATTGCCATTTCATGCACGAATAATTAGCCACTTTTGTTGTCAATAAATATAAATTGAATAACACTTGAAACCTATTTCTATATCTCTTTATTGTTCGATTTGAGTTCAAACAGAAATTAAAACGAAACCTTGTTCCTTGAAGCCCTCAACATCGATATTATAGCCTACAATGCTAAGCTTTATATTTGTCACAAGTGATGATCGTAAAATCGCAGTAATCAACCTTTCGTTTCATGTGTAAAAACAAAACCACATACCTGTATTCGGTGCCGTTAAGACAATGTGCTCCGGTGAAACAGCCCAAATGTCCTTCTGCATTTCAGAATCAGGGTCTAATGACAAATCTTTAGGCCCGTTCTCACCTTAAACGCAAATTTTAGCGCTAAATTACAAACTAAACCCTTAAGGAAACAAAAATATTAAGTGGTAAAACACATTGATGAACCTCTGTGCAAGCTGGTATATTCTTATTTGAAATTAAGGAATAGCTTCAAGGACGGATCGTCACATCAGAGAAATGCACAAAGCGAATTAAACAGTTGAGGACATTAAGCATGAAACTCGGAGAAGCAACATAGAATCGTCCTGTTCTGTACACCGAACAGCGTATACAGCTCTGTCTATACGGTGTAGAGCACTTTATGACAGACCGGTAAACAGTTATTTTCATTACAAAGCGAATTAGATTGAAAATTTATGAAGTTTATGGCAAAAAGGCCAAGTTCTTGACGTCATAGAGGAAACAACCGAAAGGAAAGCGATGGCATAGAGAAAAAAATACTAGATTTGATGTTTACGATAGCTGATTATAACTGAAAGACGGGAAGGAACAGCCAGTTGGACGATTCAATTTTTCTGGCTCTTCATGCTTTGTATAAAACATCGATCAAGTACCTCGTCGAGGGGCTTCTTTTGGCAGTGGCCTGGCTGGGGTTTGATTCACTATCAAATCTTTAGGATCGAGTCCTAGTGGTGCTGTTGATGACTGTGTTGAGTGCATATCGGTGGCAGAGGGTCGTAAAACCAAACTGACAACAGTCCTTGAAATCGCACTCACAAAGAAGCTCTCCCAATTAGGAATGTCCGGATACTTAATTTCTGAAAAGCAAACTGGGTTGGTTAAGCATAGATGGAATATAAACAATTTTGCATATCAGTTCCCCTTTTTACTTTAACATGCATTCTACAATTACAAGTCATATATGGTATTATCCCCAAAACAGCTTTTAAATTATTTGAAAATTATTGTTCTAGGTCTTAACTAGTAAAGAAAATGGAAGAAATGCAATCAAAATGAAAAATTAAGCAAACTGAATTTTTCAGTCACTAACCGTTGATTACTTTATCTTCATCCATGAACGGGGCGTCAAATACCAGATTCTGCATCGGTCCTTCCCTCATGATTGGCTTTTGGCTTGTGCTAGTTTTGTTTCTATGAGAAGAATGAGCAGCAATATAACAGACATGCCAGATTTTTCTTTTACCTTCACCTTCATTTATTTTTTCAATAACATACGCCAAGGCTATCTCCCATAAAATTTCGCCACATTGATCGAGCGCAATATCTCATTCTAAACTCTCTCCCTTTTCCTCCTTTGTTTTCTCTATATTCCAACATATATGTTTAATCACGAGGCTCGAAGTGGCAACTTAGAACCACCCTGTTTTATGCACCAAAAGGGACATTTGCCATTGAGATAAAAAACCACATAATACACATAGATACTGATATGTTATCATCAGTCATCAACAGGGTACTGGTAAGAACTCAGTGATTGTTTTGAGTCCAATCATGCCGTAAGCAATGGTTAACATGCTTTAAAACTCATTAAAGGCTCTTGTGCAGCCGGGATGCTTTGCAACTATATTTTCGAATCCGGCCTAATATCGTACTGCGTGAAAATACAAAATACAGCGTATTTGTTCTCATGTAAGAAAACAGCTACCACAAAGCATACAGGTTGCTCAAGAGCCTATCAAAAGTGGGGTGCAGGATTAACGTGGCACAGCAACTAAGATATAAATAAAACAAATAAACAGAAGCTAGTTGCCTAAAAAAATGAAGTGATCACTTTAGACAAGATTTGTAGCAATATTTAGCGCAGTAGCGATTTTCAGGGGCGGAAAACTTCAAATCGAAACAGGCATTTCTGAAGAAAGAGGTCAATTTACACGAGAAATGGTGAAAGGCAAGGAGACTTACTTTCTGTATAGCTGTCTTAAAGATTCATCACCACTGAAAACAGCTAAAAAGGCAGCTGCTGATGGCTTAACGCTCGCTGTTTGTAGTACAGAATCTGTTGCTTGGATTACGATCACAAGTTGCTGATAACAGAAAATATTGATAATTTACTTGTGAGCTGTTTTTCTCAAATGAGAAAGCAACGATGGGGAAATTGAGAAAATACAGTGTCAATTTTGCTGGGAAAGTGGCAACGAGTCCTAAGGGCAAATGACACGTTCACAGAACATTGTACAGCAACTTACAACATGATAAAGATCAAAGATAATAAAACAAAATGATCTTAATGACTGTACAACGCATTACATAGAAATGCAGGTGCAAGAAGTTTTAGATACGCATTGGCAACATATCCCATTAGGTTTTGGCCTCTTTTAACCAGAGCCTCTTACCCATTAGTACATGGACCAGATAAGAGTACAGAATGAGCAATAAAACATGCCACTTTTGGAGTAGTCCTTCTTTAGGTTGGAAATGGTTCGTCCTAGTAATCTAGTCCAAATTGGGCTTAAAATAAAGCTTACAGCGTGTGAAAGGAGAAATGCTGTAATCTGTCAAGGCAAAGAAAGGAATCTTGACTGTTATGCGACCTACCTTGGAACATTTTTCGAGTAGAACGAAGTCATTAGGGGCAATGCTAATATGGCTGCTTGGGTATAACTTTCGCTTACTGACATCTGGATAAAAAATCATCAATCATTAGGAAGAAAAAACATCAAGTACAAAAAAGATGCGCTTGTTTGCAATTTCATAAGAGACTATCGAAAAAGCAATGTTTGTAGAAAAGTTAAGCTCAAGAGAGAAAAGTGATTGGTGTTGGGTGATTGGTGTTGGGTGATTGGTGTTGGGTGATTGGTGTTGGGTGATTGGTGTTGGGTGATTGGTGTTGGGTGTTTGGTGTTGGGTGATTGGTGTTGGGTGATTGGTGTTGGGTGATTGGTGTTGCTTGATACAATTTCAGATAACTGAATGGCCTTCACGATTTCTGTTATTGAAACCAACAAAACTTAAATCGGAACTGGATACGCAACATAGGCTTCTATTACATGTGGTAACTTAGACTCCGTATGAACAAAAAAAACATACCAGAATAACAGACAATCTTGACAAATGCAGCTCTGTTGCCAACATTTTGAAGAGAAAGGTTTACAATGTTCTGCTTCCCTGCATACACCTGTAAAAACAATATTTAGCATTTCCTACTGCTAGGTACTGTAGAAGACAATCGCCTTACTTATCCTATCCCCGAGGAAGCCTTTTTAACAGCCGTGAATAGTAAAGCAACCTAGTGGGTCCAAATTATATGATGCTGAATCCTGAGTGCGGTACAACCCATATTTGTCTTGTTACCATAGAAAATTGTTTTGCATCTAATAGGTACCGATCCGGGTCTGGTATTTATACTGAACCGGTGGGTGAATCGATTAAACCGAATTCACCTCGGATAACATACTCCAATGAACACTGATAACTTACTAAAGATCCGGTTCAAAGAGAAGCTAGTAACTTGAACGCGAGTCAGTCTTGATGTTGTAATGATGAACCACAAAAATCTCCACAACAAACTATGCGCTGGAAGTGTGCTGTTTTTAAAATCCAAGTTCTAAGCAGATATATCTTTTAGCGTTAATAAGTTTCCCTATTCTCAATAAATTAATGAGTAAAGCAAATTTATTACAGGAATGGAAAGAGATTTCAGTTGTTCTTGACTAAAGATACTTGTACGCGTATTCTTAATATACACTGGATATATAAAGCTACCACCTCACAGCAGGCAGGGAAGGGTGACGAGCGAGCGTCAGGCAATGGGTGCACAAACGGCCTAGAAGATAGATTGATTAATACAATGCTACAAACGAAACGTTCTACGGATCAAAACAATAAGATTACCTCGCCAGCATCAATCCAGTAATTGTCCCCCACTTTCTGAGCGTTAGTCAACTGCAGTTTACTACAACCACCATACCCATGCAGGGGGATCTACATAACAAAATAGTTCAAATTTATAGATTATTGAACCTGCTTAGAGTCTTTTATATATGGGAAACTAATGTATTTGTAAAGTAATACAGCTTACAAATCATGAGATCAATTAAAATATTGGATTGTGACAATGATAAATGTATAATGGCACTAATTTCCACATCGTGACATTTTTTCAATAAAGAAAAAACAGAAACATATATTCTGAACCAAAATAGGTATATGATCATATTATCGAATTATATTATCAAATTAAACCATCCAAGGACATCTGCGAATACTTGATTTTCTAATTCTGCCAGTTGCAACCTTTTGCATAAAATAAGGTCAATAAACTGTAAAAGCAGCTCAAAAGTCAAGTCATGGCAACAGACTCAAATTGAGCCTGTACCATTTATGAAATAGGAATTTTATAATTAGCCTCTATATCACGTGATTAATGACGTACTTGATTGTGCACATTATCATTTTTTTGCAAATCTGAATATCGAATTATAAGGGAACTTGGTCTGTAAATTTTTTATAGAGGCCATCGTGAAATTATTACTTCGGTATCTGGCGCTACTTTTCAAAGACGGTCAAAATGTAAATCCACAATGGGGCGTATTATTGTAAGAAAATGCTTATATGTAGTCCTAGTCTAATGAGCCCAAATCAAAACAGAGTCAAAGAATTTTTTCATATGATTTGAACAGAACAATCATTTCTACAAAAGAGATGTAATTGCAAAAATTAAATGGCCTGTTTGATGATGCTTCTGCCTGATTAACATGCCACATGATATTGCAACTAGCATTTTTGGAAAAATTAGATTGCTTGACTTTTCAATTACATTTGTAATGCAAAAGGAATACACAGTAAATACGTTGAGGATTTTCAGTACCATAAATTTTGGTCCATCACCGGTAGGTCGAATGACCAAAGAGCTGGATATTATACCAAATGTGGATGGAACAAAAAGCACGTGTACAGGGACCTCGCTCTGGAAGTAAAGAAGAGTCAAAGAATCAAGTTATCGTTTGTCTTAGAAAAAGATTTACATTGCTGAGAAAAATGATTCTACCTAAATAGGGCCAAGAAAAATAGCTTTCTTACTCTTATCTGGTTTCAAGAACAATTGATTCTCTTTTACCAATCCGTATCTAATTTGTTCCTGTACCTAATTATCTAATCTTATCTAATTTGAAAAATTCTCCAGTCTTATTAAAAGTTCTTAGCTAACAATTTATATTTATTTGGTTTTATCAGATACAAATGTGGTAAATAAAACGTAGATCTGTGAAAAGCGAAGAATTTAAATCCAAGAAAAATAAAATATATATAAAATGTAGAATTTTTATATTGTTTTGGCAGATGTTGATACAGTGCTGATGGTGTGCAATATTCATTTGAAAAATTTTTCACAGAAAGATTTATTCGCAAAGTGAAAAAGACATTTCAACATGTTTTGCTGTTTTTTGTCTTTATGAAACACCTTGTGGCTACGATGGCTTAAAATTCAAATTATTCACCTGAGGTTTCAACGTGACTTCGTGGCTGTTTTCCGCTCTTTTCTTGAAATCAAAGGTATTTTGAACCTGTTAAAAGAAAAGAAATAAGAAAATCATAAGATGTCACAGCCTCATGAGTCTTCCATGGCAGCGTACAATCCAAATTGTTTAAATACACCCATGCTTTTTAGTGATTTAGATAGCAAAGATGTGAATAGAACTCATACCTGAAAATCCGAATGTCCACCTTCAACTGAAATGCACATATTCAGATCTTGTTTCAATGAATTGTTCCTCAAGTACGCCCTCTGCTGCCTAAAATAACAGCAGAAATTGAAATTTATTAAGCAAATGCAAAACGTAACTACTTACTTCACTATGGTGCCAAAAGCAGAGTCTCCTGCGATTTCGATAATCTTAACCAAAGTATCTTTGCATTGGAAACTTCTTTCAATGAGCCTCTGCGCAGGTGACCAAACAATTGCGGTAAACTACTACGGAAATTCCTGCGCAGCGCAATGGCTCGAAGTGAGCAATGAGTCTTCAAAGAATATGTGTACTTTAACGATTGCGTTTCCTTTCTGAAATGCTAAATAACGCTGGTGCAGTCAATAATTCAGGGCTCTATGTCTTGAGTCTTCTGCCGAGAACATAGCTCGTAATAACAAACAACTAACACGGAGAAATAATTACTCCACAAGAGGAGACTTACAAATACATTGAAACATAGTGACAATTTCTATAGCATCAAAACAATGGTAATTAATTTACGATGTGTTTAGAAATATAAAAATATGAAAAAAGAAATATGATAGATCTGTTATCGTTAGATAGACAGAAGTAAGACAGATGAATCATTCAAAATGTTTAAGATGTTGCAGTTAGAAATTTTGGATCCAAGTCAAATTAAAACTTTCACGTCAATTAAAGATAATCAACAAACATTGAGCACCTGAAAAATGGCATAGTTATATATCCGCTTGACAAGTCCAAAGCAGCCATACCTTGCATTGATAAATATGAAAAAAATAACAAAGAAGCAAAGGTATGTCATTATAAGACAACTGCAAAAACAACGTACACTGATCTTCCAATTGGCACTCCAGCCCAGCACAAAACTGGCTTACTGCAAAGTAGCACTGGTCTGAAAGACAAGATAGAGTGGAAAATAAAAAGTCGAAGAAAATTGACAGTTTGATAGACAGGCTTCAGTATTATACGTGTCATATTATTCGTATTATTAACGTCAAAGGAAAATAAACATAATGTTGAAAGGATGACAATCCAAAAGCTTGTAAGATGGGTTTAGATCTTGACACTAAATGTTGACAACCTTGAATTCATTCGACTTTGTAGTGGATAAATTGATCTACGATCTATTTGCTATGATAAAAAGTAGCCAGATACTAAATCCATTCAGCCCAAAGTTGTAATACTCTAAAATACTACACTTAGTAATGCATGTAGTATACATATGTTTCTAAGTAGGATAGTTTCTAAAGTGCAACAGAAATTGATTCTAGTCTTTCACAACAGATTAAGGAAAACCTTTCAGAAACACCAAGCTGTTACAATCAAGTATCGTACTTGTACCTATTGAGAATATGATTTCCAGCTATCTGGAGGGAGATTTCAAAACATCTTGTATTATGTCATGATGACCCTATCACAGTCAATTAAGCCTATGACAGACACCCACTCAAAGATTTAAACAATCTCAAATTATAAAACTCTATAGTTGAATGACCCCCTGTTCTGCTGGGACACTTACGGTTCATTCTTTTCCTTGACTGGCTTTGGTGCAGTTGCTGTACCACGAAGGACAACTTCATATTGAGGACCATCTGGGTGCACTGACACCAAAAGAAAGCTGGAAGTAGTATGATAAGCTCTGAGTTGTTTTTGTTCATGAGAAACAAGAAATTGCTTTTTGTTATTAATAGCAGTTCCTGAATACAAAGATTCCACCAGGCTACTTAAACTTGAATTTGAATGTACAGCCACAGACTTGCAAAATTTGTTATTTTTTCTAAAAGGGTAATAAAACTTGTTGTAATATTGTTGACCAGTGATATCAAAAATAATTTAGTTTCCAATTTTTACGAGGATGAAATTTTGGAATGTGAACTTTTTGTGATCAATGAAGGGAAACTTTCTGATTTGGAATACCAAACAAAAAAAATTGTGGTTCAGTTTATCGAAAATCAACCAAAAATAGTTTCATGTTTTCTTAGTTTCTTCAATATTCTTTTCTTCTTTGTTTTGGTCCTGGAAGTATGTTTTCCAGGGTCAAAAAAGCAAATAATCATAATAATAAGAGCTCTAAATATAACAGAAAAACTCACCTCTCAACTGTTATGCTATTGACGGACATAAAATGGACAAATACTTCTGTACTCTAAGACAAAGAAAGTAAAGTGTTTTGTTAATACTTTTGGAAAATGATAATTTTGTGAGAATAGAGTTGAGCAAACAGGCTCTGAGACAAAAGACAGTCGAAGTTTAGAATATGAGTCATGCGCAGCAACAGGGCAGTGGCATGGAAAGCATTAGACGTTGGTATGACAATTCAGAAAACATATGAACGAGTTCCCTTTGGGAAGATACATAACATCTTAATGTCTTTTGAGAGGTTAGGTGGAAACTAAAATATCTGAGCTAGAGTAAGAAATCCAATGCACTTTCAAGATGGTTGGAATCTATTCAAAACTTCTCTTCAATAAATATTCTCGATACATTTAGGTGAGAGGAGTGTCAATGATGCATCAATGATATCAGACATTTTCCATACCTCACCAGGTGCCAACAAGACTTTATCCGGGACGACACTGAAAAGATCAGTGAATGTAGAAACTTGAAGATGAATCTCCAAGAAAATGTTCCCAGCATTTCGAAATGGGATACCACGACTGACACGCTGGCCCTCTTGGGCTGATATTGAAATGGCCTAAATTTGAAATTCATATCACGACTAAATGGGTTGCAAATACTAAGTCTGCATGACAAAACTGACACGAAAACTATTATAATGCTTTTAGATGTTAATTTTAATATTACGTGCATGGTAGTGTTTAGAGCTTTAAAAGTTCAATTGTACTGAGGTATCTTCCCAGAAACCATCGCAACAAATATGGCCTACACTGGCTCAAAAGTTTAAGTGAATATGTGTAATTTGATATATCGTACGAATAAGGGAAACAAACTATTCACTTTCTATACCTGCAGGATTCGTGAATTCTCTTGTCAATAATTCATGAGATTGCTTTCTCACTATCTATAGGCCCTTGCATTCCTCAGCTAAAGCAATACCGCGGATGAATGCGAGGTGCAAAGGAATTGTACAGAAATTTCCAATTAAAGATAAGGCCAAACAACATTTAGATATCAATTATTAGATAGCACATACAGTACTAACCTGCAGTGACCGAGGAGCATGCAGCCTAGCTATGCCCACGAACGCCTTTAGCAAAAGACTACCAACAACAGCGCCTTTGAAGAAAAAAAATCGTAATACAGTAGGATATGATGAAAATTGTTCAGGCAAAAGAATGACCATGGGGCTTTGGGGGTCCGAAGGCATTTGGAAAGTTTCAAGAGAAATGCAAAACAGTTATTAGGGGTTCGAGTTATTGGGGTTCAGATTACTTGGGTTTCGAGCAACAAGGGATTCGAGCAAAGCGATTCTGCTACAATTACATATCTAAAATTCGTATTACAATTTCCCTCATTTGAAAAGTTCACGACACTTTTGTATTTGTTAATTAGACTTGCAGAGATTCAACATAGCAACGTAAGAATGCACGTATAATCTGTGAAAGTTCCTTTATAGTTTGAAAACATGAAACTTCTTTGCAAAGTAACCTAGTAAATAAGTTATTACCATCCCATTAATGATAAAAATCCTAAGAATTGCATCTATAAAGCGAATTGTAAAAGGAAAAAGACGGGTCGCTATAGAATCGTTGTCAAAAGCATCACGTCCACATTGACCATGGTATAAGAACAAACAAAGAGCAATGCTCTTTTATCGCAGCTATTACGAGACAATATAAACATTACCTCAGGAGCAAGGTATTGAGCTGAATTGATAAGCAAAAAGGCAACATACCATTCCCTTTACTGTCAATCTCGATATCAACACGTGCCGAGAATTCATTACGGGGACCAAGTTTCTCTGGAAAACCTTAAAAAGAATCAATTTTGTTACTTCAAATTCTGTAGGGCTTTATCATTCTTAAACTCAAGTGGGTGCGGGATAAGATTTAAGGGAAGAAAAATTTAAATTCAATAAATATAATATTTTTCTACCACGACAAAGGATCACACTAGAAACTATGCAAGGCTTTTTAAATTTCATTTGAAAAAGGGCGAAGACAATGGGTCACACTTTGTTTACAATGAATACGCACGAGGAAAGAAACTTTCTAGATACAGAGTTGTTTCGCACATACAAACTAGCTAGCACTTTGAAACTAGACAGTTCATACAAAGACATGGTGCATTGTGTTGGAGCATCTGAGACAAAAGGGTACGTGTGGCAGATACTATTAAGTTTTTAATTACCAGGCATATTTTTGTGATAATTTCACAATCGGCCCTTAAAAGGAAATCTATCACTACAACAGAAACAAGACAGTGTATTGAACGAAGATAAGAAAGCTTGCATATATGGTATTTAGTTAAATTTATTGTATTTCGATCAGTTCTGGAGAAAAAAAGCCGAAATGCAGATACCTTTTGGGTATACAATGATAAAGGTATTAAGAAGTAAAGCAAGTAAAAATACGAAGTTTGAAAAAGAAAACGAAAAAAGAGGCGCACCAAAAACAAGAAAACAACAAGCAACTGTCATTCGTTATATATATCTTCATTGCTTGGCTAATGAAGTATATATTTTAATTACTCTAATAGACTAGACAAGGAAAAGCTCAGTAAATAATAAAGCCGAAAAGCAGTTTGCCTACCACGATCTTGATACTCTGGGGCTTTGAATTGTATCCATGTAACTTCCGGCTCGAATGTTTTCCCCTGGACCAGAAAAAGAAAGTGATTCAAAATTCGCCATGCACAAAAAGACTCTTTTATTATGGAAATCTGAATAAACAACCATGGGAATGCTTGCTGTGTGAGATCAAGGGTGTGTCTATCTCAACATACAGATGGGTACCCATTTTTAACATCCATCGAAATTTTCACCTATGGGGGCACGCTGGAGTCTTATTTTGAGAAGGTGGATGTTCATAGAGGTAAACAGTTTCCGCAAAATTTTTCAAGATGGAGGTTCATGACACCTAAGCAACAATTCTAAAAAATTCTGACCGACTACCAAAACTTACAGATTTCCAGGATTTGGAGCTCGGGGGCTGAAGCTTCTCCCCCCACCCCCACCCACTTCAAGCCACCAAACTTTTAGACACTAGATTTGGACTGACACCAAAAATGTAATTCTTTTGTCTAAATGATAGTACTATCTACCTGCAGTTTATGAAGGTTGATGAAAAAAGTTGTCATACAGGTCTTACCATAAGTGCCTTCGGGTATAGAGTTTAACTAGAAGCTTTGTTTTATGTTATATCTAAGATAGATTTGAAGAAAGAAGAAGGAATATGAAAATTCCTACCATTTGTTTGCCACCAGGTAATATGACGTTCAAGACTGCAGCATTGAGACCTTCCGTTTCAGCACTCTGGTTTGGCATTGAAGATCCAATCGGCGTCATGTCTGAATCGACGAATGCGAAGCTTCGAAATTTACTCGAAATCTAAGTAAGAAAATAGGAAGTAGGGCAATTATCAACGCACAAAATAGATTTTCATGGTTATGACGTCATCATAAAGATAGATCAACAGTTAGCTAGGCGCCAAAGAAGGTCTTAAATTAGTTAGCTTGGCTAGATGCAGTATTGATAAAGATAAACATGAAACCTACACCTGATATGACCAGTTTCAATGGTATGTCCGCTCTTCCTCTGTTTAATAATTTAATTGCTCTGGTCCGGCTTATACCACCAGGCATCTCGCCGAAATCAATCACTCCACCGTCCTCTTGAAACATCTAGAAAGAATCGCGTATCTATTTAGAGGTGGAAAATGAGGAACAAGTGTATTTCAAAAATTGGGCGGGATGTAATAGACTGGGTATTGGGGTAGGTACAAAACAAAAATGATTCAAGTAGTCAAAGCTTTAAAAAGCCTTTTAAACCTATAAAATCATTAAATAGGCAGCTAAACAATAGCAGTTTGGTATGCTGAGATAGGCTCGACGCAATCCTTTATATAGAGACTCTTTTGTACCATGCTGCAAACGTTAAGCCACACACCTCAATATTTGGAGCCTCGGCGATTCCTTCGATGTGAACATCGTTTGGAAACAATTCATCTTCAGACAGAATGGAATCATCTGTTACAACCGGGCTGGCTATTAAATTCAGTTTTGCCATATAAACACCGGCGTGTTCAGCAAGAAATGTAACCTGCAAACAAAGAAAGTGAATGAAAACTTTGAAGTGAAAAGAAAGATTTGATAAACTCTTTTTATGAAAAAAATGCACCTTGAAAGACATTTTGGAGACTCGATTTCCCAAAAACGCAACTTAAAAACATGTCCAGTCTCAGACAAAAAATTAGAAGAAAAACATTTTCACTTTTTTAAAAAATGTTCTTCCATGTAAACCAAGGATTTTTGATCAGCAAATCAACCCTATTTCTAAAAGTAAGATGCAAAACTGGCCTTAGAAATTTTTTGTATGCAAAAGTAGGAAAACCATGTTGAAAAACAAAAACTAAGAAAATCTGAACCTCGTATTATTCAAAAAACAAGAACATCGAGTCACAAGTACAAAAACAATAAATGTTGTTTGGCTGTTTCCTGGAAAAGTAAATCTGGACCACGCTGTTATAGCCCATAAGAATGATTTCTGAGATTGTCAATCTTTTAAAACAGACAGCTAATCATACAATTAATTGCTTTGTCAATGGGGTTGTGATGTGCACTAGCAAATAATAATTTGTTTTTCAATTCGTCCAAAGTGATGCCATGTTATATTTCAATTAAAAAAGGCACATTAACTTTTATTTAAATTAACAAGCTTAACTTTTTGGATACCAAGATTATCCATGGATTTTTTGGATCATCTAAATAAAAGTTTTGCTGGATGCAGCCAGTTTTGTAGCTTTTAAAAATAAAAATTTTGCAGGGGATCTCTCATCGCACACTATTCAGTTCAAAGAATTTCAAAACCACTGCAACAGTCTGTTCCGTTTGAAAATAATTTAAGCTCTAAACACGATTGTGAAATCATATTGAAAATTTCTATAACCCATTGCTTCAGACATTTTGAGAGAAGTGCAAAACTTATCATTAAAACATCTAAGTCTTGTCCCATGTTTCTTAAGAAGTAAAATCATGGAATTGATTGGATCAAGTTGTGAGTAAAGATGTATATTTCGGGATAAAAAGGTACAGAATACATGTTACCCTATTCTATTAACCGGAATCATGAAACTGACATGACTTAAGCATTATTTGTTTACAAGGATATAATTGGGATTAATAGTGTTATTCTGACGTACCTTTACATCTTCAGTGGTATGTGGAGCAATGAAGACTTTTGGCTGCAAGCTGAAGGCACAATAGTCACTTGCATCGGCCTAAAAAAACACGCAGCAAAATATAAGTAGAAGATTACTGGAAAAGAGTAGATTTCTTTGATTACTTTTAAGACAGTAAAGCGTTTAGGGGCTGCTAACCCCCTAAAGTGAACGGCCTGAGCTCAAAAGTCAATGCTAAAAATAACTGACAGCTTGCTTCCGTTGGGGTTTGTGCTCATGCGCTGTCGAGATAATTGATCACAAGGAAGCTTGTATGAAATCGTAACAATGCAGTCTTATTGGATAATGATCAATTCTACTTTCGTCACAACAAGAAACGCTTGGAGATCTCAACTACTTAAACAGGTCATTCATAATAAAATATGGTAAACTTTGAAATCTATAAAAGGGCTTTCGCGGAAAAAAGTCTTTAGTAATTGGTCAGTTATACAGTAAGCACTAAAGCACTACCTTTGAACCATTAACAGAGTAGAAAGCGACTTCAATAAGGCATTGTATCCATCTGCTGCTAGGATTGTGCACTGGCAGGCATTCATTGATAGGCACACCAACACATTGTACATTCTGAAAACAGAGTTCGTTTGGAACAACGATCTTAATACTTGATAAAGATGACTTCTTGGCTCTCAGTTCCCCACCGGAGCTATGTAGTTTCTGTTCACCTTTATTTCCGCGAGACGCCGATTCTGGTTTTAGCTGTGTATAGGGCTGGTTGTTGGCGAATCTCTCCTGAACTTGCAGTTTCTGTTCTTTCGTGGCATTTGCTTTGTCATCCAGTGGTCGCCCAAGAACGGTTTGATTTGTTGCAACAAGCGGATAAAATGTAGCGTTACTTTCACGAACTCTAATATCCGATATGCGAGGCAAGATTTCCTGGATTTTCTCATCAGACATCTTTCGGAACTCGTCATTCATATGCTTTTTAGATGACGTCACAGCATCATCCGCAGAATCAGGGGCAATCATTTCGTTCGAAAGCTTCTTTGAAAGACGAAGCGGTTTCCACTGCTCATCCTCCATTCCCAGAGCAGTAGATTCTACTTCAGAAACTACTGGACTGAGAGTTAACCCCTTTGAGAGCTTTTCTTCAGGCTCTCCAGGTTCAATAGTCGTACTGCTCAACTGCCTTGCCGCTGTGCTTCTCAATGAAGACTGTACAGCAGAGGTATCTGTTGTCTTCTTCATAGACTGACGCGAAACAACAGCGTCCATGCTGATATCAAAACCCTGCCTCGTCTCTGTGCCATCCCATTGTACGGCAGCATCTACGGTTGTAACATTCCTACTACCTGCAGTTGCTGCTGACCTCTCAAAACTAGCACCCCGCTCTACCGACTGCATAGGATCATTTGCTTGTTTTGTAAAACACTGAACACCAGAATCCCTGTACAGTGCACGGTTCTCTCGAGGCGCAATAAGCGGAATAACGGAAGAAATCGGTCTGGCATTTCCAAGCAACTTATCAGATAGCTTTAGGTTTTCCTTAGAAATACCCTTTGAAGATTTCGGACTTCTTTGCATTGGGTCTTGGAATAGAATTTGCTTTGAATTGGGTCGGTCTACATTATTGGGCACTTTATCTCCTGCCGAACGTAAACGAACAGGAGCAATTTGAGAATCGGGTGTTTTTGAACGAGCTTTGGATTGCAAAGAGGACGTATTAGGAGATGGCATTGTCAGAGTATCATCAAGATCTGACATTTTCAGTGAGCTTTGCTCCTGTTTCTCTAAATCTTGACTTTTAGCATGCACCACGGTTGGTAAAGCATGTTTGCCTTTCAGTTTTTGTTGGCTATGGGAAACCGTAACATCACTCTTGTTCTGACCAAAACCCGAGGCAGGTCGATAATCGCTTGACTCCTTCTTTGACTTTGCTTCAATGTTTTCCCGACCCTTATCTTTCCAAGTGCTATCAGCATCTCGCGTCGCCCTCTTCTCGCCTTCAATCAGTGATATAAGTAATTTGAAGATAAACTGTTGATCACTGTTTGTCGCAATGGCAATTTTCTCTGCTAAATTCGATATATTTACTCCTGAAATACCCCGCAAACTTACTCGCCCAACCCCAATATCATGCAAAAGACTTTCGGCCTCATCATTTGTCTTTGGCACATTAATATTCCCTTCCTGTCCGTGGATCACATGTTCGGCGACTTTGTCGTCTTTACTTTGAGATTCAAACGATATTTTGCTTAGGTTTGAAGGCTCTTTAGCAGGCTTCGATAAAACATAGGTTGATGCAAGACTAGAAGCAGACCCGTTCTTGTCAGTAGAGAAATCGAGCCTAGCATTAGCCTGTGCTTTGGAGACACTGGCAATGCTTGTAATAGAGTCGTTTGGCAACGGTCGGTAGAGTACAGCAGGCTTTTCAAGTGCCGGCGGTGTTTTAACCACTTTGTAGTCGTCAAAGTTTGGCTAAAGAAAATAGAAAAAGTGACAATCATTACTAATCGAAAGACTGATTACTTAAGGGAACAGCATTCAAGTTGGGAAAAAAGAGGGGAGTAACAGCCGTTGCAAGAGGCAGTTCCAGGAGAGAAGAATTCAAGTACGTACGGTCAACAAGAGAGACGGCTGCACAGGTCCAGGCACGTGAAAAATATATTCGTCAGATCTTAACAGAAATCAAGATAACCCGCCTGAGGTGGTATGGTGATGAAATGACAAGGCAAATGACGAGAATGAAGGGAAAACGGTTCAGAGCTCTGAGTCTGCTAAGAAATGCAGGAGTTGAAAGAGAATGAAAATCCATGACTGTGCCCTGAGGTGGGAGAACAAAGAGAGGGAGACGAAGATGATGTAGGAAACAAAGAGAACAAGGATAAAGAATGAGAAGAAAAAGAGCAAAAAGAAGGGGAAGAAGAGTAAGACAAAAGGAAAGGAGCAAAAAAGGAGAAAAAAGAGAAAGGGAGTTAAACCTACCTAAACTAACTAACTAAAATGAAGAAGAGAGAGAAGGAGAAGAGAAAGACAAAGAAGACAAAAAAGGAGAACAAGAAATAAGATGAAGATAAAAGGGAAAATGAAGAAGAAAGAGAGAAAACAAAGAAGGAGAAGAGGCAGAAGATAAAGAAAAGAAAACTTGATGGAATTTCAGAGTCAGGCTGATTATCTGAAAGTTAATCACCGAATATTTGGAGATCATATAATAAGGCGAGGAAACACATAATGCATTTATCAAAGACAAAGTAAGCGTTAGTGAAGGACCAATCAAGTTACAAATAACCGTGACAGTATAATCTAATATAGCCTTTGTCAGTCATCAAAAGTTTGATCTTGAAAGCAAAATGCGTTGGCTTAGATATCGGAAAATTTGACTTGCTTCAGAGACTTTGCTTTTGAAGGTTTCAAAGTTACAAGATGACTAAAAGGATTTAGAGTATAGTTATCACTTTGGCCTAAAAAAACTAATTGTTAACGTAATTCAATTTTGATAAATAAATTCCTTTACGCACAATGAATTTTCTGCTATTCGTATGTACACATCAGGGTCTATCTAATATAGATTCATAAAAACCAAACCAAGTGAAAATCATTATAAATATCATTTTTGATCATTATTACAGGGATAAATAGTATTGTTTGCCAAATCAATTAAAACATGAGGATAGACTAAGAGGCTCGAACTGACGATTCGTAGTTCCAAGCAAAATCTTGTCTTTTACTGGTGATTCATCCTCAGAAAGTACAAATTCGCATATTGGCATATTCGCATATGCTATCTAAAATACAGCAAGAAAGATGTTTTATTTCCTAAATAGACGAGGTACAAAATTATGACATAAAGACATAGACTTTCACAACTTTTGAAAAGATAAATTTTGAATCCTAGAATTCGATTACAAACAACAAGGTGTGCCTTTGACGAGGGCTTTGTATGACGTCACCACTAACAAAATTCAAACCAGTGACCTACCCTAGGCCTGTCTGGTCTGTCCAGACTGAAGTTTCCCATATCCTCTGACATTGCATTGAAGTACTTGCTGAGTCTAACTTCGCCCTTTTCATTCACAGTATCCAGTTCCCATTCTGATTCGTGAGACATATTCGCAAGCTATTAAAAAGAGCAGAAATATTAAAAAGACGATTTTTCGCCATTTTGGATTAATATTCTTAGAGTATTTTTAGAGCATTTTAGAGCATGGAGATTCAAGTCGTAACAAATACAAGGCTTACACTATAGATTCTAACTAATTTTGAGGCACTTAAACATATCAGCATTCAGTTTTAGAACCATGCTTAATGCACACAATATTTTTATTAGCAAACTTGACTCTGTACCAGGAAAAAAGTTCTTTAACATCTGCCAATCATCAGAAATTTTTTTCAAAAGAGTGGACGATCAAAAAAGTGTGTGAGGTCCTCTTCGAAGACCCTCCTTTTAATACAGAAACCTACATCTTACAAGAATGGACGTGTACCCGGCAAGAGAACATTCTTTTTTAGTTTTTAGTGAGAGAAAGTTTGAATATGAGGAGTATCGTGTAAGCAGTTGTGTAAGCAGTTGCAAAGAGTTTCGATTTTATGAAGGTTTGCGTCGGGAAAATATGTCGTGTTTGTATGCATATTACTTTGTTTCCAAGCCGATTGATTTGCACTCGAACCGGGTCACAAGTGCCTAACCACATTTATAAAATTATATCGATTACCGTGCATTATGATTATATTGCGATCATTATAACAATGTTCCTTATAAAGAGGGAGCGGTTGAAGGCAATTTAGGGAAGCCATTTGTAAACCCTTTTACGTATAAAAAATTATAGTTTCCTGAAAAGTATTTAACTCTTGTTGAAGAAATTTGAAATCAATAAGAATTTAGGGTACTTGCTTCATCGGCAATCCACTTTTGATATTTACCATAAAAATAGTTTTTTAAGGTTTACGAACAAATAATGTCAAACTGACATGATATCATTAAGGGCAGCTTTCAAAATTTTCACAATTTTCCTGCCAAAAACTCTGCTTTTAGTCAACATGATGGATTGCAGTCTTTGCTTGGCAGATTTAGACAACAATAATTTGCCCAAGCCTAAGATATGCAAATATGAACTTTAGGGAAACTTTTCGCATAAAAAAAACCCCTTCTTTATTCTATGTAGTTGAAATTCCGGTTTAGGTAGCAGCCCCCCCCCCAAACTACACCAAAAAGCATTTCTATACGTCACCAATCGTAATTGGCTCCAGAAATGACACAATATGAAGATTTCTGTGAAGCTACGCCATTTCATAACAAATCAAAAAGTACACATGAATATAGTATGAAACAATTTCCTATAAAACTGACCTTGCTTATTGTATTAGAATGTAGAAAACTTCTTTCGTCGTCATCAAATAATGCTTCGGCATCTAAATGGAAATAATCAAAGCTGGAAATGAATGTGACAAGGGCAGTGGTGTAACGCAGTTTAGGGCACCTTTGGTCGATCACTAAAGACCCCCGACCAAAATAAGTTTTACATTTATGTTAAGACTTCATTCAACATTACCCCACATTCAAAAACTTTCAAAGTTCTTCAACTGAAGGTGCTACAACTCATCCTAGTTAACAAGAGGTTATTTTAACTTGCTATTTTGATTCGCATGCTTTACAGCGTTGGATGGGGTTTTCTTGCAGTCCGGAAATAGGGGCCCCGCTTCGATTTTTCATTGTTGTCCCAGATGCCTATGTTACGCCAATGAACAAGTGTCTTCTGTCTAACTATTTTGAATAATCCTAATAAAGACTAACTGATCCACGAAAGATTCAGCACTAAAACAGTTAATAAGGACTTATTTTGGGAAGGAGCTCTCCATGGACAATTAACAGCCATTTGTAGTTTACTTAAAAAATGATGAACCAGGCTGTGTTATAACATACTCTAACTGTCAGTAAAGAATGGAAGACACTTAATTCTGTACCAGCATTGTTTTTAAATTCCAACGTAATCCAGTTAAAATAAAACAAATATCACAAAATAGAATACAATATTTTGAAATGCACTACTCTGTGAGAAAAGTTCCTGATGCTTTACGCTTCACTGGTCAACTAGACAAAGCCGAAAGTATAGGTTAGATTTTTCATTTGAAAAAAATGTATAAACTCATGTCTCAAATTGAGGGCTGATTGACCTTGTCTCGAGCCCGTTTGAAAAAACAATTTGAGGCTGTGATGTGTGTTTATAACACATACTAGACTCACCTTGGCTGTTGATTTTGAAGCCAGAATCCCCAACCTCAGATTCATTTTGTACACCTGGAAACGAGCATAATAGCTTACAAATTCGAATATAGTAAGAAGTTTTATGCTTGATATGAACCAGTGCTTACCATAGAAAATGATCAAGTAAGATCCAATGCCTTATAAAAACAAACACTTGTTGGAAAAATTCATGCTTTTGCTATGATGAATAGACAAGACTGTAATTGCAATCAGAGTCATTATAAATCATTACTAAAAAATTATGTTTTTCTAAAGGGTATAGAAATTTTGTAATATTATCTTTGAAGCAAAACGTTTTTTCAGGCAAAGAAGATATAGCCGGACATAGACGGCAAGGCAAGAGCTCACGCCAATTGTACTAGACTACGCCAGCATATTCATGACTGAAAATTGAAATGAATATCCAAGAAAACGCCCAAAAAAATTTAGGACGATATTTTCCCCATTCGTAATCTTTCAATTGACTCACGACCCAAAAACATTCCTACCTTTTGAACTTAAGTATTTTTCTTAGGTAACTTAAAAATATAAAGCACAATATTTGGTGGGGAACATTAGCAGAATTAAATATATAGTTTCTAAAATAATAGAAATTTAAGCATCTGCAAAACCAACAAGAATCGCTGGCGACGAAGCGAATGCTCCTCTTGTGCCTGCATGCGAAGAGGGGGGGGGGCGCTTACGTTTGAACAAGGGTTATACTTGATACATTTCAATCCTTTGTCCTTCATGCTCTATGAAGTGAAGAACATAACATCATCCACTCACCAAAACCCGAGAAAGACATAGCCAGTCTATTATTTTCACTCATATCCATTGTATCAAAGGGGTTCTTGTTATATGCGAAGCTGGAAAACGGATTCATTGACGTGTCCATAGATTTCCGAAAAGGATTCTTAGACGAGAGGCTTTCTTCCATGGAGGGCTCCCCTATAAAATGAAAAATAAGATATTCAACAATTAATTTAAACAAACATTGTGAATCTGATCACCTCTTTCCGCTCCCCATGTAACGCCTGATTTTCAGGTCGTTTCAAACACTTAACCTAGGGAGCTTGAATCATTAACAATCCATGGTGACCAGAAGCGGGTGTTTGTCCTTATGCATATACGAGGGAAGAAATGCAATGCTTTAAATACTGATTTTGAGAAGGTCCATCAGTGTTGCTGGCTTACAAAGGCAGCCAGTGAAAGAGCATCAGCTATTCGGTACGTTTTAGATGCAAAAAATTTGTCAACACGTTTGATGACAACGAGTACAGCTATTTGGAAGTTAATATACTAAACAACGTTGAAAATAATCGCGAAATTGTGAGTAGTTATAGAGAGCTTGATGCGTTAAACTCATTTTAGAGCAAGATTCAGAAAATACAATTTCCTTTATCATTGTTCATAGATTGAGCCTCTAAACTCAGAGAGAATCTTTATAATATCCAAAAGACTTTCTTTCATAAAGAAAATTCCTCAAACCGTAGTGTCAATTTGAAATAATTACAGTTATTCGCTGCTACTGTTGCTGCTGTTCCCGTAGGGGTATCTGCTGGAAAGCTTTCTCTGTCGACTGTTGGAGTTTCAAGGCTCTCCATGGAGAACGGAAAGGCTCCTGTGATAGTCTGCAAAAATTAAAAGCGTATAAATTGATAAAACATAAAGCATTCTGTAAACGGTGTTTTTCGAGGATGATCTTTTAACGAAATAGAATAAGTTGGCATGGATTGTAGACGATCTTTTAGAGAGATAGAATTGATAGTGTGTTGCTCATATCATAAGGATTAATTTTAGCACCATTTTCATCTTTCTATTCTTCATCGAGCATTCAAGTTTCAGAACAAAGACTCGAGTCAGAAGGAAAGTTTATGCTTTTTTAATAGAGAATGCTTATTTCGTGGAATCTTCCACATTTTCGACAGAAACGGTTACACGACGGTTTGGTAAGTTTAGCTTGGCAAAACTATATTAGCTTCAAAGGAAAAGAGTATGTTAAAATCATTGCAACTTAACTCTCAATTTCTATTATTTGGTAGGCGGAGTAATAGCCAAAGATGAAGAACTTATATGCTAAGAAGTGGAAAAATCAACAACGCAAATCATGTCACTGATTTCTTTCGTCCGGAATCACGTCCTACTTATTTATTACCTTCAGTTTCTTTCCATCATTTCATAGACGATTCAATATATATAAATTCCCGCCCATTCGGTACATTCAACCAATCAATCTAATACGACAGATGGATGTTACTGATAACAGATTTTCGCAGTGAATAATACATTTAAAAAGGAATTTAAGATGTATTGATTTACCTTGTCGCCTTCACTATCATCTCCCACAACATCTCTTTTATTTCTGTAAAACAGAACTCATATGTCATTGCCTTGATTTTAGAAAATTATCTGAAAATCCGCATTTTAGCAACAATAAAAGGTATAACAATTAACTGGCATTGTTACTCTTAAATAAACTTTATACTTGAATACGGTTAACTATACAGAGGAATCTAGATCTTGTCCCTGTCAGGGTGCTCTTTGTCAATGTCCTGTTATGAAAAAGACTATGCATTCATCAGGTAGTATAGTCTTGCTTATATCACGAGGCATGGACGATTTTTTTCTGATGCATTTTTAGAAAACGAGCCCATCAAAAACCTTTTGGCATACTTTCTCCATCGGGAATATCTTTCTACGAAGCAAAGCAACAAACGAACATTGGGAGGCTGGTAATGACGTCTTAAAAACTTGTTCTTAAATTTGTTAAATTTTGACTATAAGATCTAAAAAACATGGTAAATAAATCTATATGCGGCAGTGAACCATAAGAAACTGCTTGTTTCACTTGATTCGCAAATTCTAGAACAAAGCCCAAAACACAGTGCTTGACAGGAAAAAGCCAGAGATCTTTTGGAAAGACCTTAGCCAATTTTGTTTCGATCTGCCAGCTTTCGCAAATCTAGAAAAATTATATAATGTTCGTTCAAAACATGCAGTCAGAATTCAGAAAATTCTGAAACGATAAAAGATGACGTCATCATGCATCTACAACTGAAAAAATCGTCACATGACAACTTCAGAATCCGTTAAAACTGCTTTATTTTGTAGCTTATTGCTTGCAAGGTTTACAGTAACATTGACATTGGTGGTGGCAGGGATAAAATAATGAATCACCTTGGTGAATCAAATACTGGATCATCTGAAAGCAAACTTGTCGCGTCTTGAGTGTCACTTCCGATGCCTGGGGTGGCTGGGGCAGACTACAAAAAAGCATAATTTCATGTTTTGTGAAAATTGATATTATCCATAAGAATATATGTGACACTTAAAGACTCATTGCTAACAATGAGCCTTTGCGAGCGTGGCAAATTGTCCAGGCAAAGATCCAAACAATGGCAGTCAAATCTTACGGATTAACCAAAATTGATTTCAGACTGTCTGAAAATGCATTATGGGGTGCTTGCGTAGCGCAATGGCTCATTGTTAGCAATAAATCTTTTAAGTTTGACACTAAAAGATAAAATTGCTTTTTAGAATGAAACATTGACCGAGAAAGGGTGTCTTGTTAAAAGTAGCATTTGCAACCAAAATACATAATCTTATATGTTTCTAGAATCTTTAAACGACGACAGCAGCGAGGTTATGGCAAAAAGTTCAAGCTGTTTGGAACAAGTAAGGTAGTGCCTCTAACTAAATAATGCATTCTTGAAACTTACCAGTCGGTGGTAAGATAGAAGCCTAACCCTTTCATTGGAAAATATCACAAGGACTGATAAGCATATACCCTTAAAAGCGACAACGACCCAAACAATTACGCTTTACAAGGTAGATAAATACTACCACCTCTGAAAATCTGAACATTGTTGTATTTTCATCCATCCAATTATTCTGTGGCGTTGAGTTTTGTCTTAGCATAACACCAGGAGTGCTTGAAGCAATAAAAAATCTTGCAGATAATCTTGACTCTTCACTTGAGTCGGCATCGATTGTTGCTGGCTAAAATAAGAAGGGTTTCCTGAAAGATGCATTACTGTAATTAATCTAATGATTAAAGCTCAAATAAGATCTTGAATCCAAACAATGCAAGCCGGGGTCATCATAACAAAGAAGTACGATCAATAATTGATAACAAATATAAGAGATGGTGAATTTTCTTTTCTGGCATTCCTATCAAGGAAAAGGGATTTTGTTAAAGGTGGGTGGAAAACTGATCAACGAGTCTTCTTGAATCATGGTAGGCATACAAATAATATGCAATCGAACTAACCAAAACATCGCTGCGAGGCGTCAAATTGCTAAGAAACTGGTTATCTTCGATGCTGTCTCGTATATCTGCAGGGTTTCGCCATTGCTGGCTAGATGCTGGAACCGAGTCTCCGACAGGTCTCTCTCGCTCTATAAAGAAATTTTACTTCTATTATTCAATGAAAACTTTCTTTGAAAACTTTCTATTATTCAAAGAAAAAATTGCAGATTTAAATTCGTGGCATTTCCAAAGTACCTTCAAAAAATCTTATATTTTATGTGGTTTAGCCTAGGGAGGCTATATCTCCTTAAAATTTTTCAATCTGACTAATACAAAGCTCTTGGACTCGGCTCCTAGTTGCAAAGAATTATCTGGTCTAGCAGTAGACCGTAAAAAGCCTATTACAAAGAGAGAGGTTGGCGGCTATATGGGCATTCGGTCAAATCATGTTTTGCCTAAGCAATGGGGTCTTCAGCCAGTGTACAAGTGTCTGATTGGTCAGATCGTGCTTATCTATCTGCATCTTTGATGAAACCATATCTTACAGGAAAACCACCGTATTGTCCCTCACGTGATATTTTTTGGTTTAGGGTAATACCTTAGCTGGCATAGCTTGACAAAAAAGACACAACATAGTCATGATATTCCTACAAAAACGCATACCTACAAAAAGATACAGAATCAGTGAAATTCCCTTTCTCCAAATCGACAAAATTGTTCGATCAACAACAAGGGAATGCCTGCAGTTACAAACAACTCGAGCCAATTTTCACCTCAGAGTGGGCAAAATTGAAAATAAGCACACATTATAATGATAATAAATTGCTTTTTAAGTTTTGGCATTGTCTTACCGGGCAAGTTTTCGCTCGATTGTGTGATTGGCTGAACAGTAGCTGTTGCTCGAACACGTGACCTGGATCGCGCTTCACGAGATCGCACTGCAAACAAAACACAACTTTTGAATCGTTTGTATCGCCAAAGCTATTTTCTCTATTATGATGAAAAATTGTCCTGTAAAATATCAGCTTCTCCTTACTCAGTCAGTGCATTCTTAATGAAAATTGATAGAAACGAATTACAGTAAGCTCGAACCCCCTATAACTCGAACGGTCGCTGAGTCGAACTAATTTTGTGTTCCCTTTGAACCTTGTGCAACACTTTAATATAGAAACACCCCGGATAATTTGAGCTACCGATAACTCGAACATTCACTACCTCGAACATTATCGATTCCCATATGGGCTATTAAACTCGAAACTGATTTTTGGTGTCCAGGAAAAAATAGCAACCATAGATAAAACAAACTAATGTATTTTCATTAAAATAAAATATTTCTTTTCATAATATATTTTCGAAACATATTTCTTTAGTTCCTTAATATGCAGACTGCGAAGAACAACAATTTTTTCTCCATCACCAAGATGGCACCGCGCACCAATTCTTTGGACAATCCTCTTTGCTTCAGAATGACTTCGTAGAAAGAAACTTACAGTTTTGACAAAACGTAATTTATCCCTTTAGGACACATACGAGCCTCGATAACCGAGCCTTCGATAACTTAAACAATTTCATTGGTCCTTTGAAGGTTCAAGCTATTGGAAGTTTAATGTACTCTTAGAGTTACAAATTATATCAAGAGAAAATTACAGTGCTTTTGAATACAGAACTGGCTCAAACAGCTGAAAAAATTGATTTCGCATTGAGAGCTGTGTTAACCTCTTGTCAATAACTATTTCATGAAGTGATGCTGAATCGATTTGATTGCCAGAAAGCTATCTATTTCTTTTTCCAAGTGCAGCTTGCTCTATTTTAACAAACAAAAGCAAAAACAAAAGCTGTTCTTGCTGGATTCAGCACAAAAAATATTTTATTTCCACAAAACGCTTATTACGTAGATAAATATGGAGTTTTGTGTGCGATCTTGAAACAAATTTACACATTTTGTTTTTGAATAGGCAAATCCCCGACGAATGAAACATTTGACTCCACTAACACATAATGCTTAGTTAATACCTTGATTCTCATACATCTTAAGAAATAATTCTGAATTCTTGCAAAACTAGGCAACGAATAACGGTAACGTATTGCTATCATACCTCGTATTGCAACTCCCCCGTCTCCATCGACATCACTGTCACTATGGCCACTACTTCCATCACCACCACCACCCCCGTCACCAGGCACTTCCCTTGAGAATACATCGTCCCCTTCTGCTAACTGTCGCTCTTCTGCAAGCGAGAAACACATGTGATACGGATGGCTAAAAATAGTCTTCTAAAAATAGCATTTCAATGAAGGCACATTGCACTAAGTTTCAAATACATACCTAGGATAGTTAGTTCATTTCCTTGCTCTCTCTCATCCAGGAAAGCGCCCAGCTGTCTCTGATTGATGGTTCCGATTCTGCTTCGTGCAAAATTCAAGGTTGTTCCATCATCACTGTCACTACTACTTCCATCAAGACAAGGCCTCTGATGAATCTCAATACCTTTGTCAAAATCTGCGGAAAGTTTGCGAGTCATAAGTCACGAATAACGCAAGTTATTTCTCTACAACTTCGAATAACCAGGGGGTAGCAAGAGGGGGACAGGGGGGCCTGTCCCCAAAAAGGCTCCCCAAACCAAAACGTTTGCAGATCGTAATGAGTTTGAAAATGTGCACATGTTGCCTTTTAACCCTCTCTCCCAAGACTGTGTTGGTTTTTACATGTTCATGTATTGCCTTTTTACCTTATTTTTAATAAAGTCATTTCAATATGTCGGTAAAAACATTAGCCCCACTCCCAACCAACCCAATGCTGTAAACAATAATAAACATCTGATCAAAAAAATTGCGTAATTTCAATTACCAGATCGTTCCAAGTTCTTTTTTTCTACCTTTGAAGCGACTGCTTGTTTTTCATCATGAGCTACAGGTTCTCTATCCATCCCGCTTCGTTTTTGTTCACCTTGAAACTCTTTGTCCACCTTAACAGAATTCAGAGATGTTGGTTGAATGACATTGGTAATGCCACTGCTAACAATAATTCTAAATACAATTTAGCTTTAGACGAGAAATTTTTTATTCCTTTTTTGCAAGAATACTTAGTTGGCGGTGAAGTTGACGTTGGTTATAGTCAAACCAAATCTTTTTTCAGAAATCAAAGCTGCAAATAAAGCTTAACTCGATAGTTTTGATGGCTTGAATGTGACCTCTGGCTGTAGAAAGCAGTATAACTTTACACGGAGCGATTTTATCAGGAGTCGAGTGTCGGATGGGAATCTTATCAGAGTAATGAGCTTTGTTTGGATCATGAAATCTGGAGTAGTGAATAAGATTAGCATAAAAGTAGTATCATCTCAAGATCTATTAGACAAATTTATGGCAAAAAAAAAACACGAAAATCCATGAAACTTGATGACAGAAAAGCTAAGGAGCAGAAGAGCGTCAATGGTTGGCGGAAAAGGTGTGGTGAGGGAGAGTGCGGGAAAGGAACGAAATAAACTTCCAAACCCAGGGTAGAGCTCTATGAAAGTCAAAACCAAACTGTCACTCTACTACAGGGTCAGACTTCATCGACTTCGATTGGTCCAATCTACTTCGCAGCAGGCTTTGTCGAATCGTGAGCTTTGGCACGTTAAGATATGGTCGGATTCATTTAACAAAAACTGTTTCGAAAACGGGTAATCGTGTCGTTTCGGCCGGCATAATTACGAATCTAGTTTCGAGAAATGTCGAAATAAGATAAAAACATTCTACAATTACAGCGCCATTTTTTGTGGCTCATGATGCTCTTTACACCGAAAAGTGAGCTTCGATCATTTGGGTATTCTTCAATTGATGTACCAGTTTACTTGCTCTTTATTCAATCTAGGCCTTGTTGAAGATGCCATGAAAAAGTGGCAATAAATGACAGCGAGAGGAAGTTAAATCTTATTCTTTGATTTATTCGAAAGGAATAGAATAAGTTCGATTCATGAAAAATCTAATTTGATTGTCTGAAGGGACTTTCGACTTTCAACTTTTCTTTATACACGATCATATTTAGCCATATTTAGTAAGTTGAATCCAAGAAGCCTGATCATGAAAGAGTGATTTAGAATTGGCAAATATTAATCAATAACAACAGATTGTTGCCTGAATGAAAAAGTACATAGATTTCCAGCAATAATTCCATTCTGGACCTCTCAAATTGGTCCCTCCCAATTTGGGCCTTTTATGAATTTGAAAAATTACAGGGCCCGTTCTCTCTTGAATTAGCCCATTTCCTGTCATATTCAGTTTTCAATTTTATATTTACTGTATTATCATTTGTGGACAAAATCATGTCTTGATAAAATCAGCATTTAGGACTTGGGGTTTTTGAGCTTGTCAAAATTTTTTGCTTCCAGAGTGGGGCAAATTCAAGGCAGAGGCTTATTCAGGGGGACCAATTTGAAAATTTATGGTTTAAATAATATCTATCCTGGCACCAGAAAGGTTTGCCTTATGAATCACCCATCATAAGCTCAAGTTATTCACAACCAACCTTGGAAGAAAATTCCATGAGATTTCCTTCAGTTTTATCTTCATTGCTGGGGTTTGGCAAATGCCTTTGAATTCTATCTTCAGTCAAAAACTTCATGACAATTTGTTGACGCCCAGTGCTTGGTGTATGCAGGAGACCTTCCCCTGACAATTGTAGGATATCTAGAAAATTTGTTTTGCTGCTAGCACACACCTGATCTCATATAAGCATTTACAATTGTTAGAAAATGAATTTTTTTTAAAAAATATACATGAATAAAGCTGATATCATGGTTTTAAGAATGTAGAACAATAATGAGAATTGTCATTGTACATATAATATAAATTATTTGAAGCAGCAATTTGTAGCAATAAAAAACAAAAACGAGGGACCTTACTGTAGCTAAAGAGTAGATTGAGTAAATGGTTGAGTCAATTGATCTTTGCTTAAAAAAGCATTGTCATTGACATGTTAAACGGTATCATGAACTTACCTGAGCTATCTGAATTTTGTGAGTTTGCTTCAGCTACATTGGGTAGGCTGAGTCTGAAGTAACTCATGTTTTCACTGTCATTACCATTTTCAGATTCTGCAAAGACAAATAACATAGAGAAACATAACAATTTTATCGCAAAAATATAGTATTCAATTTGGTCTTGAATAAGAAAAAAAGCAAATTTCCTCCAATATTAAGTTGAAAAAAAACCAGGAGGGGAATTTGGTGTGAAGTCGCTGTATTCAGCATTTTATATTTCTTAACATATTAGTTGGTGGAACTAGCTAAAAGGATTTTTTATTCTGCAATCTATCTTCCTTATGTATTGCAACAATTTTAATTATGGTTAAATTCAGTCAAACAAAACCAGACACACACCTTGAATTCAAAAATGCAAACATTTGGAGTTCTTTTGGAGCCAAGTTTAGGTCAAAACATCTTTACCAGCATAATATACAAAAAGTTATAAATTTAAAACAGTCTTGAAATTTGAAAAATGGCTTTGAAAAAAGCAAATATTTACAACATACTTAAAACGTTTTGGTCGGACACTCCTCTAAAAATGTCAGAATAAGTACCTGGAAAAACAAGATGGAAAATATATATCCAGTTGTGGTTAGAAAATTTGTCAATCAGAGAAACGGAAGCATATTTCCTGTTGGCCTATTTCAATCCACAACTATATATTTTCCATCTTGTTTTTTGAGAAACGTATTCTGCTGTTTTATATATTGAAGAGCATCAGGTGAGAAAGCTTCAAGTATCTTGTAAAATGTTTGCTTTTTTCAAAGCCAATTTTCAAATTTTAGATCACCAAAAACTTAATCTTGAAATTTCTTTCACTATGAATTTCTTCAAGGCATGCCATGATTTGCAGTGTATCAGTGACTTCATTGTTGTTTTTCTTACATTAACAAGACCTATCAAAAAGTATCATTAACAAGACCTTTCAACCACTTATAGCAACCGGTGTTTGCTTCTTAAAATAATGATAAACCTAAGTGTAAGTTTAATTGTTTAATATAAACCTACCTTTATGGGTTGTCTGCAAATGCTCATCTTGAAATTCAGAGAAGGTCCTGTCAAATTCTGCGAATGATTCTAGTCCACTCACATGAGAGGGGAATGAAATCTCACTTATGTTTGTCTGTGAAGCTTCGTCAAAATTGAAGTCATTACCAAAGATGCCTTCTTTGCTAGCCATTTTATGAAGACAATGTCAACAGGCAGCAAGGATGAGCTGCAAAGATAAAAAAGTGGGAAATGTGAAACATGATAATAGCCTTCTAATACTATGTTGATCTTAAAATTCTCAAGGTTACAATATTTCTTAGAAAAGAAAGTGCTCATAAATCAATGCTTGTGACTCCTTGCAGTAATCCAGAAATGCAAAAATGATGCACTTATTGTGTTTGAGAATAAAAAATCCAAATTATTTATATTTGGTATTGAAATATTTCAGTGCACTTCGTTACTATTTTGGCTCAATAATTTGTTAGTGTTCTTTTTTCATGTTGTTTCTCAGTATTTACCTAACATTTTGAAACAATGATCAGATGTGTGCAGCTGTACTCTTAAAGCTAAATGGCCTGTGTTTTTATATAACTTACACGTCCTAGGCTTCAATGAGAAATGCACGCTTGAAAAATATCTTAGAATCCTCTTACACGGCGTATAAATATTGGCCAAAACGAACGGACTTATTTTCAAGCAATGTGAGATTGAGACATAGAAAAATGAACCAAACAATATATCATATACACTCGAAAAAATCCAAAAGATTCTTAACAGTTCAAAGTCATCAACAATGTTACTGAAATATGATATCCCATTGTAAAATAACAGTCCTACCACAATTGTCAGTCAAATCAAATCTCCATTGAAATCAACTCGCTGCTTCCATCGCGTTTTGGCAATAAGCATGAATCTCCCTCTCTTTACTAAATTGTTGTCAAAATCACGAAATTATAATAGCTTGAGCAGTAGACGATGTCTTAAATTGGTTTGTAGTACAAAATGTATACATAACCGATAATTTAACTGTCTGTACAAACGAAGCAATTTGTATATGGCGCGTATAAAAAATCAAATCATTATCTTAATTGAAGTGAATTTATCTCCTTCACAGGGAACAAATAACAAGGTGAAGGTAAGAGCGAGGCAAGATGCTCCGCACTCATCGGCGGGATCAGTAAACCAATTTAGACACCCCCATCTAGGATAAGTTGTCAATCAATAATAGTCTTTATGACTAGAAAGACTTTGGAAAATTTTTTCTTCTTCAAAGAGTGACCCCCTTTGGATGCTTCAGTTACGAGGCCCATAACGACTTTGAGAACACACGTACCTACCATAAACCAACCTTTCATTAGGGGCGTAGGGTCCTCAGGAGGCTGAGCCTCCCTTTTCAATGCCAATCAATAAACAACTCAAAACAAAACACAAAGCACCCATGATAACATAAATTCAACATATTAATTGATTATTAGATCTGCAATTAATATCTTGCGAAAAAAGAAATTTTCTAAATCCATTTTATACATTACTGAAAAAGGAGTATTAAATTGCATATTTATCATTGTTAGACTACGCAACATTTTCACATCTCCATCGAATTGTTATATCTACTTTTTGTCATAATGTTATGAAAATAAAATTTCCTGAAAATCACAAGATCGTTATAAGAACAGTACGCTCTTATTTACTATCTGCTTGTGACATCTATAGGCATTCTTAAATATTTTACATCTTCAGCCTTTCGAGTCCTATAACCTAAGTTCTGCAGTATTGGGAGGGGGTGGTGGGTTTGACGTTGCTTTTGATGAATTGAATTCCATGACATCAGAGCAAATGCTAGCAACACTCTCAGGTCTTTGTCCTTTCTCTTTTTCAAACGAGATGCGAGGCAGACGAATAACGTTGCGTCTCATCTTCTTCCTGGGTTGGCTGTTTCTAGCAATTGTTCTTCTGATTTGCTGAGTTGATGTGTTCATCCTTTGCTTAAAAAGCAGAGGTAGTATTGAATTGCTTGTTACTCTTTTGTCGTAAATCTCTGCCTCATCGGGAAGAGTCCTTTGAGGAATGAGCAGTGGCTTGATTCGCTGTTCATTCAATGCTTTTAAATCCATGTCATAGCAAGGTGCCCTGGAGGTCCATGACAATTTCATCTTTCCGAACTGACAAAAGCCAGAATCAGCAACTAAAGGAGAGTGAAATAGCAATGCAGACCGATGCAAAAATATAAGATTCAGGTACTTTACTGGAGAGGCTTTGGGTACATGTTTCTAGATACCTACATGAGATCTGAATTGGTTTAAAAAAATATGGGGAACCCTTTTCAAAAGTTGTAATTCAACTTTCTAAAGGTTTTAAAATAAATGAAGTCTTATTCTGTATCCGCCTCTGAAACTTGTTAATCATTTAACTTACTTGCAACATTGCCAAGTCTTTCTGGTATTCCGAGAATCTGGTGCTCCCTTGGCAACGCCTGGGTGGACGGAAAACCATGTGAAAATTCAATAGCATTGGCTATTCTTTCCCCTCGAATTCCTGGAACTAAAACACGTGATATTGGGCTTGGAATTAGGTGTCGATGATGAAGAACCGGTTGAGAAATAATCTAGGAAGTAGACCGAGAACGTTACGTTGATTGATCGCAACATCATTGAATGAATTTTTCATCTTTCTACATAACAAGCGCAACCAAATTTTAGACTGGTAGTCTAGACATTCCAAAACTTTGATACAAGAAAATCAGTGGCGGCGCCAGCTATTATAGAGTGGGATGGTAATGGGCGTGACCAGTGGACCAACGCCCCTTTTGCCTCGTTTCAGTGATTTGTACTAAGTTAACTTTCCTTAGGAAATTTGATCTACCCCTACCCATTGTTTTTTAATCGATTTTTTTGAAGGAAAAAGGTAGACCATATTTTCGGAAAAGTGGGGGAGGGTAATTACCCCCATACCACAATTACCCCCCCCCATACCACCTCTTGGCGCCGTCACTGAATAAAATAACGACTTTGTATAAGAAAGTCGACAGTGTAAGAAAGTGTAAATATTTGGTACGACGTTTCGAGCATAACTCTTCATAACTCTTCTTCCTGATGAAGAGTTATGCTCAAAACGTCGTACCAAATACTCATTTCTTATACAAAGTCGTTATTTTATTGTATCAAATTTTGTTCATTTTTGACGTACAACACGCACAACTTTATTGATTATCAATTCCAAAACTTGGTCAGAATATCGATGATCTGATATTCTTTACTGAAGTATAAATATTGCTTTTCTTTAAATCACATGATAAAATGTTTCATAGCATAAAATTAAAATTAAAGCAAAAAGCTGCTTCAAGTAAAATGGCATCCAGATAGATAACCCTTTGCAAAATAATATTAGAAGGAGAATACTGACTGTGTCTGTGGGATCCTTTTGTGTGCCATTGCAGTCAAGGTTCTTTCTACTTGGTAAAACTCCTTCAAGGGTCAGCTTGAGGACATCGCTTTGCATTTTGTCTTTAAACTTCTTAAGAAACTGAAGCACTTGGTCAGCAACAGGAACAATTTTCGAGTCCTCTCTGATAACTAAGTTCTTTAAGATCAATGTCAGTTTTTTTAAAGCAATCTCGTCATTAGGTTCCCTGTTCTGGTCTTTGAAAGCTCTTTTTGTCAAAAGCATGTAGGTGGAAGCTTCAAGTAATGCAGACACGAGCTCCTGTTTTTTATGATGTGGTAGCTTCTTCCCCTTCTTTACTTCCTTAACTTTCTTTACAATTTTCACTTTTCGAATTCCTGTTGGCCCAGTGTTGTTTGGAGTTTCATTCAACACGTTGCTTTCTGTGCATTGAGTTGGAGAAGGACCTGTATCAATAAAAGAGACAGAGTGGTGACGTCACCATCAGGCCCCTATCAGACTAGAAACAGGTAGACAGTCCTGTAAATATACTTTTTCTTCTTTTTCATGCTCTGATTACTTTATAATGAAACAGTTCTATCAATATTTTCCACCAAATAACTTAAGTTAATGAATCAAAAATATTACAAGACAATGTAATTCAATCAGTCATGAAGTAAGCAAGATAGAAATTGGATTTGACATTTAGAAGAAAAAAAGTATCAGTACATTCTTGAACATTAATCGGCTTGCAGAAAAGAGAACCTACTATCTTCTTCTTCAAAGGAAACATTGCTGTTGGTCGAGAAATCGTCAAGTCTTAGCAGAATTTCTTTCATGTCACATTCTTCTTCACTAATCTTTTCAAGAGATGAACAATCTGAATTTGAATCTACTGAAAACAAGAATTTGGATAAATATAAATTTTGTATAAAGGGATGCAGATACAACTTGACTCTTTAGGACATTACCTTACCCAAAACTGTCTATTACAGTTTGACCATTGATGCTAACAGTTACTGATTGATTACAGTACTACCAAGGTTTTAGAAAATTTATCAAAAAATCATCAGATTACGCCACCGATGATTCTATCATACAATGTTCACGTGTGTGAAAAGGGCAAATACATCTTCAATTTTCATCAACAGACAAATATCACCTTTCAGATCCTTTAGGCGAATTCTTATGCAGTGGAACCGCTACAAATTAAAATGTAGGACAATAGTAACTGTCTTTTAATGGGATATTTCTTTTTTAAAGGTAAAATCCAAAGTGGTAAAAGTGTCTGTTGATGGAAGGTGTCCTTCGATGCAGTCTTTACTCAAGCTGTAGTGACTTGTCGAAAAACAAGAGTTTTCATTAAAAAGATAAAATCGACAATTTAGACAAATCTGACCAGTTAACTGCTGAAATTTCTTTGCCAATCTCGGTGCAATGAGTTCTATGTAATTCGGGGAGTCTGTAGCCTAGAAGAGCAAAAATAAGCAAGTTTTACAGTTCATTGATTCGAAAATTGAAGAATGTCACTTCTTGCAGCAATATCATATCACGTTTGTAGGTTGCAGCAATATTATATCACGTGTGTAGTTTATAAGACAGCCAAGCAAATGGCTTGGTGTTTATCATTTTACTCCTCCGAGAAGAGAATCTAAGCTGTTTAGCCAGACTTAGTCTGTAGTTGGAACGAGCGACACTTAATGCTGTTAGCTGTTTAGCTGTAAATCAATCCATTTATACCAAAAGACAGCATCAAATGTTTTGGAAATTCTTCTCGCAGATAATTCTTAATGACGTTCAGTAGCAAAGTGAGGGAGAGTCAAGAAGAAGTCGGATGCACACCCTCCCCCCTATGGCAGAAATTTTCTTTGAAAACGGGCTTTTTCTGGCATTTCAAAGAATGTAGACGCTCATTTTCCCTTGCTCAAATCACCTTCACACCCTATATCTTGACACCCTTGCTATGATACTGATGACGTTCAGTTTTTGAATTCATTTAAATTGTAAAGCTAAATTTCCTATGACTAATATCTTAGAAGCTAAATTATGAGAAATTGCAATGTTATCAAGAAGGCACACCATTATCCCAACCCTTTAATGTTATTCAAAGAGTTAAATCTTCCCCTTCTCCGCCTTTCCCTCCCTCCTTGCCTTTCCCTCTTCATCTTCCTTTTCTCCAATTTCTTCAACCTTCAGCCTCCTCTTTCTCCAGTTCCCCTCCAAACCTCCTCCTTCCCAATTTTTCCTTTTCTACTTTCCAATTCTAAAACCCCCTTCTAAACCCCCGTCTCTCTCCTATCTATACCCTCCCCATCCTCACCCACTGCTCCAATTTTTATCTTTTCAAACCACTCTCCTCTTCGCCCTTCCTCTTTCCCTTATTTCTTTTGACAAACAGCCGGCTCCATTTAAAGGGATCATGAAGAGAATAAAGACCTTTTCTTCGATGCTTTTAACTTCGTTCACTTTTTCTTGTGAGACAGCACATTCTTTGTCGATAGTTTCTTCGCAAGACCCTTCTTCAAATAGATCGTCCTTCAGCGGTTTAGGCTGCGAGCCGATCAACCAGTCCGTTACATTGCGATTCGAAATCCCAGATGCCTCTGTCTTTTTTGAGTAAGTGTCTGTCCACTCTCTCAAGTCGTTAAGATTTTCATCATCTTTTTTTAAAGTGGGGCCCCTTTTTAAAGCTGATACTCGTGTAGCCACGCTTTGAAGTGTGTTAAAGTCATTTATTCCTGCAAAAAATATGAGTTGGGAATTTAAATTAAGTTGCTAGGCAATTTTTACTAAATATCATTTTAATAACAGGGCCGGCGAATAATAGCCCCCGGGGTTCAAGATCAAATGGCCCATTTACAGAGCTGGCGAAGCGTATTTGAAAGTGGAGGGGCCAAAATATCAAAGTTTTGAAACGTTTTCGGAAAGGCCGCCCCTTCCTGGCGGCTAGAAAGATTTTGAAAATGTGTTATCTTAGAGATGGCTTATCTTAGAGAAACTGTACCTAAAATAGAGATACAATGATTTCCGAGGCAATAATTTTGAGCTTTATTTTATCAAGATCTCCCATAGATTCGTCTATTGCGATTGAAGAAGAAAAGGTTTGCAAAGTTTTAGAATAACTATTTTCATGTAACTCATATTCAAACTGTTTTTGAGATTCAAGCAGGAACCAAAAAAGAAAAATAAATGAAACACGACTTAAAAAACAATAACCTTGAAATGTTAACAGGAGAACTATCAGCAAAAGATAAGAGATTGACTTATTTTATACAGTTGGGATATTATTTTGTAGAATCAGATTTTAAAATTTTTGGGGAATAAAATGCTTCTAACAAAACGACTCTAGATTTGAAAAACTTTCAAGCTGGTCTGGTCAAAACGAGTTTTAATAGAATTTATAATTACGTCTAGATTTTTCCTTTCCTAGTAGGAACGGATTATCGATAGAATCACACTTTGAAGCTTTTTTGATAAGAACAAATCTGCCGATCATTCCTAATATTTTCAAAATTTTTTTCCTTGCAGTTTCTTTTCCTTCAACAGCTAATTTCTTCTTTTTTCAACGATTATGCCAAATTTCCCATTAACAAATAGACCTTGTGAGTTGCGTTTAGGCCATAGAAGTAACGAAACTCCGTCATTTGGTTATTCTGGGTCAGGGTTCACGATCTCTTTCAAAAGCCTAGCTGTTACTCACTGTACAACTTGAACAATGACTGATTATTCCGATCAAATCCCTTTTTTAAATGTCTTCAGTGGGAAAGATATTGTAGCCAAGCTTGAGCTAAGGTCATGTTCTAGGTAATAATCAGCCTAGCTGCTGACCGATGGTAGACTACATTTTCTTCCACTTTTGCCCAGAACATTATTCTTGTTTGCAGAAAAGTGAGAGAGCCATGCCTCCCTCTGGTTTCGCCGGCCCCGACTTAAAATCGTTCAAGCTTATCTTACTCTTATCTGACTCTTTGGATTTACCAGGCGTCACGTGGCAACTTCAATGTGGATATAGAGCTGCAGCCATTGCCCAATAACTGCTAAACTTGCTACAAGTCTCTCTTTATCCATTTAGCAATCTGAAGTCTCTCCCTCTGAAAAATAAAGAAAGGGAAAAAAGAAAAAATGGGAGAGAACGAGAGAGATACACTATTCTCTCTCCTTCCCTTCTATTTTTTCTTTTTCTCCTTTTCTATATTTTTCAGATTACTAAATGGATAGAGAGAGACTTGTAGCAAGTCCAAATAACTGCCAGCCACTACTAAATGTGTACGATTTCCTTCATAGCAGCGAGCTATGTGTTAAAATAATTGAATAAGCAGCCCCCAACTAAATACAAATTTGTTCTGACGACACTGGGTCGTAGACATTTCCTGCTAAAAATACCTGCTAAAGATAAAAGTCCTTTCTTTGCCTCTTCCCGCACTATCTTTGCTGGGTCATCAAGCATGCTGATCAAATCTGTGAGGACTGTATCACATTGATCGCCAGCCATTTCTGCTAACTCCACAGCCGTCTTGACAGCAGCAAATTTTACTGCTGGTGACTTGCACTTCATTATATCTCGTAATGCATTAATGACTTCATGGAGGATTGGAGTTGGGATTTCCAGTGCCTATAAATGATGAAATTGTTGATCCTTTAAGTCTTAGGAAACGTTTCTTTGATTGATTGTTTTCTCAAATGGAATTTATGTCAAGCGCTTTACGATGACAAGTTGGCTAATGAAATATGTATGTTTATTGGAAAAGCCAGTTCATCATCTACATCCATCATCTACATCCATCTTTTTAAAGTATGGGAAGATAATTTTTGTGCAATGGTTAAGTCGGAGAACTAGCTATTACGCCAATGGAGGGGTAGGGGGTGAGTGCTTGGGTCCCATTTGCCGACAAAATGGGTGAGCAAACCCTCATTCGCTGAAAACAAAGCAGCACTACATGGCAAAAGTTCTTGTTTTGAAACGGAAATTTTTTCAAGTGGGCGTTACACCATCAACGCCTCACCATGGTGACGGCCCTAATGCAATGATCCCACTTTTACATTAGAAAAGAAATCATTTGTGTGGCGATTCCCACCAAAACGCTACTCTCAAAAGAGCAAAGTTGAAGGTTGTCATTGATTCGGTGCATAGACAATCGGGATGATTATATTACATTGCTTCATGAACAAAATAAACTGCGTCTCCAGTTGCAAATTCTATTAAAGTCTACAGTCACTAAATAGAAATCTTTAACCTGAATCACAATGTTGGTGTTATATAGCTCGGGCTACAAGAGCCAGCATAACCCGTAAATGCAATATCGAGTCAGTATTTTTAAGAAGGAAAATCAACTATCTTTCGGTCATTTTAATATCTTGAAATTCCTTGAGTCAAAGGCTCGGCTGTGTCATATTTCTTTGCAAACTATGAAATGTTTCATTGAATGGTTTTAGTTGAAATCAGGTTTACTTTCACGCTCATCTTCTCTTTTACCAGCCCCAAGAATCATCCCTCTGTTTACAGAAAACTCCTTTCGGTGAATCTTCAACATTTTACTTACTTTTTGATGTCAACGAGAAGGGCACAAATTTCTCGTACTGTGATTGCATCCTTTCCACTAAGCCTCTTTATACTCTCTCTAACGACGTTGGTGGCATTCAGTTCAATGTTCCTTGGAAACCAGTCTTTGTCCATTCTTTTCTGAAGTACCATGTGAACTGACTTCTCGATGACTCCAAGGCCAGCGTTGGACGTTTCCACCATCTCTATGTCATTCAAAACCTTCTTCGTCGGTGTTGGTAATGACGTACTTTCAGGGATTACTTCTGGTTTTGGTTGCTTAGTAACTGTCGAGTCTTGCTTTTTGCTTTTTGAAGCCTTTGGTCTAGAAATTATGTGAAACAGCCACAAGAATTAACGATTCCTTTAAAGTTAACCACCATTTAGGTTCAACTTCGATTAGCCTTGATCAGTGTTGCATTAACTTTGTCCAGGGCCTCTGGTGTTGGAGGGGACTTGAACTTTTTGGTATAAATTTCTAAAGTGGTCTAGGGGCCCTAGACTTTACTGGAAAAGGTTGGAAAAGCATGATCAAGTTCCAGCTGTTGGATCAATTATTCGGGCAAGTCAATGCTTCTACGATTTTTCGACAAAAAATGATCATTATATAATACCTAAAGTGAGTTCAATTCAACAGCATAACAAATATGGTTAACAAAAATCGTCTTTGAAAATTTGGAAGCATGAAAGCAATGAAAACTGAATGGGGGCACAAGGAAACTGCGTCTTGCTGTCCATAGAGGAAGGATATTAGAATTGAGATTGTAAGGTTCTTGTTCTCCAATTTCCTTTTTGTATTTAAAAAAAGAATTGAAATTTTCTTAAGAGAATGGAACTTCTATCAACACTTGACCTTCTCTTTGAGACCTTAGGCAATGAATTATGAGTCAGAGCGATGTGTTTAATAGATAAACCATACTTACTCTTTCTTTTTTTCCTTAAATTTCTCCTTGTCAGTTTTAACTCTTACACTATTTCTCTTTTTCATTGTTGGCTTTTTTGTTGATTTTTCAGTTTCCACACCCTTTCCTCCTTTAAGAATGCTTTTCTTCTCATTTATTGCAAGTAAAATGTCGTTAGGAACTTCCGGACTTTTTGAAAGCAAGCATGTGGCTTCTTCTAGCTCGTCTTCATTCTCAAGTTCAGTGAAGTCATCATCAGAATCATCATCACTTAAAAGCAAACGCCTTCGATATTCATTCATAGAAGCCCCTTCACTTGGATTTTCTGGGGACACAGATGCAATCTGAATCTCTTCTTCACTTTTTATCAACTTTGGAAATCTTGATATGTCGAAGATCACTGCAAAGATGGACAATAGCATTAGTAAGACGTTTTTCGCTCTTATTCTTATCTTCCAATGCATGTATTTTACTAAACTTTATTTTGGTATAATGATAACAAACAGAGAAGTTCGCCGATCCCGAAGAGCAACCTTTCAGTATTTGGCAATCTCACTTTTAATTGACAAAATACGATTGGGATTCACGTGATACAAAAGTAAGTGTCATTTTGAGAAGATATCCTTGCTCGTGCAGTTCATTCTGACGGAATTATCTTCAGTTTATTTACATTTCACGCTTTGTTAACTTTTCCTTTTGCTTTTTCTTTACATCTACCAGACAGAAAATCAGAGTCTTTTTCAAAGAAATTCTCATATTGTAGTCTTGGCGTACTCCTTTCCGTTCTTATGGACAATCCTTTGCACAGAAAAATATGAATAAATAAACCAAATAAGAAATATATAATTTTTCATACGCTCTCCTTGACCCCTCACCCCAAACATGGCACTACTATTGGCTGGCTGAAAAAAGTTTTGATAAACTGACTATAGTGATTTTGAAACTACAACATACCCAATGAATTTGATAAATCATTAGTTAATGATTCTCGATGCACTCACGTCAACAGCAACTTAGGCTGCCTATTCGTACTCCTTCACTCCAGTGCAAAAAACGTTTTAATTCAATCTGTCATGTTATTCAAATTGAACTCATGCATAAGCAACAAGGTTTTTAAGCATTTCGCCTATGAACCGAGTCAAACAGTAGTTGCTATGAAAAACAGAATGCATTCACCGATAAGCTATTTGAAGTGCATGCCTAATGTTTGACCTGAACAAACTACTGAAAAAAGGACGTGTTTACTTGAACCGATCCGTTAAGGAATAACTTTATTAGCAGGCTTACTTATAATGCAAACATGATATTTAGAAATGTTTGAGATTCAAATTAAACCAAACCATGAAAAAGGACAACGAAAGGCTCTGTGCCGTTGCGATGATTTTTCATGATTCAGAACCAGGATTGTTTCCTCGGTGGATTTCTCTGAGTACTTACTGTACCCATTTATGCAAAAGTGGCCCGAACACTCGACCATAGGAGTCTAGTAAATGAAATTGAGGACCTGAAAAATATGGTTCTTCTCTGTTCCACATAACAATGGCTTTGAAAAAAGCAAACATTTGGAAACGTGATTAAGTTATTAATTCGTCACTCCTCAAACCATAAAATGTCAGAATGATGCTCGAATTTTTAAGCTAGAAAATATATATACCCAGTTGTGGATCGAAACAAGTGAGTAAGTCACATAAACTTGGCAATGTGAGTACATTTTCCTTAAGGTTGCCCAATCAGTATCGCTTGCCTATAAAAATATTTCCAGTGGAGGCCAAGGTTAAAAACGAACTCCTTTTGTCTACACAAAAGTTGCTTTTTCATTATTGCGTAAAACGATTTTAGAACTGCTATAACCCATTAATAATTACTCTTGTTCCATTCTAAGGCTTCTTTGAACATTCAAACTCGCAATAAACGTGTTTGTAGATGGCATATGTACCCTGGCTAAGCCAAATTCTAATAATGAAACTATATCAGGGGTATGAATTTGCTCCCAGGGCATTAAGCATCGTGCACGCAAATCCTTTCTGCAACTCTCCTGTCACTACTTATTCTAAAGGATTCTTCTAAATCACTCCCAAATAAGGCATTAAAGACAGTTCAATGGTGTTGGCAATGATCTTTTATTATAGGCCTAGGAAGTACTGTGCTGAATCCTAGCTGCACAGTCATTGTAGGGATATGCTCTTTCTCTAACAAACTTCACTTGATTTAAAAGACCCTTAGGTTTTAAAGGCGTCGTTGACCTCGACCTCAAATTTTAAGATAACTCCAACATGTGAAATGATACCACATCGTGTTCACCGTCTTGGATCAAATCTGTGCATTTTCAATGAAGTACGTTAATCACGATAATAACTACGGCCATGAAATTATTTACCTTGAGCTAGCTTCGCACTAGTATCTTTGGCGTCCAACTCTTTGATAAGTGCAGAATAGTCCCGCGGTGCAATTGGCTTGATGATGTTTCTCACGACGGAGTTGGGTAAAAATCCATCCGGAGCACAGGGCCAGAATTTTGGAAGGCAAGCCACACTGTGCTTGTAGGCCCCTTTTCCGTACACAGTCGAGTCGTGTCCTTTCGCAATATCACCAATGCGTTCCGTACTACTGCAACTACAAGTAATGAATGTCATGGCTTGCTCCTTACTTACTTCATGTTTAAAAGGCTCTTCTGAAACGCGTCGGTTTTCAACAGGTTTATTCTGTAATGAAAAATAGTTACCAGATATAAAGAATATATCAAACTCGCTTTAATTATAGGTACGAATACCAAGGTTATGTGAAAGCTTACTGAATACCAAAGGGCTGGAGATGTAACCACGATGATGCACAAAAATAATTTTTTTACTAGCATCCGTACTCACTTGCAAGAATTGCCCACTCTCCTATTTATTTCCATACCAAGTTCGAAGCATGAATGATAACAAATGTATATGTAAATCTTTAACTTATCAATCAATTATGGTTTTTAACGTTTAAAAACATCCAGTCGAGGATGAGTTGGAATAATCGGAGGGATTTCAACTTCTTTAATCTTGAAATTTCTTCCATGAATTTTAAAACACTTTGAACAAAATGAAACATTGAGTATTGGGTGTAATTTTGTTCTGAATGTTTGCAATCCACAAAAGAATTTTCAGGATTAAAGAAGCTGAAATCCCTCCGATTATTCCAATTTAGCAAAATTTATAACATGAGAACAATTAAGATTTTCATTTCAAATGTTCTTCTCAAATAAGGATGCAGAGAACAATTTTAGCTACTCGTTGAAAAATTTTGATTTTCAGTAGAAGCATTCATATATAGCAAGCAAGAAGTCGATGCTTCGAAAATTTTCTGAAATAAAGTTTACACTTCGGTTTAAGGAACAAGACGGTTCTTGGTTGCTACTCTGAGTTTCAAACACAATGCGATTCAAGTTTACATGTTTAGCAATGAGCGTTAATAACTTTGCTTTTAAAATTGATTAGCAACTGTACACTTACCTGTAATTTTATTCCTGTCAGTCTAAAGATGCAATAAAGGCATAAAACCATAGTGAAATACTATTTCTAAGCCCGACATAGTTTGACTGCAGCAATTGACACTAGCGAATATCTACGCACTGTGTATCGATCCTCTGAGATTTTCTTATCTCCCTGATTAACAAAACGTCAGTTTTCTCGAAATACAACATTATTCGGATCATAGTCTATGTTCGGATGCTCTTATTGCTCTTAGTTGTAATACATATACAATAGTGTCGCGAGTAAGGCGATATCAGAAATAACTCCTTAAGGACATTTTGCACTTTTGCAAATCCAAAATCGTGAAATCATTCATGTGCGGTTGCAAAAGGCTTCGATTGTTTTACCTTGAAGGTTGCTCTAAAACTGGTAAAGGAATTAATATGTCTTGCTTAATAGGCTACAGCACCTGCTTTGCTTTACGCAAACCTATAGCCAGAACGCGTTTTCGTCATTGGGTTGAGTCCGGGATCAAAACTAAAGAATATTGCTGGAGGGGGCGCGATCTACAGATTCGACGACAAAAATGGCGTTTCTCAGATGCCTTTCGTTTTGGCCAATTGCCTTTCAGCGAAATCTCCACTCTTTTGAACTATTTGAGAATACACAGACAATTGTTAGGCTGGAATAGATGAATTCATAGATGAAACATAGATGAATTCGTTTATCGTTATTAATATGCCTGCGAAATTTGACACTGTGGAGCAGTAGATAGTAAAACTTATAATCTATACGGACTTGTATCTGCCAAGAGAAACTATAAATTTGCTGACAGACTAAATTTTCTGCCCCCACAAACCCTTTGGTTACGCCCCTGGTGCAATTGCAGGCTAACACGGGGCACCGGGTTAGGAAACGATGCAATAACATCGACAATTTAATCTCACATAAAGAAGATCCCTTCTCAGATTCTTACTGAGGAGACGACCTTTTATCGGGCTGTTAGTTGCATCATTCCTGTTTATGATTCCTGATATTGGAGACATGTTCAGAAATATGGGCCTTAATGACCATCTCGTCTTCTTTAGCATTTTTTGCATAACAGTTTCTCATGCTTTGGCATTCAGGTGGCTTTAAGGATATGAAATGAAGGTTGTTGTTATAAATAGTGTAAAAAGATAATTTTCCCCTGTGTATCAAATACGTTTGAAATCACGTTTTGTCAAACATGGGCAAAAGAGTAGAAAGGTTGGCAAAGGGCATCAAATTATAAAAGAGTCCTTGTTTTTTGTCCCATTGTACCAATTCCACGTTTCTACAAAAACAACGAGAGACAAAACATTATGCTTAGGGACTTAGAAACAAAGGCCTAGCGATCACATTAACCTTAACAGTCACTTTTACAGCAACTACTTTGCAACGAGACTTATGATTTTGCTTTCAGCAATTTTGATTAATTGTCTCAGCAATAAAAATGTACGATGAGATAGTCGATATGGATCGGTTTTACTCACTCTATACTAACGTTTTCTGTAGTTGAATATAATTTACAATAAAAATTGGTTTTTTATGAATCCTTTTGCTGGAATGATGACCATCAACATCATCAAAACATGCTTAATGTAGTTCGCGAATCCTCTTTCTCAAATAGGTTTCAAAGGAATGAAAAAAGATTCAGTGGTATTTCCCGATGACGTCACAAATGAACTACACTGGTATATACAGGAGGGCCAAAATAGGCTGCACGTTAGCATCAGACTGACATGGGGTTTAAAGCAGAGATTTTCTAAACGAAATGAACACCAAATACTAACCGGAGGGAACGTATAATTAATGAACTATAAGAATGAAGGCTTCTGGGTATTAGAATGCATATGAAACCTTACTTCCAAAAATTAGGTTGACAAAATCCATGTCGAGTCTATAAATTTGGGCACAAACTGATGGATGAGTCTCATTGCTCTATCCTGAGGGTACGGAACCTGATTCAATCTAGCGATGTCCTTCATTTCAGAACAATCGTCAGATGCTCGCATTAGGCGTGAAACTCGTAGTTGCAACTAATAACCGTCCGGTTCTACACACCAAAGTGAAACTATAACATGCATCCATCTCAAAGAGAAATGTCTATATATGTGCACATGTCATGTAGGGAAACTTGCTTTAGCTTAGACAGTCTAACAGGATTACATTCTACAAATTTGCAGTAGTCAAGTTGTTTACATGAAAGTTTGAAGGTTTTCTTTATTAACGATATTTTCCCTTTATACATTTTAAGTTGCTCTACTTACCGTACTGTTGATTTCAAGAATGCTATCAGACTTTTGTCCTGTGGAATCGGAATCGTTAGATGTTGACAAAGAGTTGCTTGGTAGTAAAGGACCAATTGCTGCTTTCGTATTTCTTCTAATGGATAGCTCCGTTTGGTCGATTCTTAATGCCGTTTGGCGCCTTTTGGTGAGCCGGTCATTGAATATAAATGAAAGTTCGTCGATGTCTTCACACTGGAACTTGGTGCTAAAGAGCAAGACTGTCTTCAGGCGAGTGTACTGTTGATTGAAAACAACAGAAATTGTTAAGAGGGTTCATCTCGCAGCCAAAGCAGTTGCTTGCTATTTTGCTCAAGGGAAGGGGGGGGGGGTGCTCTGATCCAATTTGCCGACAAATTGAGTGAGCCATCCTTCATTTCCCGACAAGTTTGAAAATTTTACGACGGAGCATGGAAAATTTGATGGCAAAAAACTCCTCGTTATTACAATAAAAAATTTTCAAAGGGGGTGTCACACCCCACACTACACACACAAACACACCCATAAAGACAATTTTTACTTTAAATTCTCCAGTTTAAAAGATGGTTCAAATAAAGGTTTAATATCGTATGTTTTATTGTTGGTTGATGTTCTCCCTTGCCTTTTATACCTTTATTCCATAGAGGGATTCGCCTCGGTATTATTCTAGATTTTCCCGCCGTCCCCTATTTTTTCTAACCCTGTCTATTTAGAACCCCGTCTTAGATTTCAAGCCATCATTTACGGGGTAAAGCTTGTAGTTTCTGAACCTTACAGATAATAGCAGGGGTCGCATTCTTCCAAATATTGTGATTTGTTTTCGATTTCTTCAGTGATATTATAGTCAGAAGCAACTGTTAGTGTGTTTGATGGTGGATAAATGAATCAATCTACACGACCGTCGGTGCGTGGGATTTAGTGGTGTAACACCCTCTTGCAAAAAAATTTCACTGTAATAATTCTCTTGCAAAAAAATTTCACCGACGGCCTTGTCAATCTAAATTGTTATACTTACTATATATTATATACAATATTCTAGCTTACTATATACAATATCATAAGTACAAAGTAAACTAATCCAAGTCGATAAAACAAAATTATTTTATTCAAATACTCACGTCCTCCATTGTAAGACCAATAGACTTCTGTCCAACCCGACGACTGTTGGTCGTATTTGTTCGACCGATGGGTATTTTCTGCACCCAGAAGTCATCATACCAAAACTTAAGCAGTGGATCAAACGCAATGCATTTTTCAGTGACGTCATCTTTTAAGTCCATTTCTAACAATTTATTCATGTAGTGATGATTCAGGCAATGCCATGACGGAACGTGGTACAAGTTTCCTAAAACGAAAATCCATTTTTAATAAATTCAGAGGCATAAGGGATAGAATGGGGTTCTTTGCAACTTCTTCAGCATTAAATAAGTAAAACATCAAATGAGAAAAATACGAAATACAAGAGCCAGCCTGTAACAAAAACAACTAATCTACTGTTTTTTCCAACTTCATATTGGACGATAGTAGATTGATAAGGTTGACCATAGTTGTGCATTCTGATATGCAAAGAGAAAAATATCAATAAGATTAGAGCTTAAGGGTATTGTCCAGCAGAAGGAGAAACGCTTTTCTGGTGCCAGCCTATGTACAATCTCTACCAAAACCCCTTGAAATACCTACATATTTTGCTAAATTTTTGCTTTTTTCGTATATTTCCCGTGTTTCTAATAGACTAAACCTCCTCCCCCCTTAAACAATGTTGCTTACAATGCAGTATATCACAGCGATCGGTAGAAAGAGGTTTGCCACAAAAGTATGTCTTTACTTTGCTGTGAGACAACATTTTTTGAAGTGGGGGGGGAGGGTTATGGATGCATGCAAACGTTGGAAATATCACAAGTGCTCCAAGAGTTTTGGCAGTGATTGAAGCATAGTTTTCGCCACATATAATGCAGTTTGCTAATTGACGCCTGATACCTGAAATCTTGCAAGAGCAAAAGAGCATCAGAGTTGATCAGGGACTTGATACGGATGTTCTGTGATAACTGAATCGTAATGTACCAATACTTGCCTTTTTGTATGGAAGTATTGCGGAAGAAATTGAGTCACTACAAACTTAAAATTCTCACCCTTAATAGCAATAAGCAAGTCAGCCCTGTCATTGGCAAAGCATATGCCTTCAACATCGTCATCAAAACACAGCTCTTTGATCAAGTTGTTCTGTAGATCCCAAATACGCACATGGCGATCCTTTCCGCTTGTTGCAATGATCGAAAGTGACTCACAGCAGCAAATCTGAAAAATGGAACTGATGGGTAAAAAGAAAGCATCATAAAGCTCCCGTAACGTCTGCCAATGCAGCTCAATCCTTCAAATACGGTATATCTGGAAGATCTTTTCAACAAGTACATGTAAAGCCTGATTTACACGAGACGAATTTTTTCGTGCGAAGCGAATTTTTTGCCGCGAATGCGCGAAAAATATGCGCAGAAGTGGAGATTAGAAAATTCGCAGCGAATTCGCAGCGAATAATTCGCTGCGAAAAAGTAGAAACCATTCCTACTTTTTCGCTGCGAATTTTTTCGCCATGTAAAATAAACCAATCAGAACAGCAATTGAAGACATCTGACACGAACCCAAAGGAAGGGCTAGGCCGAATGGTGCTACGCAATGTAAACATATCTAAATCAAAAGTATGCAAAACGACAGAAAACTACGCAATGGTTCAAACAACAACATGGGTGAAGAATGAGTAACCTATGACTAGGCCTAAACAATGCTGGGAAAATCCCGCACCTATAACATAAACAATGGAATGGGACGTTTCTAGCAACAGGCGTCTTTGGTGCAATAAACGATAAAAGCTCCTCATATGTAGTTGGCGACATTCGAAAGTAATTATTCCTGACAATGTAAGCGTAAGTCACTTACCAAAAGATGAAACTCCCCCTTCTGCAGACGTTCTGAATAAATTTTCCGAACCAAGTACCCATTTATTTGCTTTTTTGCTCGCTTTTTTTCAATAACAACAATCTTCGAACAGACGCCATTTTCTTTGGCATTATTCGCGGCGAATTCGCAAAAGAAATTCTGCCAGTGGAAATTAAACTTCGAATTCGCAGCGAATTCGCAGGAGAAAAATTTGTGGCGAAAAATTCGCTTCGCACGAAAAAATTCGTCTCGTGTAAATCAGGCTTAACTCTTTTCAACAACCAAACTTTTCGATGCTTGAATATTTGGCAACTAGGAAGTCTTAAATAGTCATGCTAAATCTGCATAAAGGGAGACTTGACAGGTGGCTTATTTCTTAATCCTTTACGTTTTTGGCATGAAATGGGGAGCTATAACCCCTGATTCCCCCTGCTCCATGGTGACTGCGACAAAGTTGTTATTGTTATTGATATTGATATTGATATTGTTATTGATATTAACATTGACATTGATATTGTTATTGTTATTGATATTGATATTGATATTAACATTGACATTGTTATTGATATTGTTATTGTTATTGTTATTGATATTGATATTGTTATTGATATTAACATTGACATTGATATTGTTATTGTTATTGATATTGTTATTGTTATTGATATTAACATTGACATTGATATTGTTATTGTTATTGATATTGATATTGATATTAACATTGACATTGTTATTGATATTGTTATTGTTATTGATATTGATATTGTTATTGATATTGTTATTGATATTAACATTAACATTGACATTGTTATTGTTATTGATATTGTTATTGATATTGATATTAACATTGATATTGATATTAACATTGACATTGTTATTGATATTGTTATTGTTATTGATATTGATATTGTTATTGGTATTGTTATTGATATTAACATTGACATTGACATTGATATTGTTGTTTTTATTGATATTGATATCGTTATTGATATTGATATTGTTATTGACATTGATATTGATAATATTATTGGTGGCCATAGAGATATCGACATCGAGAGTGGTGATATTGACAATTATTATTGATATTTGCAGTGTTATTGCCATCGCAATTAAAGCTATTGCGACAATAGCCATTGCGATATAATGATATTATATAGATGTTAAACATTATATTGATAAAATGGTGAAAGTTGTGCATATATCGAACACGCAATCAATATTTTATACTGATAGTGAAGATGATAACGATGTCGATACCGATAAAAGGGTTTGATTATGGCAGTGATAGAGTTAGGAATAAGTACTGAATTTTTTATTTATATTTTATTGCTTGAGCATAGATATTCCTATTTAACATTTGCATAAATCAGTTCGAAAGAGAAACAAATAAAGTTGCCACTCATTTCAGCTTTTCTGTGTAACCTGTCGCATTTGTGCTGATTTTCTTGGAAAGTGTTACCAGAATGTTAAGTTGATGTATGTAATTACCTACACAGAGACCATATAGCCGAGGAGACAATCTCCTATTTTATAACAAGACCTGGCAGAGACATAGCTGCTGATCGAAAGAAAAATGACGTGCAAATTGCATTTGAAGAAGCAGGCAAGATTCAGCAAAACAAAGTGAAAACAAAAGCACATTGAAGACTGCTTCAAAAATTGTCAACATGGCCGATATGATTTGGTTTTCTTCATATACCGAGCATGCGGCAAGTACAAAGAGGATTTAGTGGAAAATCGGACAGAAGAAAATATAGCTCACAGTCATGTGCAAATAGCACCAATGTACAGACAGGCAGGGGCGTCACTTGAGGGGGATATGGGGGAAGGGGGTGGTTCCAGAAAGTAGGACCTTTTCGCAGAGCAAAACTGATTTTTGCAGGGCAAATGTTCTCTACCAACGGATCTGCTTTGTTGTCTTTCTTATGTAACTGTAACAAGATAGTAGGTTATGCTTGTAATTTGTCTACTCCAAAAATAAAATGATACAGACTACCAGTGACACGAAGTAGAAATTGCCAGCGTGATCTTGGGCTGGATGGAATAGATTTCTAAATTGATCCTGATTTCCTTTCAACTTAAGTGTTACACCCATTTCTATGATTACACTCTTGCTTGATATTTGTGTCTTATTTAAAACCATACTAAAAAGACAAGCCCCGTTTGCCAGAAAACTAAGACATTATAAACGGGGCTATTTGGGTAAAAGTATGATGGAATAGTATTGCATATTTGGGTCTAAATTTGCTTTGATTATAACCAGAAGCGTGACTTCAAGAAGGGAGCCGACTATATACGGTTTTTATATCTATTTTCTGTGGATGACATAAGGTGTATTTTATAAATTCCTGTAGGTTTTCAAGCTTGTGTTTGCCAGATAAAGATTATGATCGATAAATCTACAAAGATTATGATCGACTACGCCCCATTGGGCATTGCTCAAGATATGTTGTTCTATTGTTGTCATGAATATGTAGGCATAACAACTTACCGCATTTTATGTGTTAATGTTACGGTATTTTAGTGTTACGGGGACTGGGGCCAGTTCCCAACATTTCCAACTTTTGCCAGGGCAAATCTTTTTCTACTGGGCAAATATGCAGCAACCCCCCCCCCCCCCTTAACAAAAAGTATGAAGTGACGCCCCTGCAGTCAGGATAAACTATCGATAAAAGGAAACATTAAGACAATTTAAAATATATTGCTGGCAATTTATAGACAACAACATCAATTTCGCGTACGATGTAAACACTTTATCAGAGAATACCTGGTTTATGTTTCCAGAATGCACATGTCTCGTCGAACTCGACAAAAAGTCGGCTTGATTATATGTCATATAACTCTTCCCTTTGATTCTCTGCGGCAAACTTTGGATCGAAACAAAAAAAATGAATAGTTAAACAATTGTAAATTCAAGGTATACATGCATTTTAAATCTCCATCAATGTCTGATCCTTCCAGTTCACAAAGAAGTGTGCACTCCCTACATCCCCCGGTAAATCCGTCCCTGTATTCATTTGTAGATTGTTTTATTTTTTGTAATACCGCAGTTTTTATTTTGTGAAATAATACATTGCATCCCGCGATCTTGTTCTCTAATGGTGTAAAAAACATTAACGGTACACAAAGTACTTTTCGCAACTTACATGTGATAAGCCACATGCTTCTTCGTAGAGACAATAAATACTTCATTGGCCAGAAGCAGCTCCATCGGATGATCGGTCATGCTAATTTGCAAAACGATGCGAAATTCTAGCTCATGTGGCTCCTCATTTTCTGCAATTTTGATTCTGACATTCCACACGTTGATGATATTGTCTGTGCCATAACTGACAATTTCAGCAGCTGTCTTAAAGCAGCCATCGCCAGAGTGCTTCCTAGACCTAATCATCGTTACACTTCCTTGGTGCCCTTTGACCGGAACAAAATGAAAATCTGAAAATTAAGAAAGTCGTTGTAGGCCAGATTTTCCATTAACCAAAGACTCCCGATAGTACTAATATTACACATAACTCTGTGTCAAAGCCAAAGCCTTGATGTACTCGATACTCAGTGGCGCATTTTTCCATGTTTAGTAAAGCATGTTTAGTTTCATTACAAAAAATGACGAGTGCAAGATGGACCTTTTCTTGTACTCTCCCCTCTTTACATAGGCGTACGGGGTTCGGGCAGCTGATTTTTTCGGGCAAAAATTGGGCAGGAGCCTTCTCCAAAGACAGAAAGTATCAGAAAACTACATTTTGAACATGTTTATAAATCTCTTAGATGAGTAAAGTGGCCGCAATCGCGAGCGCTTTCAGTAATGGAATTATGTTGAAGAAAACTGTTGTGTGAAAACACAAAAAAGGGACACAAACATAGCCTGAGCCCCAGTCCACAAATGTTGTCAAATTTATAAATGTGGCAGCATTTGTGGACTGGGGGACAGGCTACAAGAACAGCAATAGCGCAAATAGTGCTTGAAAGGATTGTCAAAGAAAAATACGAAAGCGCTGTCAGTTGAGACTATAATATGTGAGCAAAGGCTGAGCAGTATTCTTAAACATTCTTAAAAGTTGGATGACTCTGAGTTTGAAAAGTCCAATACACAATATTCTTATAAAAAATGCTAAGGAATAAAATGCTATGGATGAGTTGAATAACTTTGAAAATTGCCCACTTTGCCCTTTCAGCAAACTGATGCATCCGCTAAGATGGCCACCAAAGAGAAGAGTTGTCAAGGGCAACCTTGGATCGTTGCTGAGTATTGTCGACTCCAGTGATTCCAGAGAGGAAACTTTTTGGTCAATGTTCTTTGCTTTCCACAGCTGTATCGTGCTACGTGTTAGATAGAAGGTGTTAGAAAAATGTATATGAATAAAGTTTGCAGGCACAACAAGTGAGAAGCGGAATATTGAGTCTGAGTAAAGACTCTACGAAGGAGACATGAAGAGAGATTAGTATAGGGGAGTCGCGACCGGGGGGTGTCGGGGGGGGGGTGGGCGGTCGGAGGTGTCGGGATTGGGGATGTCGGGGGTGTCGGGATTCGGGGGTGTCGGGGGGTGTCGGGGGTGTTGGGGGTTTCGGGGGGTGTTGGGGGGGCTTGCCTCGCGACATCCCTGGATTAGTATATATCTTCCTCTTCTTTCTTCCATTTCTCCCTCTTCCATCGAGCCTCAATGCAGGTTAAAGACTGTCTAAAGTGTGAGTTTAGTCTCAGAAAGGGTTCCCCACACCTTATTGTAGTAGTGTAAAGGACCAGTTACATGTAGACCTAATGACCCAATGATGACACACAAAACATCGACTGTAAATTGATGCTTACTGAAACCTTTTTGAATACCTGTTTGGGTTTGTCTCTGTCGAAAATACCATTATGTTACCATCATCTAACGCAGCATAGATCGTATCATTTCTTGGGTCATGCAAAACGTTTATCAGATGATGGCCTATAACTGGGAAAGTCATGCTTATGATGCTTCCGTGTACAGGAGAAACAAGTCGAATTCCCCCATCCTTTCCTTGGTACACTATCCTTGACGGAATATCTTGACTGTAGACACGTGACAGCCGACAGGCCTGGGCACCAATATTCGAAAAGAGGCTATAGAACAGGTTAACCTCGCAGATGCTGATTTCTTTATACGTCGTGTACATCAATGAAGTCGGACTCATAAGGTCAAAACTCAGTACAGGCTCTTGTAAGTTCAATCTATAGGCTTCTGTGAAGGTTTCAATATCCCAGATTCGGATGCTGTTGTCTGCTGCCAATGAAAATAGCAGTGCTGCATTACTGTGAACTGCCAGCTGGAGAAGCGACCTCGTATGCCCTGAAGATTCAAATTTAAGTGTTTTAGATTGCACTCCCCTTGAAGGCCAAAACAAATGTAAGCACTGCTGTGAGCAGCACTACTGTAGTATATCAACGATATTATCAAATGATATCAAAATTTCAAATTTTAATACAGATTTTGTAAAAATCGAGAAATTCTGAATGAAGAATTAGGTCAATCGTGTATGCGACTGCAATTTATATGTACACATATCTCGAAATGTTTTGTTCAAAAGTAAAGCTCCCATCTGAAAGGAAGATCTTTGTCTAAACGGACCACTTGAATCATGGAGAACTGTCTTTGAAAAATAACTTCGGGTTTAAAAAGCAGTTGCCTAAAGGCAACATTCATAATTAGGGTTTAAAAATATTTTGTTGGCAAGCGACGTTATTGGCTCCATGATTTTGAGCAGATTTACCTTGAAAACTTCCAAACAGCGGAAATCTTTGCATCGTCGTATTCCAAGCTTTGATCGTACCATCTTTTGAGCCTGGAATGTAGATTAAATACGTTAGTCTAGCCCTAATAAAAATACTTTTCCAGCAAGAAACATTGATATTTAAAAAATTCTGCATGTGTGTCCCCTCCGGTTCAAAATGATGGGTTCCATATACTTCTATTTTGAAAAAGACTTTGAAAATAGCGAACACTTTAAGAATATTTTTCCATTGACTATGCTCAGAGTAAAAATCTTCAGATTAGGCTCCAGAAAATATAAACCCAGTTCTGGACCGAGACAGGAAAATAAAAAACACGAGCAAATGACAGGTGTTGTTAGGGTTACCCGATCAGTGCCGCGTGTCTATTAAATCCTCCAATAAGCCCCCGTCGGCTTATTTTGCAAACAAAAATTTGGTAGTGTGGGCTTATTTGAGCGGGGGTAGGCTTTTTTGAAGGTGGGAGCTTTTTCGATGACTTCAGGCATAGAAAATATTACCGCTAGATTCCAATAGTGATAAAAACTTCTTCTGGCTATACAACTGTGGCTTCATCGTTTCTATGTAGATGACTTCTTGAAAGGCCAGATCGCACGAGGAAAGGACTCTGCCATTTAACGAAATATGTCGCCATTGTATTTGTTGACACAATCTACGTTTTCTAATAAAGGCTGTTTGATTGAAGAATCGCATGTTTTTGGTATTGTTTTTGACCTGCACAATCAAAATCGAGGAGGCCAAACAGTTGATAAAGTCGCATGCTTCGCTCTTTAATTATTTCGTTTTTAGTGTTTATGGAAAAAAGACGAGGAAAAAGTAATAGGTCGAGCACTAAATCTGGAGCTTGCATTGGGTACTCAAAAAAACAAAGACTGAGTTACAGCAGGGAAATGATGCTTCCATAGATGCAATTCTGTTATAGATTTACCTGTTATAATATAGTTCCTGCATGGATATGTAATTGCACATGATATAGACTGGGAGTGGCGATTCTTTAGCACTCTTTTGCAATGCAGCTCGTTCACGCTGCCTCCAGATATGAAAAACACTGCTTGTTGGCCTACAGCAAGAAGTTCCATGCTCTTGTTATCTACACGTAACTGAAAAACCCAAGGTTTATCATTATTTATCACTGGAAGTTTCAGTTCCTTGATTGCAATTGGAGGATCATGTAGATACTGGCCTAGTTTGAATACCTGAAGGAAGCCTACTCCACTAGTGATAATTGCATCAAAGCACTCGCAGTAGATCATGTCAAGGACGGTATATCCAAGCTCTTTCGTTGCATTCACGTTGAATTGACTTCCATATGTCCTCATTGTCATATCTGAGCATGCGGCAATGTAAAGAAAATATTGGGGCATGTAGAGAAGACGCAGTATCTGAAATGCAGTGAAACGATTGCATCAGTTGAAAACCAGCGATAAACATTAAAGAGGTGATTTGCGCATTTTGCTGAAAATTGATAGATTGCTGTAGAAAAGATCATTAGGCAACTTGAAAAGAAATAACTTCTCTCTGTCAATACAACATATCAACATCCTATATTTTGATGAACAATGGTACTTCGGACTATTATATTATGGTCTAAGCTGAGGAAAGGTGCAAGGTGCAAGGTGCAAGATGCAAGGTGCAAGGTGCAAGGTGCAAGGTGCAAGGAGCAAGGTATAAGGAGCAAGGTGTAAAGAGCTAGAAGCAACAAGCAAAAAGCAAGGAGAAAAACGCAAGGAGAAAGTAGCAAGGTGCAAGGAGAGAAAAGCAAAGAGAAAGGTGCAGGGAGAAAGCAGATAGGTGTAAGGAGCAAGGAATTACGAGTAACGAGCAAGAAGCAAGCAGAGAGGTACAAGTAGAAACGTACAAGGCGAAAGGTGTGAAGAGTAAGGACCGAGGAGAAAGGTGCAAGAAGCAAAATGTAAGGAGAAGGGTGTAAAGAGCAAGGAGCAAGGAGCAAGGAGCAAGGAGCAAGGAGCAAGGAGCAAGGAGCAAGGAGCAAGGAGCAAGGAGCAAGGAGCAAGGAGCAAGGAGCAAGGAGAAAGGAGCAAGGTGTAAGGAGCAAAATGCAAGGAGGAAGGTGTAAAGAGCAAGGAGGAAAGCTGCATTAAAAAGACGAAATTCAAGCTTATAGTGATGACATGAAAAGAGGCCTTTTTTGGTCTCAGACTGCCAGTAACTGCATCTTTATGAGCTCGTTTTTTCCACAGATAAATATCAAAATGAACCTGGGTTACCCATAAGAAATACAGAATTATCTAACACCCATCTATATCAAGTGGAGCCTATATCTCCTGTTCTAGCAAATATAAAGTTTCAGGTTTAAGAATAAGTCGACCCTTCAAGTCAGATACAGGTTATAACGAATTCAAGTAAGGAATGGTTCAAGAATGGTTCAAGTAACAAAAGCTGATAACCTGAGCACACATATTTTAAAAGGAAGTATGCACGAAAGAGATCAAAATGAAAACCTTTGATTGAAGGGCATCATGGAGTGGACACGAGAAGTTCACATGGATTGCACAATAGCGGCCAGTAACAGGTTATTTCATTACAGACAGTTTCGTCTGTGACACAAACCAGGGACGTATGTTTTTATTTTATATCTATATAAAATGTTACAATAAAAATTACATTCTACTTTACTTGCTAAGTACTCTACGATACTCCAGGTACGATACCATGGAGCGCAATGGACAATGCCAACCCCATGGCCATTACATGCAACTAGAGAAACAAATACGAACGCTACACTTACACTTAATCAATGTTACAAAAAAGAAAAGAAGTATATATATAAACAAGATTACAGGTACAAGATAATACGTTTTGAAAAACTGAAAATAGCAAATAAGTGGGTGAGACACAAGATTAAGGGATATTTGATGAAACTGATGGACTCATTAAGGGACGTATGTGAACAGTACAGTAACATAATGGAAAATAAACTGTTACACTGGTAGCTAAAATCCTTGCAAAAATTGTATTGTTTCTCCGTTGAAATGTTAATCAACAATATTATGCATGATTATCAGTGAAAATCTTACTAGGACTGGACACAAGAGGAAGGGGGAAGAAAATAGCACCAACTTTGATGACTTGGATAGGTATTTAAATCCTGACATTTTAAGCTTTTGAATGATACTATTGTTGTATTCCAACTACTTTTTAGCAAGGTTTCTATGTTCAACCCTATTTCAACATATTCTCAAGGAGAGAAAGCCTTGAACTTTCGAAGAAGAAAAATCAGTCGAAACGGACAAGGCCTTTGGGAAAGTTCCGTTTGTCGGCTCGGTGGCACATGACGTTGCCAGAGACTTCTTATCGACGTTTTCAATGTATCAAAGGAATCATATTTTATCAAATGTACCGTAATTTCAAGAGTTGTAGCAGGTACCACTTTCCGAGCTTTATAACAATCGCCATCTAAAGTCCACACCGAGACTTTGTTACAAACACCAGCTCCATAGTGGACGATGATGTTGTGGGCACCAGGCAATGTCGAATGCAAGCACAGACGTATTTGCTTGGATATTGTAACCTTGCATCTTTCTTGGATTCCATAGGGTACGATGATAGAGCACTGGTCGTTGTCAGCGTGAACCAGATTTCGAAGTTTACATTTAAAGCTCACCGAGTCGTCTATCTTGGGTTTGTAAAATATATCTGGCATGTTTCCTTAACGAAAAAGGTCCAGTTGCCAACAGAAATCTAATTTCGTAAAATTAACGCTGATCTCAATTCTTATTTTGCTCAAACCTTAAACACTTCAAATACTATCTAACGTCAAATTGCCTTGAAAAACGAGGCCTTGATTCATCGTTGAATTGAATTGAAAATGTGATTGCAATCTTCTACAGAGAAACAAACCCCTCCAGACAACGTAAATAGGAATTTACAAAAGGAAGGCTCTAGGGTCATCAGGGGTATGTTGTTTCTTGCGATCATTCCCATAAAAATGAAGACAAAAACAAGAAGTCTCAATAACTCGTGAGTGTTTGTAACATATCATAATATCAAAACTAAAGAACAACAAATGATAAAACAAACAGAACAAAACGTTTCTTTTTCATTTTGATGCAAGTTGTGGGAAAAGTTGCTCCTTTCTTTTTATTGACAACTCTTGAGTGTAATTGCTGATCTGTCACTCAAAAGCTACCTGGAAACTGACTCTTTTATAAGATTGGTTGAAGTCCATTTATGTTACAGAAAAAAGTGACGAGAAACCTGTCACTGCAAGATCTGATCGAGCAGGTGTACAAACTAGGCTCATAAGCGAAAAGACTCTACCAGGCTCTGTAGACTGCAAGAAAGCTATTTTTCTTGTATATCAGCATTCCCTGAATCAGATTTTCAAAGGACTTTCGAGCATTTTTTTTGAGAATGAGATACATGATATCTGAATGCCGCTGAATCTCTAGCATTAATAAATTTTCTCTTGCAGTCAAGGAGAAAGCAAGCGACACCCAATGGGCGCCTCAGCCTCACCAGTCAGAGACAACTTTGGAAAAACTGAAGGGCTCCTGCTGTATTGTTCCATAGCGTCAAGTCGAGGATAGGGAAGTGGGGTCCCGCATCGCCCCATTTCCCAACCTCCACTTGCCGCTCTGGAGCTGCGGCTCCAGAAAACATATCTTCTGTGCAGGATAACAACATGGCGACAATGCAATCGCGAAATTTCGTCTTAGGATGTAGGCTTAGGGGATTTATTCTGAAAAGGGGCTTAGTCTCATCTGCTAGAAAAGTTAGAGTTATTTGGGACGCAGATGCAATTGTCAGTCGGAATCTCAAATCCGAAGATTCTTATGTAAGTTGTTTCACTGCAAAGTTGCGCAGAATGATTACTGCAAAAATAAACTTTACTAGGGTTTATGTATCTAGAGATGATAAAAGTTCAAATTATTTCGTTTTGTTATGTTTCAGGCCATTAATTTTACTTATCCTTGTATCTCTCCTCAATACTTAGGTTCCCTTGGACCTTTCTCCCACAGAAAGAAATCATAAAGACAAATCTGACGGCAGTTTCAGCGACAGTAAGAGACATCTAATTTATTCACTAGCCTTTTTAACTTGTCTAAACGCAATGTCGGATGATGGAGACAGAGACGAAGAGACAATTTTTTCTATAGCAGATTCTTATTACGAAAAGAATGAAACACAACAGCTTTATTCATATTTGTTGAAAGAGAAGAACAGAAAGAATGCAGAAATTCTTTGGAGGTTTGCCCGTACAGCAAGAGATTATTCGCAGTTATCAAGTACAGCAAAGGACGAGAAAAGAAAATTGATATATGAAGGATTTTCTGCAGCAGAAGAGGCAGTTTCCTTAGATGAAAAGTCATTCGGAAGCCATAAAGTAATTCTTCTTTCATATCTTTGCTAAAGGCCCCACCAGCATAGCAACACTTCTTTATAATTCTAACTGTCCTGTTTTGTATTTGTATTGTATTTGTATTTGTTTCTATCTAGCATCTGAAGGTAGTTTTTTAGGACACTGACGAGCTTATGCTTATCGAGCAGTGTCCTGGACTTTTATGGATGTGACAACACCTTGTGATTCCTACGCCTGGAATTACAGAGAGCTGGCAACTCTCCTCACACTGGGTGAAAGTTTGGTCATGCCAGGGACTCGAACCACAGACCCAAGGGTCTGTAATCAGGGCCTCCAACAACTGAGCCATGTTTAGAAAATTAAGCATTGGTACATCTCAGATTTTAAATATAATAACAAAAGCCTGCATGAAAAGACTGTTTAACTGCTACCTACCTCTGGCCAAAAATATATAAGTAGATAAACACATTTTCCAGCAGGACTTGTTGAGTGCCATTCAATGGTCTTGTCCAAGCCAGTTTTTGTGCAGTCAACTTTGGAATGCCTTGAGGCACTTTCTATGAAAAATCATATGATGCAATACTAAAATTAAAACTTCACCCTTAACTATAAAAAATTATTATCAGCATTACTCAATTAACTCAAATGAATAGTATCAACATTAATGATTGGCAAACAAAGTCTCATTCACAGCAAGATTGATTGCAAAATAATGCCTGGAAATCACAAAGAGCTTGGAATTCTCCCCACTCTAAGTGGAAGTTTGGTCGTATCATTAGCTCAAACAACAGATCCCTGGGTCTCTAGTCTAAATAGACCTTTTTAGCCTTAGACCCAAATAATTTCCTTTTTTAATTGTGAGTTAGGATGCTTGTTATGTATAAGTAAACTTCTCTTGAAATCTTGAAATCTATCTTCTTTTTCCCATTAGTGGTATGGTATTATGCTTAGTGAAATTGGAGACTATGAAGGAACAAAAAGGAAGATAGAAAATTCTTACAAAATAAGAGATCATTTCCTGGTAAGATTATTGCTTGAAATAGCACAAATGCAAGTTTGATTCTCCATCCCATGCCTTTCACGTTATTTGTTTGCAAAAAAATAATGGCCTTGCTATCAAAAGTCAGTGGTGCAGTGCTATCAAAAGAACAAGGAGGGCTCTTGCACAAAATATTACGAAAAACAATTAGCAAATAGAAATTTGCCAATTTTAAGCAGCCCCCTGAGCCTCCTAGCACTACACATCTGGCCTTATTCTACTTAATGTTGCTAAAAAATTTAAAATTGCAAAGCCAGATTCCATATGTTGAATGTGACAGTAATTAGCAAAGGAATCAGTTTATATGGTACTTTCTGATTCTCTGTTAACCCCTATCTTCTATTACAGAAAGCAATCGAGTTGAACCCTTCAGATGCAACTTCACATTACTTACTAGGAGTATGGTAAGGTCTGTTCAAATTTATAAAAGTTAAAATATAATTCAGGTATTCCATAAAATGACTTACTTTGGCATCTGATTAGAATGTACTCCTTCAAGGAGCAGTATTTGAGGGTAATTCTTACTGTAAAAGCTCTATTAAGCCCCCTCTTTTAAGTTGTATTTCTTTAAGCCCCCCCTCTTTAGCCCCTTATGCCAAAGAAAGAAAACATGCACATTTAGTGGGTCTGTTGGTGAGTGTAGAGTCTAAAGGTGCCTAAAGGTTTGAGAGGTTTTAACGACGCCGTAAAAGAAACCCAAAAAGCAATGCTATACCGGAAATTTCATTTTATCATCATCATTTTTTTAGTTTTGAATTTGATAGTAAATTCTGCTCTCAGGTTTTTCACCTTTGCTGATCTGCCTTGGTATCAACGGAAACTAGCAGCAACAATTTTTGCATCCCCACCATCATGCACTTATGAAGAGGTATGTGCATCACATCCTTAAACTCCTGAAAAATGAAATGAAAAATGAAAACAAACAGCTTTCAAATTCAGAAGGCTTCTCAGAAATGATTACCATAAAAACGAAAATTTAAAGAATCTCAGCTCTTAATATTTGCCTTTAGATGTAAATACTGTTCTGTCAAAGTTGGAACCATCTTGAGTATAAGGTCTTTTGGAACTATCAGTTTTAGCTACTGCTTATTTCATAAGAGATTAACCAGAATTCTGATTTTAACTGTAGCTTTTTAGAAAATCAACTCTTTGCTCCTAATAATTGCTATATATTTTTTCTAGGCAAAAAGCCATTTCATACATGCAGAATCACGTATAGTTGTTATTTTTTATTTTTAATGTTCTTTACATCATTCTTTGCAAAACATCAACATTCATGATAGAATGAAACCTCAACCATAGGACAATATATATTAATAATTAGAATTAGACAAGTCAATAGCAAGCACTGTAAAACTTTCTCATCTTGATTTACAAAATCAATACAACACTTAATCATTTTATTGCAACAAAAATCATGATATTACACACTATTATATATTATTTCTATTTCTTTTGAAATATTAACCTATAAATATAGTGTTATTTGATGTTTAGCTTCTTACTTTTTTAATTCTTCTTCAGTTGATCCTGGTTTCTATACTGCCAATCAGCTGATGTTGGCAAAGGTTTGCATTAGGCTTGGGCAGAAAGAAGAGGCAAAGTCATGGCTTGATAAATTGCTCAAATTGCAAGCAAAAACTGAATCAGATAAAAAGGTAATCAAATTTTTTTATGTATTTGATCCTTTTGAATTTTAACTGCTGTAAGCATGTTTGGTGGGTGTCTTGGTTGGATAGTAAAAGTCACCAAGCAAAAAGCACTTAAAATTCAGTCAGTATTGGTTTTAAGTAGCAGTTAGTGTGTAATATTTAGTGGTGGGAAATGAGCTACATACATGAAAGTTTATGGAGTTTTTCTATGTACGAAACAAAAATGAAAGGACAAGAAGCTCCTTTTGAATAGATTGGCTGAAATGCTGATCACATCAAGACACGCAGCTAGTCTACATCCATTTGAATAACCAGCATCTTCTTATTTTGCATAAGGACTTTTATACTTTTTAAAATTTCTAAGAAAGCTTAGCTATAATGACATTACACCTGAATATTTCAAGTGTAATTTTGCTTTGCGTTATTTTATCATATTCATAACAAAGAAATACAAAGGAATAACTCAAATGAAATGTACATCTAAATTTTTTATGATCATGGTATCAAATATGTAGGTCATTTTTCAATTTATAACCATTTATACATTCTCCCTTTTCTTCTTCAGAATATCGAAGAAGGGGAAAGTTTAGCAAAAACACTGTGATTTTTGTGAGTTATTCTCCTGGTGATGCTATAGTTGTGATAAAATCCATGGCTTCGCAGGATTTTATGCGTAATGATTTAAAGTTTCATTGCTAAATATATTTGACAGGTTCAGTCATACAAGGAAATTGTTATGCCTTATGGCAATCTTGTTTTGTGTTTCCGGAGCTGAAGCTGGTCTAAGTTATGTAACTTTTTAGTTTAATTATATCTGTAGAACGTCTTGCATTTTTGTCAGCACTGTTATGAAAAAATTAGGCTTCTTTCTGTCAACCAAGGACTTTCAGAGGGCCTATTCAAGGTTTATGGCTTGATGAAATCAACCATGATTTTAACCTTGTCTTACAAACTTTCTTTCTTTTGATATTACTGCCAAAATCAGTTATTTCTTTTGATAAGAATTTTAAATGGTTTTGTGTCTTAAATGTGGCTATGGATTTGAATAAATGTGTTTAACTTACTGTAAAAAAATATGAACTGTGTGGCATAATTTTGAATGACTTCAGATTGCAGCCTTCAGCTTTTCATTTTTGTGTGCTTCTGGCTTTTGACCTCCTATATAAAGTCTTATTGCCAATGTTTGACAATTTCAAGGAAAAAAATTCTAAATTGGTATAAAACTTGTCAAAAGCTTGCAGTAACTCTGTAATCATCTGTTTTTCCTCTGCACCATGATCCATCTCAGTTTCCACAATAATTTGCAGATGCTGAAGCATTCAGAATCATTTGGAGAGCATTATTTCTTTAGTTGTAATCATTGATCGAACCATTTATCACTCTATGTTTTGGAAAGGCTTGTTGAACGACAGTTTGTGTCAAGCAAATTCCGGGATCAAAAATTTTTTTTTAAATCACAGTAACCGTTTTTGAAATAAAGGCGTTTTAAGTTGAGAAACGACAATTGTGCCGACAACTTGAGACTTGAGGCGAAAATCATCACAAGTGGGCAATCATCTTTGACGTCACAAGTGACATGTTCTCACCACGTATGTGTTTCTCTATAAAAACCTTTGAATGTGAAACCTTTGAAAAAATGCTGTGGACAAAGGCCAGGTCGAAAACGGAGAAAAGGCGAAACACGTAGAACACACAGAAAAGTGAAATTTTGCTTTAAGCTTCTGGAATGGAAATACATAAACAAAGCAACAGAGCTCTTTCAAGAATTGTTACTTGTGACGTCAACCGAGAATTTCAACAGCTTCTGGCAATAATCTTGTTTCCGCTTCGGGAAATTCCCGAGTCCAGGCTGTGACATAATTGACGGATAAAAGTGCAAATATCAGAAAACAGTGAATCTAAGAAGAAAAATTTTAGCAGATTTGAAGTCAGCGACACATTCTGCATCAAATATGCCAAAGTTATTTTTGCGTGTCAGTTCTCCTTTAAAAGTGTGTGTGACAGAGATCATACTAAAAACGTTTGCATCATAAAATTTTATTTTACAATTTTTGAATTTGGACCACAAAAACTGAAAGAGCACTATTAAATGTAAAGATTTAGATCTTGAAAACCATGGTTGAATTTGTTACAAATTAGATGAGCAAATAAGAACAGGTTCTTACTGAATCAATAGATGTAATTTGGTCTTGGTTCTAAAGTTTATCTACCATGCAAAACAACAATAATTACGCTTGCTGGAATCATTATCACAGTCAATTTGGAACATAATATGCTGACTTCTCAATATTCTAATATTCTAAAAATACCTCACATAAATTCTTTGCTGAGAGTATAGTTACTGGGTTGCTTATAAATGGCAATGTGATATGAATTCCTTAATTATCATGGCTAAGAATTTTAATAAAAATGACAGAGATAAAAATTGCTACAAATTTCTGTCTTTCTTAAATGTCTCTTAAATGTAACTGCAAATGTCTTTCTTAAAGTCATCATTACTCCTTTTCCTTATCATATAAACTGAAGCAAAAACCATGCTAGTTACCCACTTTGTTCTTGTGCCTATTGGTCCTTTATACTTGCACAGCTTTCAATCCAGCAGTCATCCTGTTGAAGACGCTTTGTAATGAGCTCCTTTATGTCATTTCTACGCACTTTTTCAAGAACGTCTACCAGCTTTTTCACCTCTAAGTTTATTGAACACAAGTAGTTTATAAACATGCGAGCTGAAGATGTAGCGTTGCTGGGTTTTCCTGCTTCCCCTATTTCATCAAGAACATTTGGTCGAAACGAAAGATGGCCGCCAAGATCTCTCCAGCTACCTCGAATATTATCAGCAATTAGTTCATCGGCAATATTTTCTAAAATGGCTTCAAACTCTTCTTTACTCAGGCTTCCGATCTCACGATCTAGTGAAGGTAGTCCTTCTTTTTTTGCATATTTATAAAAAACATCTCGTCGTGGTTTTCTTTTCATCTTTTCCTCTAAAATATGTTTGATTTCATAAATTTTCAAATGTGGCCTGTCGTCTCTGAGCTTCAGGAAAAGCAATCTATGTGCCACACCCTTGTCTCTCATTTTATCAATAACAATGTGGTTAATTTGCAAGAGGCGTGCAGCTTTTGCCCAGTTTCCAGTCACTGTTGATTCTGAAGATAATCTTCCGGCCAATTCTTCACGAAAGTCTTCCTCAAAGTCAATTATTTTACGCGACAAGCCTACAATAAATGAAAGAAAGCTTTTTCTAATTAAAATGTTTTGAGGATAGCTTATGAATAATGTCAAATTTAATATCTGACAAGGAAAACTGCCAGGTTCCTGCAAATACAAATAAAATATTACTATATTTTAGCATGCTGGGATATGTCATTTATCTATTTTATGAACATAAAAAAGCCTTTTAGCACTCAAGGGTCTCTACCTTAGCATGTGGATGTTAAATGGGACAATGGATCAATAAATGCTTTCCAAAGGGCCTAATGAACAGGTATCACCAATCATAATTATCAGTCATACTGATACCCAATATTCATTCTTGGCAAACAACTCTTTTTCCTTCCTTTCTGCCTATGCTTACTATTTTAAACAATCTTTTGGTGGTACAAAACTTGTAAATGGCTTTGAAAAAAGCAAACATTTAGTAAACTAAAGCTTTTCGTCTGACACTCTTCAGAGTTTAAAACGTCAGAACATAGATCGAAAACTCTACGCTAAGAAATATATATACCCAGTTGTGGATCGAAATAGGCCATCCAGAAACACGAGCACATGACTGTAAAGGTTGACCAATCAGTGCCGCTTGCCTATTAGAATGTTACCAATGGAGTCCTAAGGTGAAAACGAACTCCTTTTGTCTACACAGTAGCGGTTTTTTTCGTGCTTATGTAGATAGATTCTAAAACTGCTAGGTGGAACGACGATCGGGCTTTACCAATAATCCGAAACCGAATTATTTACCAATAATTCATTGAACTGATGGAAACTGCAACACGTTCAGTTGAATTCAGCTTTAACAATGAAATGTACCAACAAAAGGATGGTGTCGCTATGGGTAGCCCTCTGGGACCTGCCTTGGCCAATATCTTTGTTGGCTTTCATAAAGAGCGTTTGTTTGACTGCGACCAAAAGCCAGGTGTCTATTTTCGGTATGTGGATGACACATATACTATTTTCAAAACAGAGGCTGAGTGTGATATTTTCCTAAAACGCCTTAATGGTCTTCACACAGCCCTACATTTTACATTTGAAAAGGAAGAAAATAACTCCTTGCCATTTCTGGATGTTTTGGTTGAAAAATCTGACACTGGATTTCTCACCAGTGTATACCGTAAACCCACATTTTCGGGGTTATCCACTCGATGGAGTTCGTTTTGCCCAAAACAAAGAAAAATCAGCCTCATCAAAACGCTCACACATAGGGCACTGATGATTTGTTCCAAGTCTAAACTCGACTCGGAACTTGAAAAACTAACTAAGATTTTTCTGGAGAACGGCTATCCAGAACATGTTATTTCAGTTTACATTAAGGAGAAGATAGGAAATTTCTCGGCTGACGTAAAATTTGGTCCTCAAAAGTGCCCGGTCTATCTAAAACTACCCTGGATTGGTAACAGCTCCCTACGTTTTGAAAGCCAAATAAAACAGGCCATAACAAATTGTTTCTTCGCGGTTAACCCACGTGTTGTTTACAGTACAAAAAAGGCCCTTCCGTCCATTCAAAAGGACTGCGTTCCTACCACAAAAAAAGTTCTGTTGTTTATGAATTTACGTGCCAGTGTGATTCTGGCTACGTAGGACGCACCACCCAAAGATTGGAGGATAGGATAAAACAACACGTTCCATCTAATATTAGAAACAAAACACATCCCCAAAGAGAACAGCCACCTCGGTCTTGCAAATCCAAAATTACTAATAAAACCTGCGATTCTGCTATCGGGCAGCATTTGCTAGAAAACCCAGATTGTGCAAAAAACTATAATGGCGACATGTTTCGGATTATTGGTAAAGCCCGATCGTCGTTCCACCTAGCAGTTTTAGAATCTATCTACATAAGCACAAAAAACCGCTACTGTGTAGACAAAAGGAGTTCGTTTTCACCTTAGGACTCCATTGGTAACATTCTAATAGGCAAGCGGCACTGATTGGTCAACCTTTACAGTCATGTGCTCGTGTTTCTGATTGGCCTATTTCGATCCACAACTGGGTATATATATTTCTTAGCGTAGAGTTTTCGATCTATGTTCTGACGTTTTAAACTCTGAAGAGTGTCAGACGAAAAGCTTTAGTTTACTAAATGTTTGCTTTTTTCAAAGCCACTTACTATTTTAGTTAAATATTTTCATATTTTTCATCCCCTCCCGCATATTTATTTATATCATGTGTCCTCCTATTTTCCTTTCTCCTTCTTCTTTTCATTCAAATTCAAACTCGTTTTTCAACAAAAGGTAAAATTTATATTAATATTAATTGCAATGCAAAATAGCTGGAAAATGAACATTCAGAAAACTCAAGGCGAGCAATCAAGCTATGTTCTCAGTAGCGCAAAGTAGGGAAAAGTTGCACATAATTGTTGGTCACAAGAAATTCAAATCGCCAATCAAAATCAAATGGGACAAGAGTAAATGTTGGAATAGGTTAAATTTAGTTTTTTATTAACTAGCTATAGCTTCCTGTTTTCAGCTTATTGTAGAAGAAAATATTTTACTTTATTTTCCTCCCTTCTCTTAATTTCCCTATTTAAGCCTTTATTTTCTCTCTTTTTCATTTTATTCCGCTTCCATTCCTGTATGCCCTTGTTGTTTTATTGACCCGAAAAGAATGCAGTTTTCTTACCTATAGCTAACGCTTCATCAGGTGTAAGGGCTTCATCCACTTTTTTTGAAATCCCAAGACTTTGCATGCCATCAACAATAGTTGTCTCTTGTGCTGGAATGTTTGGTGCAGTAACTTCAGTCTTTTGTTGAGTTTGAAGTTTATCAATTGATGACATGAGTGGAAAATCTATAAAAAAGTTACATTACTGCTCCCACCACAAGAAATGTTTCGGGCACATTAATTTAATTACTAGCCTAAAAAAACTTGCATAAGGGTCTTAAAAACCCTCTGTCTTTAAATGCCAAACAATCCCTGGATTAATCAAGAATCTCCCCTTTGAAAAATAAATGTATGGAAATTTAATATAACTCGGCGATTTAGCAAGCAGTGGCGGATACCGACTGGGTTTTGGATTTGGGACAATTTTGTGACTGCGCCCACTGCAAGCTCGTGGAATATGCGTAATGCCCTCTGAAGGAAATTGTGTACCTAGAAAATACTGAACTTTGTATTTATTCATGATGAAGAGTCTTGTTGGAAGTCCTTCAACATTGCTTCCTTTGTTGAGTGACTTAACTCTGGCGCCTGAAATCTCTGCTACCATCGTACTAATTACTACTTACCATGGGTTGCTACTTTTATTTTCTCCTTGAAAGATGTGTCATTAAAAGCTCTGCTTGTTATGTTAGCATCAGCGACAACATCCATTCTGTTATTATCACCAACTTGTACTGATGAACCATAGAAATTGAAGTTATATATGACACCTATATTGTAAAGAATTTAGATCTTTTAGATCTAGATGAATCAAACCATGGGGAATAAACCATTAGATTGTAATGATTCAAACATAGGCGTAGGAGTAAGTCAACTTGATGACTCTAAATCTGCTGTACATGATCCGACCAAACAAAATCTAAAAAAGTTGCTCAAAATAATGAGTCTGCTCAACTGTTTTTATCTATGAAGCATAACCTCAGTCGCATGTTCATAGCACTATATAAAAATATGATGCTGTACTGCTCTAGGGGTATGGGAGGGTTGCAACTGCCATCAGGAAAAATTTCTTGCATTGTAGGCTCCATTCAAGCAGTACTTTCTCAATAGAGAAATAACAAGATCAATATAATTTGGAATTGCTTACCACAGGAAATAAAATCTGCAGAAAACCTGATCCAATTCAAAAGATTAATTAAAAACTGGGATGGGTCCACCTGTACATTACAAACAATATTAAGTCCCACTACAGCAATCCACTACACCAATGAATTCAAATAAACCCATATTATTCTAGTTTTTGCTCTGTTCTGCTTACAGGTTGTTCTGGTTTATTTTTTCAGATAAATGACTCGACAGCCTGCAGTCAATATTTTTTGTTGAAATGATCAACCAGAAAAAGCAATGTAAATATTAACCTTGCTTTTCCTGCTTTGGTGGTTTTTGATCTGAAACTTCATCTGTACCGCAAAGTCGTTCTTTGTCTTTTGTAGCATTTGGCATTTCAACAACTAGATATGTAGTGAAAATATTAATGGAGAATACCACTAATCCAATTAGATTCTAATGTACAAAGTAAAATTAAAAATGGAAAAATTAAATTCTTTAAGTCTAGTAGCTTTGCTACCATTATAAGCTCAACTGTTTTTTTAATAATCCTCCAAGCATGGTGGGGGATTTTAATGTTTAAAGGCAAAGGCTGACACTTGATATTACACACTCAAAAACAATTAGAAGTGGAATATTCATAGAAATTTCAAGTGAGACTCTGATGGATTACCAAATGACAAGTAAGGCAATGATAAAAACTGGAGATTCCCAGCAAAACTGGGTGACTTTGATGGTAACCAGTTCAGTTAATAAACTTATATCCCATACTGCCTATAAATAAACCCATAAAATAAAGGGCACAACAAACTTTGCTACTCTTACATCCTCTTCAAACATTTAATTTTTCCTGTTTACTTTTAACATAGTTGCAGGTCTATCATCCAAAGCCCCATTTGTTAGGTCCCGATGCTTACCATTTTCTTATTAGCCTCTTGAACATTTTTACATACTCTACGAATTGTTATTTTACGAACTGATCTATACCTGGTTCCTTCATTTCAGGGGCTAACTCATCTTCCTTTTTACTCTTCATATTATCTGTAAAAACAATCATTCAATTAGCTAAATAATACGAAAATCAAAGAATAGTTTGAATAAAATCCATACAATTTTTATGTAAAGTTTGCCCCAAATACAACTGCTTGTTATAGAGTTTCGAAGCATGACGTCATTAGAATATGTTTTTAGAATCACTAAAATCCCCCTTTGTATAAACCGGTTTTACTTGTTTGACTTGTTTTTTCTTACATATAGTTGTTCTACTTCTTTTTCAAATGTTGTTTTTGTTCTGGTTATCTGTAAACAAGCTTTGAAATTCTCAAGTTACAAGGGGATGTGTGCTGACATGTACACTCGTGTATTCAGAAAGGTTCTGAATATCTTTGCTTTCAAAACTCTTTGTTCAGCCACACAGTTTTTGCCTGAAACTGATGTCATGGTCAGTCTAAAAACAAAGTGGATATATTCATGATGGCCCTTGAATACCTTGTGGGCTACTTGTGGGCCTTTGGACTCATTGGAAAATAAAATGGATCAAGAAGACTTTACACTAGCTGTGAAAACAATTTAAAATGTGAGGAAATTGCTGCAAGCTCCTTTGCATGCAGTGTTATAATATCTTAACATTCAAAAAGAATTTTGTTTGTATTTTAATTTTGAATTATATTAAAAAGCATATGCATATAGCATGCTCATGCATATGTTTGAGCATGCTCAAAACAAAGTTGGTATACATGAATACCTGAATAACCTAGCTTGCTGCTATTGGTACTAATTCTATCCATGGAAATTGCCACCAAATTATTATAGCTTCTAAGAATCTTGACACAAAAATATTCTTCCTTGAGAATAAATAAAAGATAGACAATCAAAATCACTGCTTCCTGAAAAAAAGCAAAAAGACAAATGAGTGAATAAAAAAAAATACCTTTATCTAAGTTTTCTTTGGCCAGTCTAATCTCTAGAAGAATTTTTTTTGCATTAGCTTCAAAATCTTCAAAGAGCTTGTAGTAGATTTTTCCACTAATCAAGATACCAAGTGCAGAATCACCTGGAGGGTGATAATTTTCCACTTTCACTGGAATAATAATTTTTTTCATAGTATGTGAATGGTGGTATTCTGATTTGCAATTGTGGGATTCAGAATAACCCTCTGATATCAATAAGATTATTATATTAGAGTATGAAACTGCTTTAGCCATCCCTGTTAGCATGTCACCAAGCATTTGCTCTTTATCTATCCAAACTGTATAACCAGCTCTCTTCAGATATTCATTAAGTCTTTTTGCATAATCCTCTCCACTTTTCCATTCATAAGAAATCATGACATCCCATTCTTTTTGTTTAGATGCCATCATATCTAAGAAAAACACATTTAAATTAAAGTGTTGTGCTATTAGTGTTTACAAGGAGTATTTACTCTTCACTTATAGGTAATGGGTTTTCATAATGATTCAGATATGGAAATCTGACAAAAACCCAAAAATATCAGTGTTTCTAAATTTGATGCCTAGAAATATCAGAATTGTATCTATTGCTTTTGCAGGACCCAAAAACATCATTTCTGATAAAGATTTAACACAAAAATATCACTTTGGGTATGCATTTGACCCAAAAATATCGGACTGACCCCCCGTATGTCTATATGCTGAGTGCCCCCCCCCCCCTTCGACTTGTAGCTTAGTCATCAACTTGGCAAAAAAGCACAGAAAGCCTTATAAGGTGTCAGCTGAGTTTAGCTTGCTGAAAGAAATAATTAATTCTGAAGGATGCTATTTGAATTCCCTGTCCTCCTAATAACCAACTGAAGTTATTTTTTGGTGTGCCAAAAAACGATACAAAACTTTCAACTTCACAAAATCTCAGTTCAGCTTCTGTTTTGTTAAAAGAATTCATCATACTCGTTCCACTGAAATGGATATATTGAAATTTTGCAAATCCTTTCTTATTCCATATCGACAATGCAAAACTGCAGGACACATTGATTTTTGCCCTATTTATTGCATGATGTATGCAAAACAAATTCATATCTCAATAGCGAAATCGAGTTAGGTTTAAAATTTTTCTGCGACATGTTCCAGTAATCAAGAACTGATGAATACATAGACCAGTAATCAAGAACTAATCATTTAAAATTATTACCAACTACAGGCCCTTCAGGCAGGAAAACAGCGCAGAGGCGGATAAAATGTTCGATGAGAAACATGGCGAAGGGGAAGAATCCGGTTCGGGATTAACTTCGTGTCATACATGTCGAGGAGTTTTTTGACTGTTTCAACGAATCACAAATCGCCTAGGGTCAGGGAACACTCTCCCAAGAATATGACATCAAGCAGAACATAGCACCACACCGGATTGTTTATGCCCGACCTAATACCTTACGCGACAGCCTAGAATCACGGAAGCAACCTTCGATTCCATCACTCTTACATTTTTCTGGAGGAATAATCAACGTATCAACTTTAATTATGTAGCCGAAATAATAAAAGTTAACCGATAAAAGTCATACCCTTGGCCTTGATCCCAGCGTTTCCTTGCAATGGTCTTAGCACAGATCTTAACCAAGATTGGCCCTGCGCATACTCATTTCTTTTTCCGAGAATTAGCCTCACTTTATAATGACGTCATTTCCCATGAACCGCATTTGCCGTCGACCTCCATGCCATGCCCTGGTGCAATTAGCCCCCACTGTCCCTTCTGGCCATTCTACCCCCTCTGCTCCCTTTGACCCTCTTGAAGATTACAAATATTTAATATGTTTGTATTATTCACGTTTGCAGTTCTAGGGTGGATGCTTATTCGAGGGGGTGGGGGGCTTTTTCGAGGGGGGAAATTCGACGGGGGGGGGCAATTCGAGGATTTACGGTATGCTCCGCGGTCTAAGGACTTATTTTCAGAATCAAACGAAAGAACAACGACAAAGTCTCGGAACAACAAGATATGTATTCACGAAATGTTTTTACTAGTAGTACTGCAGTTTAAATAGGGCAAAATCAATGTGCCCCGCAGTTTTGCATTGTCGATATGAAATAAGAAAGGTCTTGCAAAATTTTAATATATCCTTTTACAACTAATCAGAGAACCTTTCACGAGTATTCTCATTAAACGAACTGAACTAATTGTGTTAGAATTTAAATACATAATTGTGCAACATAATGGTATGGCTCAAGGGACAAATAAATGATACGAGAAGGTCTGTTTAAAATCTGTGAGGTTAATAGGATTAAAAGATATAATGCCGAGAAAATACACGATGTGTTACTGAGTTGGTTAAAAAAACGAGAACGTTGAAAAACAAGCAAATTAAAATGCTGAGCAAACGCGTTTATTATGACAGGAAACAACAGGAAACAACAGAAACTAGTACAAACTAGTACAAACGACAAGGAAACAACATGAAACGATCGTTGTCTTAGCGGAAACTACCAGTCTTCAAAACGAGGCAAGTGGCGAAGCCAGCTCTGGAGAGTTGGTCATGCACTTGGGCAAAAATATAAACAGGGTTTTTGACACCACGGCAAGGTACCCAATTTAAGTTAAGGTTAGATCAGTTTCCTTGAGAAAAGTATTTTCAGCTATTGTGAAAATACCCAGAAAACTTTTAAAAATTTGCAAAAGAGTAATTTTCAGAACTTTCTTGAGACATGTTTTGAAGAAACCTTGGCTTTAGGTGCTAAACATGTTTTTAAATTCTGAAATTAAAATTTCAACTTGTTTTTAATGTTAACTTGCTTTTAAACTCTGACATTAAATTTATTAATATTTACTATTTCAAAAGCAGTTTTATTCACATGATTAAACTGTCAGATAATGAAGGAAGGTTTTTTTAGATAACACAGCACAGTTAGATTTTATTCTCACAACAGTATATATATAAAATTTCCAAATTGTTTTGCTCTAATAAATACACTGACAAGACAAAGATAAGATAAATACACTTTTGCTCTGACAAGATAAATACACTTTTGATGACCCTTCCCTAATTCCTTTCTTAGAATTATTGTATTTACAAGTACAAATAGTGCAATTTTACAAATAAAAAAATTAATGCCCCTAGTCAATGTTCATGCTACACCTCATTTTTTTAAATTCATTATTCTTAATTTATCAAAACAGATTATAATCAGAAAATGGATAGTTCTCCTCTGAAACAATCTCAATACTCTCATCTCACAAAAATCATTAACAAAAATAGCAATTATAACGTAAATACTGAAAAGGTTAAGACAACATTAATTTCATGCCTCGTTGTATCTCAAACTTGCATTGCATGTCTCTAAAGAGCAACAACAATGAAGCATTTGTGTTTCTTCTACTAACAACAAGTTCTAGAGACACTCATTTTGAATATTTCAATGGAAATTTAGCATGTAAGTCCACCAGCCTTTCCATTATCAAAGCATGGAATACTTTTGGCTTGCCAATTATCAGCACAGCAATATAATGATATTAAAACCAGGCAGTTTTTTTCATTGTTTTTCTTGCAATATGAGTGTTGCCTGCCTTATTATCAGGCGCCGTAGGCCTAGTTCGTGCATATCATACCCTCGTTGACACAGGCCTAAATATATGTGTTAGCAAACATAGTCCACAACAGGAAGAATCTGTTCCACTGCCAACTTTTATTTTGCTACATCAATCCTTTAAAACCATGGAACTGTTACTTTTCCTCATTTCGTTGCTGCTATATTACTTGCAGGGTAATATTTCACGAAATCTCTTTCCTCGTTCTACCTTCTTTAGGGATTTTCAGAAGTGTGTAGGGAAAACCTACGGGATTAAATCAAGAAAAATAGATACTTTTGAATTGTAGGGATTTCTTTTAGTTTGCGGCCAAACAATCAAATTACCACCTATTTCCTCAGGGCAGTTTCCGAAAAGGGTATAAAACCAGTTGCAAAGAAGCAGAAGCCAATTGATTACACTCCTCCCTAAAGTACTCGTCGCCAGATGGTTTTTTCCTCTTGTTTCTACCAGTGGCGTACCCAGGGCTGCAGGAGTGGGGGGTCTGTGGCGTGGCCCCCAGAAATTTTTTGGGGCCACGCCCTTCAAACACTCGCAACGCCCTTTTTGCTAAATTTTCCCCCATTATTTGATCATTTTAGCTACGGTAAATAGCAAAGTATTTTACAATTGTTATTGACACAAGCAATAGTATACTACCACCCCCCCAATGAGTTTTACATCGTTTTTGGACAAATCTCGAGGACCATATTTTAGAAAAGTGGGGGGGTCCAGACCCCCCTATTCCCCCACTTGGGTACGCCACTGGTTTCTACTCATTTCCTGTTATAGTTACCACGCTTGGAAATCCCTATGAGCATATTAGCTAACAACGGGCCTTTTTCCTCAGCGTATCTTCATACTTCAAACTCCCCACTTCAATCTTATGGTAAAAAATCAAAGTCATTAATTGCTTGATCCTCTAATTTTTGTCCCTTTAGTGCGCCGTGTGAGCGCTAAAATCTCTCAGCTGAATCGGCACTTTCATCTCCTTACAGGCCCAAATGTTTCGGCTGAAACTTTCTTTCTAATTCTGGTGGCAATCCTTAAAACTTCTTCATTTATTGTCGTTTGATAAAAACATATGATAACATGTTGTCGTATTTTCATTTTGTACCTCAGTTGTCCAGCATCCTTCTGTCTTTCTACAAAGACGTTTCAGAGTAAAATTTAATCCAGCAAATTATTTCATAGATGTCAGGCAAAATATCGTGGTATTCGCGCCACGGACGAGAAACAGCATAATGATCATAGCTTCAATGTCGCATGTAGCTAGCACGAAAATCTCTTCAACCCTTTACTTAGGCTCCCTTTCAAATTCGGGGGTTTTGGTACCCTTGGTACTGATTTCTAAGGATTTTAATTTTTCTACATCCTCAAGGACACCCTCAACGACAATACATAGGGAGGTTGCGCATCCAAGGAAGTCCTTCTTTTTCCAAATGCTCTCTCTAAATACTTTGTGTCCACCACGACCTTTCCTCTTCTTTTCTAAAACTAAATTGGTAGAACTAGTCTTTGCAGGATAACTTGATGCTGGACTATCTGTATACATCGATCTGTATCACGGTTTGGTGTAACAAATTGATGCATTCCTGTGGCTCAAAATCAGTACGACAGGTACAGTTTAAGAGGCACGACGATATTTGTTGGTTTGGCTGCAATTGATTTTTCAATAGAGGGCTTTAAAGCTTTGAATATGAAATCTATGTGGCAGCATTTGTGGACTGGGGCACAGGCTACTCAACCCAAGTATAGAATATGTCATCTAAAGGATCGTAATCAGAGGCAGAAACAGTAGGGTGTTGTGTTGGGGAGCAAAAGCTTCTCCCCTAGCTTTTGCTCGCTTTTGCTAACGTCATTAACACAGTTTTGAGTGCTATTGTCGGTAATTTTTGTCATTTCTCGGCAAATTTGGGGCAAATTTGTTTGTTCTTGGAGGATCCCCCTCTCCAGACCTGAATGAATTTCCGCCTCTGATCGTAATGTCAGTATTTGAATTAATCCCAATCCCAACATTTGGACAACTTTTTTTCTCAAATGCCAACATAAATCCGCGAATCTTGGATCCAAGCAGATCCGATCCCGTGTAAACATAACTCTAATAGCCCTCATAAGAATATGAATATCGCCCACGAATTTGTAAGAAGGATCGTCGTGCAGGGGCACTGCTACCCTCGGAGCCAGAGCTTGAGAGACTCAAAGGATGAAGAACGGGGAAAAGGGCACTGCAGAAGCGCATTACTTCTGCCATGCGTATAGATACAAACTTGAAATATCAAACTGCGAACAAGAACAACAATAGTTAATGAAAATTCTCATCGGATCGGATTGGACCCGCCTCTGGCCATTTGTAATTTTCGAAACACGTATATCCGGTTGAAAACCGGTGTCAGACTCGGTCCCCTGAGAACTATTGAGGATAATTCAAAAAAAGAGAGCTTTCTTTTGATTGTTTCTTGATAATTGCTACCATAGAAAATTCAGAATTTAATGCAATTAATGCAAAAATGCAATTCATTGGACAAAATAATGTCAAAGTTCAGTTTCAAATGGCAGATTGAATGCATTGTTTGGGCAATTTTCGTCTTTTCTATAAATATATAGAGGTACGGGGTACGGGCAGAAACGATAGACCCGTGAAAACATTGCTTTGGCTTGGTGCTTGATGAACTTCTGGTCTTGTAAGTACTTATGTACAAATTGATATCATTATTTCTTAACTGTATTTACTAAATCATCCACAAAAGTTATTAATGGACCCCTTTAGATGGCACGTAGCGGACTCGAGCTTTTGCTTTTGGCAGCAGAGCATCCGCTGACCTATCCAAAAGTGAGCGATCCAGTGATCAATCAAACTTACAACATTCGATGGTCAAAAAACTCTCCGACGCGTATGGTGCGAGGTTAACTGGACTATCCAATCCGGATTCGGAGTAGCGTGTATGGTGCGAGTGTTCTATACACCAAAAACTTGTACAACTTTGCCTATACGACATCGATCACTTTATGACAGACCCGTAATTAACTAATATTAAATTCACATATGCGGTCAACGGTGAAGCATATGTAAATAGAAGATGCCATTATACGTTAAACACCAATCACGAAGACAAATGTAAGGGATTTGCCAGCAAAAATCGTCCCGGGTACAAATTTGCCCCTTTAGTCGCCAATCACATTTTGCTTTTTCTAACCGTTAAAGTAAACATGAAAGGCAAACTTTATGATGCACTTGTCACCTGTAGCCGCGGAGCCAACAATCTGAAGATTTCACCCCCACTTTCTACAGTAGGTTTGACCTCATATTATTGTTTGCATATGTACTTTGGTAACAATATGCTGGTCAGCAAAACCAATTTCCGGGGCTCAGGGTACCACAACCTCCCAAATGTTGCCCCAGAGAACCGTTTCTATCTCACAAGTTACATGTCCAAAAAGTTACTGTAACAGAAACACCAGTGATGGAGAAATTAACAAAATTTATCAAAAATTTTGGTAGTTACATGGAGTCAGCACCCTTGATAAACTCCCCTCAAAAAAGTTTTTCACACAAAACGTTTTCATAAAAAGATATTTTGCCAGGTACTGAAATGATAGTAGGCAAAAGCAATACAATAACTTACCAAAAATATGTTATTATAACAAACGTTACGAGAAAGTGTTGGGATACAGAAAATATAGAATTGGCCCCAGAATGCTCTCTTGAGGTACAGCAGAAAGGCACCAGTGACAAATTGATCTCTGTTTTCTCCTTTATCATGTATTAGCACCATAATATTTTATATTTTTATCGGATTATATTGTAAACAGTATCGTATGCTTTAGGAAAATCAAGAAAACCTCAAAAAGATGATTTTTCTCTTCTATGACATCGATATCACTGAAGACGGCTGTTGCTCAAGCACTGGCGCCTCAACAACCCAAATTTGTGGAAAAATGAACTCTTCCTTCTTAAGGAAGTTACTAATACTTACATGCTCATGAGGTTTCCGATGATTTTATTTAAGACTAATAAAATTGATACTAGAAGGTAGTCTGAACATAAATTGTCAGCATTGTTAACGAATACAACTATCTCATACATGAAGTAGCTGAGAATGCCTGCCAGAATCAAAACTACATTTACTGATACAGTTATATAGTTACGTCAGCGGGCAAAGTTATATAGTTAAGTCAGCGGGCAAAATAGCCTGTGATCAGTCTCAGATCCAGAAAGGCTAGGAAAAAGAAAGGTTTTCTACATTAGGGCTTAGGCCTAACCCGATCGCTCGTCCCGTATTGACTTGGTGCTATTAGACCATTCATAAAACGTTACGACAGGCACAGCGCCACTGTGGGGCATTTCTGTTCAAGAAGTAAAATTATCTAAATCAATTCAGCAGCTTCTTGTTATTCACATAGATATGCACGCTGAACCAATGGTCATTCTTTATATTTTTCCCCAACGTCTGTCACTAGAGTTTTAGCATGACTCCTCCCTAAATTTTAGTCTGGGAGATGCATTTTCAGCCTTTCTAGAAGGCTCAATTTTAAAAATTTTCGTCCTCAACCTCGGAACCAGCCGGTGGGTCCTCCTATGTCATTATACTTGCTTCTTTGCCCCCCTAGGTCCAATTTCGTGCGTCTCCCTTCGTTTTTTTTGCTGAAAATTTATTTTATTTATATACCCATATGTGGGGTCTTAATACATTTTTATCCATAAATTGTTTCAATTCGTCTACACTTAAAAGGTTTTCCCTGTTGACTATTTAACCAATGGAAATGTCTTTTTTTTAAGTTATAGGTTGAGTTCGACGAACAATGAAGACACTACTTTATCTCACGATACTAGTCGTAGCTTTCAGTTCCCAAGGTATATCGCTCAGTACCAGCTGTCCGTTTGCTTTTGAATTTTCTTATTTTTTGAATCTTTAAAAAGTGCAATGGTTTTGACTTTGAACCTTTTTCAAGTATTAGCTAACGAGGTTGAAGACTACGATGAAGATTCTAAAGACCTGAGAAACGCAGATGACATTGAGGATGAAATGGACGAAGAAAGCATGAGTAAGTGGATACCAACTGCCACATAGAAATTATTGCCTAAATATACACAAGCAGTAGGGGTGTCAAGTAAGTGGGCTCATAAAATTCATACCTCTTTGTCAAAATTCAGAGAGGTCTCTTTGATATTGGGTTTGACGAATTTTGTGTTGGTGATTCTACAGTGTTGGATGTGGGCATGGACGTGGTTATGGGTTGTAGCCTCCAGAAGCTGCTTAAAGGCAATCTGTCTCATTGTGGATTGGTTAACGAGAACAATAGGTGGAACAATAGCCTAAACACGATTCCAGCACTCCGCCATATTTTTTACAATGCGATAAATTAAAGGGGGACTGGAAACAATAAAAAAATCCCTTTGTTCTTATAACCAATCAACATTGTGACAGATTGCCTTTAAAGCAAACCTCTGTCCTAATTTTTAAGGACGGCACCACTGACAAGGTGGTTGAGAACAATGACAAACCTTTAGGCACCTTACGTACAGTTGACCATATGTACAATCACATAAAAACTATGGCTGACAGCACAATAGGCGAAAGCTGGAAAGTACTGAGTTATACTTCAGAACTTATCGTGAGAATCAAAATCCAGCAGCTGTGGCAGAAAAAGTTAAAGGCAAACAACTTTTATTAATGAATCTGGAATATGAGACTGTGTTGTTATTAAGTGTGGCAATAGCAGAACCTTTTATCGTAACGCTCCGGAACAGTTGTCTTTGAAACACCCATTGAAGAAAACATCAAGTAAGTCTGACTGAACTCTTTCAAATATATCTATCGAATGTCAAACCAAAAAACTTATGACTCTCGCTATCGTTTCTTCATTTCGCTGTGTGCTGTCTTATGATGTTATTATCAATTCCAAAGTCTGGTCGACTTTACAATCCAACTCTTTGCGAACCACTTGATGGTTATTCCTACCCCAAAGCCTCTTTGATATAAAATCAAACGGTCACGCTTGAATGTGGAATCTAAGTAGGGCTTCTTAAAGCTTTTCTGGCTCTACCATAGTGATTCTCATTTTAAAGAGTTTTTCTTGCTTTTACGAAGTAATGGATGCCATTCCTGGTCGAAGGCGAAGAAGGGATGCCAGAAGACGAGCATCGAAGCAGAAATGCAGCGGATATAAATGCCATAGATGCAGCTGGTGCAAGCGTTTGAGAAACCCTGGTAGATGCAAGAACTTGAGAAGAATGAAATGCAACAATTGCATTTGCTAAAATGAAAAGAGCAATATAAGCGAAAGGTATCAAAAATGCCAGTTATTTGATATAAACAGTTTTTGTTATTTTTAAGAGCATCTCTTATACGCCTTGCAGGGGCGGATCCAGGATTTTTGGTGACTATAGCTCAAATATTTTGGGATCGGGACCACGCCCTCCTTGCTTGCGGGACACGCCCACTATATGGGCAAATGATATAACCATGTGTGTTTATAGTTGCTTCGTATTAATAAATATTCCTTCGAACATCCTTTTTCTATTTCCAGGGACGCCAGAGAAGGGGGTGTGGGGGTACAACCGCCCCTGTTGCCCTTTGGCAGAAGGTGTAATAATCAGAGAGATTCATATAAAATTCTGAACTTCTCAAAACATGTAAAATAGTTATATATGCCGAAAATTAGCAGAAGATCGAAATGAAATTGCAGTTACGTATGAATCAAAAGCCCTTTTACTCAAGCCTGTCCCCCCCCTCTCGCCGCTTGGTCGTTCCGCCGTCCCTGTCTATTCCCTAGTAGGTCTTTGCCTTTGAAGCTACATTACAGGGGACCCAGGATGTGAAAACGAGCTATAGTCCACTGTTGCTTTACAGGGGACAGAGAGCGGAGAAGTAACGTCGATACTCATATTCTATTGGTTAAAAGGCCATTTTCAAACCTGACTATAGCTTCACTATAGCTCGCGCCCAGGGGCGGCTGGGAGAGATTTTAAACTGCTATTAGAAAAAATCGTGTCAGGGCGTGGCTACCGCTGCTTTTACTTCCAACCACACCCTCTTCAATGGTTGTTTTCAACATTGCACTGTTTTTTCTATTCATAAAGAGAAAAGCAAAAAGGGGGGGGGGCCACGGTCGGAGGTATGTTTGATCTCCAGTGCAACATGGCCCATTGTCAGACTTATCAGACTTATAATTTTAATTTTGATACTAATCCCAAAAAGATTGTAAAGTTGTAACACGTTTCTTAGTTCTAAATAGAATTCAGAGACATTTTTTCAAATTTTTACTGAAACGACTTACATTGGAGTACATATACAGTTCTGAAGTCGTGTCTACACACAAATTCCGTCTTTCAATTACGACTGTAGGCTTTGGCTTCGACGGCTTGCGGCATGCAGATAAATATCATCAGCTTAAAGTGAAAAAGGCCTTCTGTCCATAGCCGTAGCCTCTTTTTTGTTGCTATTAACGGCCCTCTTTTAATAGCAAAATCATATCGGCAAGTATCGTACATTGAAATACTCCTTAATAAGGACAAATATTTCTAAAAAATGCTCATTGTTAACATACAAAACCAAAGCGCCATATTTTCAAATTCAATTTATGTGTAGATTTTAAATTTTTTGATGAAACTAACGTAAGAAGAGCTTGAGAATAAACTACATGTCGCTACGCCAAAAAATAAGAGAACCCTAGCTTTCATGTGTTTAAACGAAGTCGCTGTTGGTGTGTTTATTGTTGTTGTGAATAGAGGATTGTCTGTCAGTATGTCGTTGAAACACCCAACGTAAACTAGAAACGGCCATTTGATTTATTTTGAATGCAATATGCCACAGGAATGGAAGGGTGAACGGAGGAATCTTGCTATTAGAAGTGACCCGGCTAATAGCAAGTCCGCATATATTGGGTCTTTCACAACAGCATGATTGGCCAATTTACGTCACACAAGGAGACACAAACAAAGGTGGATATAAAAGTTGCTATTAGGATTCACAAACCTAATAGCAAAATTTCAGGGCTGTGGCTGTAGTATTAGTTTGAGGCCGTCCGATGAATGCGTCACAAGAAGTGTCGCGATAAGCGTAGGTCTTTTTTTGAAAGGATCAAATCAGTTTCAAGAGTAGCGGCTTCTGCTCGCTTCACCATGGCCATATCACGCCATATCATTGCAAAATGGCAGGAAAACAGTTAGCTATCCAAGTAAACTGTTTTTGCCGAGGATTTTCCAGTGCTAGTTTCATTATAAGTTTCATTCAAGATATATGACCAGTAGATTATGGCAGCCTGTGCTGAAAAAATTTGCTATTAGACTAAAAACGCTAATACCGCTCCCAGCCGCCCCTGCTCGCGCCAAAAATTATAGTACGGGTTTCATTGTCTTCGATGCCTTTTCCAGAGCAAATCCCCAGACCGATTATAGCTCGGAATATCCACTGTAGCTCAATTCTGGTTGGTTACTGTCAACAAAGAACGAAACTTCTGATTCGTCTAAGTTTTAATATTAGACCATTCTGCGCTCAGTGTTTTATATCTTATCTGGAGAGGCATTGTGATGACACATTGCCAGCATTGCATGTTTGTTAATCGCATTTGATAACCTATACCGCTGCTTTCAAATGTTGATAGTAAACACTTGTGGGCATAAAAACATTTTTAGGGACTGCAAGGAAACTTTGTATTTCGAAAATCAAATACTGCGAATTTGACTATAGCTCGAGCTACAGTTGCTATAGTCTGGATCCGCTCCTGCCTTGTTGCATCTGTGTGTTTCTAAGTAATCATACCTCAGTTGATTTAGAAGCCAAGCACATTTCTGGTAAGCCATGGAAGGCGCTCATAAGAGAATTGCTACGCGCTTCAACTTTTTCGGTTAAGACTGATGGGTCATTTTTTCCATTGATAGTGGGGAGGAGACAAACCGCATTACGCGCCCCCCTGAAACAAACAAAAGCTTGAACAGCGCCCACCCTAAAAAGCGCTCACCCAAAAATTTCTAATTGATAAAAACAGCATAGAAAAAATGCTTGTAACCGGTTATTAAAATTCTAAATAAGGTGCACTTAGGCTATATGACTTTTCATACTTAAATTTAAAGTGAATGTATTTTGTTTTTAGATTTTGCAAGATTTAAACAAATTTTGAACATAGAAATTACTTCTCAATTGATCCTTTACAATTATTTTTGTTGAAAAACTATTTGAGTGAAGTGACGAATAGTACAGAAAGCACCCATCTTCGAAAAGGTGCCCCCCTGAATAATCACCCTCCAAACCATCAAAATTTCAAAAGAGTGCTTTTTAGAGTATTTACGGTACTGAGTATTGTCAAGAGGTACTTGCGTCTTTACCGAATCTAGAAAACAGGAAAAGAATCATTTGAAGGAGAGATTTAAGCCTTTATTTCTATCTGGAATTTTCTTTGTTTTTTTGAAGAAGATTGTGTTCTGCAAAAACTCTCAGTAAGCCACATGAAGTATAAAAAAGTGGCCAATAGACGTATGCATACGCTTGCCTCTGGAAATCATTGTTTCTTTTAAGCCTATCATCGCCCTTACTAACTCTCAAAACTTTGCTTTAGTTCACTGGAAATAATGGCAATGAAAATTTTGCATAAGGACTTGCATCTGAGCATTAACAAAAAATATACATGGGGGTATTTTTCTATTTCTAATAGATGATTTAAAATGAAGGGTGTATGTAGTTTCTCCAGTCTGGTGATTAAAGAGTCATTACAATTACATTTGCACGAGATCCCTCCACGGTTTCATCAGAAAAATTCTACGATAATGCGTTTCGACGAGTTATAATTTCCTTTCTGCTTGCGCCTGGAATAATCAATTCCATTATCTTTGTTGAAATAAATGTAATAAGATGGATCAAAAAATTAATCATCGTCATTTTTGGCCATGTAGCAGTAGCTATTTCTCGGAATTTTAAAAATAACCAGATTTCCTCTTTTTTAGCTTTGCTATTTACTACATTCCACTTGGTCAAGCACTCAAGATGATATAACTTACTGGTTGATGTAACTTTACGCTTATTGATTCTTTTCACCGCAAAATAGTTTTGTTTTTAAAATGTTACTTGAATGTTATTCATGCTTGCTTGAAAGATTTGCAAAATATACATGCATTTTGAGGAAGCTTGAATTTAAATCTTCACTGTGGAATTCTCCTTGTTATTTTCAATTTTTATATGCATATTTGAATCAGGGGCGTTGCGACCGGGGGGAGGGGGTTTGCAGGGTGTCGCTTTAGGTTATTCAGAAACCTTCAGATCTTAAAATCAATAAAGGATCAAGGAAAGGTAGTTGCTCCGTTGGTTAAATATGACATTCCTTGATATGAATGACTATAAACAAACTAAGTTAATGATATGAGATTTCTTGTTTGAACTAAATCCGAAAATCCAGGCCCTCTTTTGTAAAATTGTGCCTTGTGTCCATTTCCCCTAAAGTTTCGGTAGAAGCGTCAACTGCAATTCACGATGAGCTCCAGATCTTTTTCAACATTCAAAAGGATTGCTAGTATGGAAAGAGGGATCTCAATTGACAACCAGTGGTGCTTTTTACCAGGGGCTGACTGGCTCCAAATTTAGGGCCCGGGCAAATTCGTCGAGAAAGGGGCCCCGAATTTCAGATTAAGTTTTACGGGTATCTTTTGTGGCAACATTTTTAAGGCTGGCCTAAAAGGCTGTTGGAATATTGCTTTTAGTTTTCCTTAATTTACACCACATAACTTAAGAAACGCCAGATTCATCACAGTGGAGCCACATTAAAAACGAAATGGATTTAATACCGTATCATACAAATGTAGCCAAATATGGGACTCAGTTCCAAACGAAATAAAATACTCAACAACTTTACAAATATTCATGAAAAATCTCAGAATCTTCATCGTTCAATTGTACTTGTGATCTTTGCAAGGAACTCTAAATAAATAAAGAAAGAAAAAACCAGGGATGTAGGCATTGGCGTAAAAGATAAACATGGGGGTTCTACAATCCATTATTTGGGTATTGTGATGTAGGCTAAGAGGAAAGAGAAAATCATGCCATTGTTGGGGAAAAGTTATCGTTTTCTAGCTAAATGACTTTTAAATGGGAGAAGAATGTAGTAAAGAAGATTTAACGGCAAGTTGTGATCGAGAATTTATTTTTTCTATAGTTTATGAATTTCTAGGGTAAAATCTGGCTGCATTACGCGTCGCTGTAGTGTTTCTACCACTAAACTTTTGATTGGTGGATGGCTAAACCCCTAAAAAATAAAAGTCTGCAATGAAATAGTATCATCCAACACAGCAAATCATGGGCCTAATGGAATGTCTCAGTTATTCAAGTAAATCTTGATATGTAATTTCCCAGTCAAAGCACATTGGGGGTTGATAGTTTTTCCGATCATTAGTTGAGCAGCCAGGTTAATTGATTGGTTGAGCAGCAGTCAATATGGAAACATCAGTAGAATAGGCAGGGCTGGCGTGTTTAGATTGCTCCGGGGTTTACTAGAGGTCATCACCATGGTTAGGAATTTTGGCCGAATTCAAGAAAAAGTTTGGAAATATGACATTATAGGGATTTGGCAGAAAAGGCATCTAAAATATTTACAACTAAACATCAATCTTGACTAAAGGAGGATCCTAGGCAATGCCTGTTAGGTTTCTTTCAAAAAAACCCCCATGGTTCAAAGAGGTTTGATTTTGACATAACAATGGGAAGGAAGTTGGAGTTGGTTTTATAATAAACTTTAAGCGTTTAACAATGCATGACTACGAAGAACAACATTCTAACAACGAGGAATGAGTTAGAAAAGGTGCAAGCAATGCAAATGTGGAGAGTCAGAATCAAAGCAGCTGACTCTAGTATAATCGGATCTGAAACAAAACAAAACTGAAGAAAAATAGAAGGAATTGGAAAAAGGTTTGAAGTACAACAAAAAGAAGCAATGTCTTAAAAATGTTCTGCGAAGATTCCCTTCTCAAATGAGCATGTAGAAAAGGCTACAGCTTTAGCTTTCTCTTCCTTGCACCCTTATTTGTGGCTAAAGATGACAGTTTTTGACCAGTGAAATGTGTTCGCGTAAAACCAATCTCCTTAAACTTTTCAAGTAATTCTATGAAATGACGTCCCTGATGATAATTCGTTCACAACTACTGACAAACCAAGATCATAATCTCAACTTATAGCGACAAGCGCAACATTTCCGACACACATAACTTTAAGCAAATTTCTAAATGAAACAATGAAAAACCCTGTATAATCTGTAGAAGACAGTAACTAAATATTCTCAGTAAGATATCTTCAAAAGTAGAGAGTCATTCTATTCTTTGTTTAGATGTCAAACTATGTCTACATTTCTTTGAGTATAAAGCTTGTAATGCATCTTAGTCTTCCAGTTGCATCTCGTCTCCTTTTCTTGTTCAGTTTACAATGGCAGACATGTGATGGAGCAAAATTTTTGTGCCAGCTTTCTATGCGTTACACGATTCTTGTCTGACCGAAGAACAAACAAGGAGAGGGGCTGAGCCATCTGCTGTTTTGATGTTTATTCTCAAATCTATCTGGTTGGCAATAAAGTAATCTACCTTTCGAGGAATTTAGTCAAAAATCTGTCATATCCTTGCAAACATTGAAACTGACGGCCCTAAGAGAATTTTTTGCGATTTTGGAACTCCCATTAAGTACCGTCTTATTGCATTAGGAAGAGCGAGCCCTGAGCCCAGAATACTGTGTGCTTACGTGGGGCCCCAAATTTTGGAAAATGTCTTTTTCAGTACTTAGATACCTCAGAGTGATATTTTTATTTATTCTGTATCTACTTATCTCGAGAGAGTCTAGTTGTAATGGCAAGAGAAGAGGGCCCCTACCATACAATACAAAGCGAATTAAGAGTAAAATGAAGAAAAATTGCAATAATTGTGGGAGGGCCCACCGGGCGATCACCCGGTAGCCCAACCTGCCAGTCCGCCCCTGCTTTTTACCTAGCTTTAGAAGTAACTGACAGCATGGTATTTTTCAAGACCACATCAAAATTGTACCAGTTTTTATCTGATGTTCAATTTGCAAAAATAAAAGAATTTTCAATAGGATAAGGAGAATGGCTTTAGAAAAATTTGCTTTAAAGAGTGCATTTTCCAGGGAACTAGAAGCACCAAAATGCGAAAATTTTCTAGTCCTTCAGCGGCAATCATGGTGCCACCTCGGGTAGTAACTATATCCTTTGTCCTTCCGGATAAACATATTTGGCAAAGCTATTAGAAAAGTCTGTTATTATCATAAAAAATGGAAGTTGGAAATTATGTGCCACAGAGTTAGATTGACAAAATGTATTGCAGAGGTTTGTGTCAGCAACTAAAAAATTTCAGGTAATTATTTTTAATTGGGTGGCACGATGATTTGCATGTATAGTGTCAGCCATCAGAAAAATCAACATAATAGATTTTCATGAAAAAATTGAAAAAATATAAAATATACTTCATTGAAGGAATCTGAGAAGGATTTTCTCTCAAATTCATGCCTGATGAAAACCAAAGTGAAGGAAACAAAGGGTGCGCTTTTCTGTTTGTAAGTAAGGGACGAGACAGATGGATGCCGTAATACTTGAGCTAAATAATTGGCAAAATTTACATCATGCAGAAGCTAAAGTTTGAAGACAAACTTTACATAGCTTTGACGGCTGTAGCAAAGTAAGAACCATCTCTTTCTAATTGCTGAGATGCACATTCATTTTAAATGGTTGGTCAATATTTGTCGGATTATACACAAATTCAAACTGATATAAAGTTTTTATGCATGTTGAAGGGTACATAACGCAAGGGTCTTTGATTTTCAAGGTATTTCGGGAAGCAACTTGAGCGCAGTGGCAGTGCCAGCCATAGGCAAGTGGACATACCGACTAGTGGATAAGTGGAAATACAAGTAAAGGCTTAATAAAATTGGGATTGATGGGATTTCAACCAAACAATTAATGCTGATAAATCTAGATAACGTACAGTGCACCCCCACTCCCCACATACTTCTTGATCAGCTTGGCACAAATCTCAAGCATCATTCAATCTGTGAAAAAGTGCGAAGCTCTTATGAGTGCTGCTTTTATCATGGAATGAATTTTAAGCTGGAAAGCATAGGCATTGGAGACATAGGGGCTGGAATGGCTGCAACTCTCCAATCAGGCAACGTTTGTCACATTTTGGTTCAAATCGGGCAGCTCTATCTTAACGAAGTTATTATCTTTGGGCTAGATCCATACTAAGCCACCTAAAGGCTTTGCAACCGCAACCACACTATTGAAATTTGTTTCAGTTGCAAAAAAAATCCGAGGAAAGTCTCTCCGTTTTCAGAAAACATATTGGTTTTGACCGTGACCACACTTAGGCCCAAAAATAGACATTCGAGAAACTTGACGAACATTCGAAGCAAAAACTCTTTTTCTAAAGAAAAAAAACCAATATAAAAAAAACTCAAAACAAAACATATAGCTATATTATTAAGCCATGCTCACCTGCAAATATTTTCCAATTTCCCGGAATATTTTCAGAGAAACAGATCAAAATCGACACAGCACTCTAAGCACAGATTCGACCAGGGGCGGACTGGCTAATTTTTTTGGCCCGGGCAAATTTTGATCAAACCGGCCCACAATAATAGCAAATAAAAAACTCCTCGGAAAATACAAGTAAATGTTAGTCTGCAAGGAACAAGTTTTTAAATTCAGTAATTTTGTGCATGGTTGAATGCTTGCATAACATAACAAGTGAATAAGCATAACAGAATATGCTTAACAGAACATGATAAATATGTCATTTGTTGACTAAACAGTAAATAAACAAAAAATTTAACTCCTTGGTTTGACTTTGTTTCTAAATATAGTAACTTATATGTTGATAATGTGATCGTTCAGGATGTCATCTAACAGGTGTTTTTCTAAGAACATTAACATGAAGGACTCCAGGTTTGGCTGCGAAAAATTACTACGTAATCTGTTCTTTATATATTTAAAGCGGAAAAGCTTCTATCACACTCCACTTGTGACAAATAATTTTCTAATCCTCCGGAAAACCACAATGATTTTCAGCAGCCCAAAAAAATAGATTTGTCAATTTCTGACCCCTAAAAATGGGCACCCCTGTTGAAATTTTATCGTGTAGCACCATACCCCTGTGGGCGGGGGTGCATTTGACTTGTGATAGTATAGGCCTAAAAATAAACTTACAAAAACTTGTATGAGTTTATTGAAAGGAGCAAGAGCAAGACCCTGCTGTTTTTTGTGACGTTTGCGGCTTTTGCCTGATAAAAAAAGCTTTGTATCGTAGCTGAATCCTTTTTTAAGTCTCGCAGCTTTTCCTTCACAAAATTTCTGTGCATCACCTTTGGTTGAAGTCTTCTTGCTTTCCCTTGTTATACGCAGTGGCGTACCCAGGGCCGGAGAAGTGGGGTGGGGGGTCTGGGGCGCAGCCCCATAAATTTTTTTGGACCACGCCCTTCAAACACTCGCAAATGCAGAGAAACGCCCTTTTTGCAAAATTTTCCGCCATTATTTGATTCATGTTCGCTACAGTAAATAGGAAAGTATTTTACAATTGTTATTGACACAAGCATACAGTATACTACACCCCCCACCTCGATGAGTTTTACATCATTTTTGGACAAATCTCGAGGATCACATTTTAGATCACAAGTGGGGGGTCCGGACCCCCCTATTCCCCCCTTGGGTACACCACTGGTTCTACGTATGTCCTCTTCATTGCTTCACATCACAGAGCAAATTGCTTAGTGAACTCTAATTTTTGGACTTATAAATTTATTACATTTAGCAATAGCTTGTGCTTAGGGAAAAACATGACCAGCTTGAAGCAAAAGCTAAGTAAAAAGACATCAGGGCAGGTTAAAATCTTATGTATCGCATTGAAACAGGGGTGTTACAGTATAATATGTTGCCAAAAAGGAAATACCGTCAAGAGAAAATATAAAAAATTTTCAATAACATTTTTTCTGAAGAAGTGTGTTTGGGCTGCGGTGACAAAAAGAAACTCGCATGTATATTTATCCTTTCCCACAAAGTCTCTGAAAAATCAAGGCAAACAGATCATCTGTGGGTATACTTTTTGCCTCGCATTCACTTTTTAAGCTAATTTATTTTTTGCACTTTTATCAACCGGCCCTTAAACAGACCGGCCCTTCGGGCGATCGCCCGAATAGCCCGACCAGCCAGTCCGCCCCTGGATTCGACTGGAAAAACTACCAAAAACTCGCGTATTTGTACTCGAATAACTTTTTCAGATGTGGATCAGGAGGTCATTTCTATTCTGTGACCAAACCAAAACGCTCCGAATGTGTAAACGAGAACGCGAATGTCTAATCGAATGTGTAAACGAATGTCGCATTGTAAATTGCGGACCACATGCTATACACAGGCTGTAACACAGCTCTTGTATGTCTTGTCAGAGACACAGGGGGGAAGCGCCAGGAAAAGTGCAAAAGCAAAACATTTGCGACATAAAGAAAATTGCCTAACTTTTTCAGGACAAGAGGGCAGCCCCCTACACCCCAGTTCTACGACGTCACTGCCTCTTGTCCAGTCTGCAGAGTATGGCATGTGCACACCGGAGATGTTTTTGTGCAAAACTTGTTGCACACCCATATTTTTGGGTGTGGCAACTAAGATGGGTGTGGCTGATAAAAACAAGCACAGTTGTGTATGAAAAATTTGAGATATCATGAATCTTACTTGACAAATATACAAATAAAAACTTGCGCTATCTTCAAAAGTATACTTCAAACGCATTTTTACGGTGAAATGCAAATTCACAAATTTTAACCACAACAGGGGAAAATAGTCAGTGCACACCAGCACACCAGACATTTTTGGTGGTGCACACCGGTACACCAGGCTTTTTGCTCGTGCACACCGGAGATCTCGTCGAAAAGTGCCATACTCTGCAGACCGGCGTCTTGTTCAATGCAAAGACTGCTGAGATACAGGTGGGTCAGCCAAGATAAATAAGTGAAAAAACAGCCATATTTTACAAAATAAAAGTATATTACTTACAATATTTAAGTTTTTCCTGGGGGGCAAGGCGCCCCGGCCTTCTTGGTTTGAGTTTTAGCCTTCCCGTGCCCCCATTTTATACCGCCACGTGCTCAAACTTCGAAGTGTTAAGGAGGCTATCAGCCAGATAAGGTGGTGGCATTTATGGTAATATGGGGCATCATTGAGGGATCACAACACACGATGCCAACAGTTATCTCTTTTCATGCACTGCATGACGCAAACGTTTCTGTTGTTGTCGATGGAAATGTTCTAGTTGTTTTAGAATTGGAGAGTGAGTTTTATTATGATCTATTATGAAATAACAGACGCAACACACACTGTGCACACCTCAGATTAGAAAGAACAAGCCCGGGGGGTACTCCCATTATGGCCACAGGGGGTACAGTCAGGGTCAAAGAGAGCCAACGCTAAAATTTTAAAAAATTACCCTTAAAGGGTAGTATTTTTGACAATAACCCTTAAATGGTAGCATAAGAAACGAAGTTGTATCCTTGGTAGCATCCATTTCTTTGTGCTCCCCTGATCCTTTTTTGACAAATTTCTTCACAATTGACTGTTGTTCTTTCGGGAAAGATAAAATATTGTTCATTGTCTACAATAAAGCGCAAGCTAAACTAAGCAGGTGAATTATTATCGAAACTGGGCCATTCTACAGTTTCCCAATAAACATCAACTCATGCTTATATGTTCCTTCATTTTTATTTTTTTTTTAAATTTCTCGAAATACAATTTTCAACATAGTAGATAGAATTAATACATTCAATAATTAATGCAAATAATTTAGATAAAATACAACAATATTACTAATCAATCAAGTGCAAGTGAGACAAGTTTCATGAAGGGAGAGGAGGGGGAGCTCTCTCAGTGGTTAGGCTAACTGGGGAGAGAGCATGTACCTGCTGTCTTTAAAAGTGATTACCAGAATTTATAAATGATAAGATGCTATTGTGTATAGATAAACACACTTAAAGTTGAGGTTTTAATTGTGCTGTCATACCTAACAAAAGTACAATTGGTACTTTTGTATATCTAGGATAGGATTCCACAGGTAAGATACATTTTAAGTAAAAGTGAAAGTAAATTACAAATTAATTAGATCAGCCAATACAAATGAAGTGGAGAATCAGCAATGCATTTTCCTGCCTTGCTGGGATAAATTTAAAGCCATTCTGAATGCTAACTGTGGTATTTATGTGCAAAAGAAATCTATTTCTCTGCTTTGCTGGGAAATTCTGATCATATGGGAAAATATTTCCTCGCCTAGGCAGAATCCCAGAAGTGCACAGGCCAGATCGCTGCTACCCAGGAGAATGCTTTTTCATGTGAACGCTCAAGTTATTTTGTTCAGTTAAGGTATATGCAGCAGAATCTTGGCTTACCAGGATTCCTGCTTCACCATGGAATTGTCAGGCAAATTTTCTCCATGCAAACAGACTCTTGAAAACCATGTAAGAGCCATTATGTGAGCTAAAAGTTATTTTTAGAAGAATATTACTTTAACTTGATATATTCAAAAATACATGCAAATGCTGACACCTATATATGCACCTCAAGATTTAGTATTGTGGAGGTATGCCAGTCTTCAATCCAATTTTCTTGTTTTATGGTTTATAATGTATTCTCAGGTCGTAGCATTTAGGACTTTAACTAGAGATCAAAACACAAGATGCTTATATATGGTTAGGAGAGCTTTAATGATCCCTAATTTCTATTTTACTTTATGGGTACATTGAAAGCTTTTTAAGGGTTTTAGAAAATGGACCAAAATAACTCTGATTGGGGAAAGCAAGCAGGTATGAAACAGGCCTTTTAGGGAATAGGCCTCTGATAATTGCACCCCAATTGCCAAGTTGAAGACTGCAGAAGGTAGAAATTTCAAATATGGTAGTGCATAGGAATTTACTTGGCAGGAAAGGTCTTTCAGGAAATTATTCATAACTTTGATAACATTGAACATAACTTTTGTGTTTTTTTGTTGTAGGGCTATTTGAGCAAAGATATTTCTGCAGTAACCCGTAAGTTAAATTTGTATTCAGTTCAAAGGTTGCAAAGTGAAATGTGGAAGGGAGTGAACATATTCGTTCATAAATTGTAAAATATTATTTTATGTTCACGTTTCATCAGAAAAAAATTTGCAGTTGTTATGAATATTGTTTTCTGAATCATTTATCAAAGTTTATCACTTTATTTACCCTGTAGATAAAAGTCTTTGTCCTTTTTATCATTTCAAAATTACAAAAAGTTAGTTAACTTACGAATCCAACTTTGTTGGAGTGTAATCAATCAATTATATCTATGTTTATGGAAATTAAAGTTTTTTTGTTCTAAAGCAGGGGCAGACACTTGGTCAAATATTGGGAGGGGGGGTTGAGGCGAGCATATTGCTTTAATAAGATGACGTCACATTTTCCCATTTTTTAGAACAAAAGACCATTGCCCTCCAAAGTATAGGGGGCGACTGCCCTTCCTCACCCCTGTCAGGTTTTGGCCACTGTTCTAGAGCTCATTTGAGTAAGATAAGACTATGCTAGTATAGATTAGGTTTGTTGCTGAAACGGCAAGTAGGCTTTCTGAAAAATTTTAGTTAAAATCCTGATGGTTGATGGGACTGGCTAGGACAGGGGCGTTGTGGCTAGGCGGGACCCTTTAAAGTGAGTTTGTAAAGCCCCAGAAAATATTTGAATAAACAAAACCTTGGTGAGAACACCCCTTAATTATGGAATATCAACATGCCGCCGAGAGGGCGACAAGGAGGGGGCAAACTTCTCCAGGGCCTTGAGGTCTAGAAGGCCTCGCAAAGCAGGGAATTCCAATTTAGGAACTGAATTTAACGAAACGCAAAAAATTATGCCTAAAAATTGTAAAATTTGGTAATCGACTGCAAAGAACATTCTGAAATGTATTTCAAGCTAATTTAAAGGGCGTGGCCGCAAAAATTTTCTACTCGCTTTGCTTGCAGTCATAAAAAGACTATGGTTAGAGAAAAGGGGGTACACCCCAACAAATATAGCAAATAACCTTTAAAAATGATAAAAACTGGCGTCTTTGTAATTTTTCATAGGTGTATGGTTTCCAGGTAGGTACAATTTTTGGCGACCTGTGGTTTGTGATTGGAGATGTCATACAAAAGAGCGGGCCCCCTTATGATCATTTTCCCCCGGCCCTTTTCTAGGAGCCACAATGCCCTTGGGTTAGGATGGGACCCCAAATTTTGTTGTCTGATTTTATGAGATTCCGTGTGCCATAAGACCAATTATATTTAAGTAACTTGGTGCCTTTATTGAGTTTAAAAACCATAGCTAAATAACACATACACACGATCATATAGCAAGAATCATTTTATTTTGTAAGTGCGTTTGCTACAAGGTGACGTTTTATTTAGGCGAAAGCAAATCTTCATTGAGCAATGGAAGCAAGCAGTTGACCATGTCACATCCTTCACACAAGTTCATGATTTCGATGTTGCAGTCGCATCATGGTATTTGTACTGTAGATTGTATTTATAATTCTGTAGATTTTATTTATAAGGGATAACGTCATAGGTACTAAGGGGTTTTTTAATTTAACCATGGGATTCAGGAAGCAGTGAAGTACTGCAGGTACACAAGATGTTCGATAAACAAACTCCCTTAAGTCGGATTCTATTAAGTGGGATATTTCATTATTCAGACAAAGATGCATGGTCCCATTATCGGTATAAATGTTATCAAATTTTATTGCGGAGGTCAGATTTTATAAGTTGTGTGTTTGAGTAAGTGAAACATTTTTGACTCCCCCATGAAAATAGAATCACACAAGTTTGACTTTCGTCAGAAACTCAAATCAAAATAAAAAAGTTCAAAATTTGTTTAGTCTTTGTTCCAAAATTGACGAGCAAGACCAAACAATATCTTTGCCAGGGGCGAGGCCAAAAAAAAATTTCAGAGGGGTACAGATATGTTTTTGCCAATAAAAAGGGCGGTTTCTCTTCTAATATTAAGGGTGTGGTAATAAGATAAATAATCTTATATGCTGCTTTTATGCGTGTCTGTTTCAAATTTCATACTTTATTGTCACACTTTGAAAGCTCAGTTTCTAATGAAATGTTAATACGTTACAATTGTTGCAATAAGGTTACAGGGTGAGAAAAAGAAACCTTTATTTGCCCGGCAAAAATCCTTTTTGTGCCAATGGACAAAGCTTTTTTTGGGGGGGGGGAGGTACCAGCTTTGCCGACGCCCCTGTCTTTCAATTACCGTATCTCAGCAAATTGGCAACACAGAGTTGATAATTGACCACAATTAGAGGTATTATGTGATGTTGTTTCTGGTCAAATTGTCGAGATGAAAAATCCTAGAAATAATTCATATGACGTTATCTTGTTGCCTCTCTTCATTTATGCGATTCATCATAATTGAGTTTATCTTTTTATGAGAACATTTCTAACGTTCTTATTTTTTTTATATTTCAAGTATTATGTGACACTGTAAAGATGTGTCATCTTATGTAGTAGGCCCAATCTGACCAGTGACCACAGGGAGTTGATTATATGGTTTCAAAAATTTAGATCAACTAGTATGAGTATACAAGTTTTTTTATGTTGTAGTGGCATCTATTTAAAAATGGATACTAGGCAATATTGTTATTAGAAAAACTATATTCCCTCTCTTCCGGTGTTTATTGCTAATGTCAACAGCTTTATGCAGTGGCTGCTAATTTTTAATTGTTGCAAAGTAGGTATAAACGTGTGACAAATCGTAAGGAAATCTAATCTTTCACGAAACGTGTACATATTGTTTTTCTATTCTTGTAGTTCATTTTTGACACGAAGCAAATCGCCTTTCCGCAATTCCTAACAGACCAAACTTTAATTTTAGGATCATGCCAACGCAAGTAGAGATTCTCTCATCGTTGGTAAAAGCTAAAAGGTTTGTTTTGATAGTTCCAGTTGTACATAGCAGCGTATTTGAGTGACTTGCTCAAGTTACAGAACGGCTATGTATTTTTTTATTGTATTATTAGGGTATTTTTGGATTTCGTGATAGTCCCAGGATCCGATTCTTAAGGCTTTTGTAGTTAATCCTTGTATGGCCTAAACACCATCAGTACCCAACAGAATTGTTAAAGAGAAGTAGGGATCATGATACACCGCTTATGTGCAAAGAATATATCATAAAAAATATCGTTAATCCAAAAATATATCGTTAGGAATTGGCCTAAGAGCCTCCTGCCAAATTCGATACATGCCTCTTGTGTGTAAGAGAATATTCTTTAGTGTTTAAGAGCTTTGGATTTAAAACTGACACTGTATAAGAAACCTTCCTTTCATTAATTTCGTGTATAACTATGGCTAGTTATTTTCAGGAAACAGGTATAATTACTTTGAAACTGTATATAAAGATTTTGGTTTTTAGTCTCCTGTTATTTTAGGATTAAATAACGTCAGTATTTTTCTGAAGTTAAGTCTTCTATTTTAATAATAATATATGTCTGTAAGTAAGTAAGGTACGTTACACTTGCATTTACTCCCAAATATTTCATATGTATATTCAAATTTGCATCATTCTTACAGCGAGCCTGCTCAAATCATTATATATCATTACGAACACACAACCATTCACATTTAACTTCCATTACACTTATTGGCCTTTGACACATCTTGTTTATATGAAAAATTTAGCGTTGTATATTGCATTCCTCCTGAAGGAACCAGAATAATGTACGTTACTCAACATGCAAAAGAGCAATGCATTTTGAAATCACACTTTGATGTATTGTGGCACTATCTATAGATGCGTTTACGTAGATTATTCAAACAGCACAAATCAAAATATCTTTATATCTGCACATACACAGACACAACCCTAGAAATTCAATAAATGTTTTTTGAAACTACAAATGATGGGGAGATTGTTCACTGTAGACAATCCTCATTCAAAGAATCCACTGACTTGTCATAATTTGTGAAGATGGATAGGTACATCCATTGTAAAAGTGTCAGACATGGCTTAGCAGCCAACCTCTACACGTAGGATCTGCATTCTCTCTCAGGTTTACAGTGAGTCCTAAATCTTAGGCCAAGCACAGTGACTTAGTCTAAGAGCCAGAAACATCAATTATCTGTTTACCGATATCTTGGTAGGGAAATGCAACATCGCTGCATACATCCAAGTTATAACATCATCAATCGAAACCGTTTTAAAAGCCTTTCATACACTTCTACGCTTATACCATATCGATTAAATCTTGAACTTGTGCCTGTGGATATTCACATGTACAATCCTGCAGCATATGATACCACCTTTTCTGGCAGTATCCCTCAATGCGGGGATGAGAAAGCACCTAGCTGCAAAGCAACGAATTGTTATAATAATATAAATAAATAGTTTATTTATTACCGTTGGCAATTAATTTTTTTTTCGTGTACCTAAGCCAACTATTCACAAAGAATATGATTATTTATAAAAAGTAATTATTTATCAAAGCCTTTATGTACAATATATTGTTTGCACAATCCAGAACTGCATTCGAAGTTTTCTTAAGATTTTGTAGTGACGGGAGCTTTTGCCATATTTTTTGGCCGTTTATATATTTCGATCAAGAGTAGCTGTAAATTTCTCTGGTGAATAGACACTAATTTTGTTTTAGTTAATAATTGATCAAAATTGGAGGTGCTATTTTTTTTGCTGATTCGAGGGACACATTCATGAATCTTGTTTATTTTTTTATTTAATTTGCTATCATGGAACATCAATTCAAGTGGGCAATAGCTAAAATGAGACATTATAAATTAGGTCACTGCTATAGCTGGTTGAGGTGCAGCCATAAATGTTGGTAAGCGATTTACAGCATGAAGTTTTTGACTGCCTTTCTTGCCGAAGTTATCAACACGAGATTGGATGCTTAACCTTTTGTCTAAGGCTACTCAGAGAAGTGTCTCTTCAGTGCCGTCTTTTATCACACACCCATAGAAGATGACATTTTTCTTCGTTCACTTTCATGTAATTATCCTCAAACCATTAGGAAAACAGTCAAGCGTCTCTTTCGAGTGATTCTAATTCTACGCCCAGATCGAATCCACATGCAAATATAGTAGTATCATCCGCATGATTACACGAATTAGTAACTTTTACCAGATACAAAATGTCATTAATGTAGATATATAGATTGATCATGTGCCCTAAATTTTTTTTACCTGGCAGATCTGCTGACAGGCTGCTAATTTCAAAGTACAACACACACACATAAACATACATACACACACACACATACATACACACACACACACAAGCTGCTCCCAAACTTTCTTTGGGCCTCTACGCAACAAAATTAGTTATCGGCCCCCATTGAAAAAAGGTGAGCCTAGCATTGCACCGTTTTATCTCACCTCCTCATACTTCGCCTGTCACTTATTTATGTAAGGTTTAAACAAAAATGGCGCATCGCTAATGTTGCTGTTTGGAATTCTTTGTCGACCGCGTTATTTTAAAGTTGGTTGACACCCCGACACCTGTGTGTCATTGTGGGACGAATACTCAAATTGGGCTCCGGGTTACTGGAAAGTTTTCCAGAATAATTTTACGATTTTTCTGTTATAGTCTTAAGATTGCTCACTTACTTGTTATAATTCGTAAATCTGGCGCCCCTTACCTTATAGCAACTAACGCAGGGGTAACCATATCGATTTCAAGTTAATTTCTTTTTCCTTGCATTGCAGATGGGTCACAGTAGACCATCACCTCGCGCATGCAGCTCTGGGGTTCTATGACTCCCCTTTTAAGTCTGCTCTTGTGTTTTCGTATGATGGAGGTGGAAACGATGGAACATTCAACGTGTATCATGCAGACAGAAACAAAGGAATCAAGCATCTAAAATGGGTTCGTAAAAAAATACGTTACATGGAGCTCTGCTCTCCTCAACAAGGCCATGACCATTCAAGGTTCCTACTGCTGGTTAAATTTCTTTGGCTGTTTAGAAGTTAATGCATAAATATGTCATGTCTATTACTGCAGTAAAAGGCACGAGAACATTGGCATTATAATTAATTTTTCCAAGAACATTTACCGACATAATAAGAATAAGGCCAGGTGTACTCGATATCGTTTTCAAGGGAATACAATGGATACGATAGAATGTCAAACCTTATTGGCCCTCCGTGCCTCTTTAGTTTACACACATACATCTAAGGGGGAGGAGAAAAGGGGTCAACTGCTACGATTACGAAGCAACAGGTTGCCTTCTTTTGGATCAACATTTGATGCATCGATTCGCACTCCGAAGGTCGACCAAGCGGCGCAGCATCGCGTTTCCAGTTTGTTTTGATACGAACTGGGTGATAATCGTTGATGTCACATTATATATTCTCGTGTAACTAGTTTCTTTGAACTTTAGTATCCAAACGCTGCAACATTGCCTTTGCAATGATGGTTGCGTCAAATGTTTTATTGCTTGGCCGGGGATTAAAACACCTTTTTTGCTACAGGTTGGTCTTAATCTTGGGACGCCCTTCAGGCAGCTTGCTATAGCAATGCCAGAAGTGACTGGGGGCAAAGGCACAAGTGAAGAGACGAAAGATCTCACAACTTATATGAGATTTGCGCCTCTTGCATTATCTGGAAAAGTATGTTTTGCTTTTTAATCATCAAGTTCTTCTCAATTCTAACAAGTTCATACTATCTTAAAGGCGTTGATTGCCAAAATCATCCTAAAGTTCAGCAATATTTTATGTAGGATTATTGAGCCCCTGTTTTGAAAAGAGAATATTACCCCTTTATCGGTCATGTTCCAAAATATTCTTCCTTTTAAATCTAAAATGCCTTTGTCTAAGTTTTCTTCTGTCGTTTATCTTCCCTATTTTGACTTCAATCGTTCACAAAACCTCTTTGAGTGGAAGACGAGCTCTGAGACGAGCTCCCCGGAGAGTGGAAGACGAGCTCTGAAATTTTTACAAAATTGATATGGGCTTTGATGGACATTCTTCAGATGTAGTAATTTAGCTCTTTTAATTGTGTTTCCTGTTAAGTAAATGAAACCCCCTGCTTATGTCTGTTTTTATTATTCTCACGGAGCACCCCAACGATTCTTGGATCTCCGACCAGAATGTGGAAGGGCAATGGCTAATTACAAAAAAGTGGGGTGTTTTCAGAAGAGCTATTTTGTCTCACAAAAAGTTGGGGGTATGTCTCCTTAATCCTTCGAGTTCTTTCCATTCTATCACTAGATTATTAAATTTCAGGTCAAAAATTTCCAGAAAGTTGTGACCACGTATTGCTTACTTACAAACATTATCTTGTTATAATCATAGTTCAAAATCGTATCTTTTAGGTCATGGGATATGCAGCACTTGGAAGCATAAGAGAGGAGTGGGTAGATGGTTTTGATATCTATTATCGACAGTTTGTTAGTCCCCTACAGGCAATGTATACGCTTGGCGAGAGAACTAAACTGGTAAGTTCTTTGAAATCGTTTAAAAAGCAGCATCTTTACCTTCAATCTTTTTGGATGGAAAATGTTTGAGTTGACGCGATTATGCCAATGCTAGTTGGGTTAGGGATTAGGGATACGGGCGGCCAAAGTGCTGCAATATTTAGAAACGTGTTCCTGTTGTGATTGCTTTTATATACACTCAGTTATTCCTAAAGAAAATTATCAGAATGCTTGAAATCATTATGGTGCTCCCTTGCTTGCAACTTGCGTGTACTGGCGATTAATTGTGTTTACTGGCGACCTAGTAAAACAAAATGCTGTTTCTGTAATCTGTACTTGTCTTTATTGTTTCTCTTGGCATTCCGAGATGGAGAAGTAGTGGCGAAATGCAGAGGTGGAAATAGGGACGAGGGAACGATGTGAACAACAATCTTGTATTTTTTCTTTTCTCTTCATGCCACTTCTCGTAAATGACAAAGAACGGTGGAAATGTTTTGCATTTGGTTATATAACGAGATTTTCAGGGTCAATGTTTCCTTTTTTGATAGAAGGATTACGTGTAAAATTATGTTTAGAAATGATGATAATCAGCCCAATGTGTATTCCAGTTTGCAACAAGTCTTTAATAAATATATTTACGTAACAGGTAATGGAACCAAATAGTTTGAAAGCCAAAGATGCGAGAGATGTAGCGGCCACAAGTCAGGTGGGGAGGAGTTTGGTCACTAAGCATCTTAAGAGCAGCTGACAAATCTATAGCCCATAGCTGAAGAGATAGAATAAATTTTGTTTCACCAATTACAGCCACAGCGAAACACGGTTGGGAAAATGCGCTGAATTATCAGTGGCGGCTCTTGCTAATGGGCATCTGGGGCAATGCCCCCTCAAAAAGATTCAAAGGAAATCTATGATATTCATATTTAATTTTGAAGATAGTCTTACTGTGGTTAATTATTTAAGTTTGTGTCTCTTCTAGAAAACGCTCCTTGCTATCCCGTCTCATCCTTAGCCTCGCTTCTGGCCCGCTAGTGCCTTGAGCGATGATGTCATTTTACGGGCAAAGTGTTTTTTGCCCCTAGCCGACATGCGCACAAGCTAATTTTCGACCTCGAGCATTGCGAAACGCGGCCTGTGATTGGCTTATTTGGAGAAATTCGGGGCAAGAAAAATTTTGCCCATAAAATGACATCATCGCTAAACAACAACCACATCTATATATGCTTTTTCTTCTGCGCTCCATGACGATCAACATCGAACCATGAATACAGTGAAAAATTTGCAAACTCGACCTTTCTATCGATTATCGCAATATTGATGGTCTGCCCTCCCAACTGTGAAAGTCACGAGCCGCCACTGTGAATTATAAAGGCTCATAGATTCTGTATCCGTAGCAATCACCGCTCTTTTTGTCGCTCTTTTTTGTCGTAGCAATCTGTTGCTTCACGTGTATCTGACAAGATACGAAATTTTTGCTTTGATGCATCGTATGACCCATTTCTCTTTTTCCAGCATGTTTTCGAGAAGTTACTTTGTGAGAAAATTGATTATTTTTTAAGTCTCAAAATGAAGGATGATGAAAGGTAAATGCATTTTCCTTCCAAATTATACTCTCTGATATTTGATTTGATACTTCATCATCCAAATGATATATTCAAATGATACTTTCGTTAATGATACTGTTTTATGCTGTACTTTGTAATTGAATCGGACATTATTTTTCGTCTGAAATTTCACGCTAAAGCAATATTTGAGGTCTGTAAATTACAAGATAGGCGTATCAAAATTATGGGTTTCAATGAACTTCCTATCAGTTCGAGGCTCAATGAAAAGAGAGGGTATACCTGAATATGCTGCATTCTATTGCGCAACCTGGGATTGATCACATGAATTCACCTCGTATTGATTTGGAAAGCTGCCTACTATTGGTCGACCTTAGATTGATCACATGAATTCCCCTCGTTTTGATTTGAAAAACAAGCTCTATTTACCATCATTTGTCAATGACGCTGAAAGAAGATGACCCCAGCGGAGCACGCCTATTTACCAGGAAACGATGGCTTTATAATGACCTTGTGAAGTGAGATGTGCATGAAAACTGACAATTAGTCTTCTGATTGCGCAGAATGATTTTTTTCATTTTGTTTCAGCTTCAGAAATAAAATAGATGGCATTGTTTTGACTGGAGGTTGTGCATTGGTAAGTCTTCAAATATTTTGTAAATATTCATTGAAATCATGTTTTGTCCGCTACTGTGATATTCTTAACTCATATTAAGCGAAATAAGCACACCAATTCTGAGTGCTTGTCTATGTATTATCATTCACACTGTTTCTCTTTCATTTAAGAAGAGAAACCACTAGGTCTCTTTAATGTTTGGGACATATACACCCTTTAGGAATCCTATTTGCCAATTAGCAACTTCAAATGAATATCTAAAAAACTAAACTGATTGGATATTGGTAATTTTTATTAAGACATTGAAACATTGTGTTACATTGTCTTTCATTTGTTTGTATCGTCGATTTGTTGATTATTCAAATTCTTCAATGTAATTTCTGCTTCTACAAACACTGAAATTAATTCTTGAACAAATTTCTGCCCATTAAGTTGTATCAATTGGTACATAAATTGCAAGTTTGACAATGTAGAACTCAGTTTTTCCATTACTTTTGTCGCTCGTATTACTTCGCTGCTTTATATCGTCCCTAGTTTTACGTCGTTCCTGGGTTTTATTCCAAACTATGCTTGCATTATGTTGAGTTTGATGTAATGCAGGTTTTCCAGGTTCATATTTTGATAAATTTCAGCCAAAGCCCCCTATCCCTTGAAAAAATTTTCTGAGCAAATTTTACTCATGGTATTTCTTGGATAACCAGGGAAAAGCTTCTGAAAGAATTCGATGTGCAGTTGATAACCTGTGCGTGTAGCTGATAATCTACTAACGTTTGCTCATGGGCTTACACCAATAGTGTCTGTTGCTTTCAAATAAAATTTGCATTGTAGAATGTACACGCAAATGAGCTTGTTTTCGAGAGATTTCTATTGCCAGTTCATGTCCCATCAGCACCAAATGACTGTGGCATTTCAGTAGGAGCCGCTTGGTCAATCGATCCGTGAGTGTTACCAAAAATATTGTGAATTATAAGCAAACGATTTCAAAAATTCTGGAAATGATGAATTATTTATTTAGCAAGAACCTATACAATATTGCTAAAGAATTTGAACTTAATGTAAATACCTATCTAATCACACATTCTTAGCATTCTATCTTAGCTAAAAGTATGTTAAATACCTGAAAAAAACTAAAATTGAATCCTTTTTAGCAACTTAAGTTTCGCCTGTTGAAGATGAAACCCCATTAGTTTCCCTTAATATAGATTAACTGCAGATGCTTATGACATATCATTAAAATTAATTGAGTGCGATAGTGATCCTTTAACTGGCCCACTTGCTACCTGCGTAAATGATACTCTTTTGCCAGAATGTTCCCGAAAGGCTTAACTGTACAGAAAAAGATTCCTACCTGAAAAGCAAAGCTGAAGTAAACAGTTATCGTACTATAAATAAACATGAATTTATATTCGAACATCAGTTCGGTTTCCTTAGGAATAAGCACACTACTCTAGTTTTATCAAACAGTGAACTTATTAAAAACAATTTAAAATAAAAACATTTAGTGCTCTATTTCGCTTGATTTAGCCTTTGATAATATCGATCATGAAATACTGATTATCAAATTTTTCAAATTTGTTTAAAACCAAGTGTGGAGTCCCGCAAGGTGAAATCTTTGGACCCTTTCTTTTTCTTCTCACTACCAACTATATGCCCTTTGCCTCGAAACATTCTCCATTGAAAATTTTGCACCAAGCTCTAAACACGAGCAGTAGTTTTAAGGCAATGATTTAGACACTCTCTTCGATCAGTCTTTAAAGCAACTTCTCCCTTACGTGATCTCCTCCTGATCACATGAGCTTAAAATAAGCCTTTGCCATCCCGTCGATAAAATAACCAACTTTAATAAACAAACTATTTTTAGTATACGATTTTTTTTAAAGATGGACGTGGGAGGGGTCGGGTAGAAGTTTCATACATCAAGCTTTAATCTAGAAGGTGTTTTGATGCTACTATTTAGTTGGTAATAACTGAAATTTGGGTTTTTCGACACTAGGCCATGGAACTCCGTACCTATTATTTTCGATATCGTCTTTTAAACTTTCTATCTATTCCTAATTGAGATGCAAAATGGCGAAGTGTAAACACTTGCTGTAGACAAATGTTGGATGCTTTTTGTAGGCCTAAACACCAGCCAAAACAGTTGCAATACTCCGGAATGCCTCTCTTTGACCATCGATACCTCGAAGGCATTGCTGTGAAACGAGGCGCTAGAAAGATTGAAATATCTGAGGTAAACTTTTTGCAGTTTTAGGACATGCGCTTGATTGGTTAAAGGACATTGCAATTTGCCTCAGCGAGTATTCTTATCGAATTAGCTTCACTGCAAGAATATATTTCAAAGTGAATATATTGGTATGATATGGCTTCCCGAAATCTCATCTTCTTTCAAAGGAATTGCACCCATTCTCCTCCGGTTTTATTTCAATTTGTATTTCTAACTGTTTCAAATGTTCATCACGACAAAAAGCTTATCAAGAATGGCATGATCTAAGTAACAAAGCAAATCACTATCGCGAACTTGCGTGAAAGACTTTGATTATCCGCATCTTATAATAAATATCGTATTTCATTGACTCCCGCTTATTTCTAGTCATCTGTTAAATTTGTAAACCCTAGTAAATTTCACTCACATCTTGAATATCTTTCAAGTATACTTCTTGAACATCTTGAATAATTTTCAAGTATACTTTTACAGGCCCTGCATTTCCTTTTTATTGTTGTGCCTTCATTTGTTTTATCCTGCTCTGTATGCTTTTCATTAACAGATTGCACGTATTTTGGTCGAGGAAAAGGTTGCTGTTGGCCTTGTTAGAGGTAGACAAGAGGTATGATCTTTAACCATGGATTTCCATCTTTCCTACCCTTACAAGACATTATATAAAGGTATACAGTGTTCCGGGTTTTAGCGACACCATCAAAGTATCGTCTGATTATGGCTAAAAAGGGCTTTAAAAGTGTGCATAAACTCCATCATTCTACAAGCTTCTTGAAATTTACTGAACCAATTAGTATTTGTTGGTAATTGCATAGGGAGGGGCCTAATGTATCAGCATTGCTTATTATGTAGATTTTTAAACCCAATTGGTCTCAGCCTTGGTGTAGATAATACTTTCTTTATATGCATGCGTTGGAACGAAATTGGGGGGGGGGCTGCCCATTGTATTCCTTCTTATTCAGTACACTTTGATAGAGGAAACAAACTACAGTTTGACAATTATTGGGAGGGCTCCAGCCCCCCTGGTTCTGACGGGCCTGATATGGCAACGCAATCGACGATGTTTTCCACGCTACATCAATATTTTATTTTTAGGCACATTACGTCTAGAAAATAGCAATGCTACTTTTTGTTAATGCAATTTTTTCCAAAGTACCATAGACACCCAAATATTTCACGATATGTTGCATTTACTTGTGTTTCCACAGTTTGGTCTCCACAACTCAAACAGCGTTGATTATATACATATATTTTTTGGGGATCTCTAACCATTTACAATTTTCATAGCAGTTTTCATTAAACCATAATACTGGTAAAAAGAATTTCATCAACAATATATTCTTCAAGATTGTCGTATCTAGTCCTTCGATTTACACAAACATTTCATTCACGATTCATTTGTGCTCTTGCGTTGTTAATCTTCTAGTTTGGTCCGAGGGCGTTAGGTCACCGATCAATCATTTGTTATCCAAACACAAAAGAAGTGAAGGATCTTATCAACAAGTGAGTCCAAGCCCTTTTAGTCTATATGTGATTGGAATATCACGCTTGAACAAGATTGAACGATTGAACACCACGAGTTTTATTTACAAATAGAGTCATAAGATTATGCAAACAATCTTTTCGTAAAAAATTTAAAAATGGCTTTGAAAAATGTTTGCTTTTTTCAAAGCCATTTTAAGTCATAAGATTGTCGATTCTTTTCTGTTTGTTTATTATTGATAATTAATTTTTTGACATCTTCCTATCACAGCACTTTGCTTCTAATAACATTTTTTGAGCTGAACTGCACTGAATTTAGTTTAAAGGGGTTCTCGTCAAGATGTGGGGGGAGGGGGGCTCTATTACAATGTTGTGATGTACGTTAATTTGATATTTACGAATCATAGGAATTGGAAAAGGATGACCAAGGAGCTCAGTAATCTTAAAATGAATAGGAATGTTCTTGCTCAGTCAATATTCCAATGTAGTACTTAGTACCTTTTAAGTGGGCGTTTTATGTGACTTTGGATCTGATTCAGGGTGTTTAATTTAGGGCCTGTCATTTTAATAGAAAAAACCAATTTTGGGGTAGTTTTATTTGAATAAAGCAGTTATTTGGGATTTGAAACAATTGAAGGAGCTCGGAAATGTGTATCCATAAGCAGACATATTTTAAACAGCTAAAAAACTTTTACATATTCGTATTGATGATTGTAGTGATTCAAGATTCTGCATGTTATAAGGGTTTGGAAAAAAATTGGGGGGAAGAGACTTTTTTTAGGTATTTATTTGACATATTAAACTTCAATTGTAAGACATTATTTGGCATGGGCTATTATATCTGGCTTGTTTATATACCCTCCTCCAAGACAAAAGGATAATTGAGTTTTTTCTTTGATTTACATTTATATAAATTTAGGATGTGCCTCATGCTTTCCAAAATGTGCAACATTCACAATACGTCACCCGATCATGTGGGTCCTTAATCTTTGGAACTTCTTACAGCCCTTCTGCTAAAGAATCCTTCAACGACTTTTATCTTGCATTTTAAGGACCCCATACAGGCCCCACTCATAATATTTTTTTTGGATCAAGTCCCTCTACGCACCCTACCGTTTTTGTCAAAAAAGATTAGAAGAAATATTCTTTTGAGAATCATTTTTTCGTAAGAAATTTGATCCTATGCTTTTGTTAACGTTGCAGATTCAAATCCAGAGAATGGTTTAGACCTTTGTGCCCATCTGTGACCTTAGAATGCTCGAAGTGTATATTCAAGCCAGCACGTAATGAAAGTGAAGAAAGTGATGGGAACTCAAAGATACCACCATCTCCATACATGTCATTTGCTCCTAAACTGACTGACAAAGCGAAATGTTTATTTCCTGCAATAAGCCATTTTGATGGCACTTCTAGGTAAGCAAAAGAACAACATCCTTTTTTGTAAAATGTCCCATCCTTCATGTTTAACCTCACAGAATTGAAATTCTTTCGGGGTCCCAGTGCATGCATCGTATTCTCCTTACAGTTAATTTTGCCTGCTTGTACTTGCTCTGTTTAAAGTAAATCTTGTTTTATAGAAAAAATAATTTTCCGACTGGAAGCTATATGCCCTTTTGTTTTACAGAATGGCCTAGTTATTCTGTTTGCCTTTACATGATGTGATAAGACATCAAGCAAATAGGGGCTTAGCTACAGGGGGTGTATAAACACTGTGAGTTGTAGTAATATGGAAAGAAATACTCTCTTCGAATAACAACAAGATATGTAATTCTCATGTGCATCTAACGTGCTCGCATGCTTGCTTATTCTAATTAATCCTTTCTACCCCTGTGTCCAATACATAACATACGTCATTACTACAGGGTGTATGGGATGGTCGGTAAAATCGGTTATAGGTAGGTGAAAAAGCACCAAAGTTTTTCTTTCTCTTTGTTATCATTGGTAAATTCTACTTTTTCTTGACCCTCCACATCCTACCCCTACTCTTGAAGATCAAACTACGCCGCTGCTAGTTAGGGATCATCTTTGTTTGCTGATATGAGGCTGCCTTTTCTAAGCTTTGACATTCTTGACAATGGATTCCTCTCATAACTTTGCAGACTGCAAACTGTCACCAAAGATGACGAGCCTTGGTATCATTCGCTTCTGCAAGAGGTTGGCAAACTGAATGGAGGCTATGAAATATTACTAAATACATCTTTTAATGTAAAGGTATGGTACATTCCTGCTTTTCATAAAATATTAATCAGCGAACATTTGTTTAGGCCTGAATATCTGTAATAAAACCATCTACACATATGTTTGAAGGTGGCTACCCACTTCTTATTCTACCCTTTTTTCATAATTAAGATACTGCTTTGGAATTTGCAATAATGTAAAATAAAAGCAAGTCGAGGTTCATTGAAATTGTAAAAAAACATGCCTTTAATTTGCGATGGAATAAAATCCATAGTACATGTATTTTTGTTTGATTAAATTTTTATTTACCCCATTATTTGTTTTTTATTTAATTATTTTTTATTTCTCTATTTTTTAATACATTTAAAAGCCATTGAGAATTGAGTTATAGCTGTATGATTCTTGGATGTTTTGTTTGATGAACCACATTTCTCTTAGGGAAAGCCGATCTTGAACCGTCTCAGCACAGCTCTGGAGATCTTAGACTCTTCGCAGTCAGATATTTTTAAGTATGTAGTCATTGAAGACTGGTTATTTACAAAGAAAGTCGAGGAAGTAGGCTAAAATTTTTATGTATTATATTTTGATTAAAAATGAATGATTAAAAATTATGACACAAATGACTGAGTCCGTTTTTGATCTACAACTTTTTAGAAATATTTTTGTGTACATTATTCCTTGGTTGAATCAAAACCCCGAGTAAGCGTAACCTCACACTAGCGTAGCAAAAGTAACAAGACCAGTTAAAAGCAATTGGAGCGGGCCTCGCCTGAAATAGTCTAGGGACGTTTTCCAGAAGAGTGTTGATCGAAAATACCATTTCTATGATCAGATTTGAAGCTATGTCATTGGCTTTGCGCCAGCTAACTGAAGATTTTGCAACAACATAGATGCAGATAACAATAGGGGGAAGTCTGCCCCTTTTGCTGTTCTTTAGTTTATCCTCCACAACGTGTGATCTTTCTGTATTAGATTTCTTTTAGCTGTGGAACGTAGAATTAACAATTTCTAGCTAAGAATTAAGACTTCGAGAATATTACGGCTCAAATTCGCTGAAATTTGAAAATAATTTGAGGATAATGAAGACCAAAGCTTCAACAAGACTTATATTTTTTATTATTTGAATTTTTAAGAATGCAAGACAGATGTGACTTTCACACTGTGTTAAATGCCATTTATATGCAGATATTACTGAGAGCCACATTTGAATTAACGAAGTAGACAGAGTTGAAATAATTCTTTTGGTCAAGGTTCTGTATTTTGATACCACATTTCACTACATTTATTGTCCTTCTCTGTTCTTGTTTGTCGTTTTTTGATGAATGAACACATCAACAAAGATTTTAAATCTTTCTTTCACCCTCGGGTAAATTTGCATCAAATGTCGCTCAGGAATAATTTAAAAAATAACTTAGTTTCAAAGTTAAAACATATGAAGAATATTAAGGCTCACAAAAAGTTTAGGTATTCTTATGAGAAAGTTTGTAGCACAAATGACATAATACGCTGTGACTTTAAGGCAGTATTTGTATCTCAGCTAATATCTTCAAATATGGAACTTCTAAAAGCCATATTATTTGCTCAAGAAACGCAACCTTTCTTTAAATTAACTGACTCGCGATTCTCCAAGAACATATGTTTATACTTTTGAACATTTTGTGTTTAAGCAGGAAGCGCATTTTGTCAGCAAACAAGTGAAAATTGTGACAGGTAGGAAAGTCGCTGATTTAATGTTGAGTAGGTGTGGTTCTGTAAAACAACCAGGTTTATTTTGTGCAGTTCAGATACCAAACGATAAATATCCACCATTTGGATTGTTTTAGAGCGGTATGAATCTATTCAAATGGAGCAGCAATATATGAAACTAATTAGTTGAAACAAGCAAGTAGTCTTAACACATACTGCAAAAGCTCTGTTAAGCCCAAGGGGCTTAGTTATTTTTTCAGACCAAGAAGGGGGTTTATCAGAGAGAGGGTCTTATTAAAAATTCAAAGTATAAAATGATATCAATACTTTCTTGTGCATTTTTCTGCATTATTTTATATGGAATAAAACTTTGCTATCAGCTCTAAAAGCTTATTAACGTTAGTCAATTATGGTTTTCTCATCATAATCATTAGGTTCAGTTGATAACCTTTGACATCTTCTAAACTAACTTCGTCCTCTGAGACTCCTTCGAAAAGATGAGTATCGGTATCTTTTAGACTTCTAACGCCCACAAGTTAATCTTTACATGGGCTATTTTTAGTGCCTGTTTACACGGGATCGGATCCAAACGGATCCGTAGCCAAAGTGGTACGGATAGGCTTTGCATTTACACGGGATCTGGTGGATCCGATCCCATTTGGATCTGCTATCCGTCCCGTTTGGAATCGCATTTAAAGATGGTCCCGTTTGGATCCGATCCCAAAAAGGTCTCGTGTAAACGGTTGGGATCGGGTTTAAGCAGGTACGGATACAAAATAAGGCGGAAGATTTCCATTTCGAGGTACATTATAAGAAATTTATTGTTTCGAATCTTTCGATTTGGTTTATCCTCAGCAATCAAACCTGTTTATCAAAATGTCTGCTTTTTCAAAATAAATAAAGAGGTTGATAAAGGACCAAAGAGCAAAGGTTTTGGCTGCTCTACTGCTGAAAGTTGTACTGGAAAATAAAAAAATCCAAGGAGCATCTTATTGAGAAACAATAAAACAAAAATACGAAGACAGATACAATAGCCTTCAATCGCTAAAAACGATCAATTTTTTTCTCCCTTCTGAGGTTGAATAAAGCTTTCTGAGGCCGCTAAAATTTCAATATTGTAGTGAGCACACAAATATGCGCATCTTTGATCCATACAGATCCGATCCCGTGTAAACGCAAATTTTTTCAGATCCGATCCCGTGTAACCATCCCCTCATAAAAGAGTTCGGATCCAAATGGATCCGATAATGTATGGATCCGATCCCCTGTAAACAGGGCCTTAATGCACATTATCTTATCATCTGACCCGTTAAGAGACTCGTATTTCAAATTGCTTTGTAAATTTGTCAAGCGAGAAAGCTGTTTCGATGTTTCCTCGCATTCAGACCAAGAAGGGTAGCGGATGGAATGGTTGTTCCAGGAACATACACAGCATTGTGTCCATCGCGAAGGCGTTTAGAGACATTTGAAGCACAATTAATTGGAAGCATTTAAGCTATCACTAAATTCTTACATTTAGTATTTTCTTTTTTTGAAATCAGGTGCTAACAGGGGGTTTAATAGAGAGGGGGCTTAAAAGAGGGGACTTCATAGAGCTTTATAGGTAGTCCCATTTATTTTTCTCGTCTTGGGGAGGAGGCTGAAGCATTTCTGATTAGTGATTTGCGCGCGAAATAAAGAAATTCTTCTTGTGGACTAGCTGGTGGTGAAAAGATAGCGTTTCGTGAAGAAAGTTGATTCCCCCAAATGATATTTGATTTCAACCATGGGAATTCATCAGCTCTCAAAGTTATTAGGCGACAATGCTCCTTCTGCAATGAAGGAAAATGAAATAAAGAATTATTTCGGTGAGTTTTGAATTATGTAGTTCACGCGATCGTGTCATCACGACTTGTCATGAAACGTCATGTCATTTTTATGGAAAATCTATGGGTTTCTGTCAAAAATCTTAAATTTCTTGAAATCAAACTGTGAAGTGATTTTACCAACTTACTTGCAGCTGCTGCTTCTTGTCTAGCTGCCTGTCTGGTCTGCTACCAGACTGCAGAGTATGGCAATTGCACGCCAGAGTTATTGTTTCAAAAATGTCCCTGCACACCTGGTAAAGAGTGTGGCATTTTGAAATCTGGGCGTGGTGTGGGTGTGTTCTATTGTTTAGGGCAAATGAAGAATTTTAAGTTTCTTCAGGATCGACATAATCTTGCATTTGTTTGATAGCAAAATAACTGTCACTCATGTAAATTCTCTAACTTTACTCATATTCTCTTCCTAATGGAGTAATCTTTCAAGCTTCAATTTCTTCCATAAAAAATGCAAGGTTTTTAGATTCAGCTTAAAGCAATGACCAATTGCAAGATGTCCTTTTTATTTGTGATTCCTGCACATAATGTGAAGAGGTTGCACTTCCTTCACAATAATTATTCCTTTGTGTGGTACTCAATAGTGTCAATTGTTATAAACATCGTGTCTGGTAACTTACAATCGGCTTACCATGTACATAAGATAGAGCAAACATAAAAATTATATTGTTAGCAGTAAAAATAAGAAAGAAATAAGTTCTGATGAATGCAAACATTTTTTTCAATACTGGAGGACCAATTAGTCATGTTTATGATACTGGCAATTTTCATGATGAAATTTTGGTTATTTGTTGCAATACTTGTTATCATTTAAGTGATGCTTATTGCTTACTTTGGTTAGAATAAAAAGTAAATTAACCAAACTTTAATTGTTGTTGAGCACTTTTAAAATAGATTTCTAACATTATTGATGAAATGGTCACTAGCATGGGTCACTAGCATGGGTCACTAGCATGGATTGTAATGTTCATTTTTCATAATTTGATTATATTGTAAAGTAAAATCACTAAAATGATTATATTTCGATAATATTTTGAATTCCAGGAAGGAAAATTGCTATTGATGCCTCTATGAGCATTTATCAGTTTCTTATTGCTGTTCGAGCAGATGGTAGTCAGTTAACTAATGAACAAGGTGAAACAACAAGGTATGTCAATCTTTATACCATTTCTTAAATGTTTCTGATAATTGGGGTTGATTGAATCAAGCTCAAACAACTTAGAAATTCAATAGAGACAAATTTATCCATCTCATTAGAGAAATTTTAAACAGAAAATGTCTTATGTAATTTTCGAAAGCATTTAGTAATTGAAATAAAGTTTTTTGTGTTGTTTTGACCATTAAACCTTATCTGTAATTCTTATGATATTATTTTGCTTATTGTGAAATAAACTTTAGAATATTTTAGTGATTAGAATACTTCTAAAGGCTCATATGAATTGGCTTATATGCGTCTTTGGAAGAAAGTACCTTTCAGATCAAATCCTGAAAAATCTTTGAACAAAACTTTCACTGTCCAAGCCTGTGGCAATAGTGCAGTGCTTTATCATTTTTTCTAAACAACTTGTTTGAATATCAATTCGCGATGCTGTTTATCTTATTGTGATGTGTTGTTCTGTTCAAAGATTGAAATCCTTTTGGTTACCATTCAAAGGTTCTCTTAATGTTTAAGCATAGTTTCCAGAAAAGCACAAATTGTACTGAGAGAATAAATGACTATCATCTTTATATTTGATGTTTCATTTTTTTCAGTCATCTAATGGGAATGTTTTATAGAACAATAAGAATGGTGGATAATGGAATCAAACCTTTGTATGTACACTTATTCAATAATCATTTGTTAATTCTAAGAATTGTTAATTCTTTGATGCTATTAAGTAACTTGCTGTGTTGCCAAAGGATTATGCCTATAATATCAATTCTGCTCTCAATATTTATTTCATATCTGTCAAAGAGATTCCTCAGTACAAATGTTAATGCTTTTCTGTTTAATTGAAAACACTGTATTTTTCTTTTGGGTAGCAGGGTTTAGCCTTTTATTTCTACCTGTTCATTCCATCTCCTTTCTCCTTGGTGTTTACCCTAGCTAGATTCAAGTGCTTTGTGGTATCCTTCCAGCTCTGTTTTGGGTTATCTGTTTTGGTCACTCTGTTTTATGTTTTAATCTCAGATACTTTCTTGGTGTACTTCTTTTTTTCTCTGCAACACCAATGTCTAGGCCATCCCAATCTCCTAGGGAATCCAGCAGATTAATACTTTCTGTTCATTCTAATGTTTTCAACTGAAATAAAGAAAACCAGATTGTAGAATCCCAAGAAATCTCCCTTTCCAACAGTCAGTTTCTTCAAATACATTGATACCACTGTCGAACACTGATATACTATCTGTCTGAGCTACAATTGTGTTTTTGTAACTTCCTCTTTTTCTCCTTTCTTTGATACACTTCAAGAATTATTCTGAGACAATATCATTCCACTAGCTCTTACCCTTTTTCTAGTTCATTTGTAGTAGGCTATGTTTCATGCCCAGAAAGTCAATTTTGTCTAACAGCTATTTTTTGTAACAAGCTTTAAGTTTTGCAGATTTCTTTTATCACATAGGCAATCTCGATTAAGATGTTTGGTTCATGTAAGCACATGTCATAAAATCCTCCTAAATTTCATATGTATATCATTTAGATATGTCTTTATGTTTATAAGATATTGTTCTTTTTTATAGATATGTTTTTGATGGCAAGCCACCAGAGATGAAATCTGGAGAGGTATTTTATCAAATGAGAACCTCTTTTTTTATATTCTCGTAGAAATTTACAATGACAATCAATTACAATACAAAAGCCTAGGAAATGAATAACAACCCTGAGAACCTCTGAATGATCTAATAAAAAATTATGAAGCAAAACTACCGTATATTTCTCAAAACTGTAAAAACTGATTGTGCACAGTATCTTATTAGTTTTTCATAAGAATTATCACTGGTGTTTTTCTTTAAAGTGCATTTTATAATTGTTATAATTATGATAAGAATTTTTCCCACTGTATAAGGTGTTGACTTGTATGTCTGGTTACCTTTCTATCAAGCAATGAATTCTGGTCGTTTTAGTTTATGCCCCCTAAAATATCCAATCACTGGGAGTTAAAAATAGATTTTATCTCAATTATCTGAAGTGTACATTAGATGAGAATTTTAAAAAGAAAATGTTGTTAAATCAAAGATTTACCATATCTGTACCAAATAATGTTTAAAATAGAAAATATAAGTAGTTGAACAGAATTTTTGATGTGGCTCAAGTGTACCTAACAATTGATGAAGTTTTATCATTAATTCAAATTTGTTGTATATAATATGTTTGGAGAATGTTCTTGTTTTAGCTTGCAAAACGGTCAGAAAGAAGAGCTGAAGCCCAGAAACAATTGGAAGCTGCAAATGAAACAGGTATTGCCAAACTTAAAGCCTTACTTCATAAAAACAACATGATATGAGTAATCTTTGCAGTAGAAACATTTTTGTGCCATAAAGGATTACTTAATTTGAATTGGTATGAAATCGGACACCATGTCTGATAGTTATATCCAAATGATCTAAAACCAAATTCACCTAAAACAAGATGATCAAAATCCAATTTACCAAAATCTAATTTACAAGCTTCTATATAGGTATTGCTTGTTAACCAGAGGCAGACACCTGGGGGGCAAGGGGGCAGTTGCCCCCCCCAATATTTTGGAGGACTATGGTCTTTTGTTCTATATTAATGGGGAAATGAGACATCATCTTATCAAAACAATAGGCTTGACCCCCCCACAATATTTGACCAAGTATACACCCCTGTTGCGAACAGTTCCATTCTTTACTGTCATTTCCATCATACGAAGCCTTCATAATTACAAACTGTCACATATGCTATAAAATTTGTTCATATGCTACAAAATTATCAAATTAACTAACATCTTCGTTTCTTATATCTAAGATAAAAGAATAAATTGAAAGTTTATTTTTAAAATTTATCCATGCAGAGATGCTCAATTTTAAATGTAAGGAACATCTGTTTTAGGAATTTGAACTAAATTCCTATTTATGATTTAAGGAGATGCAGAGACAGTTGAAAAGTTTTCAAGGAGACTGGTATGTCTAGAATTTGCAAAAATTTTCCAAGACTGATAAATGCTAAGCATGACTTTCAATCATTTTAGCTATGTGACCCTGTTTATGCAATGATTTGGCATTAAATGCAGGGTCTAAGCCACAAATTTGAAAGTTGAGGGGGGGCAAGGCTAGCAAAAGTAGGGGCTAAGGGTTTTTCCCTTTTACTGCAGCTTTACAACTATTAGCTTCACAAAAAAGTGGGAGGAGCCCCCTGGTGGTGTTGGCCCTGAAATGAATATAGTTGTAGATGATATAAAGGCAACCTGATAACAGTTTTGAGTTGGTTTTCTTGCTTCAGGTAGTTTTGATTGTGTCTGTAGATTCATTACTTTGTATTGAGCCTGTAGCAACAATATTTCATTTTAGGAATGGTCAACGATTTCTTTAATTATTCATCCTCTAGACTACCAAACTTTTTTCTGCTATCTCTTCCCAGGTGAAAGTTACGCCAGCACATAACGAGGAATGCAAAAAATTGCTGACCCTAATGGGTATTCCATATGTGGATGTGAGTAAACGAAAAATAATTTCATTCCTTACCGCAGAAAAGGGGCACTGATAAAATGAAAAATACCCCAAAATTATTCTTCGGGACTTTAAAGGTTTTCAGCATACGTTTTTGACTAAGGACCATGTGATTTGAGCTTCTTCTATTGATAAAGACCCATTTAAAGCGAGCTATGACTTTGATATTGAATAAATCCTCTTTAGTATGGAGTAGAAAGTGTTAATGGTAAGAATATTTTAAAGATTTGTTCATCAGAGTATCTAGTATTTATGTTTTCAAACAGCATGGGACACTTGATCCGCCTTGCACGATATTTTCATAACTTTATCAATCGAAAGGTTCTGTTGTTATTTTCTTAAAGATTTTTTGTGACTTTTGAAATATTGATTAGCAGCATATGATAAACCTGATTATCTAGATGACTCTATAGCTGATATGTTTTGTTCTAAACTTTCTACGTGATAGTCGTTAATGATACGCTGTCATCGTTTCTCAAACATTGAAGCTTACTTAATTAAGAAGCCTTGTTTAACCCTAGAACAAAGCGCCATTAATTGCTTGTCAAATATACAGGGACCATGGAGATGGGGGGCGAGGGGGTTCAACCGCCCCTGTTGCCTTTTGATAGTAGGGGCAAGGGGGCCAAAGTGCACTTTTCATAGAACTGCCCTTTACACCTGCCGTTTGAAGAAATTATCAAAAGATTGATCTTAAATTTTGACTGTACTGACTTACTCATGACGATATTTCTCAAAACCTATCAGGAAATTTCTTATGCCAAAAATTAGCTGATTTCCAGACTACAGAAGATCGAGTAGCGAGTAGCCTGTGCAGACATTATCGTTCTTGCCCACCTCATTAACGTTTTCTGAATTTTCCATTTTTGAATTCCTCGAACATATTTTGTTACAGGCGCCCTGTGAGGCTGAGGCCCAATGCGCTGAACTTGTAAAAGGTGGAAAGGTATTTATTGCCTCTGTTTTTTATTTGCTGGCTCTTAGTTCTTTCTTTATTCTCGCCTTAAGTTTCAACACCTTTTTATGTTTCTAGAATCTATCTGCTGATGATAAATTTGTCTGGAATGTGTGCGGTGAATACTCCTTGGAAGAATTGTGATGCGCGTTCCTTTTTGTTACCCAATTAATGCCATATGGTTGGAATTTTTAAGTTTGATCTTAATTAGGAGCACAAACACAATAAAAGCTGTCTTCAATACTAAAAAAAACTTCACTTTGAGTCTTTCCATTTTTTGCTACTGCCCCTAATTAAGCCATCGTTTCTGAGTCTTATACAATAAATTTGAGTCTCCAGCCTTAAAAAAATTTACGAACAATTGATAAAGCATTAGAAAAAAGGTAGCTGTAAGATAGAAAGTTGATTCCTCAGCATTTACAGCTATAAGGGCATAGAATAGAGATAGGTTTCACTGTTCTGTGCGGTACCTGTGCTTAAAGGCCTGGGTTCTACTGCAACCAGAATAAATTCTCATCCCCTAGTAGACGTAAGCATGGAGTCTGAAATTATCGCAAGATGCCTCGCAACCACTTGTTGACAATGCAACGAAGAAAAAAACAATCTACAAAAGGGTGTACGTGTAACACAGCCTTCAATAAACCCCTAGATTGTAGAAACCTTGAGCAATCATTATTTTCCTCTTCATTTTCCTTTTGTTACCAATCTCAGCATTGTCCTTTTCCTCTTCATGGTCTATAATCTAAGCATTTCTTTTATTTTTATCTTTAAACAATTGACAGTCTTAGTAAGGAAGTAGGATATTTAAATATGCAATAGGTATCCCAATATTTGTAGGTCACTTATAATTCTTTGTACATTTGCATCTTCAGTATCAATCTAATTGGGTCTTTGTTTTAATAAGTTCTTATTTGCATAAAGATTTTACTGTAATCAATTTACTTAACAGGGCCTGAACTGCATATTTTGAAACTTGATACTGAAATCTCGTCGATGGATTTCATAAGAAGCTTTTCGATTTGAAAATTTTCTTTCTTTAACCAGTCTTAACGGTGAATTTCTTTGTTCAAACTCGTTGTTCCAAAATGCCTTTTTTAATTGACTTACTTATGACTTTTATAGCATCATATTTATTTGGCTAAGAGACAATAGATAGCTTTCTTCATTTTTGATAAACAACAGAACCCTTTTGTTGATAATTTAAAGAAGCTACAACTGAAACTTATGGAAAATATTGTTAGGATAAACTCTCTGGATGCATAACCCTCGTGAACCCATCCGGTCCAGTGCTGTTGCCCGGTCCAGTTTTCCGGAGTGATGACCTTGTTGCTGTGAAATTCTGCTTTTCACCATTTATCGCCTGAAATTCCCATAGGTTTATGCCACGGCCACAGAAGATATGGACTCTCTTACATTCGGGTCGTCGATCGTTCTTCGGCACTTGACATTCAGTGAAGCCCGGTAAGCAGGCTTATTTTCATCTGGGATAACTTTATCTGCCACTCTCCTTGCAACTTTGCACTGAATGTCTGTTATCACCATCTACTCTTCCTTTTTCAGAAGTGCAGATTAACACCCTTAGAGCATCCATATCAGATATTGTTGTCTTATTCTGTTGTTTCTCTCTAATTAGAGGAGGGTTGAGCTTCCATTTTTTCAGCATATTTTCAACCCTTATTGTCAGGTGTGCAAGGAGAGAAATACAAATAAGTAAAACAGAAGAAGTATTTGCGGAACGTTACTGTATGTCAATAAGTCAGTGAGAGAACATATCAAAGCAATGCCATTCCCCTTCATGCTTTACTCTCAAATTTGCGTATAGCTTTATGCCACTGTAGCAGCAGCAGTTATGCAATCAATTTGCTCTATACCATCCCACTCCATTGATTGTATGACCAATGTTAATAGATTTATAGAGAAAGTATGATCCCTGCTACTGAAACTCCCTGCTAAACGGGACATTAATAAAATGCCGTTTGTTTAATGGTATCCGTTTTGAAAATTGATGATTTCCCACGAAAAGAGATAGGTTCAACCTACCGTTGTTTTCTTTGAATTTCATTAGCACATCTGTCTTCTAATTCGAGTAATTATCTGTCACGAAAACAAATCTTAGTCGTTCTCCCAAACATTTGAGCTCGCTGATCCTTCCCCTAAAGTTACAATACAGCCGGGTGTTTTGGGTATTCCTATACGAATTAGCTTGATAAACAGACTCAACTAAAGTATAGTTAAATACAGTATACTATCATTTACCGTAGGGTCTGTTTATCAGGCTATGTATGAGTCACCTTCCCAACCAAAACTGTGCGATTTTGGAAAATAATTTATTCATTTTAGAAGTTGATAATTTGTCATAAAAAAGATTCGTTCAACATAGCATTGTTTTCTTTGAATTTCATTGCACAGTTGTCTAATATATATAGTTTACTATAGTATACTATACTGTACCTTAGTATCGTAGGTACCCTACTTAAGTTTAGTTTAATAAAGTATACTTTACCTTAGTATAGGAGGGTCAGGCTATGTATGAATCAGCTTCTGAAATTTTTGAGATTTGCTTTCTGAAATGCTTATCCCATTTTCCCTTTCCTTTATCCAGGAAAATGCCCATACAAGAGTATCATTTAGACCAGGTTTTGAGCGGTCTGGAGTTATCACAAGAGGAGGTAACTGCTTAATCACCTTTTGTTTAGTATGGCAAGTTCTCCTTTAAGCCCTGGTCAAAATTGTGTGAAATGTTGGATCATGTTGGGTCATCCAACATCATCTATTTCGATGTTGGATGAAATTTGACTGAGGTCAAAAATGTTGGCAACCGTCATACAACAATTCTGAAGTGTTAGGTGAAATGTTGGATCATCTGACCACCTCGGCCAACATTGTTGGCTCTGCGCAAGCGCAGTTGGTAAAAGAGCGCCGCAATTCAATCATCGCGTCGTTGTTGTTTTCTCCGGCTGGTTTCGCTCGTTTCAACAATCGCATTTGCTTACAATCAGTTACACTTAAATTTTCGACAATTTAACGAAATATAACGAATTCTGTGCGAAAGAAGAAGCGTAAAGCAGCAATGAAGAGCCTGTAACACAGAGTAGCTACAAGAAAGCGCAGGGGACGAATTTAGGCCACGGCCTTGATAGGGGATGCGACGCTCGTCCTGAAAGACCGCGATGACAGTGACAATATCTGAAGAGAAAATAAAAAGAGAAGGCAGTGATTGCCTTTCGTTTTCTTGAATCGAAATGTCGCGAAACTGTGCAGCCTTCAGCGCGAACCTCTACCCAGTCCTTTTTCGATCTGCGCGTGAAAATGTTGGGTGAAATGTTTGATGAAATGTTGGATCCTTTGACCACCATCGTTGGGCCACATTCCAACATAAAAGAAAAATGCTAGAGTTTCATAATTTTGTCACAGGTCATTGTGTAATTCCATTTCTGACAGTTGGGTTTTCGCAAATTTCGTCAGCCTTAGTTTGAGTGATGAATAATTTTTAGAATTTTTCTTGTGATTTTTAAATTTTATGTTGATATGCTACCTTTCTCCAGCTAAAGTTACCCAGTCTCCTAATGTTTACTGCCCTTTAAGTGCTTTGTCTACAAAAAAGTTTTCCGTAAACTCCTTTCCCGCAGACTCCTTTCCTGCGTACTCCTTTCCCGCAGACTTCTTTCCGGGATACTCCCTTCCCGCAGACTCCTCTCCCGCAGACCAAAATTGCAAATGATCCTTGATCAATATGCAAAATTCATGAAGAATATATATTTCACAGCCTAAAAAGGAGTCTTAACTGCAAGGTGCATAAATTCTTAAGTTCTTCTTTGCAGAGATTTACTGTATCGCAATAAAACCCTTATGTAGGCCTATGAGCCTTTGCGCGCGTGGTAAATTGTCCATGCCATGATCCAAACAATGGCAGTAAATGCATTATGCATTATGCAGTCTGAAAATGCATTATGGGATGCTTACGTAGCGCAAAGGCTCATTGTTAGCAATAAGTCTTTAATGACTAAATTGATATCATGTCCTTTTTTCCTAATCGAATAGAAGCAAACTACTTTTGTACGCTCAGCGTCCATGATGTCTTCCGCTCTGAAAAACACTGCAGATATAGCTCTTTTGTTTTCCTAAGGACAACCCAAACATGACTATTTTTAACTCGACTTACCAGTATTTACAATATCATTACAAAGTAAGCGGATTTTGAAGATTAATTTATGTATCCCGATTTACTTTGTTTACACTCTTGTTTGTAAGAACACAATTTATAAAAACACTGAAGCTCGATTTTTAATGAATTAAAACAACGTAAGGATATGGCCAGCCTCAGATGGAATATTTGAAGAAAAAACAATATTTTTTTGAAATTTTCTCGCATATTAACAAAATAGAGAAGATTTTATCAGTTAATCAACCGTGCTACTAAACTTGTTAGGCAAAATTGTTACTAATTGGCTTTAGAACGTTTATTTAGTAGTCTTAGCAACATTCTATAGTGTGTGAAATAAAAAAGAAGATAAAAACGATATTAAGAACACATGAGCCTAAAATCACTCAAAAAATGAGATCATCGAGCCTCGGTAAAAATTGTCAGGTTTATATAGAAAAAGTGTGCATAGCTTTTACAAAATTGAAAGATTTTCATAAAACCGATAAGGTGTATCTCAGGATCATTGATGATGGGGCAGTGGGAGATTGGTGGGGGTTCACAAACCCTACATTTTTCGCATATTTGGAACACAAAAACACTAAGGTATCTTTTTGCAGATATTTTGCGATAAGTTTATACTTTGTATCTGTTAACCTCCTACTTTCTAAGTTGTGACAAATTATTTTTAACGTTTTGTTTATCTTTTGCCGTTTGCCTCGTGTGTTTCCAAAAGAGCAGTCTCTGTGTGTCTGGGTGGCACATGGCAGACAATGAGTTATCCAGTTCCTTATCGCCTTCAAAATCCTATTGCCTTAATGCTATATCGTGCTGCGTCTGCTCTTGGCCTTTAATCTACTTTCCGAGAAAATATTTAACGAATCCTTTCCAGATTTCGAGTGAGGGATTAAGCTTTTTGAGGAGAATTAGAAGATTAGAGTATTTTGCCAAAATTGTTATGACTTGTTTGATGTGGATGCTTTTCACCAATATTAAGAACCTATTTGCGATGGAAATGATAGTCGTGTAGATGCTTTCTAGCTGCAACCCCAGATATTTAAGATAAATAGCAAAGTATAAAATCTACTGTTTTAATGTAACTTTTAATGTTTTTTCCCATTTTTTATCTTTGCACAAGACAGAAAAACCTCGTACAGAAAATCCTGCTTTTTCAAAATTCAGACTGTTTTTGGGGAGGGCTTTCACTTGATGGGGTATAGGGAGATAGTCACGTTTTTTCAGGGTATATGTGCAGCCACCCCCCCCCCCCCCAACTAAAATCATGAAATGACGCCCCTCATCTTGGTTTTTTCTCTAAAAACCCATAAGATCTAATTGTCTTACATTAGTTTTATATCTAAAAGGTATATTCTGCTGATAGTATGCCCTAATAGCAAAAGCTTTATAATTCTTCAGTCCACAATTATGTCAAATTGAATCACAAGGTGGCTAATCAGAAAGGAAAGACTTAAATTTGTAGGCTTTTTTATTACGGCGATTTACTCTATTTTCCTGCCACTATCTTTCAAGACATTGAACTGATGTAATGAATATTTCCCGATGTTGTAATGCATGCATTTTCTGTTCTAGTTTATCGACTTGTGCATATTGCTCGGCTGTGATTACTGTAATTCCATTAAAGGTATGAAGGCTTTTTTATTTTGAAATTTTGCAGAGATTCTTTAAACTTGATGTTCTAATTGTTCTTCTGAAGATCTTCAACGTTCCGATTCTAATTTATAAAAACAATGGAATTTAGTTTTTTGATGTGTCTTTTTTCTTTATTGCGTTCTTAATTAGGTATGTATGTTGTTTGGAAATCACCTCTCATTTTCCAATGCTTACATCAAGTTACGCTCGTTTATTGAGATTTTTCCTGCCAGTTTGACATTCATGAATACAATCAAGTGAAAAATGCATATAAATCTCAAACAGTCGTTATGATCTAGCATTACCTGAGATGAGTCAGATCTGTGTGTGTGTATGTGTGTGTGTTATAACTTTATAACAGGGGGCTAGAGCAAGGGAGCGGGGCTGGGGAAGCGGGGCGAGGGGATGGGGCTGGCCTTCTTCCAGGCCTCCTTCAGAAAGCCACCATTTTGTATGTCTTGTTATTGTTTTTGGAGAATGAGAAACCCCCGTACCCTTTCATAGAACTACATTCAACATAATGTCTCCTTATTTATCCCAGCTCCCTGATGGCGGAACAAAGTGAGTTGATATTGAAGTCCCTTAGCCCCAGATCTAGGCTTTGTGACCACATGTTTTTTCGGGCTTCGTTATGCTTGTAAATTATAACCGCAGTTTAATCTTACCTCATCGTATTTGTATTTTTTTTATCCAATTAAGGTATTGGCCCAAAGAAAGCGATTACTTTGATCAAGCAACATAAACACATCGAGGAAGTCATTAAAAATTTGGATAAATCTGTAAGTAGATATTAATTTTGAGTCCCGAGCTAAATTTTTTTTATGATGCAGTGAAATGATAAGATTCTTAAACACATGGCCAGTGCTCAAGCTTTGTCCTTTCCATAGTTAAGTCAACAGATATCCAATTTTCTTGTTATATTTCAACGAGATAAATTTTCAATGGATCAAACGCATTTACGTCTCCCTGTGTGTGGTCTTTTATTCTTAAGGCAAGATTCTGTTGTTACATTTCATTTTCTGGTAACACTCTTATCGAACCTGAGATAGCCCAAAACCAAACTATTTGTTCTCATAAACACTTACAAAATACGAAATAAAGTGTTTCCAAAAAATGTGTTTCCTAATTAAGTTTGATAGACCTTAGGCATTGCTGTTAGTCTATCACCAAATATTCGTTAGTTTCGCACGATCTTTGTTAATTTAACCCTTACAGTTAATTTCGTCAAGCTTTAAAGCTTGTTTTGCATTTTAGAAATATCCTATACCAGAGGACTGGAAATTCAAGGTATATGACTCAAATTTTTGTTAACTTGTCAAGATATTTCCTTTTAAAACAGAAAAATATTCAAGACAATGTTAAGTGGTTATCTTCAACCAACCTACACGTCACGTGTTCGCTAACTCGAGCCTTCAAGGGAACGATGGAAATTGTTCGAGTTAACCATTATTCGAATTATTAGGCGTTTGAATATATTTGGAAAACTTCAAGTTATCGGGTTATAGTGAATGTCTAGACAATTTCCGTCGTAAGTGTTGTTTGCGAAGTGTTTTACCGATTCCTATTTTCGTATTGCCCGACAAAATAGCTACATGCCTGCAAAGCCAAATATTGCTGCAGACAAAACAGTTTTTTAATAGAGACAGAAAACTAATTCTAGAACTCTGTTAATTACTGAAGAACTCATGTTTCCTGTTTGTTTCCTGCTCGTTTCTTCCGTTTTAGCAAATAAGTTATGAAAAATTATCTACCTTTGATTAGCCACATATGCATTGCTGAATTCTTCATCCTCTACCTCCTTGGGTCCCCTTCTTTTTTAAAAAAATATTATTCTTTTGATTGCTTCTTCAACGAAAATTTCAATGCATGTTTCCCATCAGAATATACTACACGCTTTTTTTATAAGGAACCTACCTCAAGGCCTAGTTCCGAAAGTTCCTGTTTCGTAGACGTCAGATCATCAAGTTGTAGTACCAAAAGTTCCTTAATAGTTCCTTAAATTTCACTGTACATAAAGTTCCGTAAAAAAATTGTACAGAAACAGGAATAACAGAAATTTTGAATTTTGCCTTTACTTGTGGCTAGAACTCAGGAGCAAAAACACTGAAGGCTATGTATAGTGAAAATCTCACTTTCGGTGTTTTGACTACAATAAGCCTTAACACTTAATAGAGAGAGGGGCGAGACAGCATATGCGGAAACTACTCAATGAAGCACTTGACACACGAATAGCAAACAATCTATGCGAGTATTGGCTGCAAATGAATGGAACCAGCTTTTTAGTTCTTGATGCTTGCAGTTATAAAAATTTTTCAAATTGAAAAGTGCCTTAGGGATTTCGTTTCTAGTAGTATGAGTTCTTTAAATATTTCGGCCTTCTAAATGTAGGTTCCTTATAAAGTGGTTCCTTATAAATAAACGCGAATTTGTTTTCTTTGCCAAGCTATGGAAACCTGCATTAATTACGTTTGAACAGTAGAATAGGCCAGAGTTAGCGACTGTCAAATATCCTGTGTCTGAAATGTCTTGTTTTTATCCATGTTGAATCGAAACAATGTTGATTTTAATGTTTGCAATTTTTCCCGGTGTTTAGGAATCCAGAGAGCTATTTAAGAATCCGGAAGTCACTCCGGCTGCAGAAATAGAGGTGAGAACATTTGCACTCTATAAAAAAAATCGTAATCAGTAGTAAATCCCGTCTTTTTCTGCTCATTTTTCCCTGACCAAATACGAAACCAAGTCTAAATAATATCATGATGAATTACTAAGCCGCCGATGGGAATTTTTCTGAATTCGGCTTTTCTTTGATCCCTTCATATTTTAAGAAATTTATGGTTTATTTACGAAGAAAAAGTATATATTAGGATTTTATCACCAGAGCTTGATAAAAGCTATGTCTCCGACTTTAGGAATATTTTGGCAAAAGGCCTCCAGTAAATCCACTCTATGAATAATCTGTTAAAAGTCCAGTTAAAAATCAACTTAGAACCGTCTTGTTCTACACACCATAGCTTGTACAGCTTGGCCTATACAGTATTGAGTACTGTACCACATGCCAGATAAAGCAGTAATTTTCATTCATTATCATTCAATATTTGTCATTCATTCAATATTTTCATTCAATATCATTTAGCATGTATAATGATCAATGCATCCTTTATCTTCTGAAATTATTTTTTTTTAATTAATCTTTAAAAAATCTATTTGTGTTCACCTTTAAATCAAAGACTTTCAAAATTGATAAACATTCGTTTGTAAGACATCCAGCAAATTCATTTATGGTAAGAAAATCGAAAGACCTGTTTTTCTATAAAGGACACTTTTTATTTTTCCTCAATGATCCTATCCACTGCTTTTGAAACTGAATACCATCTCGCGTTTTTTGCAATATTTTGATAGCATGCAAACTGCCATTTTTCATAGATTCGGTCTTTCACTACAGTTTCATTGCTTGTGTGACTTAAAGGTTTTCCGTGTTGAGATATATTAGGACCACGGAGGCCCTGTCATCTAAAACTTTGCTCTTTGATCGACTCTCCCTTACCATTGATACACAATGATTTTCATGTTATGCTTTGTTTTTGAAGACGAAATCTAGTTCATTCACTTTCTCCCTGGAACCATGGTTATCAGAATTGTCAAACGTTAATTTATTTGTAGCGGCGAGTTGTTAACGTAACTCATTTCGTTATTTTTATCAAAAATAAAAAATCGGTTTCTTGAGAATTTTATCAAATCAAATTCCAAAAACGTTTAACCTGTCATAAGTATTTATATCTATGAATCAATTTATGCAGCTTAAATGGTCTGATCCTGATGAAGAGGGTCTCATCAAATTCATGTGCGAAGAGAAAGGGTTCAAGTGAGTGCTACTTCGTTCTACCTATGTATTGAAATGTACCCTCATTCAAATTTTCGTAACATTGCCTGCAATCGTTTCAGTTCACACTATAGGTAAGAATAAAATAACTCTTTGCGTGACAATAATATCGTGTGTACAATATGTATGCCACAATATATTGTACACAATGCCACAATAACACGTACAATGTACTCTGCTATGAGGGGGGCGTATATGAGCTTCCTGCTGGAGGAGATTTTTGTCTAATTCTAAAAGAATTACTGAAAGTTCCAGGCATGTTTGTTTACAAAACGTGTTTTGCACAGGCTCTATCTTGATAAAAGTGTTCTGTGATGTTTTGAAGAGAGTACTGCCTCCAAATTTTCCAGTTTTTCTGTTTCTGCCATGGGCCCCGACGCACGTTGGAAAGTGTGGGGGCCAAGGGAGATTTTAACAATCACAACAACAACATTTTAAAAAACACTATTGTTTTGCAAAAAGTGGGGGGGGGGCGATGGCCCCCGGCCTCCCTTCGTCGGGGTCTGTCTGCAGTCCAGTAGTCTTTTGTTTGAGTGTTTTTTTTTGAAAAAATTGAGGAATGTTAAATGTATTATTCAAACTACATCATATTAAGCCAAACCACGTATTCCAAATTATTACATGTGAAATATTGCGCACATTCCAGTATCAATGGAGTAATATATTCCCTTGTATACAGGTTTTGAAAATTTAATGACTACAGGAAAACAGGCGAAATTTTTTCACATAGCCAAATGTAATAGAGATTCCCATGACATCACAGGCCCTTACAATTATTATCAAAAATTTTAGAGTTAGTTAGTCCCGTTCATCATAGTTCTTCATGTAAAATAAGCACAATATTTTCAGCAGGCATAGCATGAACAGTAGTCATTTCTGTGTAATGTATTACTTGCTAGATGTTTTAAAGAGTTAAAGTCAATGGTCTATTTCGGTTTGAAGCACGAAAACCGAAGTAGACCATTGACTGAAGGAAGTTACTTGAGCGTTATATACAGTGGAACCTCCATATAAGGGACACCAGTGGGACCAATGTTATTGTCCGTTGTAGAGAGGTGCCCGCTGTATGGAGGGGTCATCTTTTGATAACTTTTGTTTTGGGACTCAAATATCTGTCCGTTGTTTTGAGGTGTCCGTTGTATAGACGTGTCCGTTGATGGAGGTTCCACTGTACACGGTTTGTTATGAGTGTATTGAAATCAAGGAGGAACGAAACCCCGCTATGCTACTTAGAATTCCAATACATCGAGCTACGCTGTGTCTTATGCCGCAGACCCACCCTCTTCCTTCCCACATTCATAAACCCACAAAGACATTCTTTCTGGCCATCCAAATTATTATTACCACGGTTGCACTCAGCATGATTTTTCTTATCAGCAATTTTGCCTTATCGTGAACCTGTGAAGCCTTTGTACAAATCAACGATTAGTCCCCTGTTTTTTCTTTTTTGCATGGCGAGTGTCGTCATAAGAATTTATCATTTAAGTATCCAAACCAAGCTGCAAATAAGAAATTAATGCACTAAATTTATTTTCATCTAACCTCTAGTATTGGAAAGAACTTTGGGAATCCAATGTCGGCTATTCTGTGGTCCTAGAAATAAATGTTCCTTAAACTCTTGACAAAATTTCTTCTTGCAAATGAATACAGTATTAATTGAAGATGAACGATAATTTAGAGGGCAGTAGCACCTTCGGGATAATTCTTCTTGTGAAGTTTACTTCTGTTCTACATTCTAAGTTCTTGCTGCGATCTATTTTTATACCCAATGTGTTAGGGTCACACACACCATTGACTTTAAGAAGAATGCGCATTAATGAAGTGTGAGGGAAATTTCATGGCCTAGAAAAAAGGCTTTTGATCTTTCGGTTTTTTGAAAGATATTTTAGTTCAGGCTAAGCCACAAAGGCAGGCCATTTCAGTCATTAGCAGCTGATAGGAATGGCAAACCATCCAGTCCCGCGCTTTCGTATTAAATGTTTATGACCTCAGATACAAACTGAATATCTCATGATAAACCTAGCAGTTGGCGTATGTATAAAAGTTTACATTTCATCACTGATATCATACATTTCCAGCTTAGAATTTGACAAATATTTAGCCTTTAGAGGAGGGGTTAGACTGTCGCAACCGAATTCACCATCACGTATTACGAAGTCATATCGTTTTGATCCAAACCATGTGCAAGGCAAATTGATTTTTTATAAATTTCCCAGCTGTCTGTACCACAATCCAAAAAAGTGTTGATCATAGCTCTGGAAAGTTCCTCAAGGACCCTCAAGTTTTGGAAACCTTCCTCATAACAGAAAACAAGGAAGGATTTAAGATTGGTACTCTACTGCTTATGCTTAATTTGCGTTCATGGTCGTCAACTGCTAGGCCATGTGTTCTGGGCTCTAACATTTACTTTCCTTATACAAGGTACGGCTACCAAAGCCATAACTAGGCTTGAATTTGGAGTAACTTATGACAATCAACAACCTACTTATCTAAGGCCAGTCTTCTTTTAAGTCCAAGATTCCCCCCCCCCCCCCCTCTCTTTTCAACTGTTAGCCACCTTCTGGAAACATGATCTCAAAACGAAATCCCGATTGAAAACGAGTACAATGTTTCTGTTAGAGATTAGACTTAGAGATTTAACTGGAGTAGAATTTGAATATCCTTTTCAACCAAAGAATGCATCCAAGTATGTAAACATCTTATTCATAAACTCTAATATATCTCTTTTTTATAACTTCGCTTAAATATTCTTGTTGCTATGGAAAAACAATATGGCAGACAAGGCAGGGGTCCGGCATTCCATGAGCTAATCTTTTGATCTCAGAAACCCACCGAATCTAATCTTCCTTGCGGCCTATTCCTCTTAAAATATCCTCGCGTGTGCTTCTTTTTTCAACGAGACCTTTCATCTTATCAATCCCCTCATAAGTGTGCCTTTGAGCGGCAAAACAAATGCGATCTGACCCAGACTGAGAAAAAAATTTCAGTTAAATAATAGCGATTGTTTGGAAAAGGTCAAAATAGTGCATATGTTCTCCATATGAACGAGAACAACCTAGATATGATTGGATAAAATAAGTATTTGGGCATTCAGATTGATTCAGAACTTAAGTAGAGAGAACATATAACTTTTTCTATAGGCAAGATTTCCAGAGCAATTGGCATGCTTAAATATGCTAAAAAATATCCCCCATTAGAAATTTTAAAAAGCATGTATACAAGTATAAGTGTAATAGCTTTAGTTTACTCAAATGTTTGCTTTTTTCAAAGCCATTTTCAAGTTTTGTACCACCAAAAGATTGTTTATACAAGTATAGTTGAATCGCATTTCAGAAACTGCTGCTCGGTGTGGGGTTGTTGTGGAGAAACCGACACGGTTCTTAGAATACCTTGCTTTGCGACCTCTTACGGGCAACGTATTTTCACATATCGAGGTGTGAATGTGTGGAATAAACTAAGAACTGAAATAAAAATGCCCCTTCATCGGCTATTGTGAAAAATTTAGTGAAACAATCTTTGAGTAAACCTCCTCACCCCTTAACTGATTTCTTATGACCTTTTCATTATTCTTCTTTTATCAATTGTCTGACTGTTCTGTTATGTTCAATTCAAACTAAAATCTCTACATAATATTATTGAGTACGTCAAACTGGACACATGACTCGATAGCTCATCGTGAGTTTTTTCGTGTGTCCTTCAGCATTGTAAATTTCCAGTTAACTTTCTGATCTTACTCATTGTTCTAATTTTAAATTTCTAGTAATTGTATTTTAAATCAGTATATTGTAATTAACTTGTTTGCTTGCTGAAAAAGATTTTGAGTTTGAGTTTTGAGTTTGAAAAATCAAAGGTTGTGAGAGTTCTTGTAAAGCATCATCTTTTTTCTTTTCTAACCAGAAAACCTAGTATATTAATTTTCGCTTATCTATGTTATTGAATTGTATGTTGATTAGCTTACGAAGCAGACGAAGGAAACCTAAAGCTAATGACGTAACGTTTTTTCTTGTATAGTGAACGTTAGCTGCTGCCGCCATATCCACTGGTCCGTTCGATACCACTATCACTTCAATGCATTACTTTTAACATTGATATCACAACCACTAACTGGGAAAGGGGGTTCCTCTTCTCATCCCCTCTTTCATACAACCTTCTTATATCTTCTCTATTGCTTCCTCTCTAGTGCCCCCTCTCTAGTGCCCTCTCTCTAAATCCCCCCCTCTCTAGTGCTCCTCATAATTGCCCCTCTCTAAATCTCTCCATCTCTAGTGCTCCTCTTTAAAGCCCCCTCTGCAACCCCCCCCCCCTCTCTGGTGCTCCCCTTTCGTAGTGGCGCTTAGTCGAGGGTAGTTAAAATTATATCTCCTTTGATCATGTTTTTTAATTACTGCATGTGTTTCTACGTTCTATCTTTCAGTGAAGATCGCATTCGGAATGGATCTAAAAAGCTTGGAAAAGCGCGACATTCTTCAACCCAAGGGCGCTTAGACAGTTTCTTTAAAGTCATTCCTTCATCGACTCCCCCAGTGAAGAGGAAGGTATCTAAAATTGACAATCCTTTTGCAACCTTCGCACGTCCTTTACTTTGTTGAATGGCAAAATACCTTATATGTTTTATAGATTGATGTCACATTTATGACCATTAAAGCAATAGTCTTCAATGAAGGTCTCCCCGGGGGGGGGATTCTCCCCCGGGGGGATACTTGTTCCCGTGTCTCTATTGAAAAATAAAAAAGTGTTCTCTTATTCCCTTAAACTAGTTAACATGAGCCTTTGCGAGCGTGGCAAATTGTCCAGGCGACGATCCAAACAATGGCAGTAAAATTCTACGGATTGACCTAAATTGATTTCAGACTGTCTGAAAATGCATTATGGGATGCTTGCGTAGCGCAATGGCTCATTGCTATAGCAATATGTCTTTGAATGAGGCTAGTGTCAATAAACAACTTTTAGTGAACCTATCAGAACAGTTCTAAGATCCTCCATCGAAGAAAACCTAATAACAGACAACTCCCAATAACATACAACTCTTAGTCAGTGTCTCCCCTACCCCTGAACATTGTTAGATTCTGACTAGTAAATAAAGACAAGTGATATGGGAATGGAAACGATGTATAAGATGTTTAGTGAAATGTTCATTTTCCTTTCCAAAGATATCTAATGGGGAGGGGGATATGTTCTCTTATATTAAAGGAATAATATATATATGCAAACTTGATGCTTCAACTAGTTTTCTCAGCCATTAATTGCTACGAGCAAGAATATTTATATTTGCTTCGTTTCCAGCAAAACGACAAAGCGAGCAAGGGACCAGCATCAAAAAAGGCAAAAGGGGCTGGTGGGAAATTCGGAAGGAGATGATTTCGTTAAGGAGTATCAACCGTTAGCAAATGGAACCAGAATGCAAACGTATACGAAGGTGGGACTTGCCGAAGTAACATCTAACTACCATCTTTATTGACTAACAAGGCAGACTCTGCAACATTGCAATTACAAAATGTCGGTAACACGTTTATTTTAGCTTTTTATGTTTGTTCTTTTCACAAAATACTGTGAAGTATCCGTGAGAATTCTGTACCCCTGTATTTTCATTGGATCCAATCACGATTTAACGTCACTCAGTTATTTTCAATTTTTCCTTAAATCTAAAGTTTCAAACATTCTCTATGTTTTATTGTTTACTTTTCGTTGAATGGTATGATTTCCATCTTCTCTGTTTCTTTTTTTCCAAGGATTTTGCATTTTTTACCTCGTTTCTACGAACACTTTTCTATAAGAATATACGTTTAGTTTGACTTCAAGGAGAATGCAAATGTAGAATTGAAAAGATGAGATTTTAGTCTGCTTCGCTGGTTTGTCCTCATACCTTGCGATGCCAATTGAAAAGATGAAACATTTGGAAAACCTTGCTAAAGGGATTCGAGAGTGCCGCAGGAACGAAGGCAACTATGGAAACAAACAGTGCATTATTGCAAAATGTCAACAGGAAAGCTGATTCACAACGTGTTAAAACCTTAAAGAAAATGCCTAAAACAAGTTTTTTATCCATTAAGAAGCTACATGCCAGCTTTGATTTATAAAAAACTTTTGTTCGATAAAGATGAATCATCAAAGGGAACCAGTCTTTCCCAAGGGCTTTGAATTGTGCTTTGTTATCAAAATCCTTGACCAAGATGTCCAACATAATCTTAACCGTTGTTTTTAGAAAAAGTGGGGTTTATGATTGTAAAAACTATTGTCTTTAAATCAAGGCTTTTTCTGCGATAGGAGCTGAGTTCTCGAAAGATTAGAATAGCCTTCATTTGTCATTTTACCTTGCGTGAAATGGTATTACGTTCTTAAGTAGAGGGGGCATGCTCCCGTAACCTCACATCCACAATAGCTCGAAGCATTAGTGACAATAAAGACTTTTCTTTCCTATGAACGATCTTCCATTGCTCCTCTCTCCCATTTCCGTTCTCCCCCCCCCCCCAAGATAAAATATTCTGTTCCACCATTTGCCAAATTCTATTTCTTATCGACATGCCCAGATATAACTAGACTTTGACGAGATTATGGTTGAACCTAATATGATAGTGGAAAGCAATCTCTAAATGACGAATAATGGTGTACCTTTTTTTAATTTACTGGTCTAAGCGGCTACTTTAGGCCATGAATACATTATTCTAGCGAGACTTCACATACGATCTTTGTTTGTATCTCTTTTGAAGACATAAATCTTGTTTGCCTAAAAACAGGATATCATATGATGGAATATTTCGAATTTTTTGTATCTCTGCCAAGATTTCAATCGAATTATAGCAACTTATATTTAAATAGATCAGAGAGCCCTCAATCTCAGGCCATTGTTCCGTTCTATGAGCTTGTTGGTTTCTTATCTCTACGGTTTAGCCTTTTTTGTTTAGGGGGGAGGAAGCTTATTAGAAAGGAGGACCTGTTTACATATTCAAACTTGTCATTTGTCAAATCATCGATTCACATCACAAAGTTTAATTTGTTGAAATTTTGCTCCTTTCCCTAATTCCTAATCGGATTTTGACGAGATACCAAATTGGTACCGCGAAGAACTGGGAAACGATTTGTCCCCTCAATCTCCATTGGGCGAAATTTTTTCGCTTTTGCGCTGACGAAAAGCGAAAACCACATGGCACACAATCAATCCAGCTAACAATAGATTTGCGTGCCAAATAGAAAGCAAATATCTGCGAATGTTCTGATTTTGCTTTATTTGTTGAAGCGTAAGAAACAAAGAAACCAAAAGCAAATAAAAGGTTTTGGGTACGTAAATTCTACCAAGAGCTAGGAGCTTACAAAAATGTTTATAGATCTACAATAATATGACTACCAACTATTATTTACCTGTTGTTGTCTTTGGTGGTTCCATATCTAGTGAACGAATCGAAGTTTCGCAAACCAATAGGTGCTAAGGGAGACTATGTGTGACTCTAAAGCGCCTTTTATGGTGATTCGCATGTATCAGTTAGCATAAGCTATAGGATAAGCCCCACAACTGTTGGTAGGATTATAAAAGAAACATGTAACGGACTTGTAACAAGAAATTTTATTTTTTCCTCATCCAACACGAAGCTGCTTTTCGACACAAACATTTTGCATAGGACTTCAAACTCACCGGCGAAAAAGAAGAAAACTCAAATAGTTTGAACTTTCAAGGCGAACGTCGCGCACTGCTCAGGAAACGAAAAGGTTCAAATGCGCATGCTCATAACCTTTCACCGGCGAAAAACGAAAAAATTTCGCCCAGTGGAGATTGGCCTAGTAACGATAGCATCCTACTCAATGCGAAGTAACGATAGTAACCTCTGTGTAAACATCGGTTTTAGTCCCGATTTTTCCATGATACTTATTCAATGTAGGTCATTTTTTTCTCTAGAAAAGCAAGCACCCAATGGGGTTCTCTCCTGTCTTGAAAGCCCTTTGGGCTCTAAATTAGTGAATTGGAATTTCCTACCTGAGCCACTAAATGCAGCTGTATCGACCACCCTTTCCTTTCTGGGTTTTTTCGGGCTTTGCTTTGCCCTTTTTCTGCTTCAGAAAACTAGCCCTACAGTCGAATCTTAACTAACGACCTCATCCACGCATACTTCGCAACAGTAAGCGAGTAATGTGGCGCATCGCTAAATGATAATTAACATTAAATTTATTACATAATCACGCGGAAATGGCGATTGTCCACATATTCAGCATGTCGGAGGAAGATAGAAGCTCGTTACAAACCCGCATGTGTGTTTATTTTGAGTATTCTGACAAACCTCAAAGAGATTATTATTAGGTGAGATCAAAATTATCATTTGTTTACTCGGCCTTGTAAAGTTGTTGGAAACAAAAAAAGCAGGACCAGATTTCCTGTGCATTTCATCAATGAAGTCGACGGGCGGGCGCTCAGCTTGAGTTGGGTGCTGTTCGTGACTATCCTTATCGTGCAAAGCTCACCACAAATCCGTGTGTTGTCAATGCAGAAGATTTACTTAGCAAGCTTCTTGGCCGCTCATCAATTTTCTATTGTTTGATCAGTTCCATGTCGACTGTCTTCAAGCCGTCAGCCCCATCTGCATCTCAGAATAAGCATAACATGCGCGTGCACTGTAGGATTTTTATAAGTACTGACCAGGAAGCTTAAGGATGGCCCGCGGAAAGTTGCTTACGATTTTTGTTCTTTGTTGTATGACTGGCATTTACGGCGATAACGAGGAAAGTTTACTGGATGCAGGGCAAGGGTGCGGAGAATCTGGTAAGTTGTTCATTTTAAAGTTGCATTTTTTCTGACAGGAATAATCACCCATATTATTTTGTTGACAACTTGGTTATTTGGGAAATTGAATCTTAATCAGCTATTCCAGTTACAACGAAACAATACTCCACATGTCTGTCTTAATTAGACTAATCGATTTAAAGGTTATCAAGCTCAAGGAGTTTAATATAAACCACTAAAAAGCCTTCCGAACTTTGTTAAAGATTATATTGAAATTAGCTCAGCGTGTTTAGGTGACGAACTTGGCTTTCGAGGCCCATCCAAACAGTCTTTTATAGGTCAATTGTGGGAGTTCCCTTTCCATCCATCAATGCAAAACAGATCATAGCGCTTCTCTGCTGGTTTTAGTCCGAAATACAGCCCAAAAAAAATTATTCGCAGCGCGCCTCCGTAGCCCTTTCATGGTTTGTCATCGACCTTTTTTCATTTTAAAACTTTACGAAGGGTGAAAACTTTCTTGGACCTACAAAAATTTTGTTGGTAGATTTTAAAAGTTCTAAACAAACACGATGTCATCTTCCTTTTCTCGTTTATTAAAAAGCCATCGTTATCACTTTTTTCTTATCGTTATCACTTTTTTCGCTCGCGTCTTTTTCGCTCCATCTAGATAAACTTTTGCCAGTGTTTCTTTATCACTAAATCTCTTGAATTACCGAATGTCGTTTTCTATGAGAATGTACCATTTTTTTAGATTAAGTAGAAGCATCGCCTTTCTATTCAGTATTATTGTGTGAAATACGTTTTGTTATTGTGGGAAAATGCCGTAACAGATTTTCTACCTCAGTTATCAGAAGGTTTCTAATCAAAATCAAAATTTTCCCATGACTACTATTTTTAATCTAAAGCACAAGTGTCTTTCAATCCCTTATCAATTTATCATCAGAAAATAATTACATTTGTTTCAAACTAGAATTATGACCGTTTTAGCACAATTGGTTGCTATTATCGTTTAGAACCTCTCTTTCAAGTGCTATTTGTATACCATAAAAATACTCAACCCACTTGTGCTGTAGCTAGAGTTGAGGACCCCTTATTTTCTTATATTTGTCGATTTACCGACAATTGACTGTTTCTCGTAAGTTGTATTGAAATTTAATATAAATGCTTTACTCATGTCCTTAATAAAATATACCAATGTCAATTTTTGACTGAATCCGAAAAGGCGTTTCGGAATGTATCAAAATTTCCTGTTGCATCGAAACACCCGCTTTGGATCAGGATGATGGAGCAGGAAATCTAACACCCGCTTTCTGTCATAAAAAGCAATACCAACAAACAATCTCCCGAGTATAACAAGAAATTCCACGGAATTGGAAAACAAAACAGCGTATGATGCGAAATGCCCTGTTGAATTTTGTGTCCAAGCTTGAAAAGAATTTTTTAAAAAGGGCAGACTAGAAGAATGCTTATGTAGTCGAAGAATGAAGAGGAGAGTGAGCGAGAAAACAAAGACTCGAACCCTTCACCCAATAATTTTTTTTAATTTTGGCAACCAGTTTGATTTTATTACAAGAGGTATAAAGTTCTATTGAAAGAATGCCAAATGTTCTTCTTGCTTGTGCCAAAACATTTAACAAACAATGGCGATAGGGACCCACAAAGCCGCAAAATCTCATCGGTAAAGTTGTATCGATCAGTAAGCAAGAACTGGCAAGCATAGGGAATACTGGCTATTTAAACAAAAATGAATCATTATTGTGTATCATCTAATCATTGTTATGAAGCTTTTTAAATTGAAATCTCATTCAATACGCCGTGCCCCGGGCAAGTGTTTTCAGGCCATACCACGTTTGAACTTTTATAGTTCTTTGTCGAATATGAATAAGAAATCGTGTCGTTTTGTCGCACGCTTACATCTAAATTCTTTCCTAACGGGAAAATATTGGCAAAGCTTTAGTAGCAATGATGAAAACTTCTGTTTACCGATCGGTCATAAAGTGCCCGATGCTCTATAGACGGAGTTGTACAAGCCGACAAAGAGTTCACTTGTCTTAAGTAACTGCTTTTTGAGCCTGCTGTCGAAAACGAGGTTGGTCTCCTGTCAAGACCTTCACTAATTTTTTTTTATAAGAAACTGGCTATAAGAAACGAGTACTGGACAGTCAGAAAAAATTAAGATACTTCAGTACTCGAAGCAAATAAATTAAGAAACTATTAAATCGTGATAAAACTAAGAACAACGAAATTTTGTAGAATCCAAGAACATTATTGCCCTGATGGCCTAGAACTTAAGACACAAGTGATAAAAATATACTTCCCACATCTAAATACAGCATCGGAACGGAAGCGAATATCTTGACGTGATAAAAAAGATCACGAACATTTCATAACATCATTCATGACATCATAATTAAGAAACTCTTGAGAAAAAACGAGTATTGAAATTTCCAGAACATTAAGAAACTGGAGTACTCAACATCGACCTTTGTTTCTTATTAAAGAAATGAGTGTATTTTCGGCAAATGGCAAGACCTATTTTCGAAGTTTCAGAGAAGACTTGGCAAAGTAAAGAATAGCCACACAGACTGGGGCATCGTGGAATTTGATCGAGGGACGTAAGTGGCTCCCTTTTTATGGGGGAAATTTTCAGCGTTTTGGTGTTATGCCTCTGCAGAGGAAGAACTTTAAAATGTCAATATCAATTGCCGAACTAATGGCAGACCCTTGTTCTGCTTAAACGTTGAGGAGACGCTGTTCCACATCATTACGACCAGTCGATCGATATGAGAAATAAAGTTGAAATCGAATCAGGGAAGCCTCTTTTAACTTATAGCGTTGGTTTTAACGATACAGTTGTAAAATTATTTTTGGATCTTTAATAAAAATGTTGCATAATCTAGCATGATTACGGCTGCATTTGATGTCGAAAGATCAAAGACTTCTTCACCGTCAGACGACGGGTAACTGGTGAAGCCCCAGGTTAGGCCCATCGGCGCCAACCCTCAGAGAATCAGATAAAAAATGCCCTTAGTGGAAGCCTGCAAAATCTTTTTCTCTCTTCATTGTCACTCAGTGGTGGGCTCATTTTTCAAGTGGGGAGGGGGGCAATGTCCACAAAAGCAAGCAAATTGGCCTATAAATGACATAATTTTGGCGACAAAACCAACAATTTGGCAAAATCTTGGGACGGTTGCCCCCCCTCCCCCCACACACACCCCCGCAATTTCCACCACTATGTCACATATGGAATGCAAAAGATGCGAAAAATGCCTTTTTATAAGACGGTCACTTGTAAGTGTGAAAAACTGGGAGATATCTTGATAAACTGACAAACTAAAATGCTTCTACAAACACCCAGGGAGGGGCTAAAGAGGCTGTTGGCATCTGATCATTCTGCTTCTAACGTCGATTTTGTCCACCTTCTCTCAGCATAAGAATTTTACAGCATAACGTCACACTTATTCAAATTATACCCCCTCCCCCTATTTTTCAAATAATATTTCCCATGAAAAGTTTCCCGAGGGTCCTAGGTTTTTTCCTCATTTCCCCTTTAAATTTTTTATAACCTTATCCACATCATCTAAACAGTAAGTTGAGCATTTTCCATTTAATACTTTCAGAAAAGGTTTCCTATCAAATGAATTCAAGTCAGTTTCACAGAGGCTGTTGAATAAATAAGCAAATTGAATTGACTGCTCGTGTTTATTAAATGCAGGAAATATTCATTTGTTAAATGAAATTCAGCCTTAAGCCATTCGATATCAATTTTAGGAGTAATCCACGGAGACGTCTCCTTGTTGATCCTGACTGGCATGCGTGCCAACCAAATAGTCCAGCCTTAAAACAAGCTTAGAAAATGTAGTAACAGCGTCACACATTACTTGCCATACATTCCGGACAACTGCCTTTCAGATTGCAGACTTTCTTTTGGATTATAAAAAAATTATTTTGCTCATTAGATCTTATCTGACTGGACCAGCCTGAATCCTTCGATGAAGAATCTTATCTTGATGATTAATATTTTTCAATTAGTTTTTAAATGAAGAGCTGTATTGTTCTCAAACCTTTTATTGACTTTTATAGGGTAATCTATAAAGATTCAATTCTTATCACGCTCTGCCATATAGGACAGAGTGCTGGCTCTACAAAAGGGCTGGCGCTTCCGACAATAGCAGTCTCTTGTTAGACATACTGTCACATTAATGTTAAGAATCAGTAATGCTGGGGTCTTATTACTTGCAACAGGGTTAGGGTATGTTCCATAGGCATTATATTTTATCATATGTGCGTCAAAGATAATGTCCTAATTTTGCCAGCTCTTCTTGTGCTACTCCCGTGAGCGCTAATTGCATATTTGTTTTGGTGTCATTGAAGTAGCGTTTGTGACATCAAAGTACAATTTGTGCCATTTAACTGCCATTTGTGACATTTAAGTACTGTTTTTGATATGAAAGTACCATTTGTGACATGAAATTACTGTTTGTGACATGAATGTACCGTTTGTGACATGAAAGTGCCGTTTGTGACATTAATGTACCGTTTGTGACATGAAAGTGCCGTTTGTGACATTAAAGTACTGTTCATAACATTAAAATATCGTTTGTGACATTAAAGTACTGTTCATAACATTAAAATATCGTTTGTGACATTAAAGTGCCGTTTGTGACATTAAAATATCGTTATTACATTTAGGCCAGTTGTTTGATGCTCCCATTCCTGGTGTTTACAAGTATCATAGCAAACGAAGTCGACGTGCTGTCGTTGCTGATTCTTCCAAATTATGGCCAAATGGAATTATTCCCTATGTTTTTGATAACAGTATATCAGGTAAGTTGACCAACAATTCCACCTATTTGTTATACTCTAGCATCATCTAGAAAAAAAAATTGAAATCAATCAATTCAAGTGTACACATTAAGGGTATGATACTCTAATAAAATAACCCAAGACATTGCTGCGAAGACAATTTCTTGTCACTTGTTGAAAACCGATTTGTAGAGTACGGTAATTTTCCAAAGATTTTCTTGGATATTTATTTTGAATGTTGAAGCAAAAGGCATTTGATCGATAATCGCAGACCACTGATTTTCAAATTTGAGATTTTACTTTCGTGCCCATTTTCTAAAAGCAGCATTTGCAGTTAGAAAGTATTTTTGAGACCTCTTGGATTTGAAATATCAGTTACTGGACACCGATATACGTAGAAAAACCAAGGTAAAATCTTCACGAACATAAACTATGTAGAGGCCAAGGTATTTTTTGAGCAGTAGGAGCACCAACTTCTTTTTTCTCGCATACCTTTTAGAACTGGCAGCTTTTATATCTTAGAACTAGTCCTAGGGCAAAGTGAAGCACACTTGAGGCTCTCTTCGAAATAGAAGTCAAATTTTGACAAGGATTTTAATATATTGACCTTAGATTTGAATGCCTTTGTACTTGAAAAGCAGAAAAGTGGCTTAACAGGAAGGATTTTTTAGAGTTTGGAAGTTTCTTATCGCAAGAGTGTCATTTTATATGGTATTGGTTAACAACTCACAAAACCTATTGATATACTTAAGGCAAAATTTCGATTAGCATTGTGCCTAGAAGAGCACTGCTGTCCTAAAAATGCTCCAGGTAAGAGTCTCACATATCACATTGCCTAAGAATATCAAAGTAGAGTATATTTTTCTGAAAACAAGAACCCTTTATTCACGAGGATTCAAAATCCATTTACCGTTAAGAGTATCTATCTAATCTAATATAATCTAATATAATCTAATATAATCTAATAAAATCTAATAAAATCTAATATAACATGTCAAGCCAGAATGTAATACTTTATAATATGCTATAATCGTCGTTTTATTATAATCATATTGCAATAAAATATAAATGAAAATTTAAATTGAAAAGCTACTCTTTGTTGAAATCGAATTACAAATTGAAGGTTTTCTTGGTTCAACAACCAAAGCTTCAAAATATGGAAAATTCTAAGCAAAACAGGTGCGCAAAAATTATCGAATATTTTTTAAAAAATGAAGAAAGCTTTTTTTATTTTGAAAATAAAGTGAACGCCTTTGGACACAAGTTTTGTTTTGTAGTTCAACCAACGCGTAATTCAATGTCGTGTTTTGCGATTTTGCCAAATCATGCCCGTTATATTTGTAAACTCAAATTCAATCGTTTACCTAGGATCATCCCTGACTGAATAAACTATGAAAACATTCTTTGTTAATTTCTTATGAGCGTGAATTTGTAGCAAATTATTTTACCGTTATTTACCATTCGAATTGAAAACAACCAAATTCTGAAAGGTGTTTTGTTATCATCTTGATCAGATTTCAGTAACAGGCACCTGTAAACAACGGACAAATGATTTTGTTTCAAAATCAATAATCTTTAGATCAATAATGTGAATTGAGGTCAATATTCTTTAGGTTAAAGCCTTTAACAATTTATTCAAGATAATGAAAGTTTTTCTACAAAAAACACTGGTTCTAAAGTGTATTTCCTTGTACTTCTTTCAAAGAACAAAGATTTTATTGTTATTTCAAGTTATGTTTTCTAGGGAATTTAAATGCATAGTCATCTTCAAACTTCCTTAAAAAGGAAATTAAACCAAACTTTTTTTGCTAAATCCTGAATCGCCGTAATAAATTTCTATGTAATCCAAAAATTACCTTGTAATGCGAATTATTTTTCCTGTACAATTGTGGCTGGAGAAATCGATTAAGCGAATAAAATATTTTGTTTCATTACCTCTTTCAAAGTTTTGGAAATGCACTTGTTCGGGAGACGAAACTATCAATGCTTTGTTTCGAAACAATACCGTCTTAAACCAATTAGTGTTGTGGGGTCATAGCACATGCGCATTAATAACAGTATTCGCACAGCTATTCTGTCTGCGACCACCAATGAGGTATTCCTCATTGGCGACCACACAATTCTTGATTTTCCTGCCAGGGCTTCAAGTGATAATGCGCATGTGCAATGACCCCGAAACGGGGGCTAGTGCATGTCTGTAGGACGGGCATGATTCATCTCCCGAACAAGCACAGTAAAGTGCAAGAGTTCGGAAGCACGCTGATACATATCTATCAGTGGCGTGCCGAAAGACCTTCAAATGAGGAGAGAGAAGAGGGTGTATTCAGTTACCGATAGGTCGTAATATATTTCTTTGTAACAGGCTGCATATACGTGTGTTTAGGCTGTATTATCAATCAGGGACATCACTATTGAGTGAGGGTAGGGGTATGAAGGCGGCGTTAGTATTGTTCAGGATTCTAATGAAGGCCACCACCATGGTTGGCGACAAAGGAAAATTGCAAAGGAAACATTCTAGGGATGGTGAAAAATGCTTCTAAATATTTACAACATCTAGACCTCTAGACTCATGAAAGACCCTAGACAATATTCATAGCCCAGGGCCGTTGCGAGGCAAGCCTTGTTTGGGTTTACTACGAATTTGCCTGATTAAAGAAAATTACCTGGAATTCTTTAGCTATTGACACCATACGCCACAAAACAGTGGGTCAATTCAAAAGATCTCTTTATACGTTATAAAATGTTTTTTTCAAAGTCATCCTTATTTGAGTATATCAGACCATCCTACTCTTTAGATCTGTTTATCGGAACATACCCAGGATGAAACCACATTCCGAGGCGGCACCATGGTTGCCACTGAAGGAAATAATTGAATTATCTTCCTTCCAGCTTGTTGGAAAATGCACTTTTGAAACAATTTTTAGTAAAGCAAGCTTTCCCTTAAATGAATACCTACAGGCAGAAAGCTATTTGATAGTTTTAATCGATTTTATTGTGTCGTTGTTATACATTTTAGCTTATGCAACATGATTTTCTCCAGATTGGAACATAATCTCTCAGCTTTTTATTCCTAGCATTTCTTATCATTTCAGTAAATCAAAACTCATTGCACCCTCCCAGTAATTTTATGAAATGGCGCTTCCGATGAATAGTAGTTCACAATTATAGACAAACGGAAATCTTTATCTGAACTTTCACCAATGAGATCAATCTTATCGGTATCGGTGGGCTCCTCAAAAACATCCCGACACCTCTTACCTTCACACGCTCCTGGTATTTAATTTGTGCAAAAATCATGTAGATTTAGCTTGAGATCTCGAGGTCCTGTATGGTGATCGTTGTTGAGCACATCAAAGTTGGTAGGAAAGAAGAGGTGGTCTGTTGCAAAACTATTCTTGTTCTGTTCGAAGCGATTTATCATGGATTGTATTGTCAGCCTCTAGTACTGTTGGGTTCTTTTACGCAAATTGTCTTTCCTAACTATTTGGCTAGGGTGCGTTTGGCGCCCCTACAAGGTAAAGTTTCATTTTGGCCCCCTGCCCTTGCCCCTTGCCAGCATGCCACTGTCTGAAAGGCTCAAATGTTGTAAAAACACTGCGAGTGCCTATTTAAATAAAGATCTATTGATCATTGGTAATTTTTTTATTTCTCATTCCTTGATATACAACAAATTGAATATTCGCTTTAAACATCATCAGTTTAAATAGTCTCCTTTTCGTTTCAGCCTCTGGACGGAGACTAGTGCGACGTGCGATGAACCTCTGGGAAAAGCAGACTTGCATCCGGTTTAAGAAGAGAGTTAACGAGACTGATTACGTTAGCATGTATCGAGGAAGAGGGTATGGAAATGTATACTTGCAGATGTGGTTAATGTAATATCGATAAAATATCGATTTACTGATATATGTCGAATGGAGCAGGGATTGCAAGATGACAATAATTTTACCATTTCTTATGGGAAAACGTTAATGAATTCTTTGGTCATCAGAAACTCTGAAGAATTAGAGTTGGCATGACGAACTAAGGGTTTTCCTCAGCCAATTGCAATTTTCTAATAGACACTATGCTGTTGCATCTGTCGACCTTTCTAAAGATGAGGGGACCGTCCTTTTATTGCGCGAGATAGTATGTCTCTGATAATTACTAAATTTAGAATCTCCCTTATATTAGGCTGCATGCACCGTTGAGCTTGGTCGATAATTAAACGATTTAAACCAATCAGAGATAACATGGATTCTAGAGCTTTTGAATCAAAGGGCTGTGTTCCCGTTGAAGTGAAATGTGGCTAGAAAAATTTTGTTCCCTGTTTGGTTTTTGCGACAAATGTGTCAACAGCGAAAGTAAATGCTTCCATTATCATCAGTCAATTCCAGTAATTTAATCTTATTGCCATTCCCGATTGCTTTTTGCTCGCAGTTTCAAATGTCGTCCGCTACCGCAGCTAGGCCAGCCAAATTCGTTATGGCGGGAAAACCTTTTGTTCATGCTAGCCAATCATTGAGGGGACAGACTGCCCTTAATACCTACATCCATGTTATTTGCCCATACTTTCGCATCTCCTTTCTCGGTTTCATGTTGCACACATGAAAAAACCTCTTCTTCTTCTGATCTTTGAAAGAAAGGCTGGTGACGTCACCTGTATTGCGTTTTCTTTTCAAGATGCTGCTCTCATGTGGGAAGGAGAAGAGGCAAGCAAAGTCTCTCTCTTGGTATCGGCTGCTTGCGTCACGGCATAATCGTTCACGAACTTGGCCATGCAATCGGTTTTTGGCATGAACAAAACCGTCCTGACCGCGGCAGTTTCATCGACATCCTTTACAACAACGTTGAAATGGGAAAGGCTATCAATTTCAACTTAGTTGAAGAAGGCCGCGTTCGCACTCTTGATCAGGTATTTTCATTTGCTGTGAAACTGCACAAATATTGTAGGCATTCGAAGTAAGAGCTCCTCTGCCATGAAACGTAATGCTAATCATAATGACTTCCTTGTGATTAACCGACGTTTATACTCTAAAGACAAATAGTACTCAAGCATCATATATTAGCACTTTTTGATGCTCTCTTCAAATTTTAAGGTACCAAAGTCTTATTTTACACAATCTAATGCCATTTGTCCAGTGCTAGGTAAGGGGACAAGCTACCCGCTTTTCATTCGAAGCAAACATTAACGTTGCAGAACGGGAAAATCTAAGTTGCAAAAATCTGCCTTCTTCGACCTACATTTCTTTTTATGGTTCCTGTTTTTATATTTTGGAGGTTTTTCCCATGTCTGACCTATTTTCCTAATTCCTAATGAAAAATTTAGGTCTTGATGAATGAAATTTGTCTGTTATTGATTGATAATCTTAGTTACATCTATTTTGACACCTATAACAGATTTTCCACTTAATGTTTCTAGAAAAAATTTCCTGTTCCGTGTGTGCAACACATCTCTATAAAGTCAATAAAAGAATTCGTGTTCTCATGAATCTCTAGCAGTTATTATATTGAAATGGTTTTTCTTTGCAGGATTATGATTATAAATCGATTATGCACTACGGCTCCAAGTTCTTTAACAAAGATGGCGGCGATACGATCAGGCCTAAGGAATTCTACCGAATCGATCCAAATGTAATCGGCAGTCGGTATTACTCTCACTCTGGGGATATTCTCAGTGAGCTGGACATCATGAAGGCAAATATCATGTATAAGTGTACCAAAGTGCGTGGTGAGTGTTCTCTAACAGATTACTTAAGAGCATGAATCGGACAAGAGTATAAGAACGACCGAATTTCAACGCAGACAACCAAATGTGCAAATATTGGTACAATATGCTTTTGATACATTGCCTACACCAACAAACGAGATAAAAAGAACGAGATTTCAAAACTTAGTTCTTTTTTCCCCTTTTTGAATTTCTTACATGATCTAAGTACTGGTGACCAGTGTGTGGATACGTTATAGTACAAGCTTCCTTCTGTCATGACATTTTGTGACCCCAATATACAACGCAATTTTCATAGCGTTTTTTATGATAAGTAATTCACGCAATTGGAGAATCACGAACAGTAAACAAAAGAGGGTTGCCAAGGATATGCAGAGCCTACCCCACAAAGTTGTAACTGGGGACCAGGGCTAACAAAAGTTGGGGGCCAAGGCTTCTTTCGCCCTTTATTGCAGCTTTGAAATTACTTGCTTTGCAAAAAGATGGGGGGGACCATGGCCCTCAGCCCCCAGTTGTGTCAGCCCTGATATAGCTTGTGCTTTGATGTAGCGCCTTTCTTTAGAGATTTATGAGGTCGTCCTCTGGCCCTAGAATGCATTTGAGGCTTCAATTTCTTATGCCCACAATTCAATAAAGCGGTGTGAACCATTGCGCTCAATATCCATTTACCATATTTTTTTGTCATAGAATGTGGAGGTACATTATTCAGCAGCAATGGTTACATCAAGTCTTCTTCGAGCCCAAGGGATGGTAAAAACAAAGAAAAAGATTGTGCCTGGATTATAAGCAGAGATAAAAACCCAAAAAGCACAAAAATCACAGCAACTTTCACTTTATTATTCGAGGAATTCAATGTTGGATTTCGCACACCGACAGAAGGACACTGCGAAGGTGATTACCTTGAAGTTAGGGAAGGTAAAGGATTTCTGTCTCCATTTCTTACGCGGTTGTGCGGTCATGGAATTCCGGAGCCTATAACGACGTTTTCAGATAGTGTTTACATCAAGTTGCATCGTACAAGTGATGGAAATGATTTACAGAAAACGCCTCCTAAGATAAAGATCCGTTACAAGTCTGACGGTAAGTAAAGCCAGTGTATGAAATACGAATTCCTTTTTATTTCTCTCGGTTGATCTAAAACTCGAAAGTTGTCTAGTAAAACCCCCACGAAACTGGGGTCCGCCGAGAGCTTATCTTAGGGCCTGGGGGAGAAGAAAGACGACATTAGTCCCGTGATGACATCATTAAAATAGTGATTGATGTTGTAGCTGTTTTTGCTAGAATCTTTGGTATAACTTTTTAGGGCCTCTCTCAGCTTGAGGAACGGGCCTTATTGATTTTGATTACAGTGTTTGAATTTAAAAGGCACAAAATTATTACAGTATATTTCCACTTGTGCACCAGTAGAATATTTGCAATCGCAGAAACAAGTTTTAGCGTTAATGTAATCAAGCCCCATGAAATTAGTTTCATAACATTTCCAATTGAATCATACTGAATTAGCTAATTATGTATTTTATAAATCAACGGACAATCAGCATTCTTAGCCGTTTACGATGAGAAATTTAAATAAAGATATTCGAGATAACAGGTACTGGATAAAGCGAGTACTTTTGCTTTTTCTAGACAAATTTCATTTTTGAAGTATATCTAAACATTCTGTACAATTGTTGTACAAATGTACAAGTGTTGAAGTATATTTCGTCTGAAAGAACCTACTGAACTCTACAAAACTTATAAGTCTGATAGATACTTAAAACTCTGAGATTTGAAAGATTTTGCTATTTTTTTAAATCAAATAAAACATTTCGTTGAAGACGAACTTCGTTTTTTTATTTTCCATTTTGCAATAAAGAGAAGAAGGATACGGTAGATTTCGTTTTCTTCGGTTTATGGAAGCGATCTGAAAAAACCTTACTCATTTAACCCATAAGCATATTTGCTATGTTAGAAAGGTTTCCATTGATGTAAAGTTAGAAATATAAACTAAAACTAATCAGTGTAGAACAATGTGGACATTCAAGTGTACAATATTGGTTATGGACCATCTCGACCTAGCTATGTCCATAAATTAGTAGAAATGAGAGATGAAAAAAAATAGATTGAAAACAAAAGATCGGGGCTATAAAAACCAGACTTGTTCTTGGAACTGTAATGTTTTAGTCTTTTTAAACAGTTGAGATAGACTAGTGTCTGACTTTGCAGCAACGTTTTTCTTCTTGTCCCTCAGTGTGTTCAAAAACCTTTGTTGGTTTGAGTGACAATATAGAGAGCCCAGGATTCCCTTTAGTATATCCAACAGATACAGACTGTCTGTGGAAGATCAAACTTCGAAATGGGTACAAAATCGTCCTGAAGTTTCACGGCTTCGGTTTGCGCTCATCAGCAACCGAACACGAGTGCCCAGACTACCTGGATCTGATTGAAGGTGGTAGCGAGGCTGTTTTCAGAGGACGTTATTGTGGGTCACATAGTCCAAACGAGGTTAGGTTTAATACAAACGAAGCCATAATACGATTGCACACTTCAAATGATTCGCAAAGCGATGATGCTGCAGCTGGGTTCAGTGCTTCTTACTATGCAGAAGGTAACAATCATTATTATTATTTTTTTGTAACGGTGATGTTTTCAAGATATAGCAATGCTTGAAATTGGCGATGCTTGCTAGCGGTTTCATACCACAGCAACAACCACCGCTTAGCAATAGTTTAGATTAAGGCAGTAATACTGTTTATATATAGCAGCAGAACTTGTCTACTTAGAAATAACCTATAATTTAGTTTGCGGAAACTCGTCAAATGAAGTTAAACGCTTCAAACAAGTTGAACTTTGATTGATATTATAGAGCCCTATTTCTTTTGTCAAGGTTTAATAATTTACTTCAAGACATGCAGTTCAGTTAGGCTCTTTGGAATCTCAAATCTGCAGCTCTCAATAAAATGTCTTTATGTACGTGAAAGATGGTGGCATAGGACAATTCAGGCCAATGCTGATGAAATTCACAAAAAGTCACAAAGCTCCACGCACAGTGTATCACAGAAAAATCAAAACCAAAATATTGCCAGTTAGAAAATTACAGACAAGTTTTGTCGTGCTTTTTTCAAAGCTTTAGAATGATAGATATGAAATGATATTGAACAGTGCAACGTTTTTGCTTAATTTTGAAGTTGTGGCCTTTGCAAGGTTCTGTAAGGTTTCTAGAACATAAATTCTTATCAGGTTACCCTGAGCTGTATTTCTTGTTTTTTGAAGATGTAGACGAGTGTCAAACTGGACAGCATCAATGTGATCTATCCTGCAGCAACTACGAAGGAGGCTACGCATGCGCTTGTCTGCCTGGGTATCGAACTGTGTTTATTAAAGATCGACCGAAAGGATCATGTGTTGGTAAGTGATGCATAGATTAGACTCGAATTCATGTGTTATCCTGTTATTTTAGAAAAATGGTTTTGACCTTACTGTGATTTTTTTCATCTTACAATTTTGCTTTGTGAAACAACTAGCAAGCAACGGATGATTCATTGTCTTGAATTTTATAAAAAAGAAAGAAATAATCTATTAATAGCCTCCAAATTTATCGATGCTATCCACGGTTGAAAAAGTAAGGGGTTGATATTTTTATAGAAAAATTTGTGATTTCACCCCTTTTAGAATAAACCAACCCAATATTGCCATCCTTTAAGACTTTTCTGAAATTTTTGATGAAAAATGCGACAATTTTCAAATTTTTTGTAAAACCTCTTGGCTGAGATCTCTCAAAACCACTCAGTTGTGGAGCCTCTTGAAACCACCTTATCGTTAAACTAATGGATTGATTGAAATGGATTTGAATGGAATTAGGCGAAAATAAATAGAAAAATGTACATCTACAGTGAAGAAAACGGGTTCCCTTTACATTTCATGAATTTCAGATTCTGTATGTAGGCCGAGACGCAACTCGTGTCAACAAAGATTCGATACAGATTGCATTTATAAGGATTTAACAGTACCCCAATCATTTACACGAGTTCCGATCCAAAACCACATGGATTTGCTCAGGACCCAACTCGGATAAGATCTACAAGCTACACGCATGCGTATTCAAAAGATTAGTTGGCAAAAGAAGGTTACACGGAATCCAATCCAAATCCGTACGATCGCATTTTAAAATATCTTAATAATTTGCGTACTCTTTTGGATTCGATCCTGGTCGGATCGACGCTTGTATAACTGGAGAATAAATATTTGATCTTAGATATTGATGAATGTGCTGTTGGTAATGGTGGATGCTCCCATAAATGTGTAAATACGGATGGTGGCTTCTTCTGTTCCTGTCCTAGCGGTCTCACATTAGCAGCAAACTATTCATGCGTTGGTAAGTGATAGTCAAACAATTTTCTAAGCTATCGGTATGCTTTAATATTCCCGTTACAAATGGTAAAGGGCATGTCTGCAAGATTGTTGAACCTCACTTGAGACACCTCTGAATGGCACTGAGTTGCTGCCTTTATGATGCATCATCGTTTTCTTTGATTGCAAAGCTACGGTGGTTAACTTTAAGATCATTTTTTGACTTCAAAATGGCAACAGTGATCTACAAATCTGTTTATGGATTAGCTGACGAATATATGCAACAAGAGTTTTTGAAAAATTAAAGGTCTCTTTGTAATACCAATACAGGTCTTAAATTCATTTAACAGCGTTCCAATGGACAACGTACCTTCTCGTATTGAAGTAGAACTGTTTAGAAAGAATAAACTAAGCGAAGAAATGAAAAAAACACGTTTAGCACTCACTGAAAAAATTCGCGCAAACATTCTTCAAATATCAGCTTGTGCGACAGTTTTATCTGAACACAAACTTTCACTTTTCGTTAACAAACTAAATTACATATTGATTTTGTTTGCAGGGGACATCGCAATTCAGTTATTTTTTGCACTAATGAATGCATTATCCTGTATAGACATTTAGAAATGGATTGAAAATGATTTACAAAACTTGATTTTTATGTGATAATTATGTATATTATAGCAGGCCAAGCCTAGTCGTATCTAGGATCCACGTTTGTTAAGAAGATACTTCCAAAGATACAGTTTTCCTCTGCAGAATCCCTGCTCCCCTTTTTGCTCGAAAAACTAAATTTAAGAATAAATAACTGATGTGGTGACAGTAAGACCTTCTTCTACCATCTCTATGTTTTGTACCATGTACCATTTGTACAATTTGTGCCATTGGTACCATTGATGATGAGACTTGAGTTTTCTTTGCCATATCAACTAATAAAAAATGTCTGGAAACTGAGGATACAAGTATTTCTTAGTTTCTTTCATTAAATTTGATGTTTTGTCATACTTAATTGTACTTACTTAATTGTAATTGTATTTGATTTTTTCTTTGTATTCTGAAAAACTCCTTGGGATGAATGCCTCTCCTTTGGAATTTGACAGATGGGCGTTTCCAACGTGGTAAATTATGTCAAGGGGTTTGCTTCCACAGAGTTAAAGTAGTTAAATCAGCAAACGGCCAGCTACTATTGTTAACATATCTTGTTTCGTTTCAGATATCGATGAATGCCGCCCCCCATTCAGCTTCTGTTCTCATCGGTGTCAGAACACGTTTGGTAGTTACCAGTGTTCTTGCCCTCCAGGTTACATCATCCAAGATGATCAAAAAACCTGCAAAGGTTAGTGCAAAAGAGTCTCGTTTAATACATCCAACTCTTCTTTTGTAAGAATGCTCGTGCATTACGTAATCTGCAATCAAAGGCATGATAGTACATCGCTACGCACAGATCCATGACGTCTTGTTACGCTACAGTGAAACTAGCCTTTTTCGCACAAACATTTGATTTCCAATTATGCAGAAAAAGAACAGCAGGCTTTGGGAATTTTTCAAAGATCCATTCCGAAAAGAAAAGATGCCTCAACCCGCTCGAATGTGTGATTTCATTCTAGAGGCTTAAATTAATTGTTTCTGCATAGGATTCAAATACCATACCAAGGTCTGCATGAAAAAACTTAAGAGAAGCTTTTATGTTCTTCTTGTAAAGCTGTGCACCCGCTGAGTTCTCTGGCACTTTTTCGTCATTTTGGCCAGTGCCTAATTCAAGGGACTTTTACAATACAACTAATTATGTCTAAATATGTTTAGGCCCCTCTAGGGGGGCCCAGAAAATTTTTAAAACTGAATGCCTTAGATTGGCTAAAAATGCATTTCTGAGACATAAAATGATTAGAATATGATGTGAAAAACACCTCATGGAGGAATTAAATTTACATTTGCTTTTAAGATTTTTTAATAAACATAACGCTTAGAGAGACAATCCTCCCACTAGTTCCTGATTTCAAGACCACAATTTGGATTTTCAAAACCACTATTAGTGTACAAGACCACACTAAATTAGGCACTGATGTTGGCTCTCTTGTTCCAGCGCTGACTACATTCTCTCAATAAAGACTTTTCTCTTCGTTTTCCATAGAACTCACAAGGTGCGGAGGAAAACTGATATCTACTGTAGGCATCATTGAGCCTCCCGTGGTTCCATTATCATACACACGAGAAATAAATTGTCAATGGCACATAAAGGTGGACAAACATTTTGGATTGGCAATGTCATTCCAAATGCCATGGAAATTAATTCAAAACTGTCAGAGTTACTTACTTTTGAAATCAGAAGGTGGAAGAAACGGTGAACCAAGAAATGTAAAGATCTGCTCAAAGTCGGACGTCTTGGATGAGCTTACCTTCAAATCAAATTCTGTCATCCTTGAGTACCATACAGAGGTATTTATTTTCAAATTCTACTACCTAAATGCAGATAAGCTTCTGTGAACGTGACTATGAGTCAGTAGCCCGTTAATTTTGTAATATCTGTTTCAAATTTTCTACCTCTTGAAAAAAAATCTTTCTTTAGAATTTTTGGCGGGCTCCACCTTCAGTCTCTACAGGTACTTTTTTAAGTGAAGATAGAGCTGTTAACGACAAATATCAAATCTTTGTTTGCAGAAACCATACATGAAGTCATTCACCGTGCGATATCGCAGTGTCCGTCTACAAAGTGATTTGTGTGGAGGAGAAGTAAAAAAGAAACATGGCCTAATAAAGACACCAGGCTTCCCATTTCGATATCCAAACAAAGTCAACTGCATTTGGAAAATACAGGGGAGAAAGGGGCTGAGAACTAAAATCACATTTATTGATTTTAGTGTTGAATTTAGTAGAAATTGTTTATATGATTATGCTGAAATAGAAGAATATAATTCAAAGCAGTCAGTAGCGAAAAGAATAGGTAGATTTTGTGGAGATGACCTTCCACCGGCCATTGTAATAAGTTCTTATAATGACATTCACATCAAATTTGTATCAGATGCTACAGTTAGGAAACGAGGTTTTCAAATTCAATATACGCGATTGTAATTGTCATATTTACTGTTCTATTTTTTTTCTATTTGTAATGGAACTGGCAACTCATTTGTACATTTCGTAGCAGTGCTGTGAGTTTTGGATGTTTGTACAGAAGAATTATTATGTACTAAATAAAAATCCTGTAAGAAAGGCATGAGTCTGAAGCCTCCCCTTTTAGACTTTAGAATAGCTGCATTTTACAACAGCTTATACACATAACACTGCAAGGAAAACTTACCCTTAGAAATTATGTTTCTAATATTTGTTTCTAATGACTGTATACAGCGTTATTTACAACAGTTCATGTCGACTGGATATGATGTACCATGGCATGCTGAATAATTGATACAGTCGAGAGAAAGAGCTGGCTACAGCTCAGGAGACTTTGCACGAAAGACAAATGCATACGCTTTTTCATCAGGTTTATTCTGGAAGGCTATCAAATACACCAGTTTTCTTACGACACTGTTTGCTATCTGTTATTCAAAGTATCATCTAGTACTTTGGTGTTGTTTTTTTCATCTCGTGTTCTTAGATATTGCCTTTTTATTCTACCACATTAAGCCTCCATCAATGGACAACTTTGGTTAACGGACACCTCTGGTTAACAGGCACCTCTTGTTGACGGGCACCTCTTGTTGACGGGCACCTCTTGTTGACAGGCACCTCTTGTTGACGGGCACCTCTTGTTGACGGGCACCTTCAATTAGCGTATATCTCCCGCCATTAAAAGCAGCTCTGGTAAGATGCCTGCCAAAAGTGTTGGAACACTGGTATCAATTTCCAAGGTCAAAATCAATCATCCCCCTCTCTCCCCTACAGAACAATGTTGGTTTACTATCAAACGGGTTAGGATCTTAGGAAGCACTTTCTTTTACGCTTCTTTTATAATATTTCTCCAAATTATCAACATTGTTTTAGGAGGAAGGGGGTGGAAGTAGAATTTTTTTTCATGAAAGGAATGAAATATATCAAATGCAGCATAAATTGCTGGGTGTTCTAAGTACTTTTGGCAGGCATTGTACTTGAGTATAGTTAAGTAGAAAGTAAAGAGCTGACTTTTTGGTGTCCAATTTATGGCGTCCACTCTGAGTTTAATGTTTTGCATTATATTTATTAACAATTCGCTATAAGAATTTTGTAAACCGTTCATTGTTAATGTCAATGGGCCTTAATGAGAATTTGTGCTACTAGAGTAAAAGTCCTTGCATATTGAGAGTTCAAAGGTATCGAGTAATAAAGTATCCTTCAACTGACACGATGAAATCAGTAGCAGTCTTTTATCAGATAGATAAGGTTTTTCTCTGATATATTTTCCGTCTCCTTACTCATTCATATTTAAGAGAGACGAATAACATCAGGGCTATCGCTACAGACAGGTTTTTGGGAGGTTTCAAAAGATAGTTTTCTCTTGAAAAATATCCATTGTACATACGAGTTTTTGCCATGTAGGTGTGCTGCGTCGGCCAATGTTTCACTTTGTCGGCAAAGGGATCGGCGCACCTGCCCCCCTTGAGCACATTATCTAGTGACGGCCCTGGACAAGTTCCTAAATTCTTTTTTGAAAACGTCTTTGAAAATGCAGTGAAATTGACAAAATCGTCACATTTCAATTGCCAGAATTTTACAACCCCTGAGCGCAATAGCGAGTTGAAGCAGTCTTGCTAACCATTGGATCAATGACAAGATTCGTAGATGTTTACAGTTGTTTTTCAACCTTTGTCTTTAGAGTTTCTCTTCCGGTTTGTATATTTTCAAAAATCAACCAGCTTCTACATCTTTTACAAGAAGTGACAGCACAGCACACAAACGCTTTCTGAAAGTTTTTGACAAACAGAGCCCCCCCCCCCCCATGCAACTGGGTCTACGTATTGAACCAAAATGATTCATACTTTAAGGAATTTTAATACGTAAGGATGATATTACTTAAAAGCTAATTTTAGAGCCAGAAAACACCTAAAGCCCCCCTGACGCCAAGCTATAGTTTAATATAGACATTTCTCAAGTTATATAGTTTAACATAGACACCAATAATAGAGGCTATGTCTGTTTGGGCCCTATACTTGTTACTACGAACTCGTTTCATTGTCTCGAGGCATCTCGTTGATATCAGCACGACTCAAGGCGAAGTCAGGTTGCAAACATATGATCAAGGAAGAATTAAAAATTGGGCTGATGAAAAATTTCTAGAATTGATCAAAAATGTTTACCAGGGTCTTGTGTACGTATCCAGAAAATCTCAGGCAATTCCTTATTTTCAGCAAACCTTTATATTAGAAGAATAGATGCGAGAAAAATTCAGATGAATTTTAGGTAAACATATTCAAAGATAATGGAAATTATCTTGGATGATATATTTGAGTTGTAGAATGGATATCTTTCTGTAGGTGATTGCTTTGAAGAAAAATCAAATAAGACTCACAAATATTGGAAAGGCAACAAACATTATACGTATGCTTTATCGTATATTGCTTCATTCGATATTTGTTTGTTTGATGCTCTTCTGATCATGGGGATGAAAACCAAAATTCAGGAGAAATCAATAGCAATGTAGACAGTGTTAGCAATTTTCTCTCGTTATGTAAAGCATTATCATCACACCCCACCATGTTCGGTGTTATTGGTTAAGACAAATCTGTATAAGCGAATACATCCAATCTGGTATAACTAAAGAAAGATTTCTCGAAAGTTAGTTGATCCTTTCCAAGCAACTGATAGTTTGTATTACCCCCACCCCCTATACCGGCGCCAAGTCCACGCTCTATTCTGTGTCCTCTAGAGATCCTCGTTACCGTTAAGCCTGCCTTCGGGACGGGGTTGCTGTGCAGCAACGAAACGAGCTTTTAGAATTCAATATGGCGTGACCTTCAACCGTGTTGATAGTTCACAGAATTGGTGCAATGTAGTTGGAGAAGTGTGGATGTTGGAACTTTTTGTTATTTATGTGCCGAAATACCGATAGCTAAAATCTGAGCATGAGTCGTGTTACGAAACAGCTTAAAAAGGTCAGCAATATTCTTTCTAGCTGTGTTTATGTGTGTTAGGCCTATAGGAGGTAAATAGGAGGGAGGTGACCCTGCTGCGTTGCCGAGATCTCATCTAAACGGACATACACGTTTGTCATGTTTTGCCATGAACACTTGTCAATGATATGAGAAATTAGGGAAATGATGTCATTGTTTGGTCTCTTTAAAATCATGTGTACATTCAATTTTAATGGACTAGTTTAGAAAGACAAACTTTCTTACTGATTGCTATCACTTTTCAAGATTCAGTATAGATAAAAAAAGGCGCAGACAACTTAATCAACCAAAGCCATGCTAAGAGCTTATAATATCCATAAGTCAATCCCTTTCTTTCAGTTTTCAAGCAGTCAAATTTCCTTCATGAGTGACATTTGTATAGTTTATTAGTGTTTATATACTAACCAAGGATAAGTTATCAGCCAAAGCCTGAAACATTCTGTTCAATTTTCAAAATTTTGTAAAATCTATATTTGCTATCAGCATTTGCTTTCCTTTGTCCTGTTATTTCATCTCATCTTCATCTGGTCCTTAGCTGATTAGACTGTGGGTGCAGCCAGTCATCCAGGTCCTTTGACTTTCTGCACAGCTCAGCCCCTCTCTTTCCACTCAACTTTTTTAAAATTTCTCACCCAGTTTGCTCAAGGTCCTCATCTTCCTTGCTGTCATGGCATTCAACCTTTCATCACCACTCAAATACATTTTGGCGTAGGGTTGGCCTACCTGTTGGCGTGCCTTTTGGCATAGCAGCAGATCAATTTGGCATAGCAATAGATCAATTTGGCATAGCAACAGATCAATTTGGCATAGCAACAGATCAATTTGGCATAGCAATCACTTGCCATGATTCACACCAAAATGCAGAAAGCTCCTCACTCTGGTTTTCAATTTGGTAGTGAAATGCAGGGGCGTTTAATTTCTGGTCCTAGACATGATTATAAGGGGGCCCACTCTTCATCTCCACAAATTGCAGGTCGCCAAAAATCGTACGTACCTGGAAGCCAGGCACCAACAAAAAATTACAAAGACACCAGTTTGCATCATTTTAAAGGTATGCCAATTGCGTAGGCCATGTTTTGTCACAACCCAGCTGCTGGTCTCCCACGGGGGAACTGCCTTTGTTCTGCTTTAGACTCACTTTTCTTCAAGTCATACTACCAGTTAAAGCCATATGAAATTTAGACCCAAACTGCTCAATCAAGCGTGCTTCCTGCACACCTAGCTTACAGTGACTTTTCATGCAGCATTTGGTATGAAAATCAGCCAAGAAAATTGTTAGTTACTAGCAACCTTTATGTTTCAGCTATCTCTTAGCTCACTCCTTGGAGATAGCCATGGGTCTGAAAAAGAAGATGTTCACATGAAAAAATTTCACCATCAAGATGGTAAAAAGAAGCTACCAACCATTCCTACCAAGGAGGAACAGTCAAGTATGAAGCAGTCAATTAGAATGCGATCCCCAATCAATACACATCACTTGACCGCCTATGGCCCATTTTTCTTGGAATATTCTATGCTTGCAGAATTGTTAGTATACATTTTTATCTGCTTTTTTGCATTTAAAATAAGGGCCAAAAAGATGAGTTTCAATTCAATACACTGTAAATTGCTCTATCTAATAGATCTAAAAAGATGGTTAACCAAATCAGAGTGTCAGAAAATGCAGTAAGTCTTACTGATTGGCTTGCACAAGTAATTCTGAGATTTTTACTTTTTCAACAATGATAGAATTATTCCTACAATTGCCTTAAACTAAGAGGTAATTCAGTGAAATGAGAATCACACAGTGTTATGTGATTCTTTGATGCTGTTCTTTCACTAACAAATCCATACAAAATCTACCATGTCATTTCCAACTTGCTCTGCATCTATTTTACATGCAGAGTTAACAGAGCCATAGAGAAAACCAGCAGGTGTATGATGTACTGTGATTATTTGTGACTATCAGGCTGAATTTGACATCCATTTATGCAAAATTTAATTGCTAGTGCTTTGATGAAAGTTGTTGGCCAAAACAAATGGAAAAGGGGCTAGGCAGTTAATGATGATGTGATGAATGGTTGGGAAGAAAGATAGGATAAGAATGTTGTTGTGAAACACATGAGTATTCTAAGTGACATGCTTTGTTGATTGTTGTGGAGCTGTAAAAAAAGCACGTAAAGGAAAAGTAACTGGCATGAATGAATGTAATGGGCCCAGCCTAAAATCAAAGTTTTGTTACTACAGTATGTATCCATTAAGTTAGTTACTAGTTGTTTGCCAAAATGGCAAGCACATGGCAAGTTGAAAATGCATGTTTATAATAAATTTCATAAGACCCAGGGTAAACATTTTGTGCATTAGTACCTGATACAACATTCATAGGTGCCATTTTGAGAATCATGGTAGAAAAACGTTCTCTGTATACATATTAGAATTAACAAATATATTACATCTTTGATATGTCAGTCATCAATGTTTTAAATCCACAATTGTTTAGTGTTTTTTTTGTCTTTTTAGCAACCATTTGAGGAAACAAAGGCTGCCTGGTATTTATGCGATTCCATCCTGTGAGAACCCTCTAGGTTAGCTGATATTTTGCTTTTAGTATAAGAGAATTATTATTAACATAAATAACAATGTAATCAATAAAAAATGGCTGATAAAGTATTCTATCAACGGTAAAATATATCTGTATGCTATAACGATTCACTAAAGGCCTCCTTCTCATATTTTGAATAAGCCCAGCCACTTAAATATACCCTAAAGGCCCAATCAAACTATTGTGGAATCAACGTTACGATTCAAAAACAACGATTTTATTTATATGAGCTTAAAAAATGACATGGTGTGAGCCATTAATAAAAGTATGAGCTTAAAAAACCTGTATCTCTTCTCCTAACATTAATCTTTGTACTTCTAATGTTTTGTAAGTCTTATCTCTCAAATTTGTGACTATATTTGGTAACTCTTTCCAATCAAAGCTTGAACATTTTGCATTGATATTTTGCATTGTCCCAGCATTCAACTATATATAATAAATATCAATTGTACCCTTGGACCAGTTTAAAGGTTTATGAGTTGTTGAACCCTAGAGACTTCATGATAACATTTCATGATACACTTTCTTGCTTTGATATGCTACACTATAATACTCTCTTGATTACTGGTCCAAGGTGTCCCCAATTAGCTTGTAAGCTAAATATTTTTTGACACATTAATAAAGTTTTTGATTGATTGATTGATTGATTGATTGATTGATTGATTGATTGATTGATTGATTGATTGATTGATTGATTGATTGATTGATTGATTGATTGATTGATTGATTGATTGACTGGAACATCTTGCCATATAATGTCTTATTCAAACCATATTCTTCAGCTTTATCCAATATGTTTTTCTTATTTGTTATTATTTGATATATTTGCCAAATGGTAAAAAACAATGACCAATCAAATGCACAACTGCCTCTAACGTAACTTTTGATACTCACTTGGAAATAAATTTTCTGCTTACCTTTGGTTTGGTCATGATCCATCATTTTTACTCTGAGGAATTACAGAACAAAAGTACTTTAGTATGCTTTGTTTCTGCTTTTCTTTGCTACCTTGCTACTTTTGATTAAAGCAATCATGTTTACATATATGTTGAGTTTACCATTTTATGATGTCATCTCTTTTTTTAGTTTGGTATGGAGTTATATTTGTTCGAATGGGTATCTATCAAGATGGTGTATTTCGGTTCAAATTGAATGTTCCATCAAATTATCCAGATGGAGATTGTCCAGTAAGTTACAAGACTGGGAACAAATATTTAAATAAGTAAAATGATTTATATTGATATGTAAATTATCTATGAAATGAATAAAACTATGTATAAATTGGCTTTGAATAAAGCATACTAAAGTTTTTCTTAACTAACACCTTTTCAGAGTATAAAATGTCAGAACATAGATCAACAAATCTAAGCTAGGGAAGTTTTTTCTGATTTGAAATATCAATGAATTATTTTAATGTAAGAATTACTTAAGTTTTTGCATTGTAGTTTGTTTTGATATTTTATTTTATAGTGGAATAAATTTTAGCTACTTCATGCTGTACATTTACAATTCAGTTTTTCAATTTTAAATATTTATATATTTAAATATATATTTATAGATGTATATATGCAGTTGCTGGATAAATAATAGCAGGAAGTAACAGGCCACAAACAAATGTTCTTTTAAGGTCAACTTTCTCATTAGGACAACCATTAAGACAGCCTATCTTTGGTATAGTTTACTGTAAATGTATTACATTTTTTTTGTTTTTTTTGTTTGTTAAATGGTAAAATTGTTAAATGGTAATATTTTCGACAGAGCTCTTTTTCATATATTCATTTAGGCTGTAACTTTTACTCCACCGATATTTCATCCATCTGTGAATCCTGAGACAGGGGAATTAGATGTCAAAAGAGCTTTTAAGACTTGGAGGTAAGATTCATTGCCTGCATCGTTATCATGTTCCCCACAACAATTATGAAAAATTGGACACATAATCATACTAAAGCCATTTCTTTTTTTGCTATATAAATTTTGACTGAAAACACTGTAAGCCAAGCTAAACTGAACATTTTTGCATCATTGGGCTAATATGTTACTCACAAAATGGCTTCAAATGCAGTGGCTACAACCCTAGTTAAATTCATTCACTTGCTTTTACTATGAGTTCAGACATGTGACATCATTTACATCTTTACATCATTTCTTTCTATAGATTTATGGTTTTTATGTTTACTGTCTCAAGTGAGTGCTTGTATACAATTCTAGTATGCTGACAAACCTATCCCTAGACATAACAGTTTTGCATTTTATGTCACATTTACATGGCTGGAAAGCCTCCCTAAAGACCCATTGGTTTACAAGCCAATCTGAAATTTGAAGGCTAGGTTGTCCTTATAATAGATAATCTATGTTGATTTGAATTCTGCTATTTTAGGCCCAATGTTAACCACCTATGGCAAATACTTCTCTATGTTCGGAGAATATTTTACAAAATCGAGGCAACCTCTCCTTTGAATGCTGAGGCTGCACAGCTGTAAGTATTGTTAATACTTTTTAATACAGCAGAAAACATATTAAAATCTCATTATAAGTGCATATTCTGAAAATATTTTAATAATTTTCATGAATGCTATAACTTTTTTCCTTGTAAGACAGAATGTGAAGCTTCGTTTTTTGATCAAGAAAGCCTACAATATTCACTTGATAATGCATTTAATGTTTTTATTCTGTGTTTTGGTGCAGGTATGAGAAAAGTCAAGAAGAATTCAAGGAAAGAGTGGGAAAAGATGTGGAGTTTGCTGTTGAGAATGCTTACCAATCGAAAGATGAAGACAACGATCAACATTTGATCCGGTATGCACTGTTCTGATCTTAGGAAGAGTCTTAAAAATGCAGCATGAGCAAAGACACAGTTAAGAACCTTTGGCTTAGTCCTATAATGAATTTTTCTAGAAGTGCAATCAATTTCTATATTCCCATAAAAATTTACAAAATACACAGGTTTACCAGACGATACCACAGGCAGCATAGGAATACATTGCAAGCCTGTGGCAATGTACAATCAACATATATAACTAAGTTAATTACAATTGAGAGATACAGGTGAACATAATATAAAATATATTTACATAAACATAAAAGATATATAAGAGAGGGAATATTCCTTTTTTATCATCAATTTATTCAAAGGCCACTCAATAGGCCAGGATATCAGTCAATTTGTGTTTGCTCTGTCTGCTTCTCCTAGATCTGAGATCATGGAGAAGCCCCAAGTTAAGTATTAATCTAAACAGTTTGCTGGTAAATTTAGCAATGGGATAGTAAGAGATGGATTTTTAAAGTAAGAGAACCATTAAATCATTCAGCCGTAGACATATTTGAGAGCTCATAAGTATAGCAAAACTTAATCATAATTCAATTTTGATAAAAGGCCAGTCTTTAGAATACCAGTGGCAATGCACGTGAGAGGTGTTATATGAAGAAAAAAACTCATTCGCCTATTTTCGCATAGTGTTTTTAGTTGATGCATTACTCTCTTCATAGATTTACTGAATGGAATGCTGAAGTACATGATCCTGTTCTAAAGGATATAGTTGGAGAAAAGGTAACACTCTGATTCATTCTTACTTAGGCATAGAGTTTCTTCATTATTTGTGTACTAGAGGCTGCATCCTATCTACAACTGAAGTTTTCTAAGTGAACCATAATTTATAGGTTTGCATTAAAGGAGAACATATATATATCTCAGAATCTGACCATTGCAGATCATTCACAAGTACATAATACACAAGTTTGTAAATTATTTTTATGATGGCTTATGGTAGAAACTATGCCATCGAAATTTTTTTCGAGAAAGACAGCTTAGATGCATTGTAAGATAACCTATCATTTTCACATTGAAACGAGGCAAGGCCGTCAAGGTTTCCACTGTAAAACTTCTTATGGATCCAGGGCACTATCGTTAAAAAGCTAATTATTACTTCCTTGTTGTTATTGCCATACTTTGCTCCTTTTAGGAGGAGGAAAAAGCCGGAAAAACAAATGAACACGATAACGAGACTGGGAACGATTTTGAACCGAAACCGAACTTGTCCGGTATGTCATTTATGGAACCTGGGTCGGTTGTTATTTTCAGCAAAGACGAATACGACTAATTGGCTTGAATTTATTAGCTTTCAGATTCAGAAGTCAAATACTGAATGTTGCTGCCAGTATATCCTGCAAGATAATGAGGAACGCACAGTCTATGACTAACTTTAAAATACCAACGGTGTATTATGCCGGGGGTACTTTGTCGATCTTTTTTTACTATGTGAAAACAAACTTGGAATTTCTTAGTCCGTTGAAGTACACCAGAAATTTTTGTTGCTCTGCCCCAATTACGATAGGATTAGGTATTGGACAGAGCCTTCAATGATAGGAGAGGTATGAGCCGGGAAGGCATGGCCCGTCTTACGTTTTGCAATATAAAGGAAGCTTAGGCAGAAAGTCTTTCGCAGTTCAATTATAATTTGAAATCCCGTCACTCTCTTTCAACTCTTCATTTTGAATCGAAGGCCTTATTGGGGGATTTAATTTCAGCCCCATCTCTTATCCTCACGACTCAACCCTCAGGTAGCCATCGCTGTGTATTATGTAATACAAACAGTACCGTTGCACACTGATATAGTTTTTTGCACGAACCTTTCTGTAAATAAAGTGTGAGATAAACTTTAAGAAGGTTATAAATAATCATTAAAGTTGCTAGAGATTTTCACAATCTTAAAACTTAACAGCATTTTTTTATATTTCTGTATGTATTTAAATTAGGGTGTTATTGTATTTTAGCACATTTTTGTTATAACATATGTAATTTTTTATCGTTGTGACAGAAAACGTTTCTCACTACTTTGATTTCTTGAAAGAGCATGTCTTGTAGAAGCTTTGTCTTCCTATCTTTTATATATTTTCCCATTCTTTGTTACTTCATTCTCATCTTTATGTAACTTTGTTGTCACTTTTTGTCACTTTATTGTGATCTTTTGTTACTCTTGGTCTTTTTTCACCTTTGTGACTTTATGGTCACTTTTTGTCACCTTATTGTTACTCTTGGTCTTTTTTTGTCACTTTATTGCCACTTTATTGTCACGCTTTGTCACTCTTTGTCTCACTTTTTAATTTTATTGTCACTTGATTGATACTTTTCGTCACTTGATTGTCACTTCAGTGTCATTTTTTGTCACTTAATCGTCCTCTTCAATTCAAAATTCTGTTCTGGGTTTCTTTTTTGTTTCTCAATAACTTTTTATTTCCTTTACCTACGTAGCCATGGTCCAATGCTGTCTTCTAAAAATACTAGCTTTTGTCAAATGATTTTTTTATTTTAATATCCATTTCTATATAATCGTGACAGGTGTTGTCAAAATACTCATTGTCTCAATAATCATTACTATGGTCATCCCCAAAACCTTGCTGTACTTCTGTGCCCTTGATCATTGGTGCAACCGGGCCAGTTACAAAATTCAGAAGTCTGTCAAATGGACGTTTCAATCGTTTAAAAATCAAAACAAAAGACGATTTTGAATCGTTAACGCATGTTTAAGAACCTTTAAAATGAGAAATACATTGGTGTTTTTGATGGAAAATGGCAATTCCATGTTCCAATACTTATCGTCCTTTGTGACTTCAAGAGTCAGGGCCGCAGAGAGGGGTGGCAAGGGTGGCAAATTGCCCCAGGGCCTCGAGGCCTAGAGGGCCACATTAAGTAATAAATTTCATTTTCAAATGGAATTCATTAAGGGTAACAAAATTATGCCTTAAAATAGTAAAACATTATAAACGATAAATGAATTCAAGCTAATCTAAAGGGTGTGGCTGCAGGATCCTCGTCCTTCGGTTTTGCCCCAGGGCCTCCAAAACCTCTCGGTGGCCCTGTTAAGAGTGGTCACATTGGATGGACTGGACAGAAGTTTTTGTTTTTTGAAAATTGCCACCAACATTTGATTTGTGGAAACATTAGGTTTTTTATTTTGCTATGAACCAACATTGAACTCATACAAGCATTTCTGCAAATAGCCATCTATCTTGACAGTATGTTGGTTTAATAAAGGATGTTACCAATCCAGATGTTTTTAATTGCCTTTTTGATACCATCTGGCCCTCTAAATCTAGAGATTATTTTCCAAAGCCACTTGAAAAAGCCTTAGATCCTACAGCTATTTTATGTTTCATATGAATTATTAAATATACTTGTATCATATGGCAATCTAAGAAACGTGTTTCAATTTATTTCTCCATTATGCTCGCCCAAGATCTTAAACAAAGGCCTACTTAAAGGAAAAGATCCTGCATTTCAATAAAATTCACGGATAGTTTCAAAATGTCGTCATTTATGAAGTATTTAGACCCTACTGAGGATCAAGCTTTTTGGACCGAGGTAACAACAATTATTTTAGTATTTTTCGACGTATCTTCGCATTACCGTTTGTAAAATCCTTCTAAGTTTTGCTTTTTGTATTTCTTCAAAAGTATGCGTAAACGTTTGACATTTTAGGGTAAGGGTTAATATGGTTAGGGCTAGGGCTAAATTTTGAAAACGATTGTGACGAATGCATAAAGATAATAAGAAAAGAAAGATGAAAATATTATTCAAATTTTTGGGTTGCTTTGTCTACATAATCTTTATATAATATAAATGTTTGTACTATGATAATTCTAAAGGAGATGATATATCGAATAAACTGTAAAAAATGTATTGTAGCAGTACCAGTAGGGTCAAGGCCCGGGGGTACTCCCATTAAGGCCTGACAGGGGGTCCAGTCCGTTTGAAGGTTTTACCAAATGGCTACCAAATGGCCCATTTTCGATAATAACTGAACTGCTCAGTTTAGCTTGCGATTTGTTATAGATAATGAACAAGATTTGTCTTTCCCGGAACAACAACAATCAATTATGAAGAAATTTTTCAAAAAAGGACCAGGGGAGCACAAAGAAATTGATGCTACCAAGAAAATAATTTCGATTTTTATGCTACCGTTTGAGGGTTTTTGTCAAAAACCATTAGAGAGGGTAATTTTCTGAAATTTTAGCGTTGGCCCTCTGACCCTGACCGTACCCCCTGTCAGGCCATAATGGGAGTACCCCCCACGGGGGGCTAAGGCCTAAAAGTTTCCAGTCAAAGACCTAGTTGCGAAACCGCTAGATTTGCATATAGAATAACTGCTACTGGTGTTACGTCATCTGAATATAAACATCTGAACATACAACATAAAGCTCTGACATGTGCGAAAATTTTCAAAGTTCTTGTTGGTGTTTGAAGATATATGATTTTCTTGTAAAAATTCTTTATTTCGCTCCTTGCTTTTATAGGTTGAAGAGAGAGCAGAACAAAGCAAAAACAAAGGCGTCGATATAAATGAATTGATGCTTGAAGTACGGGCAGATCGAATAATGCGCGACTTTGATGCGCAAGGGAAAGAACCGATCCGGGTTATGATTAACGATTGGTATCAGGAGTATGAGAATTGTGAAGCCAAACCTTTGGAATTCAATGTTTTAAGAACCGAGGTAATGGGTCGCTACAACACATCTGGTCCTGGATTTTGCATCCCGGTCCCGGATGTCTATGGATTGTATGATTTATCTAGGCATGCCAATATATGTTGCAAGACTTTGATTAACTTCTTTTATTAACATAAATGCAAAATGCACTACGTAATACAAGGCATGACAGCAAAAATTTTTAATATAAGAGTACTTATAGAATATAAAAAATATAGCAAACAAAACAAACTAGAACGAACAAAAATTGAGCTGACTGGAGAACTTCTCAGGTTGTTTCCGGATTTCTTCTGCTTTTTTTAGAAATTTAGGTGCTGAATTCAGTGGTACCGTGGAGAAGGAGCTCAGCCCCTTTGCTAAAATTCAAAGAGATTTTTGGGAGGCTAAGTCCTCCTTTAACAAATGAGTTTATATTTCTTTGGACGAATTCTGTGTTTGCAATCCTTTGTGTCATCGAATGTCTACACATAACGGAGAGTCTTTAACAAAAATCCAAGTATATTTGGTGTGGTAAGGGTGTGGCCTCTTTTATTTGCCTACAACACAGCCCCCTTCCTAACTTTTTAGGACGGCACCCCTGGCTTAACTTGTTGCTTTGCATAAGATTTGTAAAACAGAAGTTGAGCTCATGGCAGAATGAATGTTTTCTGCGCTCTTTTGACTATTAAATCATCTTTCGAAAGCCATTTATAATTTTTGTAATAAATGAATAGAAAACGTTTTACTGCTTTCTTGCTGCGTCCTTTATTCTGTAATTTGCTACAACCAGTCCAGCTCAGTTCGGTTATGAAGTTAATATCGTGTAAGTAGATAGTCCGGTCCGGGCTAACGAACAGAGTCGAATCAGTTTTTTACTTGATATGCCAGCTTTGACTGCCTTTTAACATGTAGAGGTAAGGAGGTTCTGCGTAGGTAAGATACAGCCAATTTGGGAGCTGGTTGTTTGGTGGTTGAATGATGAATCTGATTTTAGGTGTCAGCAATAGCTGAGATGCTTATCAAAAATGAGTACACGAAGGAAAGGCAGAAGCCGCATTTGTGCCGATACTCAAAGCATTACGTCGTAGATGAGGCAACGGGCGTTTTTATGACTCTTCTTCACGAAATTGCGGAGAAGAACCAGAGTCAAGGTGAATTTGATGGTAAAGGTTGCAAGTGGAATCGCAATCTTATTCCAATTGCAAAAGAGCTGTTAAGATGGGATCCTTCGTTGGTATATTCAACAACGGAAGGAGAGCCATTGGAACGAATTCCCGTAGAACTTGCACTGAAGAACTATGATGACGAGATGGCCTCGTTACTACTTCAGACAATGAGCAACAAATGCAGGTCAGAAAACACCTGATACACAGATACTATTCATGGCCCCTAATAGGGCTGGGGGATGTTCATGGGCCCCCCAGAGTTCTAAATTGAAATAAAGTTAATACAAAAACTGTTAATCTTACAGATATTTGTAACTCCCTTCCTTTCCCCGTTTTCAGATTGCTTTTAATTCCCAGCTACTGCAAGCCTCTGACTAAGTTACTTTTTTACAATACATAAAAAACAGTCAGGGTTAGTTTGATAGTATTTGCTTCTATTTCTCCCTTTCACAACTTACCTCCAGGGAATATTAATTACCATTTATTCCCGTTCCTTTAACGAAATCTAATTAAAATCTTGAAGCTCCTATTGTTTCGCATGCTACCTTTCTACCCAAAAAATTTCAGGAATTTTATCAAAAAATCTAAATTATCAAACAATCGACAGTTTCTAGAAATTAGCTTTAACATTTCTCCGTAAAATCAAAATTGCTTCTGCTGAATTCTGCCATGGTTTCGTCCTAGTATATGTCTGTCGCTAATAATTTTGTATGCAGCCTTACTAGGTGATTTTCTAATAATAAGCAAACCTATATCTCTTATTATGTTTATTTACATAGGATAGCTTATAGCGATAATATGCACGTAAAATCTCCGTGCCTCAATGTTTCAAACCCTCATTTTGAAAAATTTTGCTATTCTTGATTAGAGTACGTATGCTGTTTGAGCACGACTACAGTCAAAACTCTGGACCAAGATTCAAGTTTATTGATTTCATCAGCAAACCTGGAATGGAGGTAAGATACGAGTTTCAAGCAAATCCTGCCAGGCTTTGTTACTTTATCATTTTGTGGCTTTAAGTTTCAAAACCTTTGTGTGATTTGATCGAGTTGCTTGTATCAAAAGAGTAAGCAATGTTTAATCTCGTTTGTCGTCTGTTTTCTATGTCGAAAAGATATAATAATTAGACATAAACTCTCAAGGTATGTTTGCTTTACCAGTTATGTTTTGTTTATGTTTTGAAAAGTGCTACACGATTATCTACACTTTAAAATGATAATGTTTTGTATTTTCTTTAATTTTCAAAAAAACTATTACAATTCTGTATTATAATGGACAGTAAAATAAGTCACTCTTTGAAATCCTATGCAACTTGCCTTTACATCACAATTCATGTTTCTTTGTGGGTTTGGCCTATCTCTTTTGAAACATTGCCAGTTTTTATCCACCTTATAGAAAACGGTAATGGCTGTTCTTGATAGCTTGGCAAGCCCATTCTCGACGATGCTGCCTTCCCTTGAAGCCAGCGGTTTTTTAGCTGCTGCGCCCCAAAATCAGTTCTACTTCAGAATTTTGGATGGCGATCAAAATGGTAGAAAGCCTTACAATGACGACTCTAGCAATGATGTTCTTTTCAACTGGAACCAAATGTCTTGTTTACAAGCAATTTGCATGTCCAGATACAAAGAGGTAGCTATTATACCTTACTAGCTTCCAAACTCAAAATTATGCCTTATCATCTTAGAGAGTCCTTGAATTCGACTTCAAAGCTATAATTTTTTTTATTATCAAAGACCTAAGACAAATTTGTGGTCATGTAATCACGCTGATGCTTTCTTTAGCAGAAATGAAGCTCAGAAACTTCGGGAATTTAGCCTGAATATTTTGGCAAAAAAAGTAGGTTTTCATGCTCAAACATTTCTGACAGTTTGTTAAGAATTTGTTGATAAATCTTTCCGTTTGACTTAAAACGTCTCTAAAACATTGTTCATGAATCTATCATGTTTTACTATTTTCGCAAGTCATATGAATAACTAAAGGTATAGAATAAGTCCCGGATATAAATTTTAGTTCAATTAAAGATGATTGCTAATGCTTTTACCCGATACATGAAAATGCAGGAACATGTATCTGAAAACATTTTGTTTTAATTTATATCACTGGAATTCTAACTTGATGCGCGTAATGAATAGGAAACCAAGAAAAGGCGTTAGAAGCTACATTTTCTCAAATTTCAATGCTTTTGGTATTAAATGGTTTTTTTTAGTTTTTTAATCTAGAAAGGGAAAAAATTCTTCACGCTTGAATTTTTACATTGATACAACAAGACTAAACTTGCAACTGCAAAAAAAATTGAAGTAAATATACGTGTTAATTAGGTCGCCCTTTTGTGCTCTATTTACTATGGCAATCTTTGCACACTTTGTCTGTAAAAATAGACTTGAGATTAACTCTATTCGAAATTTGTCCATTTGAAAAGATATCACTGCCTCGCGATTGATTTTTCCTACCACGAGATAACCTCAGAGGTCCTCCTTGAAACTCTGTTTTGTTTCTTTTTACTAAAATGTACTCATTTCCTATAAAAACGTCTATGTGATAAACGATTTTTCTAGGCTGCTATGAGACATCCTGTTGTTCGACTTCTTGCCAGGCGAAAATGGAATTTATTTGGACGATTTCATGTCAGGTAACGATTTTGAAAAACAGTTTCTTTTTCACTGCCTGCAGAAATATTTCGAAAGAGGATTTTTTCAGCAAGATAATGGTTGACGGCTAAAAGTTTCTTGGTTCTCAATTAATTCCTGTTCTTTTAAGAATCATCGCTTTTAATTTTTCATGAATTTACCCAATTTCAAGGCTCTGAAGTTACGAGTTTCGCAGATATTTTTCATGTTCTTTCTAGGTTTCTGAAATACTAGCTAGAACTTAAGAATACTATTTCTCAGTTTCAACCTATGCATACAGTTCCGGGAACCTTCTCTTGGCACTTAACTTCTGTGTTCCTATACTATGTTTTACGTTCTTTTCAGATTTCATTTAGCAGTATACGTGGCGTTCTTGTTTGTGATGTCATTTGCGTTGATCGGACCATGTTATCAGGAGACTTACCGCACAAATCTTGGTAGACTGATTCTCTCTGGCGAGATATTTTGCTTTTTAGCTTGCTTGACCTATCTAGGCATGGAACTGGATCAGTTTTGCAGGTGAGTAACAGAATTGCGCCAGGAGTGTTTTTCAACTCATCGCTGCATATTCAACTGTAAGTGCTCTTCATGAGTTTCTGGAATTACTTTGAATCCCAAATTTCTTTCACCAATTGAATATACAGCCTAAATGTTATTCAAAGTATCGAGAAACGAAGTTCTTTTTTTTCAGAGAAAGGAAGTATTACTTCTATGATGTTTACAAGTATCTCGATATTTTGGGAATTGCCTCACTAATGCTAGCCTTGCTACTCCGATGGTCCAATTGTCACCAGCATTTGATTTCCTCACTTGCCTTCATCGTCAATTTTCTCCGTCTCTTCAAGTTTCTAGCTGCGTTCAGGTAAGTAGAAGCACAATCGTATTTTATTTTACTGAACCTCATTAAACATTAAGTTGGTGTAGCTCTAAACGCCTTTCTTCAGTTGGTCAAGGAAAAAGGTTTCGCTGGAATATCTGAACTATCTGTTACATTGAGCTTCATCAGTTCCTTTAACATGTACTTTTTATGCTGTTCTTTTTGAAGCATCAAGTCATAGAATCAGTCTCAAAAATTGCAAAAGTATACACTATGCTTTTTAATCAAGTGGAACCAAATATTCTTATCCAAATATCCAACACCAAGACCTCATTTTCAACCATCAGTAATACGTAGAGGCCTTGAAATAATTAAATAAAACTTCCACGACAAATTCTAACTGATTTGCCCTATTGTAAAACTTTCCTATATAGCCCCAAAAAGCCAATAAACTGATATTTCTTAATCGACCATTAAGACTCTTTGCTTGATTCGTATTGTCTCCAACCTTAGTGCATCTGGTATTTATCTGGCTACAATTTCTTCGCTGTTCAAGCAAAACCTCCCAGTGTTTACATCCGTATATGCAATCATAATGGTGGCATTTTCTGGGAGCTTGTTCATAGCGAGCAGAGGTGAAGGGACAGCGACGTCTCTGTAGGTTTATTTATGATATCCATTTATTGGCATTTTAACTTTATCATAATCTTCATCATTTTTCAGCTCATCATTACCATCATTAGCTCACCATCTTCAATCCCTGAAGCTTTGGTTTCTAAATCTAATCTAGAGACTTTCTTTAGTTACAACATTCTTATTTATTTAGGCCTTAAGGATAACAAACGATTCAGCTATAGTGAATTTGAAATGGCTAGGCCTATCCGCCATCAATACGAATCAAAACTAGCACAAATCAAAACTAGCTAAGAAACTCATGATGTAAATTCTTTTTTACAAAAAGACATCGAGAATCCATTTAAGAGTATTAATTTTTGTTTGTCAAATAACATTGGTTATGAAATTGTATCTTGTTATTTGTTTCCAATTTATCGTTTTCAGCCCTTTTGAGGATGTTCTTCTGCGGCAGATTCGCGGTATTACCGAGGGACAAGCGTTTGCTGAATCATATAGTGGCATTGGGTTAGTTTGAATTTTTCTTCCTCATCGTTACCATCATTTGAGACAGACGAGTTTATTTGCTGTATAAATGGCAAAAATAAAAAATAGATAAAGGAGCAATAAAAGGCTAGAAACACGGAGAAATTCTTTTTGCGATGTATATGTTTCTATAATATGTTTCTATTCCTTATCAATTCGAAATTGAAAAAAATACTGCAAGCAGCCCTAAGCAGGGTCACTACTTTTGGATGACATGATGTCATTATGATAATGTTCGTATGATGGGTTTTTATGGGTTGATAAACTGTAAATGAAATTTTAAATTAGTTTCAAAAAGTCTATACTCGTAAACTTGAGCTTAAATCAATATTCTTCCTTCCAATATTAATCTTAAGTATCTTCTCGTTTTTGCCTGATCCAGTGAGTCACCCTAAGCAGCCAATATTAGAACCTAACCACCTCACAACCCACCACCTAGAGACAAACACCCAGAATAATATAAATAAACGTTTTCCTAGAAATGTTTTGCTCTTCTACGCAAGTAAAACCATTTGAAATTCACCGTGCTCATTTCATTATGATCAAACTTTTCTCTTCAGGCCTCTGGCAACCTTTCTGATTTTAGTTGGTACCATGACTTCAAGCGTAATCTTGACAAATCTGCTGATTGCACAGCTTAGTGAGTCTTACTCAACAGCTAAACAAAACGCCGTACTGCAGTATGATATTGCGAAACTACGCTTTGCAGTGAAGATAGAAAACGGGAGAACAAAAAGAACGGTGAGTGCACTTACACCAAGGAGCATTTTTGTTCCTCTAAAATAATTAGCAGGGGCAAACTTGCTTGTTCTATAACGTGTTAGAAGCCCTGATTATACTAAATTCAAATTGCTTTTGGATACCTTAAATGAAACATTTCAATCGAACAAAAAACATAAATTTTGCTCCGGAGTTTGTTGAAAACGCTTTGGTGACAACATAATTGTTCCAATCCCAGTCATCTCCAGGCTGTTGTCGATGGGCACACACACGGGGCCAAATTAAAAACAATCCTTCAAACATATAAGCTGCTAAAGGGCATGACAATGGAAGAGAACAACTTGAAATTGCATCAAATCCTCAGAATAACATCCCTATAACGTGCCAAACATTGGATTTTGAAATGGCACATTCTCGTGAATCACAGTCGTCTCCCCGAATAATGATACCAAATGTTTTGTAGAGGTGCTCTGTTTGAATATCTTGTCCTAGGTGTCTTGCATATACTGATAGCAATTTTCGATAGCAGAGCCAACCTTTTTCTTTTAAATTTGTTACTTTATTATTTCACATTGCTTCCAAAACAATAATCCTATTCTTTTTTACCCCAGATTAAGATCTTGATAGATAATTTGACAAACAGATACACAAGTCAATTTGAAATGTTTGGAGTATGCATTCTTTAATCTAGAATGTATTTCTTCGTTGTAGTGCCTGAGGACGAAACATTACCAAGATAAAACCGTAGCGAGCAATGATGAGTTATTATAAGTTCTGTGTTTCCTGCGGGGGGGGGGGGGGGGGGGGGAGGTAACTTTATGGATTTGAGGTACGACGAAGTGCCATTATTTAATGGTATGGAATGGAATAACCGGTATCAGTTTTATAAATATGGATGAAATTATGAGTACCATTTAGCTAAAGAAACATGCAGAATTATGGATACTATTTTAGAAAAACATTGCAAAATTGTCATGAGGGAAATTTTGCATTAACAAAATGAATGTCCAGTTAAAAATAAAAGATGATATTGAGAAGTAGGGCAAAAGACAAACAAAATTTGTTTGATAATTTTGTTGTGTCTTCAAGAACTTGGAATTTATGGGTTCAAATTTTGAACCAGAATGAAAAGTTCCCGTCCAAAACTAAGTTTAGTTAATTGCAGTTTTACCTCTTATTCCTGAGAAGAACCTAACCTAAACCTTTGCATCTTCTTTCAACTGTTAAGATCGTCACTTCCAACACACTTTAAAAAAAATTTTGACATATTTCTTGAAATTTGAAACTTGAAATTTTTATTTTACTATTTAGAGTAATTTAATGTTTTGAAATCATTGCAATAATGCAGTAGTTGCTATGTTTCTCATAATGTGCAAAGAAAATAAGCTCTTGTGTCCACTTAAAATGTTACCAGCCGTTTTCTTTGCTTTCTCGAGTTGCAGATGTCTAAACTTTGAATTAAATTGAAAAAGATTTGCTACCTATTATTTATTTTGATATTCAGTTGTTCAAATTTGATGAAGTTAATTAAGATAACTGTTTACCATGCTGTTACAAATCGTTCGATGCTGTGTGTATGTTAATGACAGAGCTACACAAGCCTTGGTGTTTTACGTACCTAAACTACCCAGGCCCTGCATACATCATGTCTCCCCATTATCCACCATGGCCCCTACCCTTTTTGCAACGCAGAAATATTTTTAATGTAGAGATAAAGGAACTGAAGTTTAGCACTGTGTACATTATTTTGCTTGACTAGGCTCTTAGCTCTAGTTTCGTGATAATATCCAAAAATGTCTTGAGAGGTCCAATATTTAGAAGAAATAAAGAAAATTTGAAGCTGCTGCTACCACCTAAACAGATGATTCTCAAACATAAGGTTTTAAAAAGTGGACCCACGCTACAATCCTAATTTAAGGCGAATGTTATATGTCTGTGATGTTTTACTAGAAATTATTATAAAAGCATGGGATTTGATACAAAATTTTGCCAAATTGAAGTAAATATTTTGCCAAACTAAAAGAAATTTTCATGAAAAGCAAAAGTGGACGAAACAATAAAGAGAATCAGGCCCACTTCAACTTCTTTAAAACTCATTTTATGCTCAAGAAACCTAGAGACATAAAGTCAATGTGTAGTATTTATAGTAAGCTATCTTCTTTACCCTTCTTATCGAATAGGGTAAGAGTGAGTTTTATTTAATTTTACCTTTGCATGCACTTTGTTTTAGCATTATTTCTTGTTATTTAATGCACCTAAAATTGTACAGTCATGGAAGTGACTTTAGACTGTACTTTAGCGTCTCTATTATTTATCTATGTGCCTCTTCAGAGTTGTGTCCTCTCCACCAAAAAGACTTGTACTGTTTTGATATAAGTATTTTTCGCATTTGTTTAGTTGCTCCAAGCAGCCAGTCTAGCAAAATATGAGGAAAATATTCTTTCCTTTGTCCTTAGATTTCCTTTCAAAGTGCCAAACTATCACACAAGTCTCAAAGAGAATAAATTCCAAATGATTGGCATTTTCTCAAACGTAATTTTTACACATTTTCATTTTGTTTTTCTGCTTAGATTAGTTTTGAAGAGTCGATCCAGATAATGTCCTGACATCCCCCCCCCCTAAAATTTTATTTTATTTGCGCCCCACAAGTATGTTCTAATTTTTCAATGAAAAATGAAATTCTCTTATTTCGATGCTTTGAAGCTTAATCAATAAGCACCAAATAGGTGAGGCCCTATTAGGGGAAATGACATTTTTTCATATTTCATGATGATATCTCGCAATTATTTAATGTTTCAAAATTAACAAAGCAAAATATTTCAAAATTGTCAAATGTTCCATTCTGCGTTCAGATGCGTGTCAAATGAACCAACTCACATACAAAATTGACCGAGACTTCAAAACCAATCTTTGCAGTTACAAATATTGAAAATGTATAAAGAATAGGTGCATAAAAAATCAAATGGATTCCGTACTTAGTAAAAATAGGGAATTCATTCTCTTTGGAACTGTGGAATCATTTGGTACTTTCAAGGGGAATCTAAGGACACTGGATGAAATATTTATCTTTGTTTTCTCAACTTATCTTTGGGAACAACTAAAAAAGAAACTCGAAAAGCATACATGTACCATAACTGATAGCGCCAGGGGCGGATCCAGTGGGGTGCGAAGGGGGCTCGAGCACCCCTCAGATTTGAGAAAAAACTTTTTGGGGATTAAAGCTCATTCTACCGCAATTTTGTTTATTATTATTTAAACCATTTAAATAATACCGGGAAGTATGCACATCTCCTGAAATTGTTATTTCCGCTTCAATGCCCCGTCTCACAACTGTTCAACATTGTTATTTCAGTCCATGCATTGAAGTGTTATGAAACTCCCCCTGGTTGTCCTGTATAGCATTCTACAGACTCGGAAAGCATTGTCTCCTCTTATATCCAGCCACTTAAGGAACCCGTGGCCTGTAAATTATACGAGTTTCTGCACCCGTGGAAGTGAATCTAGCCAATCACGGTGCCAGGTCGAGGGGTTCTAAACTTTGGCGCGAGAACCCATGGATTTCAAAAATCCAAAACATCAAAGAATACCGACAAACCAGGGGGAGTTTCTTCGCTTCAATCTACAGTCAAATGTATAGTGGTTTTATGACCAGGGGGAGTTGAGCTTGAACAGGGGGAGTTGAGGTTGACCAGGGGGAGTTGAATTATGATACAGCACGCGACGAATGCTTAGGCGCAAATTTGCAATATGTTTTCGTGGATTTTTTGACGATCTTTACCTGATGCTCGATGCTGTAACGGCAGAACTTGTAAACGCTGTGGTTTATATAACAGAACGGTTTCAAGTTTCAACTCCGTGTTTCATGTCTTATTCATAGACCATGAGGTATGATTTATATTCAGAGGATAAAGCTTGCCCGAGCCCTTGTTATTCTTTTTTTAATCATTCAAGAACTACATAAAAAACATCTCAAAAACTTGCCCTTACTATTATTGACCAAAAGGGGTTTCCTTTTTATACCTACTTATATTCCTGCGAATCCTTTTTTCTCTAAGAATTTCAAATACATAAAAATACTCAAAACGCCAGGCCCATAGCGAAACGTTCAGGGCCTTCTTTGTTTGGTTTGGCGATGCATGCTGTGTTTGAATCCCTGTGTTCAACTTTTGCACTGCACTTCAAGGGCTTCATTCCACCAGCCACGTTATTATTTTGGTCAAGCTGATCAAGTTCTAATAAATGGCTGCAAAGAGTCAAAAATTAAATTTTGCTTTGAAAATCTGTGGGCTCGGGCCTTTTGCCACTGCGGGCCATCATATCATATTTGACTACAGTTTCTATACTTTTGTACCCTAAAGTGAATATAAAAGGGGCGAGCTGCAAATTGCGTTCAATTGGCATAAAAGCTGAAACCAAAAATTACTATATAAATCAAGGCATCCAGGCTTTTTAGTTTATGGAAGGCTTTCATTTCATTATGGCTTATTAGCAGGGGTACGGAGTTTGTGCATAGCAACACCCTGGGTTACCAAGCCTTACGTTTTAGAACCCCTCAGAATAATTTCTAGATCCGCCCCTGGATAGCCTTAAGTATTTTGTGTGGAGGGTACAACCTGAAGGGGGCCAGTTATAGACATGCCTGGAAGAGACAATGTGCCTGAAGGGCTTTTGAACTTTGAATTCTAGGACATCTTCTTTGGCTCTACTAACCGCCAAGAGCCCTAACAAACAGTGAATTCAGTTGTTTAATCGATTCTTCATACTACAGTCATACTGTTATATCTAGTCACTTACAGTCTTAGGTGCATTCAATAGCAAGAAATAATTCTAAAGTAATGTTAATGCGAAGCTAAAACTTAATGAATCAACTCTAACAATGTTCTCAAGAAGAAATCAAAATAAATGCTGCAGATTGACTACATGTTTCTAAAGAGTAGATATTTTGTAGACAGGGAATTTTGCATAACCATCTAGCAACCGAAATTTTTAAGGTTTAAATCATTAAGCCTTGGGAACCTTCTGGCAGAAGACCGGAAGTTACGTCCACGTTACAAGCTTTTTTGATGGTATCATCGGATTTGAAAAATTCGAATATCGCAATTTTGCTGACCGTGCATTTTTCATGCTTTCAGTAAAGCGACTTCTGGTCAATTACCAGAATGTCTCCAAAGCTTAAAATGATCAGTGGCCTTCATTTTTATGATTTAAACTTCCATCGAGTTTGAAATAAACAGTTGGAGTGGGCCAAATTCTCTTTACGGTTGCGTGGTTGTGGCTTTTCATAATATTGCCTTATTATTTGATCTTTTTGTGTAACTTATAATCACTTTTAGCATTACCTATTGGAGCCATTCTGAAATCAAAGATATGGTCGGAAACAACATTTTCAAGATAAGAAAGACTTTTCGGTGAACATGTTAGCTCTAGATAAAAAAATTGAAGAACGAACAATATCTTTCTGAATATCATTATCGGCAAATCAATCCTGCATCTTAAATGGCTTACAAAACAGTGGTTTAGTGGTCTTAGGAAGAATTCCTAGTAAGTACATGTGGAACAAGCAATGTAGATAAAAACATGTTTATGATGTTATTTGATGTTCTCGTCTATTTCGTTGAGACAATATAAGCCAAAAATATTTGCGGTAGATTTTATGCTATTGGTATTTTTCATAAACATAGAGTAATAAAGGCCTTTTAAACCCCTAAAAAGATTGAAAAGATTAAAAGAACAACCCAGGTGTAATATGGTTGGTATCTTAACAGGTCTACAGATCAATAGTCACTTAAGTCAATGCTTGAGATCAATAGTCTCTTATATCTTCAAGTATTTGTAACTACACAAGGATACATAAATTTGATTCTTGACCTCGTGTTATAGCTCTTCGATGCAAATTCTCAAAAATCTTAAATGCAAATAATTTCGTCTTGACAAAATTTCGTCTCATTTTAGAATTTAGTCGAAGAAATTTTCGTTAAAATATTTGTCCAAAATTTTGTCATGACTAAATTTTTGTTTTGTTTTGTTTGTACTTGTTTCATGCCTCGCAATGACATAGAGGCTGCGCTGTCAACTTCGCAAAATGGCTGCCACATCCCGGACCTTTGCTCGTATTTCACAACCTTTTAAGAGTAGCATTAATACTCATGTTTGCGCACTTTCAACTTCAAGTGTAAACCAAAGCAAGAGGCTTGATGGTAAAGTTGCAATCGTCACAGCATCGACAGAAGGGTATGTTTATTTGTTCGAACACCCTTAAATTGTAAAAGGGTCACATGGGGTCATGGCCATATCCTTTTCCCTCCCATCCCCAGTTTGCAGAAGATGCAAAAAATGCAGGGGGTTATTTGCTTTCTGTGTGATTACTATAGTTTCATGTGATTTCTGCAACAAAAACAGTACACTGAAACCCCATTTGATCAGTCTCAAAGGTCCCCCTGACCCCACCCCCAATCTGCAGAGTTTGACATGTGTGCACACACAAGATTTTTTCAGAAGGTTGTCTAATGCACACTAAAATGTAGAGCAACACACATTTCTTCTGGGACTGGAAAATCTCTAAGGACCAACCTTTTTTGAAACGTTTGAAAACCCTGCTTTCCTTATCTTACTCAAAACATCATTTTTGAAACATTATGTATCCAAAAGTCTTGCTGTAAATGGGTTATCAACTCGTTTGTTGTTTTGTAAGATGCTTATGTATGAATTGGGATTTTTATGGTCACCTAGATAAAGAGCTCCAGACCTATCTGACTCTCACAAATTAAAAAAGCTGCATTCAAATAATGTTGAAAGCAGCAATATGGTCTCTGTTTTATTATATTTCTATATTTATATTAAGATGGTGTTGGTTGCATGTTTTAATATTTCATATTATAGTGCTTTTTGGTATCACCGTTGAATTTCTTATTTCACACTCTTCCGAAGCTTTCGATATGAAGATCTCAATCTTCCAGAGCTTTCAAAGGATGCTCTCAAGGACATTTATTTAGAGGTGCAAAATAGAGCGCTTAGAGTTTCTGAGGGGCACGTTTTATAGAGCACCTTCATTTTGCTTAGAGCAAGGCCTGAATAAAGCAACTTTGAATAAAGCAAAGTTATCTGTTGTGATTCTCTAGGTTTGTGTACCGTTTCTCTAATTTGAATTATTAAACTCCTAGCATTGGATTGGCCATTGCAAAGGATCTTGGGAAAAATGGTGCAAAAGTGGTGATTAGCAGCAGAAAGGAAGAAAATGTTTCAAATGCTATTGAATCACTTGCAAAGGAAGGCATTGATGTCAAAGGTGTGGTCTGTCATGTTAGTAAGCCAGAGCATCGTGAGAATCTTGTTAATTATGTAAGTTTATTTTTTTCAATTAACTTGTGATTGCATGAATTGGCTTTTATCAATGTGCTTGCTTGTATCAACAGCTCTACTGGTTCATGTTTTTGAAATACTTGATTCCATTCATATAATTAAATATTTTCTTGCATACTATTAGGTTTCACAAATTTATTGTTTTTTTACTGTCACTAATTTTAGAGCTAGGGTGCATTATCAAGGTATTTTTTAACAAAGATAGCTATGTTCATTCTTTGCAACAGATAGCTCCATTATTTATGTTATTTGTCCTTGCAAGTTGCAGTGAGTATTGTCATCTTCCCTCTTTCCTAATTAAGTAGATAATCTAATCCTAAACAACATCTAAATATAATATAATAATGATTACAGACATTGAAGGAATATGGATCAATTGATGTACTCATTTCTAATGCTGCAGCAAACCCTGTATTTGGACCTATACTTGATGTATGTATATTTTTTATTGTACATTATAATGAAATGAATAACTGTTTACTAGTCTGTCTTCTAGTGCTTTATGCTATATAGGCTGAGACCTCTGTTATGTCCACATCAGCTACATGCTGCCAATTAGCAAAACCTGAATATCAAATAGAATTACGTATGTATGTATGTATGTATGCTTGTATGCATGGTGAATGCACTGAGCATGAGACTCAGTGTTGCAACTTAGATCTGTCCTGTTCTATACTCCAAAGAGTATCTTGCATATCAATGTGAACCTTATCAGCAGAAAAATCTGCTGTTTCTAAAATTCACCAAGCAGAACAAACCAGTAACAAGTGGAACAACCCAGTAACAAGCAGAACAACCCAGTAACAACGCATTTGGAATTAATTGTTTGTAATTACTTATTAGGTTTGTGTCAGCAGGCACATATACAGTCACTAGGGTGTCAATCACATATTTTGCCCCTTTTATTATATAAATTGCCTCATGGTCTCATTGTCCAAGGTTAAGGCTCACACCGTCATTGCACCACACAACATTCGCAAAGTTGCTTTTTTTCCCAACCGTCCCTCCTATAATATTTCTTGCTTGTTCTGCCTTAACCTGACAAATACTTTTGCTAGTAAAAAGTGAAAAAGTGAGCAAAGTAAAATGAATGTTTGGGAATAACTGGAAATTCTGAAATGACAGAATATTAGCAATTCTTTTCTTTTATATTGCAGACTAATGAAGATGCTTGGGACAAGGTAGATGAAATTTTACCCGTTTTATCATAGATTGTTCAATTAAGCTGCATTGTGACATAATCCCAACTACATATTATCTCTCATCTTCCAACATTTCAAAGCATGATTGTACGATAGCAACAGAGAAAAATCACATAACTTTATAGACCACAGTATCAGCATGTTAGAATCTCTTGTACCTTTTATCTTTGCAAATGAGACTTGCAGATAAAAAAGTAAAGAGAAGTTGTCTTATCTAGATGGGAAAGGGATCTTTGATTACAACGAAGCTCTCAAATTAAAGCTTTAGTTTTGATGGAAATATGCACTCAGAATTTGGTCTTTGATAAAGGTAATGATTGATAAGTGCTGGTTGGTGATATAAAGGAGATAATTTGTTCTTCTTTTAGGTCAGTAAGTCTTCAAAAAAGATGTTGCCCTCTGCATTTAAATTTTAAATGTTATTCTATTTTCAACCCTTAATAGAACAGAATGGTATTTTGTCATTTTGGTCTCTGTCTATGTTTATAAAAGTAAAATCCTACAGATTTGCATGCAGAAACAGAATTGATTTTGCTCAGTTTTACCTTTAAAAATGCCTATCAAGTGCAAATTATTGCCCCACGCCTGGTTAGAAGTGTCCAGCCACACTTCTTTCAATCATTTTCTTCTTAGGGGTGTTGGAAAAAACTACTTCCAGTATGATGCATTAAATTCTAATCTTTCTTTCCATCTTGCAATGATTTGTGGCTTTTTATGTACCTGGGCAGTTTATGCCAAAATATTTTCTTCTTTGTATCAAAGCCTATCTTGTTTTTCAGATATTAGACGTGAATGTAAAGTCATCATTTTTCCTTGCAAAATCTTGTATCGAGCATATGCAAAAGAAGGGGTATGCTAGTTTTGGTTATTTTTATTTTTGTAAGTTCGCAAGTACGTATCTTAACATCGGAATCTCCAATTTTATTCTTATTGATTTTCTTATGGAAGCTTTGAGAATTCATTGGAAGGTTTTCAGTCCCCCCTATGATATTTGAAAGAACTCGACGCCACGATTATTATAAAAGAGATTTTATTCTATATTTTTGACACTTTGCCAACTGTTTAATATCTTAATCTGAGAATCTCAGCCTGTGTAAAACTGTCTGCCAACTTAATTTTTGTTTTCTAATCTATTACTTACTAACTCTCTCTATTGCCGTTTTACGTTTTCTTCTCGGCAGAGGTTCCATTGTTTTCATTTCTTCTATTGCTGGATTCCTCCCCATGCCTGTGAGTCAATTTGTATTCAGAATAAATCTTTAAAATTAAGCTAAAATATTATCAATATTATTATAATTAAGCTGAAATATTCTTAATAACATTGCATATTTTATTTTTCTTCTGTTGCGAATCTTCCACGGCATGAACTGGCAACTTTTCCTTTATTTATTTTACGAGTTACTAAAACGGAAGTGGTATGAAGCCATAAAATGATGTTATTTTGATTCGAAAGAAGACTAGTAAATAATTTTTCAGCTACTGTGATGTAATATTTGAAAGCCTCTGGGACCACAAATTTGCGGGTTGTAACCGGTTTGTAAAGGTTTTATTAGATTATCTTGACGATATACGATATAAAAACAATTGTGATTTGGATTATTTGTCTTGTCTCTGTAACAGTCTGTAGGCTGCCTGAAATGTTTAACCACATGGACAGTTCTAGTCAAATGAAGAGACCGAATGGCCCGTCATATAATGCTGTTGAAAAAGCGTATTTAAACACTAGGCTTTGTTAGTCACAGCTCCCATCAACTAACACTACCAATGCAACGTGATAATGATTAATCGATATTGCATCTTCATCCTATTAATTTGGTCCAAAGTTAATTTTTTACTTTAGAACGAGGAGGGTCGTACAATTTTCCAATATGCACAGAGAGTCTAACAACTTGGGGAACCTGTGATGGCTGGAAACCCAGTAAACCTTTAGTTCATATGGTATATATGAGGGCTTGGCCCTTAGCCAAGTTGTCTGAAAATATTTTTGCTCAATTTTAAAATTACTGTAGAGCTGTACACGTTGCCTGATGACGGCGTTAAGCGTGAAACTGGGAGTAGCAACTTAGAACCGTCCTGTTCTGTACACTTAAAGTGTGTTCTATTTTGTTTACTTGTGAAAGAAAGGAGAAGTTTCGATGTAAGGTCATAGTAGTGGTTACGAAACATTTTGCTTGTCCGTTCAAACCAAGTATAGTATTATCCTATATCAATATCTGGATATTTTTGCTGTCTAGGGTCTCGGTGCTTATTCTGTATCAAAAACAGCCCTTTTTGGCTTAACGAAAGCTCTTTCCGTCGAGTGCGCACCAATGAACATACGAGTGAACTGCGTGTCACCTGGTGTCATCAAAACTAAATTCAGCTCCGCCGTAAGTATATTTGCATATGAACTGACAATTATTCTTGTTCCAGTTTTGCCAACTGCTGTGGACCTTTGCTTGAGAATATTCAATCCGTACTGAGTCCATAGCGGGCTGAATTTCAACTCGGTTGACAGCGTAAGCCTTTTGGCGTTTAAATAGAAGATCTCGACACGATTTAAATATATGAACGCACTGTGTTTTCGGACTTTGTTTATTTTTCTTCTGGATTGAATATAGTTATGAATGTAGTGTGGCCTGATCTCGATCCGTATTGATATTTGACATGTAAATGCATATGAAAAAAAAACATGGATTAAAATCTCATCTAATGGGGGGTTGCAATTTTTTGGGTAAGGCTCTCCCTACTAAACACTTTTTGCTGTATTTCTTAAATCTTTTTTGCTTTTTAGTTGTGGAGTAGCGAGAGAATCTTGAAAAGTGCTATGAAGCAAATCCCTCTTCAAAGGTATTTCTAAGTGAATTGTTGGTTGTAGCTCAAGTTACTTTTCCAGTGCAAGAGATAAAGCATCACAGATAGCCTTTAGCAAGAACCCACAGATTGTTTAATACAATGCTACATAGGGTATCAAATGAGAAAACCTAAGCAATGCCATCGTGTATAATGTCGATAGCTGGTTTAATGGCAAATATTAAACCTAAAGTCTGTTGTAGAGAGGTATCCATTAGTTACAGACTAGAATACCTTGCTTGCAAGAAATTTTACAATACAATCATATGCCTGTCGTTTGGAGATTTCTTTTCGTCTTTTTCATGATTATGATTTGTTTACTAACTTTAATTACTGTTATTTGTTGAGTAATTTCTTTTTGTTGAATCATTCTTTTGACTTTAATGTTTTCCTTCATCTTTCTTCAAGAATCGGCGAACCAGAAGATGTTTCTGGTTTGGTAACATTTCTTGCTTCTGACGAATCTAAATACATTACTGGAGAGAACATTGTGGCGAGTGGGGGAATGCCTTCCAGACTGTGAACTTTGTAATACCAAACAACTGTTTTGTATTACTTGAAATTTAAAAAAAAGATTCTAAAATATGTTTGCATTTCCGTAATTGCTTTGTAAACGCTGATAAATGAATTTAGTGAGATGATTTTATATAGATATATAGAGAAGCCGCCTTCACTGTTTGTTTACTTCCCTTAATCAAAGATTATCGCTAAAACGATTGGCTAAAGCTGGGATAAACGACCAAAGAAAAATAAGCATTTGAATGCCTCACTCCATCTTCTAATGTCCCTCCTACACATCACGTGACTTGTCAATCATTAATTTGCAGGGGCACCATTTTCTATGTTTATTGCTAAACCCATTTTGTAGAACACGCGAATAAGGGCACCTCAACTCAGTTAGTACCCAGACCTCCATGAGCCGTCCAACCTTGAGTCGTCTTGAATCGGAAACTCTCTAATACAATTACTATCGATACTATTTATTCAAAAACCAGCATATGCAATTTGTATTGACATAACCAGCTTCAATACTTCTTTAAAAAAAGGATTTCTCCAAACGATTCGATTTTTCGCTCGATCTTTCTCTCGACATTTGATCTCAAAATCGAGCGAAGTCGAGCATGGGTGGCCAAACGATTCGATCTTTCACTCGATTTTTCACTCGACTTTCACTCACGCCCAGTGGCGTCGCGTGACCATTCTCGCCGGGGGTGTGAGAGATGCAAAACCGTATTTTACCGACAGAAATTCTTTTGTTACATTATTTTTTTGTTATAGATTTAATTCTACCGACGAGTGCTCTGAAAGTTGGGGGTGTACACCCCCTACACCCCCCTCCCGCGCGCTACGCCCCTTGGTCAACAAAATGAAGGCAAAGAAACGCAAATCGGCTGCCGTGTTTACCTTACGTGCAAATATCCTTTTACAATCTTTTGACGAACGCGAGCGACATAAGACCCTGTTCGTTCGTTTCATGCTGGAACCGCCATTAAGTACTTATTTCGTTTAAGCAAATAACTATTTTCAGGCAAAATATTTTCTTTCTTTTGATCCTTAAAATGGAATTCGTCACTTAAAAAGGTCCCCTGGACTTCGAGGCCCCAGGGTAGTATACTTCCCTGCCCAGCATTAGAGATGATAACTGCGCACGCGCTCACTCGACTCACTCGACAAGGTGGGCCAACGATTCGATTTTCATTCGACAACACCTTTTTCATTCGAATTTTTTGATAGAGATCAAACTTCACTCGACATCACTCGACGCCATTCGACTTGCTCGACAAGGTGGCCAAACAACTCGATTTTTCACTCGGTTTTATTGTCGAGTAAAAAATCGAGTCGTTTGGCTGGGGCTTAACGAGACAGAAAACTTGTAACGAGGTCCCCCGAGCCAATGTTATTGATTCGGGGGACCTCAGCACTCTAGTGCTCTGTCTCCTACGCCTATGCTGATATCTTGGCAGTATACTGCTCTTCAAAAAACCAAACTGAACACTGATCAGCAACTTTACTATTCTTAATGCCAGAATTCTCCGATAGAAAAGTTTCAAAATAAAGTCCCCACTGCTTTGTATCTTATCGTCGCTCTATTGAAGCAAACTTGGGGCAGAGTTACCATCAACTCTATGAGATCAATTCGTTTTAGTTATTCATCTGTTGTATAAATTTTAATTGGCATTAATAAGCCTTGTGCTATCAGCTACGCCAACCTTAAACAAAGAATTTGTTATTTACTTTCACTATTATTTACCTTATAAAGTTTAAAATCTGTGATTTCCCAGTGCCCTCTCCCCTCCCCCTAATTTTTAGAAGAGTTTGAAAGATATAGATTCAAGCCTTCGTAACTAACGATCGCGGAAAATTTTTTTGTTCTGAGAACGATGGCAGATTTTTTATAAATTTATCAAAGATTAAATTTTATAGCGCATTTTACACGTTGGTTTTTTAGCGGGTAGTTGAAAATCGTGCGAAATGTGCTTAAATTTAGCTGCGAGGCAAGTTTGTTGTCATATGCTTGAATTTTGATTGGTCATTGTGGTATGGAGAATTTAGGTCGCTCAGCCTGGAACAAGGCTGTTGTTACGGCAGTGGCGGCACCAGGGGAGGGCTAGGGGGGGCTACAGCCCCTCCGTCGGAGGCATCTAGCCCCCCATCGGAGGAAATTTTAGGTTATTGTCGGAGCAAATTTGACAAAATAACGTACGAAAACTGCTTATTTTAGTCATTTTAGCCCCCCTTTCGGAAGCTCCAACCCCTCTGTCGGAAGATTTCTGGCGCCACCACTGGGTTACGGCAAGTACCACCTAAGCCCTGAGAAATTGTGATAGACATTTTCAGTTAGCTATGGTGACCTGGGTGTTCAGGATCGCGATGGTAAACGGGAATCTGTTGGTACGTCTTGGAGCTGGGGGCTTTTCTTCTTAGTCTCTTGGGTCTTGTTTTACACCATCAAAACACGATCTAATGTTATGTTATATATTGACACAGGCAAGAAGAGAAAGAGAAAAAAAATTGGCACCCTCCCTGGAAATCTTCAAAGAACAGCTCCCTATAGAAGGGGTTGTAACTTTAATTTCATTTTTACGTACTTTTTCAAAGATTTTGTATATATTAGACACGCATTTTTTATAAGAAACGGGTTATAAGAAACGGCAGGCTCAATTTTTCGAAAGTTAAGAAACAACACTACCCAAATTGGAAAAAGCTAAGAAACTTTTATAATTTGAAGTTTTAATTTTCTGAGTTGACACTCAAAGCAATCTTGATATTGAACATCACTGTATATTGCAACACTGCACATCCCTTGATGCTAGAGCCACCAAATTTCGAGCACGAAAATGAAAAACCATGTGAAGAAGCGGAGGATTTGACTTGCAGATTGCATTAATTCTCAGTAAATTGCACACTCAAAGAGTTTCCATCTAAAAATATTGTTTTGACTTCAGCTTGATATTGGTGAAGTTCAATGAGCTTAACTGTTTACAGATCTCAACAGAGTTAGTCATTCTTGGAAAGCAACATTTTTTGACCACTTTGTTAGTTCATCTTTGAATGCGAGTGAACTATTTACTTTACCTTGGAAGCACGTTTAACAAATTCATTACCCAAGAAATTTAAGAAACATGTAAGAAATTTTTGATAGCAAAATGGCCAGAGAATTTAAGAAACTGCCTACCAGCAGCGGACCTTAGTTTCTTTAAAAAAAATACGTTTTATTGTAAATTAGGTATATTAATTTATTTTATTTTTAGTTTAGTGTTTTCTTTTAAACAGATCGGTTTGAAAAACTTATCTTGATATGAAACTTGCAACCTGTAAAAATATTTAAAATGAAAATAAGATCAGGCGCGAAGTCAAGGGCGGGCACAGGGGGCATTGCCCGCCAAACTAGAATTTTTTGCCCCTCTGTGCCCGTCCCAAAATTTTAGGATAAAAATATTGGGAAAACGGCGTCTTTCTTCATGACTGTCGAAAAAAGTCGGTCCCGACAATGTCTGTGCATCTGTGCAGTCAAAACCAATTTGTGGGATCAGTGGCCGTAAACGCGTAACCACCATAGCCTAGCCTGGTCTGTTTGGTCTCTGGATCACGTGCGCCTTTGTTGTGTAGGCCTCAAAGGTTTGGAAACCAGTGAGTGTCCAGGTCTGTTGTGGGCACAGTATATTGGGATAGATGTTTTGTTGTCGAAGCCAGCTCAAACACGTGAGAGATCTTGTTGGAAATAAGAGCTCAATTTTGTGCAAAGACGTCTACGACACCTTACAGAAATCAAACGTTAACAGCCTTTAACACTGCAGCTAACGAAGCCGTTTTGAATCAACCAGGGAAAATGATGCCACGTTTGCGTGAAATTAAAGGCCGTCTGATAACAGGTAATTATTACTGCAAACTCAAAGTCAAAGCTCGTTTTTATTAAGCAACATATACATTAACACCACAAATACAGTATAACAGCTAAATATATAATCTGAGAAACTTAATACCGAATAGGAAACAAATGGTGGGCATTGTTAATCCGGATAGGAAAAATATGTTCCCTGACTCGAGACTCCCCAGGCCCAGGGGAGAAAAAACCAAAACTGTATTTGAGCCCAGAAGAATTATCAAAGAGGCTTGAAATCTCTTTAGATTTGTTTTAGTTGTCTGTTGGGAGTCGATAATCTGATGTGGCGTGGAACGCCGTGATCGGCGCCGAACAGGTTACACCCCCGAGCGAAAATAATAATGTTTTTACGTCGCGAAATGGTAGTTATATGAACTTTTTCCAGGGCCGTAAATCCCGGGTGGACGGGGTGGACTGGACCCCCCCCCCCCAAAAAAATCTGGAGCTAAACAATTTTTTTAGAAATTATCGTCATTTGCTTTTAAAGAAAGGAATCCCCGGTAGCTGGGTTAGAACCTAACAAAGTTTTGCTGAGTTATTGTAACATCAGCCACTATGTCATGGTGAGGTGACTATTGTAGATGGCTGTTATTTATGTTTGCAGAGTGGTGTCGAGTCGGTGCCGATGCTCATGGAGGGGATTAGCCCCAAATATCTTATCCACCGGTCTCCTCTTGAATAAATCTCAAAAAGCATGTAAGAAAAGAATCGTTTAAGTCGCCATAAATTTCGACAAACCCATATTACACATATATTCATCCACGCCTTTTTATAAAAATCCTGACTCAAAACCTAGGTCCTAAAGTTCCTAATTTCTGAACCTCTATTAGTCAAATTGCGGTACCAAGACCTCCATAACAGCTCCTTAATTTTATAGCTATAAAGATGCTTTTATAGCTATTTGGAAGGTATGATTTAAAAAATTTCCTTTCACGTCAGCCCCAACCATGGTGGGTCCTCCCTACATCACTAAGTGTGATTCTCAGCCCCCCAGGTTTAATTTATTCAAGCTGTCTCTGAAAAATGTTATCAACTCAACTATAAAAAAGTCAACATGCTAAGATTTATATATCTAAAAATCTTTTTTTGTTTATTAAGTTGTTTGCAACTCTTACTGTTTCCTTAACACACTCTATAAATAAATTGCTTGGTGGTGCCATGACCCACTGCACACTTTATATTCATTCGCTCTGCTGACCCCCCCAATTGACATGACAGATTTACGGCCCTGACTGTTTCATTATATAGCGGTGAATAAGATTATACTATGTTTGTCAATTTCTTAAAAAGCTTAGCAAAGAAGCACATATTGCTAGTTAAGTATCACAAAGGGCGGCTCCAAAAATTGTGGTCAGTCGGATTTACTGGCAAACGAATGTTTACAATGGCCTGCTAAATGATTGTTGATGGTATTTATATATTGAATAAAGAATAAATGTATTAATGTTTTGACAGTTATATGTTAATCATTGATAGCTGAAATTGTTCCGTGACTTTTTGATTTAAAAACCTTTGGATGGTATTTAAATCGTCAAAGTCAGAATTCAATTTTTCTGCTTTGGCAGTCTTGGATAGAGGATGTTGCAAAAGCCATTTGGAAGAAGCCTTCTCTGTATTCCGTAGGTGTAGGATTGGCCTATTGACTGAAATGAACATCAAATCAGAAATGTTGTTTACCAGGTGCATTGTTGGTTTGAAACTGCAGAAAATATTCATTATTGAAAATACTCTCTCAAGCTCTATAGCATTTGTTATACTTTGAATTGGAAGAGCATCTAAGATATTGGAAGATTTCCTTGGGTCTGCTACACATTCCTTGTATGAAGCTAATATGGATTGGGTTGATACATTGAATTTTTCAAAAAGCTTTTGTCAACATTTGTTTGCCTTCTTACCATGGAGAGGTGTCAATATCAGACCCTTTATTATGAGTTAGTGCTTCGTAAGTGATATAATTTGATCATTGCCTTTGTTGCTATTCTTTGCAGCTTGGCTTTGTGAAGTGAAACATAGCCCTTCCTTGACTGATATAGTACAAAGACATGTCATTTAAATTTGAGTTTCTTCAATTATTGCTATGAAGTCATATTTCTGTTGATCAATTACTGCAACCTTAAACTTTATAGTATGTTAACTTCCCATTAAAAATTCTTATTACAGTGTTTTATGTCTTGTAATGTTTGGGAAAGAAGTGATTCTCTGGGGGCCATTATTATTAGATATTCTGAGACAATTTATCAAATTGTGCATACAAATTGTGTAATCATTCCATAATGCTTTCACTACACCAAATGAAAAGGCAATCCATTGTTTTGTAAATACTTTTCAAGCTTGGGAGAGCATTGCTTGCCTGAGGAGGAACTTTACCTGACCAACTTTTGCCAGATCAGTTTTTGGCATACAATTTGAATTGGGATGTTGATCAAGCAGGAGAGGATGCTTTTCCGAGTTACAGGGCGTCTTGTCTAAAACTGAGATGCAGCCTGTCAATGAGCTAACAATGGCCACCTGAAATGCCACAATGGCTACTTTTCCAGCTTTTTGTAACTCAAGATCAACTTCTCTAAAATGCTTTGTAACTTATAGTATAAGGGGGGGGGGGGCATTGCCACCTGAGGAGGGACTTTACCAGACCAACTTTTAGAGATACAGGGGGTATTGTCAAAAACTGGTATGTAGCTTTTGAATGTGCTGTCAATGACCATTTGGGGAGAAACTTTACCAAACCAACATTTTCTAGACTAGTTTTTGATGTAGAATTGAAAACTAAATGTTGATTGGGTGGCAGAGGAGGCTTTTCCGAGATATGGGGGGGCCATGTTCAGAAACTGGAATAAGGCCTCTGAATATCCTATGAATAGATCAAGTTGTATTTATCATGCATGTTTGAAATATCAGGGCCCATGCTGTCAATGGGGGCCTGGGGTGGCCATGGAACCCCTCATTTTTTTGTAAAGCAAGAAGTTTTAAAGCTGCAATGAAAGTGGTAAGACGCCTTTGACACTGTTTTTTTAGCCTTGGCCCCCTACTTTTTAGCTTTGGCCCTTCCACTTTCAAATTTGTGGCGTAGGTCCTGAATATAATCTCCAGTGGACAACAGTAGCGTTGCTGTTAGCACTGGGGCTCTTTTCTTAGGTAGAGGGTTTAAAATTAGGGTCATTTGGTTTGGGAAAAGAAATTAGTGAATCATTTTGCTATGTGAGTTATTGCTACAACCTTCAAACCTGAAACCATAACAGCTTTACATTAGCTTCTATTGCATATATTATGATTTAAAGATCATAAGCTATCATGTCTTTAAATTCTCCTTCATCTGCACTGTCACTGAATTGTTGTATGTTTAACTATCTTTATCATTTAAACTTTCTTGACAATAATCTGACTGAATGAATTTTATTCTTTTTTTCTGGATATGGCTCTTCTATCCGGTCTCCGAAGGTTTGCAATATAGTTAGAGCGTTAGACGTGCTTCCCAAAGCTGAAACTGCACGGAGACATAGAATTAGATCTGCAGTTTTCTTAACTCTTGCAAATGTTCTTCGAAAAAGTCGTTTACCCCACACAGCTTACATATGTACTTCTTCAAACCTTTGATAACATTGGCTTTTGGCTCAACGACTATGTCAAGCTAACTGAATGTTGCTAGAAACTCCTGGTTGTCTTTCATAGAATTCCAGAAGGCCCTTTTTCCTTAAGGCAGAAATTACGGTACAATATCGTTGCATATAAATGCGTGGAAGCAATTCTTTTCCCCGTTCTTTATCCTTTGACTGGCACCAGGTTCTCACAGAAAATGCCAGTTTCTTCTGCATTATTGATCTGGTAGCAGCCATTTGATCAACTGTCAGCGTGGCAAATACATTTCCGAAACTTATACCAACAAATCTAAATGCGAGATTTTCCTTTGGTGACATTGATGTTCACATTATCCTTCTAGAAAATGGCTTGCCCAGCCTTCATAAACTGATAGATAACAGCAATGACAAAAACAGAAAGCTCTATGATCTTTCAGCGTGTGTTTTCTCCCCAAACATTTAACAGCCAACTGTATATTTGAAATCAAGAAGAACAAACTTCGCACATTTTACCGGGAAATCACATTGAAACAAGCAAAGCCAGTTGTTCAGTATTTCAAAACACGTGTTGGGCCACTTTGGATGGCTAATGTAACTTTTGCATTTACACCACCAGTAGTACCTTAGTTAAAAGGCCAATGTTAGCAGGTTTATCGCAATATTGTACAATACAATCCTTCCAGGGCCTTACTACTAGTAGAATATGGGACTCCTCTTAATTTCCCTTGATTTGGCTTTTCACAGCACCCTCTCTAATTATTGAAGCGCTAGAAAACAGAAAAACCTCCGAAGAGACCATACAACGCATAAACTATCTATTATTACGTTTTTTCTTGTGGATCATCTAACTATAAACTTTCAGGTCCTCGTTCCAAATGCCTCCCTGTCGCAAAATCAATCATCGGAAAATTTCTGGCACCACCACAAAATGCCAAAAAAACACCATATATCCAATGACGCAACATGAAACAAAGTAAACGATAACAGACAATAGAAAAAAATCTGTTACTTGAATGCCTTTTTAATCAAACCACTTTTCCTTCCAATTTACAATAAATTTACATGATTTTGAATGTTTTGTTTGGCTAGCTGAATTTGGCCGTGACCTGTGAAATTAAGAAATGTTTGGTCGCCAACCATTTCAAACATGAGCAATCCTAATTAGAGTAAGTACGTAATTGATTGTCCAATTGTACGAAGCATTTGTTAAAGTCCAAGTTCTCTAGTGGTTTTTTTATCCCCTATTGCCAATCTACGCATCACGACGGATTTTTTTAAAACGCCACTTTTCGTTGCATTTTCTTTCAGCACTGCGCGTATTCCCGGAAATTAAAGATCACGCTCGGTTCCAGATTGCGCTAACTTTTGGAATGCATCTAATTGTGAGAACTTTATCAGTAGGCACTTTATCACCAGAAAGAAACATTTCCACCCAGTCTTTGTCGAGGCGTTTATTGAAGTTGAGGGTGACCTTTACCATGGTTCGCAGATCGTTTTTATTACCTTTACTTGTTGCTGTTTCGATGAAGCGCAATTGAAAAGAAGGAAAGGAAAACTAAAACAGTCTGTTAGTCTGGAGGAAGAGCAAGCAGAAATCCGCACGTCTGCCGCACGACCGCGTATCCGCACGACTGCCTTTTTAACAACGGAATTTAAACAAAGCAAATCGATTAACATATTCAAAAGCAAATATAGTTAACTCTGTCGATCGGTTATTACAAGCATACCACCATAGGAAGGCAAAAGATACACTATTGTAAGAATAAGCCAATATTGCCTAGCTTCTGGAATCAAAAGTTACCATTCATTGAAAATATGCTGTCCAAGAGAGGTAAAAAATAATAGTCAACTATTTGACTCATTCGTGCGATCGCATTATTTGTATTGCTCCATGCGTGTGCCCATGTGAGCCTGTGCGATCGCACATGTTGAACGTCAGAGAATGCTCCATTTTAATATCGATATCGAATCAGCCGATATTTTCTCAGCCTATCACCAGATTTTGAGATCTAAGGGGTTGTGAGGTTTGCCAATTTATGTATGTTGTAAAGCTATATTTCAATGATCTAAGAAGATCATAAAGGAGCGTGAAATTTTGCTGGCTAATTTATTTTTTACTCTATTTTTACTTTATTTTTTTACTCATTTGAGTTTACATTCTATTTGTTTAGTACTTCAAACATGAAATGTCCATATGTGTTTTGTGCGAAATATAGAACGTTAACCAAGCGATTATGCAAAGTAAGGAAACAATATGCTATTTTTAGAACAATAGAAAAGGAGCAAGAGTGAAGGGGCAGCTGTCCCCTAAGATGGTAGATAAAAAAACCTTGCTTGTTTAGCTTTCTATGTCTGAAGGATATGGCAGACACGGAAAAAACGCCAATGACCACAGAAAGCAACCCTTAGGCTTTGGAGGCACCAGGCTCGAATCCTAGAATCTTTTAGAGGGGGGCTCAACCTTCCCTGGCTGCTTTGTGCAGAAAAGGCAACTTTTTCAAGGAAAAGACAAAAAAAATGAAAGTTTATTTTCTTTATTAAAGTATCGGTGAACTAAAAAAGGTACATTAAGCATTTTTTTCTACAAAAAGGACCTGTTTGTATTAATCAAAATGTGACAGTGAAAATTACGAGAAGCCATTTGTAGCAAGATTGTCATTTAACCTTGAGCCACCTGCTGGAAATTAAAAATTGGCATCATTGTCAATAATTAACAATGACACAGGTCTTTAATGAAGATATATTGTGTTGCTAGGCGAAATCGATTTATCAGTACAATAATGCATTTGTTCCTTCAATATGTTTATCTCAGTTACTTGGAAACAGTACTCTTCGGCGTAGTTTTGGTTTGTCTGATGTACTTGATGAAGCTTTGGTGTAAATTATCAGCTATCTACCTTAGCTAGTCAAACAAAGTTCTAATGTTTGTAGTACCTTTACTTTTTCAAACCTTATTTCACTTTCTGTTTCTTTGATTTAGTGTTTAGTGAAGACTAATAAATAGGAGGCCAGGTACGCCGGAACGATCATGCTGCAAGAGGGGGGGGGGGGGGGGCAGGCTTAAGTAAAAGGGCATTTGAAAGATAATCTTCAGCTTCTACAAATTTTTACGTAATTGCCATTTTATTTCGATCTTTTATTGATATCTTGAACATTAGCTAACCGTTGGCATAAGGAATTATTTTTTATAAGTTTTGAAAAGTTCAGAATTTCATACGAATCTCTCTGATTATCACAAGTGGCCGGTTTCACTCTGACCCCCTTGCCCTTCCCATTAAAAGGCAACAGGGGCGGTCGACCCCCGTGCCCCCTTCTCTGGCGTCCCTGTAGGAGGCTGTTTATAAGGATACCGGAATCCATAAACCTAAGCGTCTCTCTGTTTTCTATCGTAATCAACGTTCCAAACGCCCCTGTTTTTTCAATTAGTTGTTTTTCGTCCGTTTGCGTTCTTGAAAGAACTTAACGTTTTCAAGTTGCAGAAATGTGGGGATTTCTAACCACTTTTGTCAAAATGTGGTCACTCGATTGCTCTAAAAATTTTTAGAAAAGTCGTAGAAGAGGATAACATTATTAATCTAATTTTCAGTGAAACAAAACAGGATTCACAAAATCAGTTGGGCATAATCAGTTCGACATAAGATAGAGTCACTTCAGTAAAGTGATAAAAAGAGCAACAATTACTTAAAGTTTGATAAGTATAAAAGGATAAAGAGATCAGATAGTAAATCATGTGACCTAACAGTACGTGATAGAAGCAATCAGGACAGGACGTGAAGGAAAACTAGAACAACTTAAGGGGCAATGAATAAGGAACAGGGGGGAGTGAAAGTTCGAGGAAGAGAGTCAGAACAAAATCACGGGAACAGAAATGATGTCGTAGAAGCATAGTTTTCTTTCTTATGATGGAAGTTGACGAAAAGGTTTCGAATGCATTAATGTTTTGATTATCATGAACCGAAAGGGCGCGGTATCAAACATTTAGCCCAATCCCCGCATTCTGCTGATGTAGCCACTCGGAAGCTTCTTTATTATACAATTTAATTAATACAATAATTTCTTTTGACTTCATCATAGACGTTTTGAATAACTGCTACAGTATTAGGGGTTGAGAACGCCTCTACACCCAAACTGGAACTAGAAATTCACTTAGGTCTTTTCACTGCTTTCATCCCCCCCCCCCCCCCCCCCTTACTCTAAAATTTGCTCCCGTGCTGTCTTGATCCCAGAGTCAATGTTGTTAAATCAATTTGTTTTTCATATTTCTGTTGCAGTTAGTGTTTCACATGTGAGACGGATTACAACTTCACGCCTTTGTACACAGCAGCATTCAACGTATAAACCACCGCAAGATGAAGATCTTCAGATGCCTGAATGCGATTTTCAACCACAACCTTATAAGGTAAATGCGTTGTAAAGAATTCATATATTCAATTAGTTATGCTTAGAATTAGGCCACCACAGCACACCTTTCAACTATTAGGCTTGTCTAAGGCCTTAACATTTTAGTCCCTGCTCCATTTTTCCCTAGTTTTTACAAGTACGTTACAGTGCTCTACATGACCGAACGAATGCCTTGCCCAACTGTGCTCTATCAGTGGCGGGTAATTAAGTGGTAGGTTGCCTATTCTCCCCTGTGAAATTCAACCTGACTCAGAAAGTCACCCTGAGAATGAGAAATAGATGTATAGTATATGGAAGGAAAACCTGCACTCAGGGAGGTCTGGGGGGCAAAGGGCCATGTAAAAGGGCGAAAAAATGGTAAAATGAAAAGAATGCTAAGCTTTACCAAGGGAAGGAAGGACTGCCTCCCTCTGCTCCTTTGTTCAGGCGTCCGTGGCCTATACTGTAAGATGTAGAAGAGAAAAGCCTACTCATAAAAAACCTCAGAAAATTCAATAAACTCAGTTCTATCACTGTTGTTTTGATATGGTCTTGAGTGAGAAATTTGTAACTAATTTTCCAATCCTCTTTCAAATAATTTCAATATAACGGTCCTGACCAGATCAGTGCAAAACTCAACGAAGAATGGTTATCTTCTTTTTAAAAACCTAAGAATATAGAGAAAAATGCCTGATAATCTCTTTCACCAAGAAATATTCTATTTAGCTTTTATGTCTGTAATTTAATCTTGAATAACACGAAACATTTTCATCTTGTAGGGAATGTCGTACGAGAAAGCATTGGAACTAAGAAAGAAAAATCTCTCTCCAGCCCTGTTAACTTATTACAAAAAGCCATTGCATGCTCATCAGGTATTGAACTAGTTTGACATTCTTTGTGTAGAATCTTGTTGACAAAGCTGGCAGTGCAAAAGTTACATGTTGTATGTGATTAGTGGAGTTTCTCATCATGATTTATTGAAATTCTGCAAATGAATGATTTAAAAAAAGAGAACTCCTTTTTCTGCCTGTTTGCTGGAGGTTGTGGCTTTGAATGGTTGTATAAACGATTCTTGGTCAATTATTGGAAAGGTTCAGCTAGTCAGACAAAGTTGTAATATTTGTAGTACCTTCACTCTTTCAAAGTTTATGACACTTTCTGTTTCTTTGTTTTTGTGATTAGTGAAGACTAATAAAAAGGAGACTGTTTACAAGGATACCGGAATCCATGAACCTGAGCTTCTCTCTGTTAGGAATTTGTTAGCCATGGTTGTCGAAAAAAGCCAAATGTGGTTGTTTTTTGTGCATTGAAATAATGTGATACAGAAAGACTTTTAAGGCACAACCATGAACATTTTAGATTTTATGAATACCATAGACCCTGTAGTTTCAGAAGCTACAATCTATAAAAATGTATGCAAAAGTAAAATTTTGCTTGACTTACATAGGCAACCATTGACGTTATTATAAAAGTGCTATTATATTTTTGAATATCAAAAGGTGGTCACTGAGGCGTTGTTGTGGCTCAAAGTATCATTTTGTATAGCCTTCATCTCGTTAAACTGGCATTTAACTTAGTTTGAATATATCTGTGAGGCTAGGGAACATTTTTGGTAGCTACTTAATAAGAAATATGGGAAATTTGTTGCTCTTGAAACTCCAAGAGCCAACGGGATTTTGTGAGATAGGCGTGGGTTATAACTTTATTAAGAACCATGACAGATTTTACTGGCAGTGCCCAAATTATGTTGCTTCGAGCCAAAATGCTATCGTTTTATACCTAACTTCTTTGCTTCTGAGAAGGTGCGTGACGTAGTGATAGTGCGCAAATACATCCATGCTGCCAGCTGAGGGCGTGGTAGCTCGAGATGCCCTTGGGGCTGGGCTGTCGGGCCTAGCCCACTTAAGTGACACAGAGTAAATACGGTTTTATCCTGACCCTGAGCTACCTGGTTGAAAAATTTGAAGTCTGTATCTATGTTTGTGCTCATGCTCTTGAGACAAGGCACATTTATCTAAAGCGTAAGACACAGATGTGTTCAGTAATGTCTTTTGTCAATGTTGGTTGATAGTTTTGTCAAGCAATTGAGTGAGGATTGTTTCAATGTTATTTCAGGGGTACATGCAATGGATATTTGATGCCGATGGTAAACGATATTTGGATATGTTTGCAGGGATTGTTACGGTCAGCATTGGACACTGTCATCCGTAAGCATTCATATTTTGTAACTCGCTGCTAGTTCTTTAATCAAAACAGGTGCTGAGGCAAGCTTCCGAATAAGGCCGGGTATTGCCTCTGTTTTGTTCCACTTCTACGCCTCCCTCCTCCAATGGCTCTCGTGTCCAAATCTGATTATAAACTATCAAGAACGGCAATATCAAATGTTATTTGATGATTCCAGTGATCAATTTCTGCTAAAGAGCTTCAGTTCCATAATCTTGAGAAATGTGTAAAGGTGGGTTCATGATTGCGAATCAATGATCATTAGCAGCTCGCTTTGTAAGCATTGTGTTAGCCTGGTTAATATTTCTGAAGCTTTTTGGCTCATTGGCAAGGTGATCTTGCAAGGTGATCTGGCCTTTCGTGCAGCATGGCTGATTTAGAAATAAATGTATGCTGTTACCATCATAGCGTGCTGTGATTGGCTTTTTGTATGCCCAACCAGCTTCCTTTATAGAATCACATGGGACCAGCCGTTAAATCCAATGTCCTCTTTCCTCTGTATACCTTGAAGCAATTTTTCTTAATTTAAGGCGTGTCAATGCAGCTTTGAAGTCTCAAGTCGACCGTTTATGGCACACGACTAACATATACATGAACAGCCAGATTTCTTTAGCTGGGGAAAAGCTTGCTTCAAAAATGCCCGGAGACCTGAAGGTAAGGTCGTCTTTTTCTGTATTTTACAGTGGAATTATATGACGAAAATTTGCCACAGAGGCCTTTTTACTACCGTCCTACTCTATATTTACGTGTTGTTAGATAGAAAATCAATAGGAGCATAATTTTATGTATACAAATTCATCAGTTCGTTCTTTATATTTTCTCCGATTAAAACTTGTATGCCGGGGCAAAAAATTAGTATACATTAAATTTAATTCATTTTAAAATCATATTACATAGTATTGGATTCTTGTCGTCGTTTTTATTTTTTTCTTACTATTTTCCTGACCTTTATATTGATACTCGTTGCAAGGTTTACAGAATCCGGCGGGCAGCCCATCCTGCGTTTCTTCCTTCTTACACATTTTACCGAAGTGATGACGTCACAAAAATATATTTTTAGAAATTTTTAATTTGAATTGATGTTACAGTACTTGAATTTACACATGGAAATGCTGTCACTTTGAATGAATTACTACCTATAGAAAGTCCTGGTATTCTATGTTTGAGAAGTTTTAAGAAAGTCTTAAAAAAGGTTAATATTGCGGAATGATCTTTTTGTTTTACAGTATCTTACGCATTTTATTTTATGGTCTTGGTCGAAAAGTTATGAATCTGAATTACGAACCTATGAATTCACATGGCTTTTTTATATTATGATTTATTAATCACCAAATGTGACATTATTGCTAACGTTTATTTTTTTTCTTAAAAGGTTGTTTACTTCGTGAACAGTGGCTCTGAAGCAAATGATCTTGCGACCTTAATGGCCCGAGCCTATACGAGAAGCTTCGACATAATCAATTTAAGGTAGGAGCTTTTCATGTTGCCTGCATATAAAGAGGTTTTTAGTGTCATGCTGTTTTTGCTACTACAATAGATTGAATTTGTTAGTATTAGAATTCGTCGGAAGTTTCTAGGGCTCTAGCAGTTACTGTAGTTGTAAACTTGATGTAGGTGTATTTGAAAGTAAATCAATGAGCCGCATAAATGACATAAAAAACACGTCGTTTAAAGGCTCTTGCGCAACCGGCATGCTTAGCGGCAGTTGTCTTGAGAAATTGACTGTGTTTTGTATTTTCATGCAGTACGATATTAAGCCTGTTCTTCGAACTATAGTCGCAAAGCGTGCCGGTTGCGAAAGAGTCTTTAAGATTGGAGGAGGAAGTGTGTTCAGTAGCCATATTTTCATTCAGGTCCACCCTGCCCTTCGGGTGCTGAATCAATTTGGCGAAGGATTCTGAGCTTTCCTTTAACTATAGGAATATTCGAACTTAAGGTCTTTGCCTACTTGATCTATCAATAATTTCTTCTTTCGGATTTTCATTAATGTAATTCTTTGCGGGGAGGGTACTGAAGACATCTGCAATTATGTTTTATAACTTTCTCTGATTTGATTTAGAATTTCGAGTAAGAGTGTTTTTTAATCTCTTAAAATACAATCTGTGCTTGATCAATATTTGCTGTACTATATAAGATTTGAACTGAAGCTAAAGTTTCCATCTTTCGTATATTTCTTCTCCCTCTTCTTTCTCCGGAGGAAATAATAAATTATCCTACTATCCATTCAAAAACTGGCATATCAAAAAACTGAAAGGTTAATTTGTGTTTATTGGGTTTTCTTGAATGACAGGGTGGTGACATTACAGTTTATGGGGTCTTATCAGTTCTTCTCCCTTACCTGGTCGTTTGTTTGAAATGAATCTATTTCGAAAAGAGGGGAAATGTTTAGTCCAAAAAGACCATGTAGGTGTAAACCAATTTGAATCCATGGTAATAGATGAAAATTATCGTGGGATGCGATTAAAGTTTCTAGTGGTGAGTGTTTACTACAAATCTAAGGAATGTCAAGAAGGAACGTTTTCATGGTTGCTTAACTTTATAATTTTTCTATTGTTGCAGAAATTCTTATCATGGCACCAGTCCGTCGTTGTTAGGGATCCTGGCACAGACAAACTGGAAGCAGAATGTTCCACTCAATTTTGGCTACTCTGCGGTTTGTATCCTTTTTTTTAATGGTGCTGTAAAATCAAATTATTGGTGATATATGCCACAGCAAATCGAAATAATGCTAGGGCTTTAACAAAGTCTTTTTGTTGGCTATGGTTTATTTAGGGTGCATGTCCAGAGAAAAATAAAAGTTCCTGCAAACAGCGCAATAATGACCCTTCAGGTGAAACAAAGAAAGACCTGGGTGGCCTACAGTGTGGAGTATTGGCAATTAGTGTAGAGTATTGGCTTACAAAAATTGAAGTATGTTCCTTCTCATTTGTTGGGAACATCAATTTAGTGCTAAATGCAATTCATTAAATCTTTAGTCTCGAATCTGGAGCCGGAATTTTTGTTTCTGCACAAGGCAATAGCTTGACCATTTCGTGTTTTCTCCCTTCTCTGCGAAATCCTGCGGATTGTAAGCTTTTTGATTTCATCAAGAAGGTTGGGCCTTCTTACTTTTCCAGTAATGGCACTTTTCTTTCTTTTTTTCTACAGGCAATGAATCCAGATGTTTATAGAGGTATCTGGGGTGGAAAAAACTGTCGAGACTCTCCTGTTCAGGTTATTCAAGGATTACTTTGTTTTCTTTCACTAACCCCTTGACTACTCATAACTCTTAATTTAAGGGGAATTTTTCTAATCCTCTGCACATTCCCATATAGCCTTTGATTCAGAGACTTTGGGACAGAATTTAGCAAGGACATAATTTGAGTCATCACGCGACTATAATGTTTTGTATGAAATCGGCCTGTCTTTTATTTCATATGAAAATATTTTAATGCGACTTTTCGATTTATTTCGATATTATTCTAAACTTTTGTTCATAATTATATTGTTTTTTGAATGAAATCTGTGTTTGTACTCGATTCTTAGTGTTATGGCTTTAGCTATACGTGAATAATTTTGAGTGTAACGTCTTATTGAAACAAATAGTCACTATTTTGCGTATAATAGAACAGGACAGTTCTTAGTTGCTTACTTAGAACCGTCCTGTTCTATACACCAAATAGCGTGTACAGCTCTGCCTATATTTTATCGAGCACTTAATGACAGACCGGTGAACAGTCATATTAAAACAAATAGTATATTTGTCATTAGTTGACACCCAGACTGATACTTGCAAACTGATTCCTCTGTCCCTATGTTTAATTACTATCCAAAGAAATCTTTATTGAGCATGGAACTCAGTTTGAGCTTAAAACTGTCTGTCTTACTCACTAAAGCATCTACTGCTCCGTCTGCATGTTATCGAGGACATTGAAACATACTGGTACACAGTAATCTTCATTAAATGTTGCGAGAAATATCAGTTCAAATAGTACTACATTGTTGATTCACCACCTTAGTTTCCCTTATTTTTTGTTGAACATCAATCATGTAACAGTAGTTTTTCTTAATTTTAGTCCTTTTTCTCTTTCTCCAGACTTCAAGAGACTGTGATTGCAATCCAGGTTGGTTTTCAACTTTCAGTCGTTGTAGTGTCTTCAGATGTGAAGGCGTGCCTCCCGATAGACAAAAGGATAACTTAGAAACCCTGAGAAACCCTGAGTAATCCTTAGAAACCAAAAGAAACCAATAGAAACCAAAAGAAACCAATAGAAACCAATAGAAACCAATAGAAACCAATCGAAACCAATCGAAACCAATCGAAACCAATCGAAACCAATCGAAACTAACCAACATCAATATCTATGACCAAATTATTTTTAAAATAAAGTTGCATCAAACTACGAGAGAATGCAGAATAACGAAGTCTTCTTATCTAGTACCTAAAAAATAAGAGCTACTTTTTAAATTCACCCAACTCATAAGTATCGGTTGTTAACTAGGTGTTTGTTATTCTTAGGCCAATGCAAAGCGTGTGATGGATACGTTGGACAATTGCAAGAAGTCTTAGATTATGCAGTTTCTAGCAGAATTGCTGCATTTTTTGCAGAGCCAATTCAAGTAAGAAAGCCTTCTTCGATTTAATGAGTACTTCTTCTTTTTTATGTTCTCTCTGGTTCACGCTGTATGAATGATGGTTTTTTCAACTGGTGAATAGTTTATATTAAGATTAAAACTTTACAATATTTGAAATAAATGAAGTCTGTGGGATCGGATCAAGTTTTAGGGTGTGAGGATTGCTCAGAAGTTAGTGCTGTGGAATGCAGATTCAAGACTTGAGTCATGACCCAGCTTTAACATCGATTGAGGAGAATTGAGGAGAGTCGCCACCTCGCTGTTATTCCAGGCATAGGAGTCACGAGGCATATGAATCACGAGGTGTGGTCACATTAAGAGGAAGGACCGGGCACTTTTCTATAAGCATAGTTTCTCAGTGTCATCATACATCTGAAGGTGTCTTTGTCTCTCCCTGGCAAGAATGAATGACCTTCCTTAATTTAATGGATTTTACCATGGATGGCTCAGTAGGTGGGGTCGCTGACTTATACCAAAGGTTCCGTGGTTCGAGTCCGTGACATGACCAAATGTTCTCTAAGAGTGAGGAGAGTTTTCAGCTCTCTGTAGTTCCATGGGAAGGAATCATGGGGTGTGGTCACATCGAGAGGAAAGACCAGAACACTGCTCGATAAGCATAGCTCTTCAGTGTCCTAAAACTACCTTCAGAAGTTAGGTAGCAAACAATGCAATACAATACAAAACAATACCAGATTTTAACATTTTTTCTATATGCGAGAGAATTGTTTGCGTAGGAATCATGTCTCGAGGTTAAGCAAAATTTGTTCAGGACAGTTGATATTTTGGTTGTGATTCCTGTACTTTTTACCTTGACATTCCTGTATTTTTAGGGTGTTGGCGGAACCGTCCAGTACCCAAAAGGATATTTAAAACAAGTCTATGAGAAAGTGAGGTCGAGAGGAGGTTTATGCATTGCAGATGAGGTAAGTTGAAACTTTCATGCCTATGAACCATTATCCAACAAAAGGTAATCTTCTTATTTCAATCCCCGAATTGACTTCTTAACAAACCTTTTAAGTTGCTAGTGCTATGAATAAAATATTTTGATTGATACTCTATTACCACAATTTATGAAATTGTGAAACATTTAGAGGCAAATGATCTTTTTTCAAAGGATCAATATGGTTTTAGAAGAAATGCAATTTACTTCAGCTTCGCAAAGGCATTTGACTCCGTACCCTATCAACGGCTTCATTTGAAGTTAAATTCGTATGGAATTAGAGGCAGTGTACTCCAATGGATCACTGTTTTCCTCCAAGACGGCAAGCAGAGAGTGTTACTGAATGAATTCAAGTCTCCTTGGTCAAACATTTTTAATGGTGTCCCGCAAGGAAGCATCCTTGGGCCCTTATTGTTTCTTATTTATATCAATGCTTTACCAGATTGCATTGAAAACAGTTCCCTGGAGATATATGCAAATGATTTGAAATCATACCGAATAAACTCGGGCAGCTACCAACCAGTTCAGGATGACATTGATCGAATCGAAGTTTCAGCCTATGACAGTTGTCTCTAAATGCACAAAATTGTTCTAAATTGCGCGAAACAATTAAGAAGGGAAAGAGGGAAGGCTCAAATACTTATTACATTGTTGTCCAAAAAACAAGCATCACATCGAAATAAAAGAATCGGAATAGACAAAACACCGTGGAGTTCTCGTCGAAACCAATCCAACATTACAAAAACGATCGCCACTTGTGTAAGAAGATCGAACGGTGTCCTCGCTTCAATGAAAAGACCGTCAAGTATTTAAATATTGAAACTTCCAAAACATTGTACATTGCTTTAGTTAGACCATTATTAAAATGTGTTGGCGCGATTTGGAGCTCAATCCTCGTCAAAGACATTCGTTCGCACGAAAGCGTGCAAAGAAGAGCCACAAAATAAGTGCCATCGCTGAAAAGATTGCCTTACAAAGAGTACCTTATTGCCCTTGTTCTCCCAACTCGTGTCAATAGAAGAGCTAGGAAAGAAATGTTATCGGTTTTCAATTTCATGAAGGATATCGTCGACTCGAAGTATACAACTTTCTTCAAGTTTTGTACAAATAAAACAAGAGGACACGACCTCAAGCTTATTGAACAAAGGAATCACTTGAATGTAAGACAAATTTTCGCAAAGAATCGCAGAGTTGTGGAACAAGTTACCAGAAGTCATTACCAACAGCTTCAGTTACCAACGCAAATATTAATTTTAAGGGTTTTACAACTGCAAGCCTCGTACTCCCTTACTCGTTATTATATAAATTGTGTCCTGAACAAGTTTTCTTAATTTTTATAGCAAACTTAAATTTTTTCTTTCAAATTATGTAATTTAATGACAATTTTTACAAAATAATATGGTTGTAAATTACAGGTTCAGACTGGTTTTGGGCGAACAGGAGAACACTACTGGGGGTTTCAAGGTCATGACGTCATCCCCGATATTGGTAAGTTATCTCGATGAAGGACAGTATCGTTTTCCATCAATGCTCAGTTAATCAGTTGCTTTTCAGTCCAGTAAAACTTTTGAGGTAGAGGTCCATTCAGTGACGTAGCCGGATGGTGAGCAAGTGGGTCATGGTTCTTTTCTTTTGGTAATAGAAATATTAAAGATAATGGTTATCCCGTTTTTGATCTAGAGTGACGTAGCTTGACTTATCTGCCAAGCTTATTTATGAAAACCTTCTAATAAGTCGCAGAGGTGGCGCCAGAAATCTTCCGACAGAGGGGTTGGAGCTTCCGACAGGGGGGCTAAAATGACTGAAATAAGCAGTTTTCGTACGTTATTTGTCAAATTTGCTCCGACAATAACCTAAAATTTCCTCCGATGGGGGGGCTAGATGCTTCCGACGGAGGGGCTGTAGCCCCCCCTAGCCCTCCCCTGGCGTCACCAATGAAGAGACCTCGAATTGAAAAACAATGGCCACATTCATGATCCCTTTTATACACTGATGTTAGGAGATATCTCAATGCAAAAATGATACGCTTTTAGATGTCTTGTTGCCTTCAAAACTCATTTCACATATGGATAAAAGAAACAGAGTTACTCATTGCTTTATTCAGTATAAGCTTCCCAGGGATTTTTGTACTAGATACATAGGGATTTATGTACAGTGATTCACCTGTATTATACCTCCTCGCTATCTTTATAATTTTTAGTCACCATGGCTAAAGGCATTGGAAACGGGTTCCCAATGGCAGCAGTTGTTACTACACCGGGTATGTTTTAAAATGATATCTCCATTTGACTAGCTGTTCACTTTATGCACGTCATCAAGCGTCACCGTGGTGATATCAGCTGTTGCGTATTTAAGGCTGCTCCTTCATTAGACTTTCCCAAAGTCTATTTTATGTTAAATCCGTAAGGCATTCGTACTACTGCGAGGGCATATCTAGTTTCTCGTCTCCTCCGCAGTTTAGATATACCCTCGCAGTAGTACGAATGCCTTACGGATTTAACATAAAATAGACTTTGGGAAAGTCTTCTCCTTCATCATTAGTAGCTATTTAAGTACTTACAAATTATTAAGCATAGACCTTATTATACGCAGACACAGAAAATGTTGCAAAATCCTGCAATCTAATTTTATATGTTTTGATTACAAAGTAGGTAATAGCCAAGCGAATGGCCTTGTACTATCAACATAAATTGTGATGGAAACTGCGATTGTTTGTTATCCGTAAGTTGAGAGTATCAAACACCTTGTTTGTAAGCGTCTAACTTATGCTTATTAAAAACAAATCTCCAAAAGGACAGTTTCATGTGTTTGCATAAACGAACTTTCAACCACCACTCCACTTGGTTATCAGTATCTTTTATAGTGCCTATAACAATTGCATTGATTGCGTTGATTTGAATCTTAACCCCTTTTGGTTATAGAAAATCTTCAATATGTTTTGCCGTGGCTTCTATCCTTAATGAAAGCAAAGTCACATGGGTCCTAACCATAGCGTTAATTTTTGTAACTGGAATTCATATATTCATTGAAATTTTCAGAGATTGCGAGAAGTATAACGACAGGAATTCACTTCAACACATTTGGAGGTAACCCAGTGGCATCTGAAGTAGCTTCAACAGTGATGGATGTATGTTTTTAATTTTTCTGCTGCTATTTGAAAGTAAAGAAGCATTTTTATTTAAATTAGTATTTACGTATCTAAACGTTGTGGGTTCTCCGCAAAAAGGGGTATGTATCAGCTGTTAAGTAAAATCCCCATCGAGGGTCTATGTTAACTTTCTATTAGAAAGTTGTTTGAAGTATTAAATACGGAAACTTTCACTACCAGAGTTTCGCTTCAATCACATTAACTTCTCAAATTCATTCATCTTAGTGTGACAGTGAAAGGGCAGGAAAATTAATTTGCTTAACAGCAACTTTGTTTACGTACGGACTTTTGGGAGTACTTTGTCTGAAAAAGGTGCCATCTACCAAAGGCATTTTCATTTTTTACTGTTGCCTATTTTCCTAAAATTTGAGGTAGGTAATGCGACATGGAATTTATAAGCAGAATTCTGAAAGGGTCTAGGAAAGAGCGGATTTTTGGATTTTTAACGGACTGCAAGGAAGGAAATTAGAAATTTCCTAGAAATGTGTACCCTCATGACATAAGTAACCATGATCCTTCTTTTGTAGAACAAAATTAAAAGAATCTTCAAAATCGACTTGTTTTTTGTATACATTGTTTATTTTTTATTTGCAATTTGTTTCATTAAGGTAATTGACGAAGAGAAGTTGCAAGAAAATGCAAATAATATTGGCACATCTCTACTGCTAAAGTATGCGAAATTGAGAGACGAATTCCCCATTGTTGGTGATGTACGCGGAAAGGGTTTTATGATTGGAATAGAGATGGTATCTGACAAGGTAAGAAAATGCTCTTCTCGCAGTCCGGATTGGTGACAAACTTTCTCAATCCTTCTGAGTCGAATCTTAGCATCTATCCTCGGGATTCTAAACATGAGATCCTCATCATTATTTTCATTCAATTATGCCATTCATTGTTACATATGAGTTACTCAAGCATCCTTAGGGGGCAGGGAATTTTAGAAGGATAGGCTAGCAAATTTTTCTTTCTTTTTATGGGGCAACAAACGAGGAATTTGATTTTCTGCTCTACATCAGAAAGGAAAGGTAGCTTAAACATAGGAACTGACTTTGTTAATGATCTCAAATGTAGATATTAGACCAACTACGATAAAAGCTATTTGTTTCACATCGTTTTCTAAAAAAAACTTAAGAATAATGCATTTCTACTCGTTTGCTTAATGTAAAATATGTCACTTTTACTAATATAAAACCTCTTTCCAGCCACGGATCCTTGAAGGAGCATTCACAATAAAACATCATAGTATCTAGACTTAATTACTATGCTCTGAAATGATTATATATTTAGTTCATGAGGTTGTTCTAGCTTTTTCGACAATCACTGTTTCATAGTATTTTCAACTTTAGTAACTCTAGTTTCAAATTTTAGTTTTTACCTGTGTATCATTGTTTCAATTCTTCTTTCTGTGTGTAAAATATCTCTAAAACGAGTGGTCCTATGGTCCGAAACTTTTTCCGACCCTGATTAGTGGAGTACTCATGAATTTGGCAAATATCATTCGTTTTGGAACTCGGAGGTGGTTCCTTTCATCAAATGCTCTCGTTCCCCAATTAATGCAACTCAGTAGGAATGTTCCTTATGTTGTATGCACAATGATGTAATCAAGTCGCGCTATCCATACAGTGGCCTATTGAGAATCTTGATCGTATTCTTAACACCAGGTCTAAATTTGTTGCTAGATAATATAGAGGACCAGATATTAGATTTCTCTTTTAGAGAGATTCTTGAGCTTCATTAGACTTTTATTCGTGCATTTGTCTTTTTATAGGAAACGAAAACACCATTGCCAGCAGAAGAGATGGCTGACATTTGGGAGAGAACGAAGAACTATGGAGTATTGTTTGGAAAAGGTGGCCGATTTGGCAATGTACGTATTCTTTTCTATACTGGTGAATTTTAAAAGTGAACCCCACCCTTATTTTGATTTTCATGCCTTTCATTGTAAATTTTTTTTAGGCATAGTAGCCCCTGAGTTAAAAAAACTAATTTACAGGGGGTCATGCATTTAAATACCATATAAGCTAGACTAATGGTTATAGTTTCAGTAAAATACACCAAGCTTAAAAAAAGAGTGAAAGAATTCACATGTAAAAGATGCTGCCACGCATGCAACGCGAGATTTCATCGGTCCTTCCTTAGATTTCTTTAAGGCTGAAATACACGATAAGTTTAAACTGTCAGTTTTCACTGGTGGCAGAAAAACTGATCGTGTAAACATCTAAAAACAGACGTTTTTTCAGCAATCAGTTTAGAACTGTCAGTCCTTTTTAAAGTTGGACATGTTCAACTTTGCAATCAAAACGGAATGTCGATTATCATTTGAAAACGATGCGGGTGTAAATCCCTTCTTTTTACTGCATCATGTGCCAACTTCATGCGAAGAATCTATTTTTCGAAAAGAAATACATCGAGCCAACAGAATTTTTTATCAGTGTTCAGAGGAAGGACCAAGTTTGTTGGATGTTACATCTTGTTTATACAAAGATCGCGATTCAAAATATTTTCTATACTCATCCTCATCTTCAAGACGAAGCTCACTTAACAAACTAGCATAGGCACCTAACTGTACTCGTCTTTGAAGCCATGGTTTAACCAATGAAGATCTTTCCCTCCATTTTGAAATTTGTTTCGTTTTGAAAGCTATAATTGAAGCCACAGCAGCACCTTCCGTGTCGCTGTCCAGTCCATCGTGAAAATGAAGGAAAATAATATCATCAGTTTTGACTGATCATGTAAACGGGTAGATCGATCAGGCATAACTGACGAAAAAAATCTGTGACTTGAAACCTATAAGTTAAAACTGATAGTGTATTGCAGCCTTTAGAGCCAGATTTCTATGCTTTAGATATCGCGTTATGTTAGCATTGAGGAGGACTGAAGGGTGTGTTTGGGGAGATTTGTAGCAGGGTTTAGGGCTGGCTGGAGAAAGGTTGCAGAGAGAGGAGGACATTTGGTTACTGGCATTTGGATAGAATGAATTAGAATGGTGTACTGTTTGGTAAAGCTGGCCGATTGGGTAATATATGTATTTGTATGGCACTATCATTGGGTTACGAAAAGAATCGAGGTTCCGCTTTATTGAGGTTAAAGACCCTCTCCAGGTTATCAAACTAGCAGCTTAAAAAAAATTACTAGTAGAAAGAAATTGAATGATATGAATATGTATTTATAAATGTTTGAATATTGTCCTGTATAATGTTGCAAGTTTTTATTGAAGCATTGAATTATTTGAATAACCAGTTTGTCTGCCAAGTTGTTCTCACTGTTGTTCCGCTTCACCTAAGGCTTCTTAATTTTGACTGTCTGATTAGGAATTAAATCTCATTAACAAGTCGATTGTTTGCTGTCGTCTTACTAGGTTATGTCTCACTGATTAGGCACAAAACCTGTTAGTTTAAAAAGTAAACCCGTTCTCCTTCTGAACTTTGTCAGCAAAGCACACCAAGGGCCCAACCTCTTTCGAGACTGGCTGGTCTGGTCTTAAGACAACATCTTGCCAAGGGGCTACTCCAAGGAAATATTTAAACTAACTCTAAAAGATGAAATATATCATTGATAGCACCGGAGGTTTTCCGAGAGTGGGGCTTTGCGAGGGCTGAAATATCTTTATCTTTCAACTTTGTAACAATTAGTTTGATTTTAACCTTCAGACAGGGGGTACCGTTAGGGAATCCTGCCCCCTAGCCCTATATGTTTAGTTTTAGTGTTGTACTTCGAGGTTTTAGGAGGAAAATTGGTTTGAGATCCTTTCTGATTAAGAATATTCCGAAGTTCATGTTTGTTTCGGGTTGCATTCCTCGCCAAATGTCTGTTTCTTGTGATAAAAGGCTGTGTTGTTTTTCACCCAGGTTTTTAGAATCAAGCCACCGATGTGCATCACCCAGGCTGATGCCGATTTCTCCTACGCAGTACTCCGTAAATCAATCAGAGAGCATTTGGAGGGGTTATGAAGAGGTTTCCATATTTCTAAATTGATACATTCGCAATTCAAAAAATAAAAGCAACGGTAGTTTCTAATAAATTATGTGCGAATCAATTATTTGGAGCAGGTGTTGTAAGCTAGAGAATTTAGAAATATCTAGAGTTGGACTGAGTGTAGCTTTTTGTATCCATTTTTTGATTTGTTAAAAGGAGGCTTTGAATTTTGTCTGTGTAGCTGTGTGAATATGTGTGCTCATTTCAAATCCGGCCTTTCTTTGTAGCTAAAATGGGTAACAATGATTTCTCAATGAAAATCTCTTCAAATAAGTGATTACAGTGTGATGATTATGCAACTATTGCACTTACATTTAGCTCCAACCCATTTCCCAATCATTCCATTAAAACTATCAAGCTATTAGTTGATTTTATTTCATTTGTTCAACAATTTGGATTTCAACAGATGCAAAGTACCAGTTGTGTACTGAGGTATCTGTTTGAGTTAACATTTCTCGAGTTTCTTATCCTGGTTGATAGATAAGTTGCTTATTCACAGATAGATAAGTTGCTTTTGAATTTTGTGCGGCCATTTTTTATAACATTGCATTAAGGCTACTAGCTCAAATCCTGTTGCATTTTTTTTCTGGCCAGGGCAGCTTATGTCTAGTGACTGTCTTAAAACCCTCCGATGTGCCTTGTTTTTCATCACGCTGAAAGCTACTTACGTCCATCTTTTTTATGTTTAGAACCTTTGCTCAGGAGCTAGCTGGGGTAAACAGAGAAGTGAATACCCCTCTTCTGAGCAAACTACTTCCTTAAGGATTTTTTCTTCATAAGAATAGTTTGCAAATGTTCTTTAACCGGAGTAAAATCAAAGCCAATTCTGGCAATTAGTTTTCCATATAAATGTCATAGCGTATTTTAAAAATATTTGCTTATAATAGGACTTTTATTACCATAAAAATATTTAGTTTTAAATGACTGACTTTATGAACACCTTATGCTGGCTTTTTGTGCTGTAATTAGATATTCTTATATGCGTTTTCTTTCGCATCGTTAAGAAACAGTTGTCCAATAACTTATATCCAACGTAATTTTTAGGATGAGATCCATATATGTACACTTACGGGACAAAAGTATTAGGACGATGAATAACAAAATGGCGGCTCCAAACCAGCATTCTAACATTGATTGAACAAATCTTGCTGTTTTTGCGGGATTCTAGAAATGGCGTCAGCAAAAACGCGATTCCTAGCAAATTCAATTTATTTCCTACCTTTCTATGATAGAAAAGTAACAAAATGTCAGGGAGAAATGGAAATATCAACATTTTAGCTTCAATGCCGAAAACACAAAAGTGACCAGACAGAGAATGAGAAGCAATTAAATATTGGGGTCTAGCGAGTCATTTGTTCGCTGAAACTGCAAGAAAGTTTGGTTGCAGCAAGTCTACAACACATGTTATTTACATGAACAATAAGTTAACAATGCCGACTAAAATTAAAAGAATGGTAGGCCAGGGTAGGCCGACTATTGGTTGGGCCTAATGGCATCTGCAAACTGGCGTTGTGTGTGAAATTAATCAATCCCGAATATTTTGTCCAATTATTTGTGGAAAGTCCCCAGGCAAGTACAGAAACAAGTAATGATTCTTTGCGAAGACCATTTATTTCTAAGCAAGACAATAAACCTTGATATGCTGAAATTGTGACAAAAATTTCAAAAATAACAACATTATGGTTTTTCAATAACTCCATCAAAGTCAAGTCCTTGATGTAATTGAAAACAACTAGTTATCATAGAAAAATTTAAAGAAATGAAATCTTTTAAGACCGAAAATAAGCTCTTTCAACATTTTCTTGAGATTTCCTCCTGAATCCGAAAATATTTCATTGCAAAATTATTTCGGTGAGTTCCAATGCAAATGGCGGCTGCCAGATTCCTGGAGATCATCCGAGATCAAGCTAATTGAACTTGTCTGAGGAATCTATACATGTTTATTTTTACAATTGGGTAAACTTGCAATTGAAAATCTCAACCAGCAATCTCGTTATGTTCCACCGATTTTCTATGTTGTTCTTTGAGCAAAGGGTTAACCATATTTGCTGAGGCGATCGTCCTAATACTTTTGTCACGTAATTGTATATTGAATTAAATCATATATATTGAATTGACTCTTATTATTTAGACTGATCCTTTCTGTGTTTAAGAAGGTCTGCTTTAAATTTCAACTGAAAGTTTTAATCATGATTGTATGCATTCCAGCGATCGTTTCATCCGTGATTTTAACATATATTCACCATTGATTTTGTAAAACAAATTTTAGCGGACGATAAAAAGCGATTTAAAATGAAATGTTTGATATATTTTATGTTTCACTATTGAAAGTCCTGGTGGCTTCTGGCTAGACATACAAGTAGTGTATGGGTGTACTAAACCTTCAAGTCTTTATAAAGAATTATGTGCTATCCTGTATTTGTGTGCTGTCCAAAGACATTCGTGCTATGCAAAGGCACAGTCTTAGAGTCCTTTCCTCAATACTGAATTATTCAAACCTTTTAAAGCAAATATATTTATCTCCACTCAGTTGATGCAGACACTTATTTTCTCTGCACTGACCAACTTGTGGTTCAAAACCAGGCAAGTTCTTTCGATTTTGATTTGGCTGAAGCTTGCGTTCAGCATGATACGCTCGAGTCGTTGTGTTTAACAAGTTTCTCTTCTAAAAAACGCGTTTGTGCATGACTTCACATATGGGCTAATAGCCACCGTTATAGTTGAAATGACGTCAAATAGCCTGTTTAGTATTGATTGTATTCAGTGCTGTTTGGCCTTAAGAGGGGGGCTGCCTCAGTCGTTTGAAGGCTTTCTCGTCTTCATCTCCTCTCATAGATATCATGATGTATCGTGATGTTTCGTATCGTGATGTCGCCGTTGTGTGAAAACTCCCATCGTAAAGCAGTTATCTCTGCAAGCACGATAAAACAAAAATCACTCGGTGTTTATAGCTGGAACATCGTAGAATATCAGTATATTTACATAAATGAATACATATAACAGGCATTAGCCCTTGCAATTACTTGAGAACGAATGCATTCAGTTATTTACAGTGCATCTTACTCGTGACTGCTATTCACATTAAATCTAAATCAATTTGTGCAGCATCTCTAGCTTCAACTCATACAACATGTCGAGACAATATTTACAAAGCTTTTAATAATATGGCAAGAAAGTAAGAGAACTATCCTAAAATGCTTTACTTTTACAATAGAAACTGTTTTGATAGCTGAATAGTATTATTCACTCTACTATATTGATGATTTTACACTGATAATAAGTTGCTAGCTTTTACGTTGATGGTGTCTTCAGAAGATCATCCAAAATGCTAGACTGCAGCTTCTCGAAGATGCAAATCATCCACCAAGGGCTTATTATTTTCACGAATGCTTACATCATTTCTTTGAGCTTTTGAAGGGCTCAGTTAAATTAAAAGATGCATCCCAGCGAAAAGATAACCAATGAACTGATCTTCGAATGAGAAAACGAGAAACGATGTTAAAGCGAGAAACGACGCTATGACGCAATAGGCTCATTGCTGTGACGCAAGGCAAATTCATTTAGATTACTTTACTCAACAAATTCATGTCATATTGATGTCGACGCTATCTTCACTTTCCACGAAATGCGTGCTGAGATGGAAATACTATAGTAAAAGATTTTATATCAGTTTAACTGCAAAAACGCTCGCAAACCGTACATCATATTGCTCAAAACTTGTCAGATAATTGCTAAAAATGTTTCTGCCGAATATAGATGACGCCCAAATTTATTATCATCTGTCTGGGCGCCGACATGGAATTTGCCGACATTGAATTTGCCGACTTGGAATTTTATTGATCATGTTTTTTGCTGACAAGCTGAACTAAATCTGTTTGTAGCTGGTTTGATGTGGAAATAGTTTCCTAGCTGGTTTTATTCTATCTTGAATTTATTTTACAAATGTTTTACCGTTCAAATTTAGGTTGATTTTCCTACAAAACTCATTTTTAACTATTACCCTTCGAACTCATAAACGTGTGTCCGTTACCAAATCAACACTCGTTCAAACCATGCTCTATGCGAAGCTATGTTTTTGGAATTGTTTTTGGCAAGTTTTATATGGAACAGCCTGCTATTATTCTGAAATGGAATTTATTCCTACAATAAGATTTTCACTTTGTAATTTTGGCTTTGATCCTCTCTCTGGTGTTAACTCTCTTACAGTTTTCGACGTTCATTACTTACATCACCGCAACGTCTAAACAGGCCTTTTGACCAGCAATTTTCACCTACAAAGCAATTTATCTACAAAGTCCGTTTGATTTGGAGTCAAATCGTTTAGAATTTGTGTTCTTCTGTTCCATCTTCGCCTACACCATAGCTTTTCGATGCATCTCTTTTTCTCTTTGATTTGATTTCATAAGAGTTTTTGAAGGACGTCTCCGTTAAACGTCTGTTGAATCGTTTTCCTAGCATTCTGTGGACAGTAAAGCTGAATGCTGTGCGGAAATTCTTGTGCAATAATGAATATATGAAAGGATTCAACGTGCAGTTCAGTGGCGGCAGTATTAGGATGAATAAATAATACATAGCATGAAATAAGTCGGGGTGTTCTCTTTGGAAGCGTGACCACCACTTTTCGTTGAGGAGAGCGTGCAACGTTATAACACAGCTTGGCAACCAGCATACCAGGAATGCGCCATAGACCACTGACACGGATTTCATTGAATTGAATTGCTTCATCCTTCTTCTTCGTGCTGTTTTGCACTCTCGCTTTAACTCTACTTCCAGAGCTCCGATCGCACGCACATGTTTAAGTGCCTCGTGAAGTATCACCAGGTATATGATGCCGATTGCAAAAAGTGGTACTAGCAGGACAATCGTGTAGACTGATACCCAGTAATACTTATTCTCAATACCGCATCGAACAGCCCCTCGAATTACCAAACTTTTCAGTGCTATTCTGTTTGGCGATCTCCAGTCAAATATTCCAAGGCCAGCCCACGTGGCAGAATAGAGCCAGACGAATGCAATTGAGGCGAGTGCCCGTTTTTCAGAAATGATGCTCGAGTATTTCAAAGGAAAACTGACTGCAATAAAACGGTCAATACTGATGATCAGGATGTTTGTTATGGAAGCGATGTCGAAATATGTGCTCAGAACAAGTACAGTCTTGCAGGCAATGTCTGTTGAACAGAAAGATCCATTTTTAATTGCTGTCATGATTCGAAATGGCAGTACAATAAGCGGAATAAGTATATCACTGACAGCTAACGATATTATGAAGTAATTAGTGACCTGCGAACGAAGTGACGAAGAATACAGTATTCCAGCAATTACAATAACATTACCCACGACAGCAACTACGATGACTAGGATCAAAAACACAGTTATGCCGATGCCACGTGCAGATATTTTCGATGTTTGACAAGATGACTGTATTTGATTCGATGCCGTGCTGTTGCTGAAGTTAGAGCTTGCTGACGAAGCGCAGCTACTCATTTGAATAATAAGAAGAAACACAATCTTGGTGGCCTTTCTCGGTGCCATTCTGCTCTAAATGATGCCGTTTTCGCTGCGTGCTGTCTTCTGCTCTCTCAAAGTCGTCCTTGATACTCAATTCAATTTTTTCCTTGGAAATTCATCTTTTTGCAGCTGTCTTACTTCAGGTGTTTCATCAGTTTCCAAGCAATCATTGCATTCAATCAACCTATGCGATGTCCAAACACCTTGAAAAGAATGATATCAGAGCATGTCATTCCAAGCGTCGCCTAATAACTGATCGTATATTACTGATCGTATACTGGTGTCTATGAATACACCTGTGCAAATGTGAGTTTCTAGACTACCTCAGTCGTTCATTTGAGCACAGTTATTAAAAAAGCTTTCTATGTAAAAAGTAATGACGTTTGTTGCACAAGGCCGTTCAATCTCAACTTTCATAATTGCAAAACTGCGAATATGGACAAACGTTTCTATATATTTGCATTATATATAGACAGTTAAAGCAATTGTGTGGAATTTCTACATTGTATGTATGCTACATATTTTGCTTGAGTCATTATATAAGCAAATATTGCTGGTATTACATTCTGAAATGACATCTGGTATAAGTTCCACCAATTTATTTTCTATTTTTCATCATATGAATAATAACGTGAATGAATGAAAGGTCTAATTTTTTTCGTCCTTCGACGATAGATTTTGAATTGAAAATAACGAGCTCATTAAGCCATCATTAAACGATGACCTCCCTTTGGCGACTCCAACGATATAAGTTGCCTCGCTCCCACGTCACTCGGTGTTTGTGCGAGGTAAAGTTATGACTTAGAGATGCATCTTGCGGCAAATTCCTTAGGGCTGGGAAACGAATTCAAGCAGTCTAACAGCTAACTGAGTTACGCTAGCACAAACAAATGTGGACACGTTGTTGAATAAGATTTTTTTATGTAATGAAGAATGCTGGATCTTCCATAAAGTTTTTTTCAATAAGGAGTATACTTATAACATACAATATATACCAAGTTCCAAAGCAATGTGTTACAGTCGAGTGAAGAAGCCGAATAAATTGCCTAGGGATATTGATTTTCAGATTTTTGAAAAATAAAACGGATATCCGAAAGGATAAGTGTGCCATTCACATCTGTCTTTCAATCATTGAAATTGAAACCTTTTAGCGCTTAGAGCTGCGATTTCCAACCTTGGCTAGCAGCATGCTCGAAGTGTTCCATTCTGGCAAATAATTGCTGTTTGTATCAGTTATCATAGAACAGTTTTTTATGTATCATAAAAGATAGTTCGTGCTCAGTTTCATAACACATGTCTATTTGTGGAAGATTTAGGAAAAAGCTATATGAAAGCACAGTATGCTTTTATAAAGAGGCAGAGTCGAAATACCTCATATGTCAGTTCTCAAAACACCATTTCTAAATATCGTTTCAGAGAAACAAGGAATGGTCAAAAATAGGGCCAATAAGGAAGGTGCTGAAATGCTGAGTTGACCTAAACCGCCAATTGGTCTTTTGTGGCCTAAGAGCCATGTACCACCATGTCAGAAATATTTTGAATATTGACAAAATTAATCTTCAGTTCAAGGCTGGCTTACCCTCCTTACAACTACCTATTGACGCCCGTCGCCTTATCTTTGTTACTTTCCAATAAAAGTACTGTCGCACTACATCCATTTTGTTTTTGAAGAGTTAAGCCGCTGAGAGCAAGGTGATTGTGACATGGACGGCGGTGGCCAATACGGATAAACTGTATTGACTCGTTTCTCTTTAAAGTTTGAGCTATGGTCATGAATGTTAAGACCACTATTAAATCAAAATTGCTCGTGAAACCGCCAACGTTCTAAGATGGAAATACTCAAACTAATGGACTTTTAGCTAAATTTTCAAAATGGTGGCAGCTTCTTATTTTTCTAATCCAAATTAATAGACCAGAGTTTCATTGTTATTTATAACTTGAAGGTAAATATACTAAGTTGCATGCTGTATAATATAAAAGAATATAACTAGGAATTTAAGCAAAATTGTACCAGGAGAAAATTGCGAAGTTATTAACGACGTTTTGAGCATAGCCCGCTATCAAGATTTTTACGATGATTGAGGTAAACATTGCAAAATCCTGTTAATCAAGTGCTCCTTCCCCTAATTACTTTCTATTATGTACAGGTACAATGATGCTTAATAGAAACAATGATTATAGCCAAAGATTAATGTTTAAAAATCAAAAATTGACAGGGCAGACAACAAAATAATGAGAAAATGCTTATTTTTTGCTAGATTTAAAAAATTCTGCCAAATATACGATATTTTGTCAAAAGAAATGGAAAATTCTCGGAAATATCACTGCACATTCTCTACATTTAAAGAAGCCAACGAGGTTCATCGATATATAGCAATGCTAGCTTTACTTAAAGGTTACAAATCTTATGCATTATGTAATCACATGTGATGTTATTTAACTGCGTGTGTTCGGATTCTCATCAATATGTTAATTTGCATAGCATGTATATTAGTTGGACATTTTAACCATTCTCTGCACTTTCTGGTTGAAAAGGTTAATGCTTTTAATACCAAGGCGATATCTTTTGCGATTATTTTTACCAAAGACGTCTTGTTTACGCCTATCAATTTATTATAAGAGTTCCTGATATCCAAGAATATAGTCGTTTACAGTATTTAATGGCAAAACTCTTTCGTCATCGTGCTCAAGTTCCTTACATGTTCCAAAACATTGCGACTCAAGATAGATCTGCAAACCAGTTTCAGCTATTGTCTGACTCCTACATCTTGGTACGCGACCAAGATAATAGAATGTCTGGTTTCAAGACAACGGATATTTTTCTAGACGCTTACCTGATATCTCTGTCTATTTAAAACGTACAATAAATGTGGACTTTATTCAAGAACGTCGATTCTAACAAGCTTTTGGTGGTACAAAACTTGAAAATGGCTTTGAAAAAAGCAAACATTTGAGCAAACTAAAGCTTTCGTCTGATGTCAGAACATAGATCGAAAACTCTACGCTAGGAAATATATATACCCAGTTGTGGATCGAAATAGGCCAATCAGAAAGGCGAGCATATGACTGTAGAGGTTGACCAATCAGTGCCGCTTGCCTATTGAGAATGTTACCAATGGAGTCTTAAGGTGAAAATTAACTATTTTTGTCTACACAATAGCGGTTTTTTGTGCTTATGTAGATAGATTCCAAAACTGCTAGATGAAACGACGATCGGGTTTTACCAATAATCCGAAACATGTCGCCATTATAGTTAAATTACCTTGGATCGGTAACAGTTCCTTCCTCTTTGAAAAACAGACAAAACAGGCCATCGCAAATTGCTTCTTTGCCGTGAATCCATACATTGTTTACTGGACAAAAAAGGCCCTCCCCTTAATTCAAAAGGATTGCGTTCCTACCTCACAAAAGAGTTCCGTTGTATATGAATTTACGTGGCAGTGTGATTCTGGCTACGTAGGACGAACTACCCAAAGGTTGGAGGATAGAATAAAACAACATTTCCCGTCTAGTATTAAGCCCTGGTCAAATGATCCAACATTTTGCCCAACATTTTGCTGAACATTTTTGTCGATGTTGGAAGGTGATCCAACGTTGGTTGTCAAACGCTCCAACATTTCACCCAACATTTTGCTCAACATTTTCTCGCGCAGATCAAAAAAGGGAATGGGTAGGAGGTAACATTGATGTTGCTTAACAACAGTAGGCACACTAGACGCTCACGATAATGGCCGCACATAACGATGCGCCACCACATTTCGATCCGAGAAAACGAAAGGCAATCGCCGCCATAGCTATAAATGGTATCAATTGTAAGCAAAATCTAGAGTCGAAGCGAGAGTCGAAGCGAACGAAATCAACCCGAGAGGTCAACAACGATGCTATTATTGAATTTTGGCGGCCTTTTACCGACTACGCGTGCGCAGAGCCAACAATGTTGGCTGAGGTGGTCAAACGATCCAGCATTTCACTTAACACTTCAAAACAAAAGAATTGTTGGACGTCAAGAGCCAACATTTTTGACCTCAGTCAAATTTCGTCTAACATCGAAATTTACTATGTTGGGTGACCCAACAAGGTGGTCAAACGATCCAACATTTCGCCCAACATGATGGCGACATGTTTCGGATTATTGGTAAAGCCCGATCGTCGTTCCGCCTAGTAGTTTTGGAATCTATCTACATGAGCACAAAAAACCGCTATTGTATAGACAAAAGGAGTTCGTTTTCACCTTAAGACTCCATTTGGTAACATTCTCAATAGGCAAGCGGCACTGATTGGTCAACCTCTACAGTCATATGCTCGCCTTTCTGATTGGCCTATTTCGATTCACAACTGGGTATACATATTTCTTAGCGTAGAGTTTTCGGTCAATGTTCTGACGTTTTAATTCTGAAGAGTGTCAGACTAAAAGCTTTAGTTTACTCAAATGTTTGCTTATTCAAAGCTATTAATGTCGATTCTGTTCTATCTAGTGCTTAAAAACTATTAATAGTTGGTAAGAAATATTGCTAGATCTATGCACCTCTGTTAATAACGAATATGTAGCTGTTTGGTTCTGCTCAATGTAATATTATCAATGCACATATGAAAATATATTGCATTTGCTTCAGAAACTATATTTCCTTGTACATCTAGTGATTAGTTGAATGAACAAAAACTATTTCTGTATATAGCCCTTCATAATGACTACCATTTCACTAAACATCTCGCCTTTTAGTGATGCTCAGTCATGTTTGTTTTTGTCGATCAAAGTTTGATAGTTTGATAGAAGCACACGTTTAATTGTTTTGCCACCAATTAAACATTTGTTGTGCCGGCTTAGACGCAACAGCTATTAGAGATCAAAAGGTTTTCTCTCTCTCTCTATGTAATTCGAAACTTCCAATTATCTAGAGTCACTCAAAAGTCTTCACGAGATATTAGTCATCTCCTTGTTCAATACTGTGTGTCTTCAACACTGACTCTCAAACTGTTATCATTTTGCTAAACAACCCTTGCCCTTCCATTTCGCTTTATTCCATTTCCTGGTTTTCTTCTCGGGTCTTTTTCACTTTCAGTTAATTCCTTCACTTCAAAAAACCTGCGGCAATCATTTTACGATTTAAATCTTCCATTTGTTGTTTAGTGTTGACAAAGAAACTCAAAGCGAATTCTTAGCACTCTAGCACTTTAAAAAGTTCGTAGTTTAGGAGAGTTTAGT